AACTTATATTAACACGCCATCTCGACATTATAACGCAACCATCTCACCTAAAAACCATCTAAAGACATCTCACTATTCGACGTAAAGCTTAAGCACAGAAATTTAAAAAGGTAAAGAGGTTACGTAATACTTACGTTACAAGAGTTTATTAATAATAAAAAGAAAGAGACGTGAAGGGGAAAGAATTTCATAGAACACTTTATTTATATGTTTAGAAAGCCGACGGTTATAAGATAGTAACGAGCGTAGTAATTCACGATACTTAGCATTATAAATAGCAACACTTCTATCACCTTCCACCACACACGAACCGCCGCCTACAAGCTACCTTACAGCCTACATAGAGGCATGCGGCTACAATCTAATTACACTTTACTATAATAGATCTAGCGGACCAGCTCATAGGAGGGGAGGCAACTATCATAGCCCGGCTAGAAGAGAGCCTTAGCATAGTATTAAGCCATACCGCGCCCAGCTTATCACCAAGCTAGACGTTATAACCCCGCCCCCTTAGCGTTCTTCCTATATCCATAGATGCCCACCGTCTAATAGACGGTAGGCTTTAGTCTTTATAGATAATACTAGATACTATTCCTCGGCTGCTATAGAATATATCTTACTACTAGTGATTGCCTAGCTCGACGCCGTCAAGCTACTAGCTACTCACGTGGATACATCAACCCACTAGCCTGTAGATCCCGCTAAGGGAATTCAGGTTACTAACAAGCTTTTAGTAGAAGACCAGATTATATAGAAGAGAAGCTCTAGATAGTTAGCTTAATTCTAGAATAATATCTAAATAGAAAGATCACTTATAATTAAGGTATACTAGCTACTACTATAATAATTATAAATAACAACCTTAAGGACCGAATCCGGAAAGTATACGCGTAGGATACTTATATTTAGAGAGCACTTTCCAAAACCCTTAAAGGATTTAAATAAATAGATAAAGGCCTACTACTATTTAAAGGACTAGTGTACGTACTACTAGCCTAGTAGATAGAGATTATCCGATAATACTATAATAATCCTATTATAGGACATCGCGGGATCTATAAGATAGTTAAAGCAATTAGCCGTATATACTTCTTCCCTAGACTTAGGAAGAAAGTGAAGGAATATATCGCAGCCTGCGATCTATACTATAAAATAAAGGCAACCTAGTATAAGCCGTACAGGTTAATAAAGTTAGTAGTAATACTAACACAGCTATAGGCTTTAGTAGCTATAGATTTTATTATTAAACTACCTCTTTCTAAAGAACTCTTAATAAAAGTGAAATACGATTCCGTGCTTACTATTATAGACTAATTAACAAAAGAAGTACACTTTATACTATATAAAGAATCGTCTAACACTAAAGAACTAATATACACCTTCCTCTAAAATATAATAGTAATATAAGGACTACCTAAGGAGATTATCTTAGATAGGGATAAGCTATTTATATTAAACTTCTAGACCTCGCTTATAGTATAATTAGGACTAGCCTATAAGCTTTTAATAGCTTACTATCCCTAGACGGATGGATAAACCGAGCGCATAAACTAAGTGCTAGAGTAGTACTTAAGAGGTTATGTGGATTATAAATAAACGAACTAGGTATTACTATTACCGCTTATAAAGCTAGTATATAATATAAGCGTGAACGAAATAATAGGATAAATACTATTTTACACTAACTATAGATACTAGGCTTAGATGTTCTATAAATCTAGAGAAGTCTAAATCCTAGTAGAGTTATCTAGATTAATAGTAAAAGGAATATAATAGATATACTAAGAATTACGAAAAGATATTAAATTTCTATTATAATAATTAGCATTCCACTACAATAAATATAAATCCAGAGGACCTATACTTAAAGAGGGAGATAAAGTTTACCTTCTCTAGAAAAACATCGAGACAATAAGGCTAAGTAAAAAATTGGACTACGTTAGGATAGAACCTTTCAAAATTATTAGAAATATTAAGGATATAAGCTATAAATTAGACCTACTAGAGAGAATAAGAATACACTTAGTGTTCTATATTTTACTATTAGAACTAGCCCCTATAAAAGTACTAGTATTAGTATAGATACTAGACAACTACCTTATAAAGTAAGAAGGATAATATAAAGTATAGAAAATCCTAGATAATAGCACTAACTTCGATAATAGGCTATAATAATACCTTATAAAATGGAAAGGCTACCCGGACTTAGATAATATATAGAAGCTATATACTAACCTTAATAGATGCGAACGAGCTATAAGGAAGTACTATAAGGATTTAAGGCCTTAGTGGAAGTAGGCTTAAAGAATAAGGGAGGAAACCTATCTAGAGCGCTCTAGATTATAGGAGATATAGTAAGAATATCTAAAAATGCGATAGGCGCTAAATTAGGAAAGTCTATTAAGAATTTAGGAGAAGGGCTAGACTACCCCTACTCTAAAGCCTCTACTTCCGCGATTAATAATAGTTCACGCGATATAAGCTAGAAAAAACAGCTCTCCCACTTAGCTAGCTTGTCTTTAAGCTAAGTATAATAGAGGTTCGCCTCCGCAATCGCTCTTTTAGCTTTATAAAGCTTTTTATAAATTTCTTTACTATAAGTATAGAGCTACTTCTATTCTCTATAGGTAATAACTAGGTCGCATTTAGCACCTAAAGAAATATATTTAGTATAATAACTAGAGCGGACGTCCACGCGATAGGATAATAACTTAGAGTAATAGTAACTATAAGGAGTAAGTATATTAGAGCTAGAAGAACGAAGATAAGACACTAGATTATTACGGCGTTTAGTAGAGGATTATTTAAGACTAGCGGAGCCCTATTATTTTAACACGAATCTCGAGGATGTTAGCTTAGGTGCTTTTAGCATATTACGGAAAAAGAGCGAATATACCTTTTAAGGCGAAAGCTATTAGGGAGGGAGATAGTGTTACGAACCGCGATAGATAACATAGAATAAAGGTAATTAGTGCTAAGTGTTATATAAAGAACTAATTACTTAGAATACTAAGATAGGCGTAATTAGTATAATTAGTGTAATTAGGAACGGATTACACTAATTAGGAAGATTACGGTGCGAGGTATTATAGTATATAGGTAGTACTATTCTTATTTATTAGAATAGTGTGCTTAACTTAAATAAGAATCTAGTATTCTTTATAACTTAATCTAATCTCACTACATAATATTAATTCTTACCTTATTAGCTATATCTTGGCACTATTCTCTATCTCCTTAATTAGGACCCCAACTATCACAGTAACCTTTATTATCTCGTGATAGCACCTTGTTACAATAGATTCAGATAGAAAAAACGCTTATTCGAATAAAAGCTTAATAGGTTGGATTGCTAACGAAGCTCAAGGTCAAAGCAGCGAATGGAGCTGCAAAGACATTTATCTTGAAGCAATGAAGACTAGCACAGGGTTGAATGGTAGAACAAACTTCTTACAGTATTTTCAAGTCCAGCGTAGCAAACGGCTATAATTCGAGAGGTCGACTCGACCAGTCGAATTAGCTAGCTTACGTGATTGCGATCAAGTCAAAACAACACCATCGAGCCATCGGCGCGGGCTTTTCCGCTTACAGAATGTCATTTCCAGTGTAGCTAGCAAACTGAGCCTCTGCACATCGAGCATCTGTCTCACACAAGGCTGCAAGGTCTCTCCGCCAAGTAAGAATGACCACCATCCGAGAACGGAAGCTCACTCTCCGCGACACAACATGCAGTCTAATCGAAATGTGGTTCCAACCACGTATTAGTTCTTATGGAAGGAATCTAGACCACACTTCTCTAGCTACTGGCACGAGATTACCCACTAATAGTGCAGAACCTGATGTGTCATTCCCCTGACTCCATGCTTCCGCGGATTGCATAGAGGTGAAGAAATTGACTTTAGAGCACCAAGAGTCGCACACGGAGTCACCCTTCAGTACATCGGCCATAAAAACTATAAGGCTTCGGTCTTGGGGAATACCATCGATGAATTCAAGTCGTAAGATTTCATTGCTGAAAGGATCCAGTGACCGAACAGACCCCGAGAGATGCAGGCTTCCAAAGATGCCAAGCACATCAAATGCGCACCAGGCCCAGAACCTTATGCCTCCGATGGAGAGCTCGTGCACCGTGGGAGTCAAACTCAATCCAACAGCGCCGACAATATGACCGTCAGAATCGAGGCGTACTTGGCCAAATCGTCGTAGTTCATCAATGCAGCTCGAGACAGTAACCGCGCTGGTGTCCATTGTTTTGGCGAGGTGGTCCAGGGAGATAGGTTTGGCAGTTCGTAGAAGAGTCTGAAATACTGTTGCCTGAATCTGTGTCTCAAGCTTGCCCTTGAAGCTGATCACTGTCAAGCCTCGAAGGGCAGCTGAAACCTGCTCTTCAGTGGGAAGATCAAGTCGACAAGACATAACGCCATCTGATGTTCGCGGATGTCCGGTGACATCAAAACCGTCGACGAGCAGAGTTGGAGAATTGTAGTCACCGACTAGCTCCTCCACGATAGCATCGACAGGAATCCGAGCCAGACTCTCCCTGAGCACCTTCCGCACCGGTCCGACTAATGGACAATCAGGAACAGACAGGAGCTGAACACAAAGTGAATTTTGTTGGATCATTGTCGAATAATGTAAGATGCGACTTTTTAGTGGAGTGAGATTCTCGTTCTCGCTTGCTGGCGAAGCACAGCTACATACGCGATAACTCGGCAGCTTAGTCAGGGTGGTGCCGCTAGTAAAAGTGGTGTTGCCGCTCCCAAAGCCGGTTTCGAGCATGATTGGTGCACTACGTCCAAGAATTCCGCTTCAGTCATTTGCTTTCATACTTCTAACATTGAGTTAATTGCAGTTGACCATATCAAAGGCTTGTATGACATGGAAGATTGGAAAGTAGTTAGGTAGCCTGAATTAATTAAAGACACCGTTTAAACAAACGGTTAGCTATTGTACAAATTCCGTATACTTTGGTCCCGACCCTGACCAACCCTCGCTTTCTCCTAGGGCGACTCTTTCGTTAACTCTAGTCTCAGCCACGGAATCTCAACTCCCACCACATTCTGATCAGCTTCATCTCGAATGAACCGAATCATATCCAACGGCTGGTTTCCATAGTAATACTGGTCAGCATCAGTATATTCTTCACACAAGCCCCCTGCAATCGGATCCGAGGAAACCGGCAGCGAGGCGTTGAAGAAGTACCGCCAGGTATCCCCCATCCCCGCCGGAGCAGGGTAGAAGCGGATAGATGTGGTGTTTGGCTGCAAGTCCGGAGGCGTACCCCTTAGCTTGATCGCCGTGATTGCTGCCGCAATATCTAGGTCCGGTAGCTTCCATTCTCTGACTCGTAAACCCAATCCGTTGTCCGGCACTTCGAGCTCAATCACGCTTGTCCTATTGACCGAGCCAGACGAGTATCGGCCGGCGTATGCTTCTCGTGCGTTTTTCACCCGGGCCGCCTCGAGGAAGCGAGCGACGCGCTCCACAAGGAAGCTTCTCGTATCTCCAGCAATAGTCTCCGGTCCTTCTGATGCAAGCACTGCCAATCCGAAGCCATACTCCGGGACGATGGCCAACTCGCCAGAGTAGCCGGTGATGCCCCCGGCTTTGTTGTGCACAGTGAACGGAAATCCTCCGTTCAGGCCTGTGACAGAAGGTCGGAAATCTTCCCACGGGAGGCCAAGAAAGGCAGCGCTCGAAGAGGTGTATGTCATCGGGTGGAGCCATTCTCGAAGCACCTGTGGAGGTAGACGTATGGCATCACCGCTGTCTCCGGTGTTCGGATCCAGACCTTTCAATATAGCCCTCGCAAAACGAGCCAGGTCAGAAGCGGTAGAGTACATGCCACCAGACCAACTAGCCCAGCCGAAGTCTTCATACCATGCACTATTGGCTGTTTCGGTAGGAATGATACCTAATGAGTCGTTCGAAGGCTTCAAGAGACTGGTACGTGACATGTTGAGACTAACGGCAATGTCTCGAGTGACCAGATCGCTAGAACTCGTTCCATTTTTCACCGTGATGATATGGCCGAGGAGATCGTAAGCCACGTTAGAGTAGGCAGGAAAGGAGTTGCTGGGATAGATAGGAGGTCGAGTTGAAAGGATGTTGATGTAATCTATTGCTGTAGTTAGTACTAGGACGTAATTGGTGGGAGAGATGAGAATCTCTCGTAGGAACATACCCTCCGCTGAGCAAGCACGTCCGCCAGATTCCAGCGCTGCTCGGGGCAAGGAACAGGATGGTTTGTCGCTCTCTGGTATTGGTACAGCCTCCCTTATGAGATGAACGATTTCGAATTCGGAGCCGACCACGCTGATGTCGTTGATGGGATCTATTGAATTCGGACATTAACGGTGCGTCAACAAGGCTGGAAGATTAGGCCGGTAGAGAAGGCCTGAATCGAACATTGCAGCTTACAGTCTCTTGTCAACCCACTGATATAGCCTGCCAACCCTCGAACCGTGATCTCATCGAACCCATCCTTCCGAAACTCTGGAATCCACTTTGCGACCGGATCACCAAGATCCAAGCCGTTTACCAGAGCCTCGTAAACAGCAAAAACCTTGCTCACGCTACCGATACGAAAGATGCTGTCAGTAGTAACGCCAGTCCCCTCCGGACCGTAGCTGTACGTCACGAACGGCGTATCGCCCATTCCGGTGACCGCTAGGGAGATCGAGTAATTGGCGTATGAGGGGTCTGAAGCGGCAGCAGCGGTTGATCGGTTGTTCAGCTCGGCTGTCAGATTGTGCTGTAATACAGACAGCTCTGTCGCAGAAAGTGAGGGGACTGGTAGATGCGGCTCTGATGGAGGTGGACAGTTTGCGAGACCGCGCACACCGACGGCAAGGAAGGAAAGGCACAAATATGCAATGTTGGAAAGCATTTTGAAAAGCAATCAGAGTATCGCGGAACCTTCTACTAGAAGCAAGGCACTTCGCGGACTTGTAATGTTCTTCACTCAGGATTGTGGAAGAGATCTTGTAACGAGTCTGCTTCTCGAGTTAAGTATACGAAGGAGGTGTTACAGTCTTATTAGATTAAGGGGTAATTAGGCAACAGCGTAACTACAAGATACGAAGGAAACTTAGAGGTTATCGCTAGCAATACACCGGCTAAGCAATAGTATATAGCTGCCGCCTCCTTATAATAGAAGTTTGATAGAAACTAGTTCTCTACTAACATCGGCGAAAGTTTTTGTCATATCTAAGGTCTCAGAGCCATCTCTGAAGCCTTAGAGTTACCGAGCCTATGTCCAGCTCGCAAGCCGCTCGCGAGAACGGTCGATTACCCCGTATACCCAGCGTGCTCCACGCGGCCAGCGTGCTCGGCGTGCTCGGCGTGCTCGAGCTTCTCGTGCTTCTTGGGATACTTAGAGCTGCCAAGCTGCCAAGATGCCAAGATGCCAAGCTGCTCCCCTTCTTTATAGATTCAGCCCGCTAAGAGCGGCAAGAAGCTAGTACGTATTGGCGCCGACAGCTCGTCTAAGCTTCCAGGGTCTACCTTTGTCAGTATCTCGTTGATCGCAGTGAGACAGTGCCAAACTCAAGAGATGGCCAACTACGAGTATGGTATGCTCGACCAGGCAGATGAGGGTATGTGCATTTAATAGCACAGAATACACACTACTCACTGTCGTTAGATTCCCTACACACATCGCGTCTACTCAATGTTGAGGAGAAGCCATTCAAGCGTATCACCAAACGCCTCCTCACACCCGCATCCCTAATATCAAGGCCACCTACATCGCTACCAACACCTCCCCCGGACATCTCCGCCGCCGACGAAGAAGCCGCTGCCGTTGACGCCTCACGCCGGAGACAAGCCGAAGAGCGCAAACAATGGCGTGAAGACATGGTGCTCGACTTCGCCGCCTTCGAAGGCAGCATAGTGCGCATGCAGCTCCTGCGCACCAGCAACGAAAAAGAGCGCGAGCGCTACGCCTCCGAGAAGATCAAGATCTCAGAGACTGCGCAGGCGATTAGAGACAACACGGCCGAGCTGCGGGTCCAGCTGGAGGAGGCGCAGAAGACTCTGGCGCTCAGGAAGACATACGACGAGCTGGCGGAGAAGATCACGAGTAACCGCATGCTCAAGTCTAGAGATGAGCAGCATGTGCAGCTCGAGAAGCTGAACGCGGAGATTGCGGAGCTGGAGAGCGAGAGCGCACACTATGCGCAGACGTGGGCGGAGAGGAGGGAGCAGTTTGGGAGGATAGTGGAGGAGGGGAGGCTGATGTTGAGGCTGATCAGGGATGAGAAGGAGGAGGCGGAGAGGAAGGAGGGCATGGAGGGTGGAGAGGATGCGGAAGAGGGCGAGGGCAGCACGACGCGTGGAGAAGCGAGTGCGGTCGGCACACCGAGACCTGAGGTTGACGGAGCGACTCCTCTGCACACCAGTCAAGACACAGAGGCGCCAGCGAGTGCTAGGCATGCACCGACGAGACATCGTTTAGCGCCACTTTCGTCGCCGGCAAGGAGCGGCAGTCGAGCAGCATCGCAACCTCTGCAGCCCTCGTCAGGTGCAGAAGCAGACAATCAAGACGCAGATATGGCTGACTCTGGGGCTGTGACTACCCCAGATAAGCGGCGGGAGGACAGGTCAGATATCGAGGAGGGCGAAGAGGCAGAAGATACCCCTGCAGAGGAGAGGATGGACGTCACTTAGTGAGAAGATACCCAGAGCATTCCAGGCGTTCTGGGGTGGTCATTGCTATTTATGCGCGGTCAAGGAGTACGTGGTCTTGGTACCATGTATGTGCAGGTAAACAGGGAATACACGCCAGTGTCCTACGCACTCTCTCTAATAGCCTTCTTGGCACTTGCCACTGCATCTTTCGCCTTGGTGACTTCCTCCGTAGACGCCGTGCCTCCTGCATCCTTGTTCGCTTCCTGCATGGCTAGTCAGCGAATCGACGGCACTACAACTACCGGTACTCACAAGTTGCTCTTCAAGTTTTGCTAGTGCATCTGTGATCTTCTGCCGGATTGAGGGAAGCACCGCTTTCGTCTCTTCTAGTGCTTGGCGCTAGAGTTTTTGTCAGTGATCATGAGGCTGTCTTCGAGAGGACTTGAGACCCAACTACCTCCTGCTTAAGCTGATAGTCTGCATTCTCATCGGTGCTGTTTCCCGCTTTCTCAATGCGCACCTGTTGCTGTTCCATTTCCTTGTGATAGCTTGCTTCCTCCTTCACGAGGCGCATCAGCGACGACGTCGCTACAGCGAGCTTCGACGGAGGCGCCATGCTGTCAATAGTTATCGAGGCCTGGCGTGCTTTCGAGATGGGAAGTCCGCTTGTGCTTGTTTTTCACACACGCTGTTCACACTTCTGATCGCTCCCGTCTTCGATGTGGGGCTGTCGATTTGATGCGGCGCTTATCGATTATGCAAGCACTCAACGCGTGAAAGACGCGGTCTGGTTCCAATTTCGCGCTGTTTCCCTTCTGATCTCACCATCAACAAAACTCAATCGACATCGTACTCTGACAGTAGTGCCTCACGATGTCTTCGCCAGCGCAGCGACGCTCACAGCGCAACTCTGCATCAGCGACACCGCGAAGGAGCGCCCGCAGCTCCCAAGTTCCCCCCAGCAGCCCCCTTAGCAACCGTAGCGCCGACGATCAGCTTCGCTCAGAGGCGTCTGATGCTTCACAACGGCAAGGTTCGCAAGCAACACCGAGAGCAGCAAGACTACAGCCAAATGTCGCTGCTTCTTCCCCTCTCTTCTTCCGCTCGTCACCAGCCAATGGCTCCGTCAATGGCTCAGGGGCTGTCAATGGAGCAGTCCCTAGCTCACCTACAAGGCAGCCTGCGAATGGCACAGATGGTGACCGGACGCCAAGAGCATCTGGTATCAATGTCGGAGGTACGTGTCGCACTTCGTCCACATCCTACATCAAGCTAAAGCCACTCACAGAATCATCTCCCATCCGCTACGCCTCCAGCTCCAGCCCCCAGCGCGCCGCGAATGCGCAGAGATCAGATGTGATCCGAAGCAGCAGCAGCGCGCTTTTCGTGCGTTCCGGTTTCTCTGACGGCCCAGCGTCGTCGGCTCGCAATCGGCGCAGTGATATCAATTCAGACCTCCTCACAAACAACACGGGACGACGTCGACGACTCTTTGTAGACGAGAATGGCATGCCAGCGGGCAGCACTCTGTCGGATACTGCGACCTTCTCCAACGTCGACCCGCAAACATCGGAAGCTGAAGCGCTTGGCGGCACTGGCACCCAGCTCATCTGGGGAACGAATGTATCGGTGAACGATGCTTTGTTCGCAGCCAAGGACTTCCTGCGTAACTTCCAGAATAAGTATCGCCTGATTCAAGATGGCGAACTGGAGTCTAGCAGCCACCTGCCTGCAGATCACCCTGGAAATACAAAGCAATACGTGGAGATGATGAACACGATGCTCGAATTGAGCGTGGATAATCTGAACTTGGACTGCCGCAATTTGAAGTCTTACCCGCCTACGCGGAAGCTGTGGCATCAGATGCAAGCTTTCCCGAACGAGATTATTCCGATTGTCGATCTGGCAGTCAAGGATGTTATGGTCGAGCTCGCTGAGAAGCGGATGAATGAGCTTAGGGTGCAGGCATCGCAGCAGGCTCAGAGAGACGCTCATACTCGAGATTCCAGCTCTATGCCTCGGATTCCAAGTTCTGACGCTCCGGATGGTCAGACGGCTAGGCCGAACGGCGCTGCCTCCGGCCTTGCCGACATTCATGATATCGTTAGAGAGGTGGAGGGAAAGATATACAAGGTCCGGCCTTTCGGCTTAGACCAGACGATCAACCTGCGGGAGCTCAACCCTGGTGGTATGGTATGAGAACGCATCCTCTTGGGACGTTAGCTGACAGTGGAACAGACATGGACAAGCTTGTCAGCATCAAAGGTCTTGTCATTCGTACGACTCCAATCATTCCGGACATGAAGGACGCCTTTTTCCGCTGCGCTGCTTGCGGCCACACTATTAAGGTCGACATTGACCGCGGCAAGATTGCTGAGCCCACAAGATGCCCAAGAGAAGTTTGCAGCTCCTCCAATTCTATGCAGATTGTGCACAACCGATCTGGCTTCTCTGACAAGCAAGTCATCAAGCTCCAAGAGACACCGGACAACGTCCCAGACGGCCAAACCCCGCATTCCGTCTCACTGTGCGCGTACGACGACCTTGTCGATGTCTGCAAAGCTGGTGACAGAGTCGAGGTCACGGGCATCTTCAAATGCACCCAAGTGCGCATCAACCCGCGCCAACGCACCGTCAAGAACATCTTCAAGACCTATGTGGATGTCCTTCATATCCAGAAAACCGACAAGCGACGCCTCGGCGCCGACGCCTCCACTCTTAATGAAGAGCTCGCCGAGCAAGCCGCCGGCGGCCCAGATGCGGTTCGCAAAGTGAGCGAGGAAGAAGAAGCTAGGATCAGGGAGGTCGCCGCGCGACCCGACGTCTACGAGCTTCTGTCACGGTCTCTGGCTCCCAGCATCTACGAGATGGACGACGTGAAGAAGGGCATCCTCCTGCAGCTCTTCGGCGGTACCAACAAATCCTTCGAGAAGGGCGGCAGTCCAAGGTACCGCGGCGATATCAATGTGCTGCTATGCGGCGACCCTTCGACTTCAAAGTCCCAGCTCTTGCAGTACGTGCACAAGATTGCTCCTCGCGGCGTCTACACGAGCGGCAAAGGCTCCTCCGCCGTCGGACTCACAGCATACGTAACCCGCGATCCCGAAACACGTCAGCTCGTCCTCGAGTCCGGGGCCCTGGTCCTCTCCGACGGCGGCGTCTGCTGCATCGATGAGTTCGACAAAATGAGCGACGCCACACGTTCCGTTCTACACGAGGTAATGGAACAACAAACCGTCTCGATCGCTAAAGCCGGCATCATCACGACCCTCAACGCGCGCACCTCCATCCTGGCCTCCGCCAACCCAATCGGCAGCAAATATAACCCCGCGCTCCCCGTCCCGCAAAACATCGACCTACCCCCCACGCTCCTCTCGCGCTTCGACCTCGTCTACCTCGTCCTCGATCGCATCGACGAAGCCAACGACCGCCGCCTCGCGCGCCATCTCGTGAGCATGTACCTCGAAGATGCCCCCGCGAACGCTTCCGCGCTCGAAATCCTGCCCGTCGAGTTCCTGACAGCTTACATCTCGTACGCGCGGTCGCACGTGCAGCCCAAACTAACCCAGGCGGCCGCGATGGCGCTGAGCGACGCCTACGTGGCGATGCGGGCGCTCGGGGCGGATGTGAGGGCGCAGGAGCGCCGTATCACGGCCACGACGAGGCAGCTGGAGAGTATGATTCGGCTTGCGGAGGCGCATGCGAAGATGAGGCTTGCGACGGAGGTCACGGCTGAGGATGTCGAGGAGGCTGTTAGGCTGATTAAGAGCGCGCTCAAACAGGCGGCGACGGATGCGCGGACGGGGTTAATTGATATGGGATTGTTGACTGAGGGCCAGAGCGCGAGCGAGAGGCGCAGGAAGAAGGATCTGGCGGAGGCGGTTGTGGAGATGTTGGATGAGATGACGAGAGGGGGTGGGGCTGTTAGGGTTGCGGAGGTGGTGAGGAGGGTTGGGGAGGGAAGTAGTATTCAGGTGGAGGGGAATGAGGTTATGGAGGCCCTGAGGGCGCTGGAGGTTGAAGGGAGGGTGCAGCTTACGGGTGAGGGGGTGAGGAGAATGGTTAGAAGGATTACTGGGGTGGTTTAGGACGCCTTGGGGCGCGATGGATGTCTCAGAGGTCATGGCTTGGATGCGAGTTTGGATTACGTTGTTACGATTGCCTGGAGGACTTAACTGGACGCTGGCGTTCGGTCAGCGGTATGTGCGTAGTCGTTCCTGTGCGTGCAAGAAGTTATGCGGCTCGAGGATTCTCACTTTCTCAGATGGTAATACAGGTACTTAGCACTCGGATGTAGCCTCAGGGTTCAGTCGTGCCGTTTTTAGCGTGCGGGAGATCGAGGATCACCACGTGGGCCTCTCATTCAGCCCCACTAAAAACCACTAGGGCTCAAGTTCTCCATTGCGAAACCCTAACGATGGCCTCTCAGAGCCATGCTAAAACCTTATTTGTAATTATAATCAACCTGCTCAAGTACATAAAAGCGGGGGCATAGCTAGTAAGTAGTGAGTTTTTTCTTCCATTATGAAATCACCGAAGCTCTATTGGGTCTTGAAACTGCGAGTAGGTTATCCTCCTGTCAAGGCTAAAGGGAGCTTTCAATCCTATAAAACCCGCTTCTACCCTCGCTTTCAAAGTTTCGAAAGTCCAGTTCTCTCATAAACCCAAGAGAAATCGCAAAATCACAAAGTAGTTAGAGATAGTGTGTCTCCATCATCATCATAAAACAAAATCATCATCAATATCGCAAGAACACTCTTCCGCAAGAACCAGCATGTCTTCCCCTCTACTTGACCTCCCGGGCGAAATCAAGAACCTCATCTACGATCTTGTGGTGCCCGAGACCACCATGCATGTGGCTTCGTCTGGCGCAATCACGGTGTTCTCCTGCGATGATGAACAAACACTTACCACTGTGAGTACCTATTACCTGGCCTAATGTTTTGCGGCCGGTGATGCCAACGCTCTTTGAACAGCCCGCAAAGGCGGCAGGCGCTGCCAAAGCTGCACGACCCGTACCTCTTGCACTCCAACATGTGTGCAAAACGACACGGCGCGAGACCATGGTGCACTTCTATGCAAGGACGACGCTTATTTTGAGCTCCCCATCGGCGGCTAGAATGTTCTTCCCGCGCGTGCCGCCCGCGCTCCTCGTCCGCATTCCCTAAATACAACTCATCATCAAACCCGAAGGGTATCAACCCCGTTCCAGGCGGGAAGTCAGAACCCAAGCCGCGCATCGCAACTTCATGATCGAGCAAGGTCGAGGAGCGTGCTGCAAGGACAACTGCTTCAAAGACCCCATATCGATGCGGGTCCTCGGGATGCCATCAGGCGCGACCAGGGCCGAAGTTTTGAGCCACCAACCACTCGGATCGTATGTGGAGGAGACCTCCATCATCAAGACCCTCTGGAGTTCATTCGACGCGTCCTTCCAAGCATATGCTCAGCATGTACCATTCAAAGTACTATCCCGCCTTACCGCCCTGAACGTTGACATCCACCACAACGTTGCGCGAGAGCACCTTAACGCGAAAAGTTACCCAAACTACCTTGACATCGTGTTCGCCGTGGGCATCGCAATCGGATGCCAGTATTTCGCTCAGCAAATTAAAGCTTCGACTACGTTCCGCATCTTCTCACGCAACAATCAACTGATGGGCGAGATGGTGCCCGGGGAGATCAGAGGTGATTCGTTCGATGTCATGCTGGCCAGCCAGAGATGCCGCACTATGTGCTACCACGGCTTTCGCGCTGTTTGGGACGAGAACCTATGCGCGTGTGTCATGCAGGTGGAGGAAGTCAAGCACGATTGGGTTCCGTACGAGGTCGAGTACGCGTACTAGTATCACTTTCGGCAAGCATGGGACGGCGTTTTGGTATACCCGCTTTCAGTCATGGCTGCTTTGGTTCTTCCTTGTATTGCTCCTCTAGACGCTCGCTTTGGATAGGGTAAAGAACTCATAATCACGCGCTTGCGCTTACGAAAACCATCTCATCTTTCCATCGGCTTTTGCGACTTATGACTTTCCTTTTAATGCGAAGCCCTGAGGCCTGTAAGTTACAGCTGACACATGTCCTGATCACAGCCTCATTGTCGCTATTGAAGCTCGAGGTGCATGGTCAACTACAATTGACTTGAGAGTGAGTCGCGTTCAGCATCCTGATATCTTCATTTCCAACCCCTTCATTACCTGTGCTCTGTCCGAATCACTCACAGTCTTATCTTGACTACTTCCTCCACTCGGCTTGTATCCCAAACAACTCCTCTAATTTGCGGCCGCGCACCACTCAACATCTCGAGGGCGCGCTCAGGAACTCGAGCAGCGCTCTGAACGTAGATACGCAGGACAATCTAGTACACGGCAACAGAAGCTGCTGAAGTACGCTTCCATTCTGATTGACTCTGTCGTATCCGCTAACATCACTGCCCGACTCCCAGACCTCTCGTCGACAACCATTGTTCAACAAGATGTCGGCAACCTCTTCCACAGCATCCAACGACGATGAAGATACGAACCCAGCACCAGAGCGTCCTTCAATGCGCAAAGAAATCAAGGACCGGCTCGTTGAGCTTACGAAACAGCAAGCACCATGCCACTGCCTTCTCGGCCGGCTCTCTTCCGAATTCCCTAATATGACCGCGGAAGAGCGTCAGCTCGTCCTTGACGCGACATCAGCTAGCCACACAGCGGCAGCTCAGCGCATGGAGGAGATCTTGAACGAAACGCCCGAGACGCCCGAAGTTGCGAAGGCCGCTTACATTCTGGAGATCACGCCCACGAGTAAAGTACCGATCGCACTTCCTTCAGGTGTCCTGTTGGGGTACTATCCCCAGAAGCGACTTAGATCGGTGGATCCGACTGCTGTCCTAAACAGCGTGCGTGGCATCGAGATTCCTGGCCTAGAGTGGCGTGGTTCGTCATGGGTGAAACATCGCGCGTATGTATATGTCTTGCGGATAGGCTTGGTCATCGAGGATGGGAAGCTCGAGCTCGAGGGACTGCAGTCGGTGATCGAGAAGCTGGAGCAAGTCCGGACTACTCAAGTGGTATGTGATCGTCGCTTTATTTTCCCTTGTCGGTTACATCCAGGAGGAAATGCTCACTTTTTCTGAATAGATAGACAACAGAGGGCACGATGCCCTTTTGCGCCTACGATGAATACCTAGGCCGTTGGTTCGGAGGTCAATTTGGGTGTTTCGGCTCACTGACTAGAACCTCTGTGGCGAGGGGCCTTACTACATTCCGTTGCGGAGTCTGTCGCTGTCAGACATTCGGACGTAAAACTGGACGTCCTCTACCGGCGTCATAAAGTGGGATGCGTAGCTAGCAAGTCAGGAATGACAGGACAGCAAACATGGAATAGAAATACATCAACCATATGCAACACATCGACAGAGACCTCGAGCTACCAGATTTGTACCAGAGTGTGCGGAGGCTTGTAGTATGCTGCCGATAGTCGCCGCATCTATTTCACAATACTGCTTATGAACTGTTGGTCTGATGTCGTTCCGCCACGTACGGCCACAGATCAGGGAAAACATCGGACTCCGTTCGCTCTCCTGTGATTAAGCCTTGAATCGGTAGATTAGTAGTTAGGTGGGTGACCACTAATGAATACCTACTGCTGTACGTTTTTCCTTTTGCTCTGTTTGTTTGCGTACAGCATGATGTTCTGCAGCTCTTCTCAACCTGCGATTCGCGACTTGCTGGTAGGTTCTATGTCGTGGTTGGTGAACGGGCTGATCGAATTACAATGTTTGCTTGAGAACAGCGTTCTCAGGTGTGAGTTAACTCCACAGCATTTCTTCCAAGATCACGCTATTTTCCTGCCAATGCATTTTCACTAACGGCCTGTACCGACCCTTCCAGTCAACCTTCGACATATCGGATTAGCCTGGGTTAGTTTTGTAGGTAACGTATAATACCGCAGACACGTGTAAATTCTCCTCCGTCTCACTGCTTGCCCTCATAGTCTCTCTTCCACACGCTATCAAACGTCTCCTTGCCCACAGCAAACTCCTTCAAGAACTCCCTCTCAAGATCATGCGTCCTCCGTCCGAGTAGTACAAGGCTGTGCAGAGGTGGCCCCAGATCACTCTCAGCAAGCTGCTCCAGCGTGCCCACCACGATCTTCTGGTCTTCAGCCCCTATCCTCGCCACCCCGACGGCCAGGCTGTCCTTCCCATACACGCCCTCTTTGCGCTCCTCTTCCGTCTCCAGCATCTGCACTGCACACTGCGCGACCGTCATGAACCGCGGCGGTTCGTAGATCTTGCGCCCACGGGCCATGTTCTCAAGCGACTGCTCCTTCACCTTGATGTCCAGCAGAACGAGCGTGTGCAGCCCAATCGATACATTCTCCTTGATGCGGTCATAGAAGGAGCTCGGCTTCCAGTTCTCGAGGAAAAAGACCATGCTGACCGTCTGTCCGAAATTGTACAGCTGCAGTCCCGTCGCGCCGATTGCAGTCAGGATGCTTGCGTTCGGGATGCTGCGCACGGGTATGGAAAGCTCGCGGGCGCGAAGTACGAGGTCGGAGTGCGTCGTTGCGCTGAAGGGGTCGCCAACGACTAGGAAGGCCACGTCGACGTTGGAGGCGTCTGCTAGGATGTCGTCGCTGGAGGACTCGACCATTTCGCGGTCGGCGATGGTGACGGGGCGGCCATAGAAGGCTTCCTACTTTTGGAGCGGTAAGCTTCTGGTGATATTGCTTGCGCGTGGAAAGGGCAGGTAGGGTGTTGTACCAGCTTTTCCTTATCGACGAGGAGGATGGCTGTATAGGCCTCAAGGTAGACACGCGCGGCATTCTTGACGATCTCAAGGCCTTTGACTGTGATGTCTTTCTCATCGGCTAGGCCGAGGCCGATTAGGTAGAGCATTTTTGGCAGACTTTCGGTCAGAAAGATTTGTGTCGTCAAATGATTTGGAGGCTTCTAAATCGTTACAGGAATGGTAAAACACACACTGCGTAAAAACGATATCAGAAAATGCTTCACCCAGGATTAAGGTTGCGGGTAGGGCTGAGCTGCGGAACGTGACCCTTGCAGCGATCGGTAAAGTTGCCGCATCCAGCCGGGTTCCCCAGGCCACGTGCGGTGCCACGGTACTTCACAATCCCTTAGATCTCCATTGCTTCCCGTCGCTTTTCCTCCTCGCTCTTCATACCACAAACAAAAACCTCGCTAAAACTCTCGCTATCTCTGCATAAACACGCTTCACCGCTACTCTCGCTATCACTACGCACACATACGACGGCAAACGTGCTACCAAATCGGCATCATGGCGGACAAAGCAGCAAAATACCGGACAGAGATCCAACAGGTTAGTGGGCGCTTTGCGTTGTTCCTACGGTTCGGGGTTTCCTTCCTGCTTTCTCGTCTACTTTGGGGCTTGTTTTCTTCTGTGCAATACTTGTCTCTTGCCCCGCGCAACCGGCTTTCGCAAGAATTGGGATTCGACGTTCCCCACCGACCGAAGGGTACATGCTGTGGCGCAAGTAGCTAGGTCCAGGAATCCAACCAGACATGGTTTCCGCGTATGGACAGAAAGCCCTCGATGAGCGATTCGCTGGCCCCGCCAAAATATCAAGATATGGCGAGATAGCTGATCTCACAACGGCAAACCGGCGCATTGAAATCGAAGCAGTTGGGGTCCCTCAGCATGCTGGATGTCATATCTCAAGCTTGTAAGGGAGACTGCGATAGGCTTTCGACTTCAGAAGCTGTAATACTGCAATAGTTGCTGTGTACCACCGAAGATGATTTGAAGCAGAGCGGCCACGGCTCTGATCCGCCAACCTCACCCGCCACCCTACTCTTGGTGTCCGTCGACCGGAACCTGAAGGTGGGGCTGTCATGAAGGCGGGGCTGTTATGTTCGAGTACCTGAGAGCTTCATGAAGAGCTTCGCAACAAATCATAAGCTGTAAAGTCAGATACAAGGGCGTCAGCTTCCGACAAGTCGTCCAAGTCGGCTTCCATTGTCAGGTTACGGTGCTGCGAGTTCCATTACGTGTTTGGATTGCTCCGGCTTCTCCTGTGTACCGGTCGAGTTTGATGCTGTCGCTCGACATATTCCGACTTGAGGGATGCGTTCAACGGCCATCTGCGACGCGACGCGACCTCTCGCCTGCGTCGTCCAACCAACCCTATTGACTGCTTCACCACCTGACAAACCAAACGTTTTAAACAAACCGCTTCTGTTCTCGCGGTCACCACACAACCTTTGCTGGATTTCTTTGCGCAATTGTTATCCTCATTTCCAATCTGGCTTTCTCTTGTTCAACTTCATCGTCCACTGGGCTGCTCTCAGCCTGTTTCGTTCTCTCAGTCCCAAAATGGATCTCTCACCGCATCAGCCTCAAGACGACACTATCTTGCAAAGTGACTGCGACGGCCAACCTGAAGATGACGACTTTTCGGAAAGCAAGGAATTCACTGAACACATATCGCAGATGATGTTCGTCTCTGGCGAAACCGGCGAGCCGTCACCGGAAACAACCACGCTCATTGAACAGATCGTTCAACAACAAGTGCAAGAAATGGTGAGTTCGAAACCAACCTATGGCCCATCACTCTCGCTGACACCTCTCCTAGCTCCGCGAATGCACCGCCCTCGCAACTCGCCGCGGCAGCCGCAGCATCTCAACCGACGACCTCATGATGCTCATCCGGCACGACAAAGCCAAAGTCTCACGGCTCCGACACTTCCTCCAATGGAAAGACGTCCGCAAGAACCTCAAAGACCAAGAAGACAGCGGCAAAGGCGGCGGAGCCGAAGTGCCCGACCTAGGCGGCGACGACATCCCCGGCGTGGGCGCGACAGGGCAAGGCGAGAGCGCGAAGAAAGTCAGCAAGCGCGCCAAAGTCGATCTGCCGTGGGACGTGCAGAGCTACTACGGCGAGCAAGTTCCCGCAAGGGACGATGAGGAAGACGAGGAGGAAGAGGAGATGAACTACGCCACGCTGCAGCGGCTCAAGATGGCGGACGAGCGCACCAAGGACATGACGCGCGAGGAGTACGTGCACTGGTCTGACTGCCGCCAGGCGAGCTTCACGTTCCGCAAAGGCAAGCGATTTAGGGAGTGGGCCGGCTTTGGCATCATCACGGAGAGCAAGCCTAATGACGATATCATTGATATCCTGGGGTTCTTGACGTTTGAGATCGTGCAGACCCTTACGGAGGAGGCGCTTAAGGTCAAGAATGCGGAGGATCTGTATAAGAAGGAGACCGGGGGGGCGGAGAGTCAGACAAGGAAGAGGAAGAGGGAGGGCGGTCTATTCGATCCGCCGGAGGAGGCGAGGGAGCCGGTGCAGCCGAGCCATGTGAGGGAGGCGTATCGCAGGCTTCAGCAGTCGTCGAATAAGTCGAAGGCTATGTCGGCGTTCTCGAGGGCGATGCCGAGAAAAGCGTTGAAATTCGTAAGTCGCAGGAAGACACTCAACGTTTAGCAGTGTTGCTAACATTTTGTGTCAGATCTAGGCTTCCTGCCTCTCAGGGGACTCAGCGGGTGTTCAGGTTTTTACGGTTCAGGAAGAGCGCAAGCGGCTTCGTTCAACGGTTGTGATACCCCAGGGAGACGACTTTCATTCATGGCGCATGGAGCGGGTTTATCGTACCGAGAAACTCGATAGAAACGCGTAATCCATATTAACAGCGAATGTACGGCGCCAGGCTCATCCATTGCACTTTCAACAAACCCCGTAAATGCCTCGTATTCGACAAGAGATACAAAGTACAGAAACACGGCCTTGCTCCGAAGAGCTGGTATACCGAGACGAGCTAGATGTCCTCAACGGTTGGTTTCCGACATAGCCTACATGTACGCAGCCCAGACCCGCAGCGCGTGCGCTAGTATCGTCTACTATGTAGAACACACGCGTCAGCCGACGTCGCCTAAGAACGCCACGCCGAACCCAGTATCGCAAGAAAAAAGTCGCATCCTCCAGAGATGTGGGCTCCCCATGATACACCCACCAAGTCAACGAATGAGAAATCCCACCGCATGTCTCAATATCGCCGCACCTCATGCTGCGGATAGTTCCCACCAGCATATCTATCAGGGTCAACTGACCTATAACCCCCACCTCCACTGCGCCTATTGTGCTTCCGTCGCGGCGGCCCCACATCCGAGTGTTCCTCAATGACCTCCACGATATCATCTCCACTAACTCTCCTCTCCCGCTCCATCCTTTCCTCCACAATAACCTGCCTCGGCATCGGCGGCATCGGCATCGGCATCGGCGGCGCCTGCATCGGCGGCATAGGCGGAGGCATGCTCTGCCGTCTCTCCTCCACAATGATGCGCTGCGGCCTGGGACTCCTACTGGCCTCCCTCATCTCCGTACGCGTGCTCCGGCGCGAGCGGCGCGACCGGCCGGGGGAGCGTGAACGCCGGCGCTCGCGCGCGATGACGACTTCCTCGCCTTCGATCTCGTTGCCGCCGCCCTGCCCCGCGACGGAGGAGATGAGCCAGCAGAGCAGCAGGAAGCCGAGCACGGAGCCCAGCACGATGCCGACGACGGTGCCGGGCGCGGGACCGCTGTTTATGTCTTGGTAGTAGGAGGGGATGATGCCGGTGATGTCCTGCGTTGGTTGCGTTTGCCGCCGTTCTAGCTTGGCTGAGGATGTGGGGACGGGTGTGAGGTGTAAGCTGTGCAGTAGGCGCCGAGACAGGGTGGCTACGCCTGTCGAGAGCAGGCCGCGCGCTCGCGGCGCGGGGATGCTGGAGAGCGCGTTGGGCGGTGGTGGTAATGCTGGCATTGCGCCGTGAGAGATTGAGGCTGCAGAGCCTCGCTGTTGTTGCGCGGCGCTGCGCACAGAGGATGGTGGTGGGGATGCTTGTGCGATGTCGTTCTATTTACGTCGGCGATCTGCGGCGGCTCGGTACGTTTACTGTGCCGGAGCTTGCGTGGAGGGCGATTGCGCGGAGATGATGCGTTGCGCTTCTGTTTGTCGTGATGGAGTGATGTTTCAATGGTAGCAAAGGTCAGCGACAGAGTCAACGTTAAGTGAGCGTGGTGGTAAGGACAGCAGAATCTGGGTTCGGGATGCTGTTGACGCAATTGTCGTGCTGCATGGTGGCTGGTAAATCGGGAGGCTTGAAATCGCTCGAGCTTGTCCGTCATGGATGGGCAGGCCAACCGCGAACACGTTTCCCATCAGAGCCCGTGCAGGCGTTTTCCTAAACCGACCGAGGTCCATTCGGCTTCATCAAACTTGCATCTCGTGCGCGCAGCACAGAACGCTCCACGATGGTCATACCTGGAGATGGCGCCCAGCATGGCCAAGCCGATCTGTTTGCACCTCAGGCGCCCGTTTCGTGCAACGACATGAGAAAGGCTACAGCTAAGGCATTACGCTCCACAGGATTTCAGCAAACGTTATCAGCCGCAATACACACAAAGCTACTCAGCCAGTTCTGTCAATTACTATCCTAGCGCGCAGCACGACGCGGTGTCTGTTCAGCGACATTCGTGTCGGCTGCGTCGGCATCACGTGCCAAGAGCCAAGTCTCCGCCGCCTTACATAATTAATCGCCGTGCGGAGGCGGAATGGATGCGCGGCTTTTGCTGCGCCTCCACCCAGACGGTTGGCAACATCACCATATCTTCTTTGCTTCAGCGTTCCTCATCTCTTCCTCCTCACATCCTACCCTCACATAACGTCTCTCGCGCGCCGTCCTCATCTACGGAAACCGCCTCAACATCTCCCCAAGCGCATAGTCTCAAGCGCATATCACCAGATCTCAGCCCCACCTAGGTAGCGCCCTCAACTAAGCCCTGGACCCTCGTCCTCAAAGTCTCAACATGTCAAACAAATACGTACGCGCATCCCTTCGAACCACATCGCGCAACCCCAAAACTAACACCCACACTAGGATCCCAACGCTCCCCCCGCCTACCCACCGCAAGCGCACTACGACGCCGGCCCATACCCCCCGCAACAGCAGTTCTCCTCTCCGCCGCCCCAGGGCTACTACCAACCGCCACCGGGCGGCGAGGCTCAAAACTACTACGGCGGCGCCCCGCCGCCCCAGCAGCAGGGCTATGGCCAGCAGCAGCCCATGTACTATCAGCAAGGCCCCCCGCCGCAAGGTTACGTTGATGGTGGAAGGGGTGGAAGGAGACGCGGGGGGGACGGAATTTGCGCTGGCATTTTGGCAGCGCTGGCTTGCTGTTGCTGCTTAGACTGCATCTTCTAAGGGGGTCGTTTAGTGTGGTGGTACTAGGGAGGAAGGAACGCCGAAGCTGGCGGTTTTGGGTGGAGCTAATGTCGTGATGATACCCTGGCTGACTTTATGTGAGCGGATATGGGTATCGGCGTTTGCTGGGCAATTTGGGCTTGTGGAAGCTTTGGTCTCCAAGAGTGTCACTTTCCAGCCTTTCGATACGAGTCATGATGTCTCTTTCGTAGTGCAACACTATCTGGCTACAAATGCTTCAGAACCCTACCTGCTTTCGTTCCAGCACACAAGTACATCAACCAGCGGGGAAATCCTACATACGAACGTCTTGGGAAATTACAATGCACAGAGAGCGGGCAGGCATGACGCAGCAGAGTAGTTTGATAGAGACAATTTAATAGTTTCCTAAAGTTTTTCTCTGTATAAGTGTAGTATCTATAAGTTATCAAATCTTCTAGCTAGTAGCAGAGAGCCTCGCATCCTGAAGAAGTGCGTCTACTGCAGCTTTCGTCCCCACACCACGCGAATCGGATAATTGCCGCCACGCTCCGACAGCTCAGTCTCCAAACGAGAAACCAAAGTGTCAAGCGCCTCTCTCGAGAAATGCAAAGGCATGGAAGGTGTTGCTACGCAATTAGCTTCGGCTCTTTGATATAGAGTGGTAGGCAACCATGGACTGACCCTTCGCGAAAGTAACCAACCCCGAAGCAGCACCGCTGACGCAATAAATCCCATTTCTTGCAAATTGCGGACTCGGATTCGATGCTCCATAATACACATCCACGACGCGCTCCTGGACATCGACGAAGCCGGCTTCCCGAAGCCAGGCATGTATCTCACGGGGATACTTGGAGCTTACTCCCATGAAGGCAAAGGTGCTCTTCAGCAAGGTCGCAAAATCGTGCATGGCAGGGCCATTGCCCTCTGCAGAAACGTTTTCTCCCTCAATCAGCTGAATCCATCCGCCCGGCTTGACTAGCTCCGCGAGACGAGTGACCGCAGTTTGCGCAACGGGTCCAGCATTAACGAGAGCTAAACGCTGGTGCACAACATCGAAGGTACCGTGCCAATCTTGTGGCCACGGTTCGTTGATGTTCTGGACCTGGTGGATTGTGCCTGGAGGTCGATGTTCTGGGAAGTAGTGTTGATTGATGTCCGTGCCGACAAGCGTGTGGGCTACAGGAGACCCGCTGGAGGACGCGAGGTCACGGAGCCAAGTCCCTTGGCACACAATCGTTAGTCTGCCGTGCCCAGGGGTACGAGACGACGACTTATGGAGTCCGTAGGTGCTCGTCTACCATCTGCTGTTGCGGAGTCCAAAACGCGCAATGGCGCAGCTGAGAGCTCCACCGGCACCAGCAACAAGCCACCCATCGCATCTTTTAGAATCTCATGCATCTTTGACAGCCGTTTCACCTCTTCCTGACTGTCAAGTATGTAGTGTGGGTTCTCCGATTTTTCCGTCATGGTTACATGTAGCTTCAATATGTGCAGGAGCGAGGGTACGTTCTCAAGTGCATGGAACTATGCACCGCTGGTGGAAACTGAATGTTATAAGCGCTGTAACCCAAGTAGTTGCTCGTGGTAAGGACAGCTCGGTCTGACGTGAGCTGAGCTGACCAATGCAGTCACGGATTCGTTCCTCTAGGATGTGCACGCCTAGGAAAGTAAAATCCCAAAAGGTTGGGGTCCCAGCCGCTTAGAGAAGACCGGCGGAGCAATCTCTGCAGTCTCTGGCCGTGCGGACGACATACCCAACTTCGTGATACCCAGAGAATAGACTAAATGTGGTTGTATACTGATCTATAATACTAAGCGCTAGACCTTAGCTTACCTAGAGGATTTTTAAAGGTGCTCTGATTTTTCCCATAGGTGAGCCGAGCTGACAGCCCGTGATGGGGATACGGCGCTTGCATAGGTACGCATAACGTAGACATCCGCCATCTCACGAAGGATCAGCTCCCCGTAAGGTATGGAGATGGTGTGAATGATGAGTTACTCGGCGATCCAAGTAATCTCATGGTCGTTATGGTCAGCCAGTTCCTTCCACAGCTCGCTTTCAGTAGTTACCAAAGATCGTTCGGACTGCCTCTGCATTTGGGGAAGTCAACCAGTGATCATCAATGACAGCCATAACCTCACCGTCTTTCCCCCAAGAAAATCTCAACCGCACATACACCTGAAGCATGCACTATCGATTATCTTCCACTGCTGTGCCTGCAGCTAATCTCTGTAGGGCAGAGCAAAACAGGGGCCAGGCCAAAAGACATGTGGCAGCCGCCGAATCAGCCGTTGCGTCAGCCGCGACAGGGTGGTCTTTCCTTGCTAAGTCGTCTCATCTCGCGCTGTGTGGAGAACGCATGCACGTCCACGAGCAAAGAGACGCAGATGCTGGGGATCCGTCACGTTTGTGCAGCCGCTGAGCTGTCTAGCTGCGTTGTAGGTCTTCGCGAGCTGACGGCACGTGAAGAGCGCGGAAGGTTTCTCAACGGACGCGCTGATATGTGGAAAGGGGATGGAGCGCTCTTGTGGCATATCTGCTTTTTCTTGAATAAGGAAGTGCGGATATTACATGAGGCTCTCGTACTCGATGAAATCGTCTCACAACAGCGGGGAAGAATACGCTAGACTGCAAATTCTCCGACAGCGGCAGACGTTGCACGTCACGACGAAGCTCGACTTGTCTGTCAAACCTCTCCTGGCTAAAGCCGTGGCTCGTCTGGTGGTTGATGTGACCGGCTGGCACTCGACTCATCCACGGCACTCGGGGTCCCGAAGTCGACGCTGGACTTGCCGTTTGTAAGAAGGGAATGTTTCAACAACTGCCGCCGACGACCAATTCATCATTGGCTGAAGCAAGCCGACATGTAGTTGGAATTTGCTCCTGCGACGAATCCAGGCACGGCCGGAACAGCATCCTGGAGAAACTAGGTTTACTTTCGGTTGTAAAATGTGCGGCCGCCTTCGCAAACCATTGTGTTGAAGTGATGTTGTATCAAGAACCACTTATATATCGAAATAACTCTGGAAATCTTACCGCAGTGAACTTGAAGGCTAACTCCCCGTTGGGAGATCTTTCGATATCAATGTTACTGGAACCTTACCAAGCAACGCTATGTACAAGTCCGGTTTGGATGAAGCTTATTGTAGCTTAAGATTGTCCTCGTTCAGCACTCCATACAGCTGCTCGATGTCTTGACCTACGGCCACAATGTCCTGTGCCAGCTGACCTGTGACTAACGCTATGAAGAACACAACTGTCAGCCACCCGCTACAAGACATCACTAATGGGAGTAGCAGAGGAACAGGCCGCTCACCGTAAGCATATAGAAGCTCGTAGTCCTCGTCTGTGGCATCTTCTCTGTTTGGCGCGTTCTTCCGGAAGTCGAAGACCTTGGCCAGAAGACGATCTCGAGTGTGCTCGATGTTTGGCAAAGCATCGTTCATTGGGTATTCCAGTTTCATGGAAGACGCCAAAACTTGGGACGGTTGGTCAGCTCGCTGCTCACAGAATTCTCTTGGGAGGCATGATGGAGAGAGAGATGAGAATGCATACCAGAGAAAAGATGGCTTATACGCCACGACAACTCCATGCGCTCATGTTTCGTGTACCTCAGAATCTCCGCCTCGGCCGGGCTTGCCTTCAGATCCTTCACAATGATCACGTTCATTGCATGGAACGCATCCAGCATCCTCCCCGTTGCCTCCAGAATCCTCTTCATGATTGCATCTGGAAACGGGCCCCTCAGCTCGAACTCATGCCTTGCACTCTGTCGCAGCGTCTCGAGATGTGTCAAGAAGCGCTGCAGCTCCAGCGACTCTCGGATATCCACATACGACATGCCTCCCCGGGCCTGACCCTGATCTTCAAGCAGCAGCGCGAGCGGATCTCGCTTCCAGATCAGACCCATACGAAGCCAGAGGACACAGATGCCATCCTTGAGTTTCCTGCGGGCACTGATGGGCCAAATGAGGCGTGTGACAATGAGGCCCCAAATGCAGCCCGTGAGGACGGCGACAACGCGGTGGAGTACGATCTCCCATATCTCAGGGCTGATGCCGCCCTCGTCCTCGTCATCTTCTTCGTCTTTGATGGAGAGGCTGTAGGCGTATAGGGCCGAGAGGTTATACGTTAACATAATATAGCGGCCCATCGGCCCCTTGCCTTTCCCGATGATGATGTAGAAGCAGCCGAGCGAGACGAGCCAGCCCAGGAAGGCGAGGATGTAGGGGTTCTCATCGGCAATGATCCAGGCGATGATTCCGAACACCGCGCCAATGCCAGTGCCAAGGAAGCGCTGGAAGCCGGTGGTGTTGGAGGCGCCGATCGTCATGGAGCAGACTAACATGTATGACAGAAGGCCCCACTCGCCGCGCCAGTGTGAGTAGAACGGCCGCGTGGACGGTATGAACGACCACATCGCATAGATGATGGCGCCGATGCCGACCTTGATGGCGTATTTGATGTCGTCGCGGCGAAAGAAGCGCAAGGCTCGCCAGATTCGGAAGGTGTACGACAAGTGCTGCTGTGGTTTTTCTGGGTCTATAGTGTTGAGTCCTCGCGGAGGAGATGGAATCTCTCGAGAGAGACCTTGTTCAATATTTTCGACAGCCGCTGGCATTTCTAGCTCCGATTAGTAACAGCAGTCCAGATGCTCCCAAAAGGCCGACATACCCTGGTCCGTAGAGTTCTTGGTCCTCGCTCTACGGTTCCACCAGAACAGGATCCAGTTCCATGTTCTGCGACGAGGTGAGCGCTCGAGTTCCTCCTTCAGCTCATCTACGATGTCAAGATACTCGATCATGTCTTCTGCGAAGTCCTGCAAAGAAGAACTAAAGTACCCACAACTAGCAGCCACCTCCTCATAGTCCGCTGCTACGTCAAGTGAACTGGGTTTATTGATAACCTTTGTCCTGTAAACCAAAGCCAGAGCTTCTCTTCGAGCTCGGCTAAACAGGTTGATAGCATCCTCCAGACTTTGGCGGAATTGACCACCAACCGTGATGGCGTACTGAGGGCCAGGTCCAAATGGAAGCTCCTCGAGCATTTGTTTGAGAGTGTAGGCCAAAGATTTCTGCGTCTGTCAGCGAGGTTCGGCGCAATTTTACGGAGAGAACAGACCATTGGAGGCCCCAGATGTGAAATGAAGGTTGAGAACATGTCCGCAGGCGACAGGACAGTAGCAATGCTACTTGCATCAGTTGACGAAGCTCTTTTTGGGGTCTGATCGCCTCCCGCATCACTCGATTCTTCAGGGGCTTCGTAGATGGCGGACAAGGAGTGAATTCTATCGCGGACACTACTAAAGTCGGGGAATTGCGGAGAATCGAGTCTGGGGAACGAACTTGCGAGACTGTTATTGCCAGGCCCATATGAGCTTCTGAGAAGTGTAAATTGCGTGGAAGCAGCGCTTCTCAAGCCACCAATGTTCTGTGCAAGTCTCTCCATGCATTTGACCAATCTTGCTTCGATCTCGTACTCTTTCTCTGTGCCCAGGAGATAGTGCTCGTTCTTAGCTTCCTTCAGGTCCTTAGTCAGTGAGGTGAAAGAACTCTTGTAGCGTGTAGAAGCCGCTACGAATGACGGATCGTTTAGCTCATCCTCGCCGGATAAGAAGCTGGTCGTAATCATGGACATCATATCGCTAAGCGAGTCCGTTGCCTTCCTAAGATCCTCTCGAAGCTCTTTTCTAGCGGAAACGGGCTTTATAGCCAGACTGACGGCAGCTGTTACGATTACACCCATGATTACCATTTTCAGCACCTGAAAGATCTTCTCGTAGGAGAAAGTACCGGCTTGGACTGAGCCTTCTTTCGTCAAGATAGTGATGATTGCAAGCGACGTCAGGGAGCATGCCTTCGTACATTAGCAGATGGCTACAGCGACCGTTCATCAGTGTCTTTCATACCACATTAACCAAAGGGTCACCTAATCTCTGCTTCAACCAACCCACAAAGCCAAGGCCGCCGCCGCAGAAGACGATTAGCACTACCACATGGCCCAACACAAGCAAGCCTTGATGGCCGAAGAAGCCAGATACTGCCATGCTTGTGAAAGATACAAAAGCGGCGTATGCGAACGCTACTAGCGCAAGGAGAGTCGCCTCTTGCATGCTCCCGGCTGAGCGTGCCGGGTGGAAGTAAACCGTAACGGTCGCGACCATATGCTTTCCATCATTCTTCCCGAGAAAGCGTGCAATGGGCACCACGAAGGTTGCCATGCTGCCGATCAGATATGCCAGAGAGCATTTCAGTATACTTTGGCCTGTCTTGGAGGTAGCGAAGCCATAGGCCTGCGAGACTGCCTTTTTGCTACGGCGCCATATGCTCTGAGTTGTCCCCGATGGCGGGATGGAGGACCTCCGTTGGCCTAGCAGCGGTGTCTGGTCGTCCCCATGCTCGTCTGGTGGTGGGCTTCGAAGCGTAATGGATCGTTTGACGCGCTCGCCGGTCTTTGGTAGGATCAAGGTCGCCTGCCGGAGCTACTCACGATCAGTATACGCGTTATAAAGGCTCGAATAGACTCGCAAAGCACGTACGCTGGGCCTCATGAACCGGCGTGCTGCTGGCCATTGCGGAGCATCAGCAGGGGACCCGTTAGCACTCATTCTGCTTCATTCACCGCCGCAAGCTTAGAGGCTAGCGGATTAAGCATCTCCGACTTTACGGATAGCCATATGAGGCTTTCCACCTGGAAGCTCCGTATATACAACAGCTCTATATTCCACTAGGTGCCCTCGGCGGAGGCATTCCGTCTGACATGCACGTGACCATGCAGGAACGGACCCTGCGGGGATCGCGCATCCATCGCGCCTCAGCCGCAGCTGCACATGTCAGAGGCCCTCACAAAGCCGGGAACCTCTATGAAGTTTACGATACAACCCTAAAACTACAAACCTCTACCCTACGAACAGAAACCTCTCAAAGCCAAAACCCAAGGTCACTTTTCTTAGTGACAGTAACACCCAAAACCCGTCGCTACCCTGCTGCCTGCACTCGAGCATACGTCTCCCGTCTCCAGCCTCAGTCTATACAGAGCCGGTGCATTCGGGCAAGAACTCGACTACCTTCACTCCGAGCAGTATACAAGTAGCAGTGATGTTCAACCGAAATAATCTTCCCTCGATGCCAAATCCTTTCGGCGGGCGCTCAGACGGATCTCCCAGACCACCTGCGCGAGACGGCTACGCAAGGCCTGGCCAGCAAGACACAAGAATGGGTGGCGGATATCCAGAGCCTCCAGCATACCGCGATAGTCCTCCGAGGATGCCAGCGCAACCGCAATATCCTTCTGGTGGAGACGGGAGGAGTCTCCAACTGAGACCTGTAAGGTCGCCAGGCGGGAACCAGTTCGCCATGGCCAACTGGGCGGCAGTCTCCCCTCAGAACTTTCGACCATCTCGAGACGGCTCAGACATCTACGTCATGATCAACAACAACTTTGTGCTTACTGCACGACCCCATGATGGCTGCCCTCAGGGTGAGATAGGCCTTACAGACGCGCAGCGCACGTGGATAGGCGTTACCATCGGCCCGCAAGAGATAGTACAGGTGCAGCCGTATGACCCCTTCAGGGCTGGCGAACAGACACTCGGGAGCATAGATGCGGAGGTTGGGTTTGCTACGAACAAAAAGACTACCGATGTACCGTACGACCAGGATGAACTGGCTAAACAATTTACTAGGGTTGGTCCCTATCTTCATATTCTCGCTGCTCTGGCTAATACCGGTTCTTGCAGAATTTTGAGAATCAGGTCCTAGCTCCGGGGCAGGTGCTTCTTATGGATTTCAAAAACGTCCCACTCCGTTGCACAATCAGAACTATCAAGAGAGTAGACCTGTCTATGGAGAAGGCCGAAGCCTCCTCAGCGCCGACTACATCAGATCCACGGGCACGTGGTATACTGATCCCCCAAACTACCGTGGATTGGTTCAAAGACAATAGGACAGATATCAAGCTGAAAGCATCGAACAGAAGGCCAGCCGCAAACTCAATCATTCAGCCAGACTTCAAGTTTCAAGACATGGGCATCGGTGGCCTGGACAATGAGTTCAGTGCAATCTTCCGGAGAGCATTTGCATCACGCATATTTCCGCCGGGGCTTGTGGACAAGCTTGGCATTCAACACGTGCGAGGCATCCTGCTATACGGGCCGCCGGGAACGGGCAAGACGCTTATTGCCCGGCAGATTGGCAAGATGCTTAATGCAAGGGAGCCGAAGATCATCAATGGTCCTGAGGTCTTGAACAAGTACGTTGGTCAATCAGAAGAGAACGTTAGGAAGCTCTTTGCCGATGCGGAAAAAGAGTACAAGGAGAAAGGTGACGAAAGTGGGCTTCACATCATCATTTTCGACGAACTGGATGCCGTGTGCAAGCAGAGAGGATCCGGCGCCGGCGGCGGGACTGGAGTCGGTGACAGTGTCGTCAACCAGCTTCTATCCAAGCTGGACGGTGTGGATCAGCTCAACAATATCTTGTTGATAGGAATGACGAACCGTATGGACATGATAGATGAAGCCCTGTTGCGACCGGGACGATTAGAAGTCAAAGTAGAAATCTCTCTGCCGGACGAGCACGGACGACAGCAGATTCTGAGTATTCACACCAACAAGATGAGAACCAGCGGCGTCATGGACCGAGATGTGGATTTGGCGGAGCTCGCGCGTCTCACAAAGAACTTTTCCGGTGCAGAGATTAGCGGGTTGGTGAAAGCGGCGTCTTCCTTTGCCTTCAGTCGCCATGTTAAAGTGGGGACGATGGCTGGCATAAAAGATGATGTGGAGAACCTCAAGGTGAATCGCCAGGACTTCTTCAACGCTGTAAGTATCTGTCTTAGTGAATGTTCCTGGTGTAAACTAACATTGCTGCAGTTGGACGAGGTCAAGCCGCTCTTCGGTGTCGCAGAAGAGGAACTATCGTCACGCATACGGGGAGGTATCATCCATTACTCACCCCTTATCGACAACATCTTGGCCGAAGGGCGCCTCTGCGTGACGAAGATCAAGCAGCCTGTCTCCGAAAACTCGAATCCTCTACACTCGGCAATCCTCTTTGGTCCTCGCGGGAGCGGGAAAACAGCCTTGGCTGCGAAGATAGCGATTGATTCAGAGTTCCCCTTCGTGAAGCTTCTCACGGCTGAGGACATGGTCGGCTTCGCTGATATGCAGAAGGTTGCCCACATTGATAAGACCTTCCGGTACGGCCATTGACTTGTGCGCATATATCCTTGTGTTGCTGACCTTTTATCAGAGATGCCTACAAGAGTCCCCTGAGTATCGTCGTCATAGACAGCATCGAGCTGATAGTGGACTGGAATCCTATCGGTCCCCGTTTCTCGAACCCAGTGCTTGCGGCTCTGAAAGTTCTCATACACAAGCAGCCGCCAAAGGTATTTCCGGCTCGTCTTCTACGTTTGTATGTACACGTACTTACTCAACTTCCTAGAATCGCCGACTCCTTATTCTCGCCACTACAAGCAAACGAACAGAGCTCCAGCAGCTCGACATCTTCGAGGATTTCGATGATGAGATTGCGGTTCCCAATGTCAATACTCAGCAAGAGCTCGCGCACGTCCTGCAGGCATCTGGGGCTTTCTCGGAGCAAGATCAACAGCGAACCATGTATGAGATAGCAAGATACATGGAAGATAACCGCAGGACCGATGTAGGAGTCGGCATTAAGAAAGTCCTGGACTCTATAGAGATTGCGCGGAAAGACCCGGACGTTGCTGGCAGATTCGCTCAGCGAATTATCCAAGCGATGATAGCCAGCGGACTGGCTTGAGGAAGCCATGCTACAAGGCTTACAGGTGAGTACCTCTGCGGTTCACCAAGGTTGGGGAGGTCGAGAAAGTCACGAAGGCGAGAGTGGAGACTGTTGAGCCACGAGGTACGCCGCAAGGTGTGTCACATCAAGTGCGGTTGGATGTCTGTACTTGAGAAGCCCGCGCTTCACCCGAACAGCCTGCGAGGCCTGAGCTCCAGATGGCATCAGCTCACGTTATGTCCCTTGATCCGAGCACGGCTGCACGCTCATGCGTCCTTTATGTGCCTAGGGAAGAAATGGCTACACAAGCAGCCAATGAGCACACTTTTGTGCAACGAGTCAGTCTCAGGTCTTCACGCGAGGTTCGCATGGTACTTGACAGTTTACCGGGCGGTCCCGCGTATGCGCGGATCGGGCCCTAATGCAGGCTCAGCGTTCTTGCACGCAATCCGCCCTTGCTTCGATGAGGTTGATGTGACCCTTTCTGTCGCTACTGGATACAATACCCCTTGATCGATTAAATCCCCAGCAACGATCCGCCACAGTTGGTGCGAGGTCTCGAAGCTATGCCTATAAGCTCCGTTAGATCGTCGATCGCCATCAGGGAATTGCTGCTGTCTGACGGGACTACGGGTAGCTACAGCACCGTTGATGTGATGCAAGGACGTTGACTCCAGCAGACAGGGTCAGGAAGCACTACACTGGACGACAGACGAGCGGGTCCTCGTACTGCGAGGTCCGAGGACCTCACCGCCACCGTCGTCACGCGAAAATGAGCATATAGACGAGCCTTTTGCAGAGAAGTACCGGTATTGTTCACGCGGTGGTGAAATGTTGCGCCAGCGAAGAAGTATGTAAGGCATCAATAGGCATAAACAGAGCATCAAACTCATCCAATCAATCCCTTAAGCCCTGATTTTCGCTTAGTCGGCCACTCACGACTCGCCATGAACCAGGCATGACGCATCTAGAAACGTCGGCAGCAGCGACGGTTTTCGTGCAAACCACGCCTCACTCTCACCGTTGATAAATTACCCCCCTAAACCCCTACCCTAATCGACTGATTACTAGCTATTACACTCATCCTGAGTGGCTGACAGCCAACAGTGCACAGCATGTGCTTCTCTAACGAGTAGACAGCGCCACATCTGCGAACTACGTTGTTGACAGCTCCACCATTCTTTTCCAGCAGCTCCGGAGCGGTTCGCGGAGCGAGCATGAATTGCCAACACATCAGCTTGACAACAAAGTTTCCCTAGCTCGTACGCCGTACATGCAGCCCCATGCGACTTACAGCGCCGGACCTTGCTGCTTTTGCTGAGAGCTCGCGTCTGGCGCTTGCTGTCTTGCGCTTCTCTCGTGCTCGGCATGGCCGCTGCTGACCCTTCTGATTCCCCCCTTCCTCCATCCCGCCAACCCAGCTCTGTCGAGCCTTCCTGTTGGCCTGTTGGCGTGCCGGAATGCATACCTTTCTTGCCACTGGCCATTGTCCCGCTTCCGTAGAGCCAGATCCTACTCGCGGCTTCTGATCGGCCGCCCCCTAGCGGTCTTGGGAGAAGCGTCAAGGCTCCAGAACCAGGGAAGGAGGGTCCGGATGAGACGGTAATGCCTTCCATAGGGCCTTCGGTCATGCACCTTTATCAATCATGAGCGGGGTCGGATGGGATGAGCATGTTGAAGGGGTCAAAGCTAGGCCCCTCTGCTCAGCACGAGCTTGTCAGGGTAGGTTGATATTGAGTATAAAAGGGCGACTGAAGTAGGACCCGACGGAAAACTTCCTGAATTCTTTCTCCCCACTCCTCAGAGTATACTTATTCAAACATCCCTACCCACAAGCGTACCGCAGGTTATATCCCTTTCTTACTCTGAAGCTTTCACCCTTGTCACCATTCTACCATACATACTTCACATCAACGAGACCGCTTTTATTCTACTCGCTCTCATCATCTCATCATCATGGCTCCCACTCAAGCCTACTCGTACTACCCATCCTATCCCTCTTATCCCTCTTATCCCTCATACCCATCCGCCTCTGTCCCGATTGGTATGCCCACAAAGCCGGGCCACTATCAGCCAAATCCTCATCACGGTGCCTATGGCCGAGTGTCCGCTTCACCGCCCGAAGCTCCTGCGAGCGTCACGACATCCGGGGTTGCTTCTTATGAGCCGTCCGCAACGTCTAGCAACTATGCAGGCAGCGCAAGCGACTATGAGACGTCGTCGAATGGCTCCAGCGTCGATCTGCTCGACTACATGAGCGACCGGCTCCATGGCTCTTTGGATCCGACGCCGCTTGACCGCGGCCTCGCTCGCCAGGCGCAGACGTAAGTAACACATCTTGTTCGTAGACACTCTGAAAACAACTGATTCACCCCCATACTCGGAGCGGCGCTACACAAGATGTCCACCCACGCTAACACGCGAACAGTTCCGGCGAGCTCAACGCCAAAACGCGCGAACTCCTCGAACTGCAAGCGCTCGCCCAGCGCCGCCTCGCCGCCACACGAGCGAACTTCGCCGGCGGTATCAAAGCCGCAAAGGAGGTTCAGCGAGACCTCGAGTGGACCCAAAAGCGCGTGACGTGAGCATCCTTTCCTACAGGCTAGATTTCTTACTGTTCGCCACTGACAGCTTATTACAGAGCGATCAACCAGCGAGCCGCCCGCAAATATCCTGAACAATACAAGATCGCTTCGCAGCGGTATCCTGCGCCGGTTGACTACTGAATGGTGTCGCAAAGGCAGTGAGCCGCTTATGTCGTCAGCCTAGAACGACTCTGGCCGCTCTTCCTTCTTTGTTCTTTCTTGTATATCGTTCTGTGTCTAGCTTCCCTTTAAAGCGAGGAGATGTCGTTGATTTTAGCTTTCCCCTTCCGTCTGCTGCTCGCTTGTATCCGCTCCGCCCGGCGCTGCCGCTTTAGCAGGGCACACGTGGCATAGCGCGTCGTTGCGCGCGGTTAACCGCGTTATTGGGCTCATGATTAACGGCCTTGTGATTCCTGGGTTCGGCCTTACCTTATGATTGGGCAGGCGAGGGCGCGTGCAGCCCGGTGTTTGTGAGTGGTCAGTTTGGTCGAATGAGGCTGGGAAGAACCCGGAGCCGGGGTGCCTGAGTGTCTTGTGTTAGGGAGGTTTCTTGTGGGGATTTCTTGGTGTGGTGTACATAACGGGACTCTGAATATTTTACTCGGCTGAATGGTTGGCACGTTGAAGAGATCATGGCGCTGCTATTGTACAAATGTGTCCTAACGTTGCATCAAAAACGACACAGCCTTGTTCCAGATGGTGTCTGTCGGACACGAACAATCAATCCACAGTACTCTGACTTCCTGCTCGAACGAGATGGTTCTTACGCATAATGAGCGGTTTGTTGTGTACTTAGGAAAACGGCCCTTACGGCGACGGCAGATATTCCACGTGATGTAGAGTTAGAATTTGAGTAACGATTGATCTCGTAACGGTTTCTTGGCGCATAGATACCAAGTTGAGGCAACCACGCACCAACATACGGCGAAGCCGAATCCGTGGCCATGGAAGGAGAAAAAAAGACTTAGGCGAACTGGCAAGGAACGTGAACGGAGATAGCCGTGGAAGGACAGAAGATGGTGAAGCAGTGATTCCGCAGAATTTAACCCGCTCGCCGGAGAAGATAGTCATTTAATTTCAGACTAGACATGAGGACAACATCATCCTGTCACACTACCACCGGGCCCCTCGCCCTTCCATCCCTTCGCAAGAGTCCTCCAATAACAGCGTCAGTCCCGGTCAGCCCAAAACCCTTACGGACTTAGCTCCTCTCCCTTCTCTGAACTCGTCAGCGAGCACGGCCAAGAGCCGAGACGACACTTACTTCTGTCCGACCTCCGCTCGGTGCGCACAACCGACTCTTTGCTGATGCCTCCGTCGAAAGCGTCGAAAGTCGGTAGCAAGAAACGAGGACATTGCGCCGAGACATTTCCATCTTCGTAGCCGAAATCTAATGTTCTTCGACGTATATAACGTGATTCCCAACACTTAGCTACCGGAACGCAGGATCTGGTCTGGTCGAAGCAGATCTCATGTCCTCCCCCATGGATCTTCGACGAAGCTCGGGAGAAAGTAGGCCAGATCTCCCTGAGCATTCCTCACGCCTCGCCGCAGCGCCGCCAGTTCCTCACGAGAAAGCGTCCTGGGTCCAAACGCTGAATCCGAGCCCGTAGAGTTAGCAGATGGAGCCGAGGGGTCTGCTAAGGAGGTGTTTGCCGGCATCTCAGCATTAGCGTCGGGGGCGATGTCCTTCATGGCTTGGCCACGTGATAGGTATTGTGCAAGTCCAGGAGGAGGCGCAGCCACTCTCTGTTGCTGACCGAGCTTCTTGCCACTCGTGTCTTGTTTGGACTGCTCTTGCTCACTTCCGGGCCCGGCGAGGTTCTTCTGCGATTCATCTGACCCAGCATACCTACTGCTCTCCAGGTCGTTGTTCACACTGCTCCCCACGCCCGCCCGATCCTCCAGATGCTCCGCAGACGCTCCAGCAGGACCGCTTGGTCGGGCTCTTCTGATGCCCAGCTGGACGGTGTTCGAGCCGGAGCTGCTGACTGTTGGCGACGCTGCGCGAGCAACTATGGCCTGATCATGCTTGAATTTGCGTTTCTTATTGCTTGGCTGGCTACCAAAGGCTCCGAAGCCCATGACAGCTGCCATCTCTGGGTCAATATCGGCCGGGTCTAAGTCCTCCATCTTACTGTGGTGGTGGAAGGGGGTTTAAGGGTGCTGTGCTCAGATCGAGATATCTCTTGGTAATGCACGTCCATGGCTTGGCGTCACGTGCTATCGTTGGATGTGCGGGCGCTGGCATGGGTATTGCTAACTTAAGTGGTGCAGATGTACGGCGAAAGCTAATTTCAGTTGCTCTATCTGAATTTGAGAGTTCGATTTCGCTTTTGTAACACGTATTCAATCCAGAAGTGCCACGCCGTTCACTAAAACCACACTCCCAGAAAACGTATACTACACTGGAGAAAGTACGCCAACAAGAGAGTAATGGAGAAACCGTGTGTGCAAGATCAATTTTGGACCGGCGAGTGGGGGCTTGCGGACTACACGCTGGTACCAGATTGCTGCGACATAGCACTTTCTCGACGTTAGCGGATTGTGCCGGCTCGCCGCCAATATCAGTTGCTCGTCATTTACTCAGCAGTGTCCAACTCATCGTGCGCGGGAGGCGGGGAATCAACTGCCAACTATGTCAGTAAATACGGTGGCATCACGATTGGAATCAAGACATACGCTTCCTCTCATCTCCATTGGTGCCGTTTTCGCGATCATCTTCCCGGTCTCGGACATCCTTCATGTCCCTATCACGGTCATCGGGGCTTCGCGAGCGGTCTCGGTCGCGTCTATCATAGTCGCGCTCACGGCGGTCGTCCTTGCGCGGGGAGTAGTCACCACGGCCACGGCGAGGCGGCGAGGCGCTACGGCCACCGCGGCGCGGAGAGCGGTCCCGCCTTGGTGCGCGTCGGTCAGAGCCGGGTCGGTCAGAGCCGGGTCGGTCAGAGCCAGAGTCAAAGCGCCAGGAGGCAGAAGGTGGCGTCCGAGCCCACTGATCAGAGGGTCAGCAACTATTCCTGGTGTGGACGGAGCTCCCCTTTGTACCTCAATCTTCAGCAGGTCATCGCGCCCAATCCGCTTGTTGTGCATCTCGTGGTACGCATCATCAGCGTCACGACGGCTTTCGTACTCTACAAATGCGAACCTGCAAAGGGTGTGAGCTGTCGTCTAATGCACGGAGAAGCCGAGGAAGCCACTTACAGGCGACTAGACGCGGAGCGCGGCGCTGGGATATCACAGCGAACAAGACGCCCATACCTTGAACATACTGTTAGACTGGGGATCGATGGCGGTACGACGACGGTGCGAAGGAAATGCTGAGGCTATATATCGGGTTTCGAAATCGCTCGATGCGCGTTCGAGCTGGATACAGGGACAGGAGGACGAGGAAATCTCGAGCGACGGTTCGATCGAAGCGGAAGGGGAACGGGAGGGGTGCTTCTCAAGCGTTCGATCGTAGGCGGGGCTCGACGAACGAGGACGACGAGGACGACGACGATCGATTCGAGTAGAGGACATACCGTTCGAATTCGTAGGCAAGGTCGCGCGCGCGGGTGCCGTGGCCGAAGCCGGTGACGTAGAGGGTGGTGCCGCCGCCACGAGACATATCTGCTGTGATCAAGCTGTGAGTTTCTGCTAATGCTGAAGAATATAGCGTTGCTGTTGGTGTTGTTGGTGTTGTTGATGATGGAGGAGAGGATGTGTATGCGTGAAGAAGTCGCTCGCTGGTTGCGGCGAGACGTGCTTCTGGAAGAACGGCGGACTGACTAAGCGGCGCCAAGAGCGTTTCTTTTCGGCGTATTGTTACGACTGTCACGACTGTCACGACTGTCACGATTGTCTAGGACGCTACAACCGCAAGCACGACTCTCCTCTTTATCCGCCGTTCAACACCCTCTTCCCACCCATACACCTCGACTCGCCCGCCGACACGCTTGCACGACTCTCAAAATAGCCGCCCTCTCAGAGCTCGTCGCCTCCTCTGAAAAGAGCTGCAGCGCGCCACCTCAACCGACGCTCTTCTCAGCACCCCATCACAGCCGACCTTCAAACATCTCTTTGCCTGAAAGATGGCGGTAGAGGTGGCAGTCGGCACGCCGCTTGCCGAGGCGCTCCAGGAGCTTGTTCAACCGAAGTTGGTGGAGGTGGGATGGAGTACTGGCGGCGACGACTCCGCGCTGTCGGAATACATCATTCTCATGCTGGTGAACGGGAAGACGCAGGAACAGATCGCCTCAGAGCTGTCAAATGACCTGCTTGGCCTCGGACCAGAGGATTCAGGCGCCACAGACTTTTCGCGCTGGTTGTTCAACCAGGTTGTGATTCTGGACAGGCAGCTCAGTGGTGCGCAAGAAGCGACTTCAATAGCGCCTGCCGCTGCAGAAGCGTCGCAGATAGAACAGGCGCGAGATAGCGAGATGGGAGGCCAGATGGCACCCTCTGAGCAGCAAGACGCCGATATGGACGAGGCAGCAGATGGACCGGCTGGCGCAATGTACGTACCGACGCCTCAGCATGTGACTGCAGTTGCTGGATCTTGGAATGAAAAGACTAACAGCTTGTGCAGACCAACCGGGCCAAAAGCAATGCGAAATGGTGCGTCAAAGACTCGAGACAAGCGGATACTGGGCCAGGTCAACAAAGCAATGGACCGGACAGGCGATGCAGCCTTACACCGCGTCAAGGGAGCAGCAGGTGTAGGGCGAGTAACTACACATGCTAGAGAGCCACCGAAGGGTCCACGAAGCAGTCTAGCGCGCAACATCAATCACCACATGGGGAACGGCAGGCCCATGCCGCCCATGGGTCCCATGGGTCAGCCTACGCAGTCGCCGGTAATGCCTATGATGCCTATGATGCCTGGCATGCCCGGTATGCCGGGCATGCCAATGGGTCCTTCGAATCCTCTCATGAATTTGACTCCGGACCAGCAGGTGCAGCTGTTCAAGATGTACGAGCAGCAAGCGGCATACGTGGCACAGAAATTGCTGGAGGGCCAGGGTGTGTTGAACCCAGCGTTCCAGCAGAACGGGAACGGGCCACAATCCGGCAAGTCGCTCTTTGACCGCGTTGATGGGCGGAGACAGCGACAGAACCTTCGGAGACCTCCGCCTGGGGAGGACAAGAAAGAAACTCCCCAACCCGCCAACAACACCGGGTCCACATCGTCCATGGACGTCGAACCGTCCACTCAACCTGCATCCAAAGACCCCTTCGACATACTTTGCCGCTTCAACCTCCAATGCACGAAGGCCGACTGCCCCTTCGCACATCAGTCGCCAGCAGCCCCTCCTGGCATAACGGTAGACATGTCGGACACCTGCAGCTACGGTGCTGCCTGCAAGAACCACAAATGCGCCGGCAAGCACCCATCACCCGCGAAGAAGAGTGCTTTCAAAGCCGAGGCAGAGTGCAAGTACTGGCCGTACTGCTCGAACCCGGCCTGCCCGTTCAAGCACCCGGACATGCCTCCGTGCAGGAATGGCGCAGACTGCCCCATGCGGCCGAACTGCAAGTTCGCGCATACGAACGTCGAGTGCATACACAACCCGTGCACGAGGCTAAACTGCTTGTACAAGCACAAGGAGGGCCAGAAGAAGGGGAAGTTTGAGGACAAGGTCTGGAAGGCGGATGGTGAAAAGGGGCACGTCAGCGAAAGGAAGTTTGTGGATGACGACGGGGAGGAGGAACTCATTATCCCAGGAAGCGGGGGCAGCCAGCCAGAGGGGGAGGAGACGCATGAGATGGAGACGCAGATCTTCACAGGGGATACGCAAATTGCTACGTGAACGGAAGCGTAGGGCAGCGCATTCGCTGGGCATCTACTGAGCGGGGGTGCTGCGGTCGACTGGATGGGTATGGGTGGAGGGGCTGGGGAATATCATGGGTTGAAGATACCATTCCGTGTAGGCCATGGGGGTCACTGTACGACTAAGTTTTGGGACGGATGCTGGCGTTGAGGGCGAGCTCAATGGCTCATATACTGTTATTGTAGAGATTACCAAGCTTGGAAGGCTTGAGTTGTAGCTCTATGCCATACCATTTCTTCAGGAATACTCTCCATTTTGGTTTTGGAGCATGTGCTTGGATCAAGTTGAACCCGGAGTTTGTGAGAGCCAAAGTCCGACGTGAACGTCATTACGATTTCCGCAACCGCATCTTCCCAAATTGATGGAAGGCATTCCCACCTGCAACGACGGCTTGTTACGGTGCAATGCTGTTACGGAGACATGTTAGTCTCCTAAGATCAGCTGTGCAACATGCGCACCTTACGCCAGCCCTGACTCCACGATCCAATCTTCGACAGTACGCGACTTCATCATCTACCGATGAAAAAGACATAGCCGTCGTGGGCGGCGGCATCACCGGCCTGGCGAGCGCATACTACCTGGCCAAAGAGCTTCCAAGAGCTAAGATTACTATATACGAAGCCAGCGAACGCGTGGGAGGATGGCTACACTCGAAGCATGTAGAAGTGCCGAACGGCAGGATACTGTTCGAGGGAGGACCACGGACGCTGCGCATGTCTCCTCTGGCGCCGGCCGGCATGGTTACGGCGCGTCTGGTATGCTATCCTATCCTAACTAGAAGTAGTACCTTCTGACACTGGCCGTAGATTCAAGAGCTCGGCCTCATTGACGACGTGTTATACACCTTTAAAGACTCACCCGCCGCCCGAAACCGCTATGTCTACTACCCGGATCACCTCGTCAAGATGCCACACCCCAGTGCCGGGCTCTTCAATACCGTCAAAACCATATTGAGCGAACCGGTTTTTCGGGGCCTACCCTCGGGCATGCTCAAGGAGCCGTTTCAGGACGAGCGAGATTCACGCATCACCGACGAGTCTGTTGGCTCGTTTCTAGCGCGACGAGTAGGGAAAGTCTTTCCGGACAAGCTCGTGTCGGCGGTGCTACATGGTATTTACGCCGGCGATGTGTACCAGCTCAGCGCAAGGAGCCTTTTCCCATTACAATGGCACCTAGAGGGAAAGCATGGGAGCATCATCAAGGGTCTCTTTGCAGCTCCTGGGCCAGTACCGATGTTGAAACGGGATGTGGATCTGATCAGGGAGCAAAACCCGCGAGACCTGGATCCTAAGTTCAGGAAGAACCTCCTGCGGTGTAGCGTCTACAGCTTCAAGAACGGCATCCAGCAGCTCGTCGACCGCCTAACGGAACGGCTGAGACAAAACAAGAACATCACCTTCGCGCCATCGACGGCTATAAAAACGATCGAGAAAGATAGCTCCACCGGCGGCATCAAAGTCGGTGCTCTCCTTCTCAACCCACATCCTCGCCGCTAACAGCCCCCCACACAGCTCACCACCACCGCGCCCTCCACAGACCCAAAACCCCACACCCACGCCATCTCCACGCTCTTCTCGCGCACCCTCTCCACCCTCTGCCCCTCCCCCAGCAACGCCCCCACCCTCCTCCCCACCCTTGCCAAGACTCACGCCGTAACCGTCATGGTGGTAAACCTCTACTTCAGCCGGGCCTCCGTGCTCCCCGTCTCGGGCTTCGGCTACCTCCTCCCACGCGCGCTCCCCTTCGCCCAGAACCCCGAATTCGCACTCGGCTGCGTCTTCGACTCCGACGCCATCGCCGGCCAGGACTCGCTCTCCTCCCCCGGCGCAAAAGTAACAGTCATGCTGGGGGGCCACTGGTGGGACGGCTGGACGGCGTTCCCGTCCGCGGAGGAGGGCGTGGCGATGGCGCGGACGGTGCTGGCGCGGCATTTGGGGGTTGTGGAGGAGCCCGCGGCGAGCAATGTGTCGGTGCAGAAGGAATGCATTCCGCAGTATACGGTCGGGCATTATGAGAGGATGGGGAAGGCGCATGGGGAGCTGAAGGAGGCGTTTGAGGGGCGGTTGAGGGTTGTGGGGAACAGTTATACGGGCGTGGGAGTTAATGATTGTGTTAGGGCGGCGAGGGATCTGGCAAAGGGGTTTGCGGATGAGAGGAGTTGGGACGTCAGGACGGGGTTGGAGGCGTTTAAGGAGGAGGAGAAGTGGGTTAGGGGACCGGTTGTTAGGAGACGGAAGCCGGGTGAGGAGGAGGAGGAGGAAGAGAAGTAGGGTGAGCGGTGGTGTATACCAATAGATCAAAACGTTGCAATCTAAGCACATGTGAAAGTCGTTGCGGCTGGTGGTCGCTAGACTTCCCAACGCGTGAAGCCTTATACGATTCTGTTCTACTATACGGTCACACGTAATGAGGATCGCAAACTTGCAGACTAGTAGTACTAGCTGCGGACGAGTGATGGTCGGAGATGAGTGATAGCGCGGTCTGCTTCTAACACAGCTTTCGCAGGTAAAGAGTATTCGAAGTGTGATAGAACACAGTACAGAGAGTACGTTCGGGCGGACAATGCTCTCTTTGCAATCGAGATACTTTGAGCAGGGCAGCGTTGCAATACAACGCCATAAGGCTCCTCACTCTTGCAGAGCGCCCGTCACGTGCCTACCTTGGAGTGGTTGTCGATAAGGATTCTGCATTCTGCCCCTCGGCCAAGCCGTCCCCACATCCAAACTTGTCCCTCCGGAAGTAAACATGTAGCTCCTTCAAAATCATCATTTTCTCTCCGTCGACCGCAGAGTCTCAAGATTGACGTACAGTTTCTCCTCCGCCTCCGGGAACGACTCAAGTCTTCTGACCTTTTACAGCATGCCTCCACACCTATACCTCACCGCAGAGACGGAGGACTTCGACGCAGTGATCATGCAGCACTGGCGGGAGGAGGGTAAGGTGACACTACCAGCCCACCACCACGCGACTGCTTCGAACCGTGCCCAATTAACCCTCTCAAAGGCTTCGACGTCGCATACCTCCCCTTCAACGGCGGCGGCCACGCCTACACAGCCGCACTCCAAAACCTCGCCGACGTACACCCCCCTCCCTCTCTTCTCAATCCTTCAGCGCGCACCGAGACGCTCACGCGCCACCACAGGACCTCGAAGCCGGTGAATCCTACGGCCTGATCGCCTACGGCGCCCCCGCCTCCACCTGCCTCTCCATCCACACAGAACCCCAGCCGCACCTCGCAGTGCTGGTGTGCTACTACCCGCCCTCGATCGCGGATCCACGGGCCCGGTACCCGGCGCACCTGCAGCTGGTGTTGCACCTCGCCGGGTCGCAGGGCTTCAACCCGGCCTTCGCGAGCTATACGTATCCCGGGACGGAGCCTGGGTTCGCGGAGCATGACTTGGGAAGCTTTGATAAGGTCGCGGCGGGGCTGGCGTGGTCGAGGAGCTTGGGGGCCGTGAGGAGGGGGTTTGGGGTTGATGTTGATTTGGAGGGGATTTGGGAGGGGCATGTGCAGGGCATGTTTTTCGTCCTTGCGCCGCCAACCGCCCGGTGCGGTCTGGTAAAGAGAGAGAGCCACTGCTGACGGAGCGCCCTTGGCGTACAGAAGAATTCACGAACCGCGACGCAGCAGCGACAATGGCGACGATGGTAGCCGAGCCGTACGTGAACCACATACCGACGCTCACGGGCGGCATCGGCAAGCAAGAACTCTACCGCTTCTATCGCGACTTCTTCATCCCGTCGAACCCGCCCACGCTCAACATCCGCCTCGTCTCGCGGACCATAGGCGTGGATCGCGTGGTGGACGAGATGCTGATCTCGTTCAGGCATACCCAGGAGATCCCGTGGATGTTGCCGGGTGTGCCGCCGACGGATAGGCAGGTGCAGGTTGCGTTGGTGAGCGTGGTGTGTATTCGCGGCGGCAAGCTCTATCATGAGCATATTTACTGGGATCAGGCGTCTGTGCTTGTGCAGATAGGTGCGCTTGATCCCAAGCTGGTTCCCGATGGTTTAAAGAAGAGAGGCATGGAGCGGTTGCCTGTTGTAGGAGAGGAGTCGGCGATGAAGATGATTGACGAGAGTAGTGTGCCGAGCAACGAGCTGATACCCGACTGGTAACCGAGGGCCGTCCAGTACCTTATGAAAGCGGCTGCGTCGCCGTAATGAGGACACGGAGAACTGGTTTCGATACCGGATTCCATCTATGAGATTTGCTCGTGATCGGCAGGGATTGAATGGCTGACTTCAGTGCTCCGCTATCTTCATCCGATGAACTTGCAGGTGGGGAGCCTGTAGTTTTCGAGGGCCCAATAGCGCCTCCTGACGCCAGCCCATTCTCCAGTTTCGTCCAGGTCGGGTACTTTGACATCTTCCCATTCGGTCTCCAAGCCGGCTTCCATCAAGTCGATCTCCACGACCTGCTAAGAGTCAGCATATCGTGTCGTGATCCTCCACAATTGGGCGACCAACCTCGGAGTAAACATCATAGCAAACCTGCCGATCAGCACCCAACCCATTGAAGAACCCAAATCTCCCACCCTCTCCCTCGTTGCCACCAGACGGATCGAGCAGCCCAATGACGTACTCGCTGAAGAACTCCTTCAGCGCTTTGTAGTCTTCAGCAAACGTATCAAAGTAAATAGCGTCAAACATCGTGTCTTCTTGTACAAGCGTCGGCACAACATCCTGCCACTTCCCCTCATGCACAACAACGCCCGGCTTGTCGTACCAGCCCTCCTTGCGCATGCGCTCGAGCACCGCAGGATGCGCCTCGACGATGTGGTGTGCGCTTGGCGACTTAGACTGGAAGATGCCGTCGATGATGCCCATGCCGTGGCCGATGTTCAGGATGCGCAGGCCGGGGGCCGGGAGGAGGCGGTCGGCGGTGCGGCGCATGATGTCGGTCTCCCAGGCCATCATGACGCCGTTCTTGTCGGCGTCGAGCAGGCGGTCGGCGGTGAAGGTTAGGTCGGAGGCGAGGTAGCCTGCGCTGTTGACGTCTGGGTTTGTCGGGATGTGTGCGGTTGTTGGGGCGTCTTCGGATGGTGGTTCGACGATGATGCCCGAGGCTTCGATGTCTATGGTCGAGGCGTCTTGGGGGTCGTCTAGGATCTCGAAGTCGTCTTCATCTTCGGCCTCGTCGTCGTCGTCGCCGAGCATCTGGTATTCGTCCAGCCGGTTGAGCAGTAGTTCCGCCCGCACGCCCGCCTTTACCACCATGTCGTATATTTCCTTCAGGCCCAGTCGGTGCGCTGTGCAGCCCGGCGTCTCGTTGTTCTTGTCCAGATCATTCCAGATGGCGCCGTTCTGGAGCAGAAGCTCCACGGTCCGGGCAGCTGCCTCCAGCTCCTTCTTTCTCCCATCACTGGCTTCCGCACGCTCTCCACTCGTATGGCCATTCTCGAGACCGTCAATCTGCCCATCGCTCATAACGATAGCTGGGTCCTCTTTCTCCTGCTCACAAGCCGCAATTGCGGCGTGCAGTGGGGTAAACCCCGTGTCCGGGTCCTGCACATTTACGGAGGTGGTGCGGAGGAGGTTGCGGAGGGCTTCTAAGTCGTGGTTTGCGGCGGCGAGGAGGAGCGACTGAGTCTCGAGATCGGTTTCGATGGTCAGCGGATCGTGCATGGTGGTGTCATGGCTGTTTGATTCTGGCATCGCTACGCAGTTTTGTTCTTAACTGTGTGTTTGAGGAAATCGGCTTCGAAGTGCAGTGGTGCAGCATTTTCTACGTGTGGGCCCAAGCTCAAGCTGTTGCGAAATCATGTCGGGATTCGTGACACTGCTCGAATATGTATACCAGTTGAACATTTGAATTTTCTTTGAAAACCGAGTCCAAGAGACTTCAAATGCGTGGCATAGCTTCACAAACAAAGGCTGTGCGTGACCATCGAATCATGAGGGTCAATCGTGCATAGTAAATGAGGACGAGATTCTGAGCCCTGGAACATCCAGCAGACCGAGGAAGGAGCTCCACGTCAACGAAGAGAGGGAGAACAAGGCTCTTTAAGAAAGCGATGCATGGCTAGATTTGTTGAACTTCCAAGGAACAGGTCATATCATTTTGCTAATGCACATACAAGAAGACAAAGCACCAAGAACAACCGCCCAACCAGTCGCGCCTGCAGTCCACTCACGCATCAGCATGACGCAAACGCAGTCTCCCTCTCCATCCTTCTACTCCTAACTCTCCGCCCACAACCACCCCGCAGCCTCAACGGTGCAGCACCACCACACCCCTTCCGCCCCTCCCCTCGCTCCAACCCCACCACAGCACCACCGCGCGGCGCCTCCTCCGGCTCACCAACACGCCGCCTCTTGCTGGGACGCTCATCATCACGCCTCGGCCTCTTCATCAAAGACGGATCAGCCTTTACAGCCAGCACCGAATTCACCAGCAGCACTCCGTGCCGCAACTTCTCCCTCCTCTGCGCCTTCCGCGCCTTCTCGTTGCAGCTTCTAACAAACGCCCGCCGCTCTTCGAAAGCGCCGCCCGTCTCGTCCTCGGTCTCTTCATCGGTCGAGGGCAGCTCGCTCAAGTCCTCGTTCGAGTCCGGGGAGGCGTCGTCGTCGTCGGTCGGGAGGAGGTTGCCCCAGTCCTCGTCTGAGTCCCCGAAGGCGGGCTCGGAAGGGGCGGGATGGGAGGGCAGGGGCAGCCGTGAGGTCTGGTGGGCTTGTTGTGCGGGTCGCGAGGGGAGAGAGGCGGCTGGCGAGGGGAGCCCGGGGATGCCGAGGGCAGAGAGATTGTTTACCGCTTCGCGCACGGTGGCGTCGAGCGAGGAGTCGGGGGTGGAGGTGCTGTCTGTTGTTGACATTTTGAAGTGCGGTTTTGTGATTGAAAGATTGTGGAGAGACGTTTAATGTTTTGGTGGAGGAAGGGATTGAGGGTGCGCGAGGGACTAAAGGACTACGGGGGAAATGGTAAATTTTATATGGAAGGGGAGTGGACGGTAGAAAACTCTAATCACTGCAACGATAGATATACGTTGGAACCATGGAGCGTGAGCCATGGTTGAAACATCGAAACGAAACTAGGGTGCTAGGATTGAGGTTGTCAGAGCGAGAACCACATCAATGAAGCTTCGTGGCTAGCCGACATCAGCAACGCTCAACCATGAAACTTCGTTTCCATGTTCATAACAGATTTTACCAGTAGGCATGAGAACAACGGACTGTGAGTGGAAGTCGGTAGCGAACCGCGTCTTTCAAAGCTAGAGAGGCGCCAAGCTCTGAGGTTATGAGCTCAAAAAGTGCCGCAAACTACGCGCGAGATGTATCCCGATGTCAACGAGACGCCTACCAGATACTTTCCCAGCCTCAAATTACAACGTCCAGAGCTGCTGCTGAGCCTCTAGTAGCACCTAACGCCCGTGATGCTAAACCGTTTCCCGACACGATATACAACATCGCAATCAACTCAATCAAGATCCTCCGGCCGCTTGACAGGCGACGTCCGCGCAGGACTATCAATGGGCGGTCTTTCAGGCGCCAGCCGACTCTGTATACTCAGACTGTTCCTGATGAGCCTGCCTGTGCTCGAACGACGGGCATCAGGATCGCTAGACGCGCCATCAGTATCGGGGTCTGTGGAAAGCACAGGCGCATAGTCTTCAACCGCCATGTGCGCTTCCTTCAAAGCGACGTCCCGCATCTTCTTGATCTTCATGTAGTTGTACGCCGCTATGCTGCCGATAGTGACAACCAGGCCCGAGAGATTGATGGAAGTCAGCTTGTCTTTGAAGACGACGCTTGCCGCGCTGATCGTGACGACTTCCTTGAATATGCCGCAGATGCTGAGGGTGACTACGCTGGTACGTTTGAGGAGGGCGAACTCAGACGACGTCATGAGGAAGGCGAGTGTTCCGGGAAAGAGGAGGATGAGGACGCCAAGGACGTTTCCCTTGGCTTCAGTGAGCTTTCCGAACCCCTCGGTGAGATCGTGAAAGCCTTCCACGGGTATAGCGATAACAATAAGACTCAAGAACATGATGGGTGCGAGGAAGAAGATGGAGGAGAATGGGTTTGAGGTAGCCGGGTTTCGGAGTAAGAGGATCTGCGTCAGGGACCACCGGAAGCCTGACGAGAGCGCTGAGGACATGATCAGGATGAACCCGACGGCGTTGAAAGCTGTCTCGCCAGCGACCATCATAACAACGCCGACCGTCATGGTAGCAATGATACCTCCAAGTCTCCAGGATGGCTTCTCGAGGCGGAAGAGGAAGGCGAACAACAGCACGAAACCTAGCACTGAAGACTTGCACATGGCTAGTGGAAGCGGTCAGCATGAATTGGGTTCTTAGAGAGGTATACTCACTGAAAAATGTCAAGGAGATAAACTTCAGGCTCATGTTGCCCAGACCGATGTCTAACCCGGTCGCTGCTCCGCAGGGTCCGATGCGAGTCAGGTAAAACCACCTGGTCATCAGTGGTTTCTTGGGGTCGATCGGTTCCTGACGGAGCTGTGGGGAGCCAGGTGCATGCGGATCAAGCGCATCGTGTCGTGGGCGGAAGGAGGGAAAGAGATATAGAACGAGCGCTGCCAAGCTGAATTGTACAATCATGTGGAGGGAGGTTGTAAACAGCGGAAAGGGGAAGATGGATTTGCTCTTTTCATCGGTGGCGTCTTTAGGGGTAAACATCCATTTGTTGTACTGGCGTTGCGTCAGCGAAGCTCTTTCGCTATGCCACATTCAAGCCATACTTACTATCGAAATCGATATTGAGAATAGATACCTGAACCCATTGTCAACGATGAAAACATATCCCAAGATGCGGCAACCTACCACAAGCCTATCAACAACGCGTTGATAAGCGACGTCCTGATCAGACTCTGTCTCGCGATATCCTTCTCTTCCTTTGTTATGCCCTCCACTGCTACCCGCTCATCCAACCTAGTGTTCCTCCTCTTCCGCTTACTGCGCGCCTTCCGATCGACACCAGTCAAGCCAGTCTCCTCGTCGTCCTCTAGGGCGTCGTCCGAATGCATCTCGTCGAGCTCCAGATCTGAACTGCCTGTTTCCCCAGAGTCGTCTCCTTCATTCGCGGATGCCTTGTCCTCCTGTACCTCGTGCAGGTCTTTCGACCGTAACCGCCGGTGCTTGCGCGAGGGATTTGTTGGATTGGCGGCCGTGCTGGCGATCGAGCTGCTGCGCCGACGATGTTCGGAGGTCCGGCTGTCCATGTGAGTTGTCCAGCAGCTGAGGGAGAGCGGCGGGTGACAGATCCCGCTGCTCGTGCCCTAGTATCCGGACAACGGTAGTAATAGTATTTGCGAGGACCGTGCAAAGGTGAAGTCGTTCGTGAAGTGTTGAGCGCTCAGGTGCACAGCAGACAAAGGCGCAAGTGCAGCTGGTATTAACACGCTCAATAACATTGGTAATCTTGGTTGCGTCTGCACTGAGGTCCAGCTCGGTAGCGCTGCTTGGCTTGGACTTCCAAGAGTCAGGCGCCGGTTGAGGGTTCCAAGTTCCAGCGTTTTGACGATGCGCTGTTCCTGAGACTGTCACCAGGTCTGATCGCTAACTAGTCGGTGGTTGTGATCTTGCAATTTCCATCCACCTGCCGGCAGGTCCGGTTCGTGTTGTTGTTGGACGGCTTGGATCTAGGATGCGGTCCAGGGCATGTCGATTGCAAGGGGCTCCTGGGCCAGAACTTTCCTCAACCCATGAAGGGTTTCGGGCATGTACACGGTAACGGCCTTGTATTGAATACTTGTCATCAACACTCTTGTTGGCCTCGGGACTTTTAGGCTAACATCTCTGCCAAATCTCCATTCCTCAGGTCCATCTGAAGCACGGGAATCGTGCTACCGCCAGAAGCCCAAAAAAGAATAGTAGTCATGAGTGTCCTTCAGTCATACTCCATAACCCCTTGCCTCTCCTATAGGCACAAATGCAACGACCGATCCTCGACGCCAATCTCAAACCACGCCCGAGACTCCGTTCCACTCCACGCCCTCAGACACCACCTCTACAGCGTCTCCCAGCCCCCATTATTCACATCCCCTTCAAGCCTTCGAGCAATCGTGCTCGGGATCCCGTGATTCAGCCAAACATTCCGCAGCAGCTGGTCGTAGCGCTTCTGGTTCAAGAACAGCTGATGATGTCTGCGGAGCGTCGGGTCCGACTCGCCGTGCTTATCGAGATAAGGCGCAACAGACCAGCTGCCATGTCCGTTGTGCAGATAGAGGACCATGCATTTGCGGATGTTGATGAAGAGACCGACGTTTACGCCGCATCTGCGCAGTCAAGCGTCAGCGCGTGTGTTCGGTTGTTCCAGCATGCGTGTGAAGATGCGGGGAATTGCCCCGGGGAGACGTAGGAAACACGTCAAAAGGGATAGGAGACAACTTACTTTGCCATATGCCGATTACATCCCCCCTTCCCCATAGTCAAGGTACCCCTAAGAGTACTGCAGCACACAGCCTGGCTACAAAAGATGTCGCCGCAGAAAAGACACACAGCCGGGTCCGTAATGTCCTTGCCGGTCGTCGGGCACTTCCGCTTTATGGCCTCGTCCGTAAGCGTGTCGTAGTTCTTCGGCAGACCCACCAGCTCAAAGATAGCCGGGTGACTGAGTGTTATGCCTGGACGCGGGGGTCGCTGCTTAACATCACGTGACCAAGTCCAGTGCCTTATCCAGCCCGTCACAAGAGAGCGGGTAGTAGAACCGTGGGCCTCGTCGGACATGTAACTCTCGAAGATCTGGTCCAGCAAGGGAAGTTGTAAGGCTCTTGAGAGTCTGTCCAGTTCGGAGTCGTTGGCAGATCCGGGACCGGCGAAGGGGAAGTCCACGCCGAAACGGACATGCATTAGGATGACGGCCTTACGCAAGAAGGGGAGGGCGTAGCTGGTGATTAGCGTACGGAGGAAGCGCCAGCACTCTGGCTGCTCGAGGCGCCTACGGATATGAACGGGATTGAGTGAGGTTGCGTAGGTCGGCTTTAACGGGGAAGGAGGCCAGGACTCAGAGGAGAGAGAGTCTGCCAGTTCGAGCGCGACGCCAGTACCGTCTTCGGCGCTAGTGAATGGTCCCTCACGAAGATACGTATTTACGATACGATCGAGAAAAGCCCGGAATGCCAGTGCTTGTTCTGGCGCACACTGGGACTTCTGCTCGTACGTAAGCTTTGAGTTGCCCTGAGCGGTTGCGGCAGACGAGCCGAATGGCCAGACACTCTTCGGTTGGGCGACGAAGGTAACTATCACTCGTATAATTTCCGCTAGGTAACAGAGTCGTAGAATGTGGTGGATGTCCAGATGCATGACAGGAACGATGCAGACTGCGCACTCGGTCAGGAAGACGAAGGGGTCTTGCTCTAGAAGCGGTGGCAGGCCTCTGAGTTCGAGTTCGAGTGCATCCCGTTCGTAGAGATAGGGGTGCCCAATGAACAGCTGGCGCAACTGTCTGATCTGGGTCTCCAGAAACTCTTGGTTGGTCTTGTTTGACCCGTCGTTACGCAAACAGCCAACTGCATTGTATGATAGAATAGTCTCGGACAGGATTCGGAGGTGCGTCAGGGTTGAACTGGGAATCTTGTCCAGGAGGGTTGTCCCAACGTCGCATTCTACTCCCCTCTGAGCTATCTCTGTCGATGCAATGGAAAATCCAAGTGTTCTAGCTAACGTGTCTGTATGTGTAAGATCTTCCACAATTGCAGATGGCGTGTGCGTGTAGCTATATCGTGTGTATAGCGAGTTCACCCTCATAGTATCTCGAAGCCGTTGGTAGATCCTCGTAAGCTCCAGCATTGGTAGACTCACGCTAGGAAGGGACTGTTCCGGGAAGAACAACGGATCCCGTGGATCGTCATAGGCAAGCGGCAAAACTGCAGGCAATAGTTGAACATTACTACGCGGAGGTTGCGAAGGCGGCATGATCAAGGGGACAATTCCTGTCAGGTCAGGAAACCCGGATGCCAATGACGTGACAACCTCTTGAGACGCGTAATCCAGGAAGAACTTCTGGCTTCGAGCGACCGCCGCCGGCGTCTCATGGCTCTCCAGCTTTTCGGGGCCCTTGTATAGCTTCGACACGTGGACAGGCAGCTGACCGACGATCCATTGTTCAAACGGGACTTCAGGAGCGACCGCGTCGGGGTAGCCGAGTGTCTTGTCTTTCCAGATAATCGGCAAGAAGACGTTACCAAGGGCTTTACACAACGGACAGAGAAATTCCTTAGCATCAGGTCGCTCGGGATGGTTCCGCGCTATTTGATTGATATGTCTCCGCTGAGTCGCTTGGTTGTAGTTCTCGAAGCATGCATAGTGCATGATGTGTCCGCAACCTGTAGTAATCGGCCCACGTCTTATATGGCCGTGAGGGAAGCCTTTACCTAGATCCTGCCGTTCAGTGATGATCTTTGTCCCGTCCGAGGTGACCTTTTCAACTCTTCGCCGGTTCTGGCCAGCCACACCAAACGGCCGGATAGATTCTGCTGAACGATCAAGACTCATCGGTGTGCTCACGACTTCTGCAACCCAATCCCGGTCTTGTATGTTCGTCTGTCGGAGGATGCTGCTCTCTGTGATGAAGGCGAACGTCCCGTACAAACGCTGGTCGTCCGTTTCTTCCTGGCACAGAATGCAGGTCCCGGAGGGGAACTTCCAGGTCTGGTGTTGGTCTGTTGGAGACACAGCTGTATCTTCATCGGCATCGCTATAGTCTTCATCACCCCAATCAACTGCTTGATTAGCCATGAAGTTGCTCTGCTGCTCTTTCATCGCGGCCATGACCCTAGCTTGTCGTTCTAATGCTTGCCTCTTTTTCAGTTCCTTCTCCTGTGCGTCAGGAGGTGCTGGCGATGCCGTGTCCATCCTGTCGCCTGGTAAGTCCAACGTTGAGGTTGCTGCTGCGTATGTACTTGGTTGCTTCTGCTGAAGTCGGTGGAGGATCAGCCGAATCTTTGGCTCACAACCGCTGTAAATTTGCGCGCGCAGTATATTTTGCAGCAAGGATAAGATCGTGGCCTGGCCTATGTGTACGTTGGGCAGACGCTTGAGCAGAACGAAGCTGACAAACGACTGTGCTGGGCCTTCGGAGAGATGGTCCTCGTCGCTGTCATCTTCATTGACCGCTAAGAGAACAAGTTGCAGAACAAACTGCAAAAATCCCTCTATCCGGGAAGTTGGTACATTCGGAGCAATCTCAGGGGCATGGCCCACATATTTCAGGAAGTAGTAGATTACCTGTGCGAAGAGAGGAATTTTCGTAAAGTCAGCCAGGCTCTGGAAGACGCCTGACGAGATTGGATGTAGCCTTGGCTCGAAAACAATCTCTGCCGGCGGTCGGCCCGTCTTCTTCGCCATGTACTTCTTGTAGATATTCTCTGCTTCCTCGCGCTGATTACGTGTGTATTGGGCGTTGTATGGGTCGATCTCTTCCACAAATTGTTCTTTCAACTCGAAGGTGCCGGAGTCTGAAAGGCCCTCTGGTGGCCGAAACTTGGTCATTTCGCTGAGGATATCTGCAAACTCGTCGGCTTCCTGGATCTTCTCCGACAGCCGCTGCGTGAGCTCCGAGTGTGACAGCGGCTTGAAACAGAGGATGTGAGCAATGTCTCGCCTGATAGCGTTGATTTGAGGCTTGCCATCATTTTCGGACGGTACCAGTGACGCGCGATCGCTCAAGAGAACGATTAGGAGATGGATGAAGTCTTCGGCCACATCGATGGTCTGAGTGTCTTCCCAACCTGGACGCACTGTGAACGAACCTGTTACCCACTCTAACAAGCCAAACCTATCGACCACAGATGCCAGGAAAGCGGCCGGAGAACACAAGACCATAGCAGCCTGCAGGAGAAAGATGTCTCGTTGGTACGCTACATCCCTCTGTATGACACCGCGGTAAGTCGACATCTGATGTCGCAACGTTATGCCATTCCGCACCCACATCCCGGCTCGCATCTGCGATAACCACGCACAGACGCGAAGCGGAAAGTCAAAAGCTGCAAGGAGGTACTGGTCTGGGTTAAGGTCCGGTGTGAGTGCTCTCAAGGGCGCGGGCGCTTCTCTAAGCTCTTGAACGGAGAATAGTAGCAGCGCAAGCATTTGATCGCGAGCCATCCCCTTTCCACGATCAATGAGCCATGAAAGTGTGTAGTGAAGCGCATGGTGGAAGCTCATGGGCTCTTTCTCTATGATGAAATCGACTATGATGTGCTGAGGTTTCGAAAAATTTCGAAGGTCAATCTCGAACACAAATGGGTCTAGCTTCTTGAACCTCGTCTCTTGCTTGATCTCCGCCTGGCTGAAACGCCTCCGCTCAGCGCCCAGGGAATTAATTATCACGACCTTAGCCGTACGTCGAATAGCCTTACACAGTCGTGCGAAGTCCGGGTCACTGGTGGACGAATACGCTTCAGAGAACTGCCGGCAGAGCTTGTTGATCTCCCTGGTGATGATCTGTGCGCTGATCCAAGCATCGGTTTCATACTCAAGATGCTCGCCAACTGCGCGTACATTTGGACAGATGCCTTGATGGAGCTTGACGAGATCGAGAAACTGCAGGAGGTACCGTTCTTCGTTGCACAGTTGTTCCTGAACCTGGTCCGAGCTGAGGAGGTACTTCATGTCGAGGAAGAAATGATACATTCGGCGATTCGTGACCGCGCCCGCATCGAAAGCCAGTGTAGCTAAAGGATTGACATCGGACGGATATCCGACTTGGCGGGTCGTTAGGAAGGTATAGAGAATTGCCATCAGATTCGTGAAGAAGTTGCCCCGCTCAATGACCTCCGCAGTGATCGACGGCGTCGTCAGCATCTGTAGTGATAGATTGATGATGGAGTGGTCCGGCTCACGGTCGGCGATGAGATACAGCTGTGCTAGAGTTGTATAGACTCCTGCAAATCTCAATCCGAGGACTCGCTTGAAAGACGGTATTGTTACCACAGTAGTGATGAAGACGTCGCGCATGTCGATCCGAGCCTTCTTCCACATGCGCAGGTCGTATAGAATCATGTAATCAAGTCGTACACGCTGCCACAGGTCCTCATGAACAGGTGCGGCCTCTTTCATGCTGAAGGCTTCAGGCGTTTCAAGCCAGTACTTCGGCGCTTTGGGGGGTCGCGTAACTTTGACCCTTCTTTTGGGAGTCCTCGGGACCTTCATGGGTTCGGGAAGCGCAACCTGCAAGGCTGGATGATCTCCATCATCTGAATCAGGCGGTGTGTGGCCGCGTCCCCGTCGCCTAGGTGCTGGGGGCGGTGGCGGTGGCGGTGGAGGAGGATAGCCTGCGAGTGTTGCTTCCTGTGCTTCCGTGTAGTCCTCTGAGTCGTCTCGGAGCCGCATTTCATAATCACCATCTTGGTCCGCTCCGTTAGCTTGGTCAACGTCCATCTCGTTGCCGTCTTCAGCCTCACTATACGAATCATCATCACTCGAATCGCCCACCTGTTCGACTCCAGCCTGGGCTCCACGACGAGCTCGTCGCTCCGGCCTACCCACGAAGCGACCATAGAAGGGCAGTTCCTCGTCGTCCTCAACTTCGTGGTCGTCGATGCCATCCTTGCCCACCTGAGCGTGATGCGCCTCGCTGCCCATCCGCCATGGTTTTAGCATCTCCTCGCAGATGACATTGCGCAGTACGTTGTGGTCCGGTCCAGCACTGCATCCTGCGATATCCGTAATCCATTCCATGATCGTACCGCACATCTGCTCCCGAAAGGTGTCTCTCGCCGAGCGGATCGTGACTGTGAGCTTGATTTGCTCGATGATCTCAGCTATTCTGAGAAGCTCTTCGACGTCGGTGGAATAGGTAACGACACTCCGCCCCACTTCATCCACCTCCAACGCCTTCTCGAGGCCGAATTTCTTCCTCTGCTTGCAGGCACGCGAGACTTGATCTCGAACATCGTTCACGGTGTGCTTCTCGTCGTTCCACAGGACCAGGGCAAACTCGTGGTTCAACGGTTCCTCATCCGCTCCCCCATACCACTTGGACGTCAGACGAGACAGCCGCTCATCCTTCAGAATGGTTTGCTCCGTTTTGGGAAGTCGCAGTTGCTCGGGTGAGCAGGAGAAGACATCGCAATAATAGTCCAAAGTCCGCGCGATTGTAATCCTTATGCTTTCAACAAGGACTTCTGGCAACAGAGAGCCCTGCCTTGCCTTCCCGGCAGCTTTCGAATCCGCCTCTGCGCGCTTCGAATGTATGTTGCAGTGAACAGGTCGAAGCCAGGCCTCGTCGTCGCCACAGTCACAGCAACCTGAGTTCCCTGGAGAGATGCTGACGAACACGGTGTGCCCTTCGTGATCTGACGCATCGAAGCACCTTGCGCACAGCACGCAGGTGTCGTCTACCGTGCACGTCTTGCATCTGTATGTTGCCTCCCCGCTCTTGAATATGTGACCACATGGGTGCCCCCTTGCCGCCTCTGTGTATTCCGCACCTTCGACAGCACCTTGCGCGGTCCGCAGGCTCCATGGCTGAGACGCAGGCGGTGGGCCCTGGGGGAAGAAATAGCTCAGATAGTCGTCGCGACCGCCAGCTAAGGATTGAAAAAGGATTTGAACCAGCGCGCGCCTGGCATTACTGTCGTATCGGTGGTTGAAGTTTGCGGGGTGATCTCTTAGGAGCTTGCAGAGATTCTGCTCGTTAGGTGATATCAGCATGCTGTGAGCAGAAGCCGCGGACTGCGGTCGGGTGTTGCTAGGGCTTGTAGCAAAGCTATTCGGGATTGTATAGCTGTCGAGTGGGCAGGTAAGTCGATGTGGTTACGGAAGGGCGTCCTGAACGATCAGGATGTTGTCAGCGAGTGTGGCGGAACTCTGCTGTTTGAGTTATGATTAGGAGAGGTGAAGTGGACCAGCCACTGTTCCTGTGAGCCTTAGGTGACTGCCTTGTTGGCAAAGTTGATTAACAAGATGCAGGAGGGTATGGCACTTCGGCATCACACGGCTGTGGCGAGCGAGCTTTCACGATCAAGGCAGTGACGATAGAGCAACGGAACAACTTGACATTCGCTATTCCCACGTTGTTTAACAATCACGTATGTGAATCCATGCGCAGTTGTCATAATTTAGAAGCAAGTTGGGAGATAGAGCTCTTAGGGCTTAGGCAATGGTTTTACTGGTACGGCGTAGAGCATCGTTTGACCCATCTTCGAACAACCTGTCCCCTCTCCACGCCACAGTAGCTTGCGCATGAACACGCTTCCCACCCATGCCATCGCAGAGATTGACCAGCTCGTCCTTCACTTTCGAGGTTGCAACAGCACTACTCGTCGTCGTCGTGTTCGATATATCTCTTCTTGATGTCCTTCCATTGCCGCTGCGTATCCGTTAGTGACCAGCCAGACTGAATCCGACGCTCAGTCACCTACACCCCTGTTGATAGTATCCCATATCCGATCCGCAGCAGTGTCGAAGCCCCTGTAGGAATTGCACGTCAACACCTCGTCCTCGAAGCGGTCCAGAGTAACGCATACATCTGTATTGCGAATGCCCCCAGAAAGATAGTGCCTAGGAAGACCGTGTTCTTCCGGATAAGGGTGCTGAGAAAGGCGTTAGCTGGATCGAGCTTCGTTGCGCTTCGAGGAGGTAGGCGTGCTTGTAGATCCCTGATGATATCTGCGATGCGCGTGGTCAGTTTGGGCGTGATCTTGTGGGCTCTTCTTTGACCTACGCCGGCCATTGCGTCTGCAAAGGATTCGGCAACCTCAATATCGTATCGGCTTTCGCAATTGCTCTGGTGTTGGGGGCTTGATTGACGTCGTCGGTGGTGAGGTCGGAGGAGGGTGGAAAGAGCCGCTTTGAAGCTTCGGAGAAACTGGGCTGTCATGCAATTGGCCGGACCTTCTCCAAAGCACCTCACGCAGCAACAGAATTCAAACCTTCGCAACACACCTGGACAGCTCCTTCCGACGTATGAGTGACATTCCCTGGGTTCTGAGATTGCTCGGTATTGTGAATCTACCGCTTCCAAAGGCACACTTCTACAGAAGATCTCGCATTTCCAACTATTAACTCCTCGAGCGCCCCGGCTGCGACGGCTCCGACAACTTCCCTAGCATTTCCCAAGCTAGTCTTCGTAGGCTTTGAGGCGCAATCAATATCAGGCCAGGAGACATAGATCTCTCAGCCAAGGTAGAATCGTGTCAAGAAATCCTCGAACCGCTGGCCACACCATGCCTACCGTACCCTCCACCCCCACCACATCAAAAGCAGGCATAGCCACCAACACAACCACTGGCGAGCGTCATATCCCCTCCAGCGTCCGCCCGGACGGCTCCCTCCGCAAAGAGATTCGCGTCCGACCGGGATATCGGCCGCCCGAAGATGTCGAAGTCTACAAGAACCGCACCGCCGAAGCGTGGAAGAACCGGGGCAGCGGCGGTGTGCCGGGTGCGGAGACACTAGACCTTAAGAGCGACGCTAGCGCTGCTGCCAACAAGAACGCGAAGCGAAGGGAGGCGAGGAAGAAGGCTGCTGCGGCTGTGCCCGTGGAAGGTCAGGCGCAGAATGGGGTGGTGAAGGCCGACAAGCCGGCAAGTTCGAAGGGCGCTGAGAAAATGGAGGAGCATGTTGATCCAGAGAGTGAGAAGGTCAAGGAGGCGAAGAAACTCAGCAAGAAGCTGCGGCAGGCGCGAGAGTTGAAGGAGAAGAAGGATAAGGGGAACGACCTGTTACCCGAGCAATTTGAGAAGGTCATCCGCATTAACGAGTTGATACGCCAATTGGACAGCCTAGGATTTGATGAAGAGGGCGAAAAGAAAGCCAACAAGGAGGGCACGCCTTGATGTGGACTACATTCTGATGGCTTGATCATCACCCATCTTGTCAACGAAGCTTTCGAAGAGCTGACCCTCTGTGTCCTTGAAAGCGGCGATATTTCGCACACTACGTGGGTTAGAGGCAGACGCCAACTATTCTACTGCTGGTTGATGCAAGGCCGGCGAGGCGGACCCTGTGCATTACTGTGAGCCGATGCACGGTCAGAGACAAGGCGCAAAGGAGATGAAATGTACTGGACGGCCCTACGACGCAGGCTGTGACAGGGTAACATGCGGCTACGGTGGGAATGAACAGCTATGGGCTTTGGATGGCCAGCATACGATTACATGGCTGTCGATTTGGCGTCCCAGACTTATCGTCACGGGAGTAGTTAACGCGGAATAGCTACCAAAACGTCCTTCTTGATGGATGAGAATCGTCACGAGCCTCAATTTACGCATTAATCTAGTCCGCTTGTCTATATTCCAACAAATCTCTAGTTGAGAAACACATTCCAATAATTCTCCCCGTATCGCTAGATTCAAGATTACGACTATCTGCTTCAGCTTCGAACCCATCTAATGATTATCGCGCATTCATGATTCTCGGCAAGAGCCAGGATGGAGACATCTGTTTTCCCTCGCACATGGGTCTCGGCATTGTATTCCGAGGGTCGTAGCCGGCTTCACCTAACATTCGTCAGCGACAGGTGCTCTGAGGGTGTCAGTTGACCTGAAGCATGTTGGCGGCTCCGTACCTAGATGACTCCACGACGGCCATCATGACTCCCAGCGCCGACCGAACCGAAGCCACCAAGGTATGTGTGACCACGTTACCTTCATCTGCCAGGCGACGAGAGCCCGAAGACCATCGGCAACCGACCTGAACCAGACACGTTCAGCTTAAATACCCAGCTGAGGACGCTCCGCCGCGGCCAACACCGCCGTCACAGCAGTCAGGGGCGCCCGGCACATAACGCTGGAAAGTACCTCACGCGACCTGGGCCGCATCCCATCTTCCCCCTGGACCATGGGAGCATTCGCGACATACGAAGGACGGGGTTTGTATTGAGGAAGCGGACGCTTGGCCACCCTTCTTGTCGTTAGCAAAGAACCGTCAAGTGAGAAACATGGTGGATATTTAGAGCTTCTGTTGACTACAGAAGCCGCTAAAGGCTCGATTCTCTTCGTATAAGCGCCGACATGCTGTGATTCAAACACTCGTGATCGCACGTCGCCAAGCGTGCGCTGCCTCAATACAAACCTCGTCCTTCTTACCCAATTTGTTGGCTGACCCCTTTCTCTTCCATGCCTCGAATCACGAATCGCTTATTACGTAAGCCCTCGCGTTTAGCTTCCAGTTCCTTCCTTTTCAAGTCTGATACCGGATACATTTCAGGAACCAGACTCCGACATCTTTCGAGCAACGACTTCGACAGCCGTCAGCCAAATTCTCACAGCTCGGGGGACCAGATTCGTGACATCCATGACTGACTCTCCATCCTGAGTTTGGCGAATCATTCAACACTGCCCTCATCTGTTTCCATCACGCCGGATCCCCTCGTGCGCCCTTTCCGCTCCGCCATCTCGCCTAAGCACCCCCAAGACACTCTCCTGCCCCTTCGCTGCCAACTTCAAGTTCGCGAACCTTGCTTCCGGCAACCGCTTCCCGGCCTCGATGCTCTCGATGACCCACTCGACGCCCACGAACTTGACGCCTTTGCCTCCCACCCTCGCAACCTCTTTCTGAATCTTGCTCCCCGCGAGCCCGCCGCCAGCGCCGCCGCCGCCGGCTGTCGTGCCGAGAATGACATGGGTGACGCTTCGTCGGCCCAGCGCGATGGAGAGGCGGGCGCCGTGCGAGGCGAGGAGGTGCTTGAGTTTGTGATCCGAGATTGTGGGTGCGGTGGAGCCGTTGATGAAGACGGTTAGGTTGCGGAAGATCTGAGGCTGAGGCGGAGCTTGTGTCGCGGCTTCGCACTGTGGGTCTGCCGATGCATGTGCTGCTAATAGCCGGTTGTCCGTAGAGTCCTTGGGGAGTATCAAGGCCTTTGCGGGGGTTCCTCCTGTGCCATCCTTCGTTCCTGCTACAGCGATGCTCTTAACACCCTTCGTGACCGCAAAACAATCGAGCAAACTCCTCTGCCCCGGTCCCCTTAGCCCACTCGCGCCCCTCCCCCATCCCCCACTCTCTTCCCGTCCGTCCACGCCAAACCCCTCGCTACCCGCACCAACAGTATCAGCGACTCTAGTGCCGCCGCTCGCGCCTCCGGCGTATTGTGCGCTGAGCTTGAGGTTCCGCGACACGCGCCAGGACGTGCTGCCCGAAAGTCGGTTTTCGGCGCGCTGATGCCCGGTCGAGGAGTTCCAGGCGTCGAAGACGTGGCGAGTGGGGGAGGCTGCTCGAGTGGGATTGAAGGCGGTTTTCGTGGTCGTGATTGTTGGTGAATGTGGTGGATATGTACTTTTGCTGATACTGGGAGCGTGGGGTGACTGCATGGCGGGGCAGAAGTGGCTGATGCTGGACAATGGAACCTGGAAGACAGGGAGAAGTTGGTTGCACAACCCTGTTCCTGTTTTGTAACTTGTTAGGTGTCGGGGATGTGCTCCGTCTGCTACCGCGTACCTACTCATGTCGCCGGAAAGTTATGAAATCACGTGCAGAACCCTAGGATTGGCTCTCTCTTACTAAATATCACGGTTCACCTTACATAGTAGCATGGGGATTCGATCTATCGATTGAACATTATGCCTTTTGAGCCCGATAGCGTAAGTGTGAAACCCATGCGCACGTGGATCTTTACAATGACTAGAAACGGCGCTACCTACTAGTCCCCTCTATAGGATATCTCAAGAAAAACTACTCGTCCTGAAGAAGTACCTTAAAGACTACTGCCTGTGAGCTGCAAAGGCCCACGGCGACGCAGTCGCATCTCTGACTGACAAGGTCAACAAGGTCAAGACATCAAGACCGTCGACAGTTTCTTCCAAGCCCTCAAAGCCAAGACGGATGCCACCACAAAGGCACAGGCAGATTCCAGTCGTATGCACCTCAAGAGATAGACTGCACTCGAGGAAGTCCACACGTTCTGTAACAGTGAGAATAAGACCAAGGCAGAATGCCGACAGCTCGCGGAGTGACTCGCAGCCTTACAGCAACGCGTAGCATCACCCGCTGAGAGCCTTTCAAGGCTGTTGTTAACGAGAGATAGCTGTCTCAGCTCATAGACTTCTAGGGTGCCTACTACAAGTCCGCGTACCCGTTCTGTTACCATTGCAACCGTGCAATTAAGAAACATAAATGATACGATGTTATTACTAACTTCCGGGCTATTTAGATGGCGACACTATAAGCGGCTCCTCTCGTACTTTAGGTCCTTAAGATCATTCACCAAGTCGACCCGAACGCCCGAGCTTTGGATGAGGCGCTCATCACACCGTGCTGGGCGGCGTCCTTATCTACCTCGACGCGGACCCCGAGGTAGACCTCGTTGAAGCGGACGTCAGTTACCGCATTCTCGCTACAGGCGGCCCTGCACACAGAAAAGAGCGCACCCTGCGTCATGGCCGGCACTACGTACGTCGCGATATCGCCTTGCGACCCCGTGCAGATAGTCCACGTGCTCGCAGAGTTGTTCTGCTCGAGCAGGTACTCGATCGCATCCCGATAGGCGACTACGGCGCGCGTCGTTAGTATGGCGTCAGGCCCACACGAGTCGCGCGCTGGCAATACTTACAGAAGTTGGCCTCGAAGCCGGCATTCAAGTTGCAGCGGAGCCTTTCGGTAGTGGTATCTTTAATAGGGATCGTTATATACTCCCCGCCGAGTTGTAACTATCGGCGCACATCGGCTCCCAGCGTTTTTGTGAACGTGTCGAAGGCCTCGGAATATTATCCAGCAGCCTGATAAATTCTATGTTTCTATTTACATTATGCCAAATTCGGACACTTGATTCGATGGTTGATTCATAAGATTACTAATCACTATTTGATTTATAATCTTTATGGTCAAGAGCCCAAAATCTCACATCGACGTTCACGGACATCGGACTTTTTCAGAAGTCCGAAACTAATATGGAACCTAGTAAGGTGAGTCTACTCGACAGTAGTAACAATAAGCTACAGTTGTGTATAAAAGCGCTCGATAGGCCGCTTGATCATTGCGATGAACATCTTCTTCAATACTTATCAGTACACCACAGAAAGTACATCGCAAATCAATCAGTCTAATAGCAACACTCGGCAATAACATGTCAAAGACTATTGTTATCACCGGAGTCACGGGCGCTCAGGTACCTAATGCCAGCCAGCGAGAGCATCGCTACTTGACTAACAACCACAGGGAGGATCTGTCGCCCGGACGTTCCTACAACTTCCAGGCTGGCGAGTCCGCGGCATTACGCGCAACCCCTCAGGGGCAGCCGCCAAAACCCTCGCTTCCGATGGTGTCGAAATCGTCCAGGGGGATCTCGACGACAGGAAATCGCTGATCAGCGCCTTCCAAGGCGCCACCGTTATCTTCTCTAACACCGACTTTTTCACGCACATCTTCCACGCCATGAGCCCCGATGCCAACCTCCCCGCTGGCAAGACCCCCAACAAGTACGCATTCGAGCGCGAAGTCGAGCAGGGCTTAAACATCTCCGACGCCGCTGAGGACTCGTCCGTCCTCAAGACGCTGGAGCGCTTCGTCTTCTCCTCCCTCAGCGATGCTCAGAAGTTGAGCGGCGGAAAGTACAAGACTGTCTATCATTTCGATTCCAAGGCCGAGACGGTCCGGCTGATGCGGGAGCGCTGTCTCAGTGTCGCAGCGAGGATGAGCACTGTGCAGCCGGGACACTACACTACTAACTGGAGGCAGTTCCTGAAGCTTGCTCCTCAGAAGCAGGCGGATGGCAGCTTTCTCATGTCGAGGACGGCGCCGCCCGATTTCAGGATGCCGTTCGTCGTTGTGGACAGGGACATGGGGGCGTTCGTCAAGGCGTTGGTCGATATGCCGCCGGGTAGAGACCTGCTGGCCGTGTCGGAGTACATGACGTTCCCCGAGTTCGCTGAGGTCTGGGGCCGTGTGCACGGTGTCAAGACTACTTACAAGCAAATCTCCAATGAGGAGCTGTTCGAGGGTGTTCCGTTGGGCTTTATGGAGGAGATAAGGGACAGCTTTGACTTTATCCATGAGTTTAGCTTCACTGGCGGAGACACTAATGTGCTAGAGCCGAGTCAAGTAAGATGTGCCGTGTTAAAGTTGTGATAAGTAGCGAGGCTAATATTGTGTAGCTCGACTTTAAGATTCCAGTCACTTCGATGGAGGAGTACATCAGGAGCGAGGACTGGTCACCTGTTTTAAACGCTTGAGTACGCCGCTCTCGATAGAGCTTAGGAGAGTTGCCCGGCTGGATGCTTGGTAGGAAGTACGGCGGTTGTTCGATGATGATTTGATGATCGAGTAGTGGTGGGCGCTTCTGTCGCGCGCGCGCGCAGTCACGTGACCTATTGGCTGGGCTACAGTTAGATAACTATCACATGCCTAAGTCGCCTACAACGGCCGGAGAGGCATCCACTTAACTAAGAGCACACGAAGGGGCGCTGAGCAGAAGCTCACTATAAAGGAAATGGCGCTGTATGCACTCTTCAGACCACAGAAAGCCCCGCAGTGACTTTGGGATACGTCAAATTTAACCAAATCGTCCATACAGTATCTCTTGAGCTTATCCCGGTTTTCTCTTGTCTGTCTTGTTAAACCGCTGGACGCGTTCTCGTAGGCAGCAGGAGTCATCATCCAGGCCCAAGGAGGTGTTGAACTGTTTCTAGAAGCTGCGCGCAGTCGGTTCCCCTTCGGCGCCCCTTCGGCGCCCCTTCCCTCCTCCGCCACGGTCCACGTTGTCGTCAAAGGCCATCCAGCGGGGAGAAGCTCGCGGTCCCGGCTTCATCGAGGATGCAGAGAGTATCCCCCTCGTTCCAGCACAGCGGCTCAAGCATCCGCTCTGTCTCCTTTGAGTAATCTGGCTTTCATCGTAGAACGACTGTCGGAGACGGCTCCCGACTCCTCAGAGACTGATTGCTCGACTGGCATCGCTTGGGCGATCTGGCGGAGTGAATCTCCATGTCCGCCTTCGAAATGATGGGCACGTGCAGCATGGCATTCTTTAGGGCCGGCATTCGCCGCGATGCTCAGGTACGTGGTGTATCTCGCTACTCATTTCCTTAGTCGTTCGGAAACTGACGAATAAAAGAGCGATTCACGCAAGGTATATCCACGAATCGGAAGGTGTCAATAGCCTTACCCGAAAAACCTCAGATATCACGCCTCGAAAAGCTTTCAGAGGGGGTCGGTAGAACCAAACCCTGGGGGTCCGATTCGCTGATATACCATGTGCAGATCACTTTTTTGATTCGTCGGCTTCAGGATAACTAAGAAAATGAGTAAGAATAGGCGTCAGGCTAGGCCGCTCTTTATTCGTATGGCTTGTAGCACGGTATGGAGAAACCAGGAAAACGACTTCCTGCAAGGCCGCTTTGACCCGCCTCCCCGAGCTGCAGGTGGGAGGTGAGATGATGGTGGGGATCTGTCAGAAGCCGCATGAGATACCTGGGACGCTTGGCAGCGGGGGCAGCACTTCTGACCGTCGATATCAGCTAAGCATGTGGTGAGGACATGGGAATCTATATCACACTTCCTGCTGTAGCGCTGGTTTGTATACGAACTCAGTTGGTATTGTCCAGCTGTTCTTCGTAAATTCTCATGCTGAGTGCGTTTCCTCGTGTACATCGCCACACATGATGTAGAAAGACGCTTAACCAGTAAGACCATCAGTCGTTACCGGGAACCCAGCTTCCAGATTCCCGTTTGCTGGTGAGATTGCAGGATTACCACGAAAGCACTACACCCGCACCATCGTTGTCAATGAGAATAAATCACCCGGAGGAAATGGATGAGGGTAGTCCAGAATGCTTCATCACACTCAGGATGGAGACTCTGCAGATTACATCTCGAACCTGGTCTGTATTCGTTGGGAGTCAACCCGAAGGCCGTCGAAGTCATTGCTTGAAAGATGTCCAGCCCCGTTTCTGATGCACGGGTTAGGCTGACGAAGGAACGAAAAGCAGCAGGACGGAGACTAGCGATGCTGAACTCGGCGTAGTATGCGGAAAAGAGAGGATTTCCGAACAAGCCAGCTTTGTACATGCTCCTACACTGTACGAGGAAAGAAATTAGGCTTGATTGCGATGAGAGGCACAGCGCCAACCTGGTTGACCGGCACCTGGAAGGAGACTTGATTACACCCTTTCCAGGGCGGGGACTTAGAAGGCCTAATTCGGAAAAGGGTAGAGAACCGTAGAACATCGCATGTGAAAAAAAATACATGATTTTGCTTCTCTAAGCTTTTCGCCGAGATGAAGTTCGCCATCGCTGCTGCTCGCGAAAGCCGCTACCACTACTTAGCAGTTGTTTCATTGTACATGTCTATGGTTCTGCGCGTTTTACATGTCTAAATCTCAATCCTACCGTTATCCTCAACGCCACCAGAGCTTCCCCCCCTCAACAGCTCCCCAATCGTTCCCCCTCATCACCCCCTTCACTCCCCAACATTAGTAAATCTCAAATATCTCTTCACCTCCCTCACCTCCCCAAATTTCTTCTTCGCATCCTCCGTGCTCACGCTCGGCGGCACAATAACATCATCCCCCCTCTGCCAATCAATCGGCGTAACCACGCCCTTCTTATCCCCCGTCTGGAGCGCATCCACGACCCTTAGCACCTCGCTCGTGTTGCGCCCTACGGCCGCGGGATACAGCATTGTCAGCCGGATCTTCTTGGCCGGGTCAATGATGAAGACGCTGCGGATTGTGAAGGGTAGCGAGCCGTCTTTGGCGGTCCGCTCGATGTCGGATTGCGAAATCATGTCGTAGGGGTAGGAGATGCGCCGGTCGGGGTCCGCGATCAGGGGGAAGGAGACGCGCGTGCTGCAGACTTCGTTGATGTCGTTTATCCAGGTTTTGTGCGAGTTGAGGGGGTCGGCGCTCTGGAGGTGGGTGTACCGTTAGCGGATTCATGGCATTTTGGAGATTGGGTTGGGACGGGTTGGTGCTGGCTATAGTGGGATGTGGGTTCGAAGGTCGTGAAGAGTCTTACAAGCCCAATCATCTTCACACCACGCTTGTCAAACTCCGCGTTCATCTTCGAAAAGGCGCCCAGCTCCGTTGTGCATACTGGTGTGTAGTCCGCAGGGTGCGAGAAGAGGATCGCCCAGTTGTCGCCGATGAATTCGTGGAAGTCGATGTCTCCCGCCGTTGTTGTCGCCTTGAAATTCGGAGCTACATGAATATACCATCAGCAGTTCTGTACATGGAGACATCTAGTATATTATACGCACCAGTGGATCCGATCCGTAACCGTGGCTGCTCTCCAAGATCTGAAGGCGTAGCTAGGAAGCGGCGGAGGAGGGGCGCGGATGGTCGCTGTAGGCGGATATTGGGACGAGCAATGACGCGGAGGGAGGTGTGTAGAGCTCTAGGAGCGACTCGCGGGAGGAATGAGGCCATGATAGGATTCTGGAGTTTGCAAATGCTATTTGTGAACTGCAATTGCAGTTTTGTGATATTGAGAGCTCAAGAAAAAATAGCCGCGATGGCGTCAGAGGATCGCTGTTGCGCGCAATCCGACGCGCCACAACCGCCGATGGGTTCATGCAGGTCCAACGTTCAGCTCTCTTACCTGAAACCTCTAACCACACGGCTATGATTGAATACCACTATGTTTCTGCCTACGTAGGGCATTCGGATGAGGTCGTAGGAGATGTCAGCTAGGGCAATAGTGATTCATGAGATCCGGTCAGAGCCTCTAGCAGATATGGTAATCATCCATATTTCTACTCTAGATATCATAAACGTAACGGAAGATGCGTAGGTATTTTCCAGCCTACTGCTCACATAGTGAAGTTACCATCAACCGAGCATCAGAGGCCCCGCAGTGTCAGCTACTCTTGACACCGCTGCCACACCAACATCTCCTATCCCCCTCTCTTTCAACATGCACCACAACATCCATACCTCTCCCCTTCAAAAACTGCGCAGCCCGTTCCCGAACATCTTCCAGATCCGCCGTGCGTGCAGCACTGATATGTATAACGCCCAACACCTTCTGCTGCCCATCATGGCCCTCGCTCTCGCACCCTTGCCCATGTCCGTGGTCATGTCCATGACCGTGTTGATGCTTATGCTCATGCGCATGCGCGTCCGCATGTGCCATCCCCGGATCCTGCAACCAAAACCTTGGGACACTATACCCCACCACGCCCCTCAACCCGCTGATCTCCTGCAGCGTCTCCTTGACGCTGAACTCCACATCCGCGGGCAAGCTGAGCATCAACTTCGCACCCGAGCTCTTGACCAGCGGCCACGCGGAGAAGAAGATAAGAATCGCGATGATGCACGACGCGAGCGGGTCCCAGCCGGACCAGCCGTAGAACTTCGTGAGGAGCGTGCTGATGATTACGGCGACAGAGCCGAGGGCGTCGGCGAGGATGTGCAGGAATATGCCTTGCATGTTTTCGTTGTCGTGGTGGTGGTGTGAGTGAGCTGGCGGGGAGGGCGCGGTGGGGGTGGCGGCGGAGGTGAAGGGTGCTGGAGAGTGTGCGGAGGGGCTGTGGTTGTGGGTGTGTTTGTGCGAGTGGTCGTGGGAATGGCTGTGAGAATGGCTGTGACTGTGACTGGGACTATCGTGCGAATGGCCGTGAGAGTGACCGTGGTCGTGGCCATGGCCGTGGTGCGCGTGACCGAAGGCTGTAAGACCTACGATGTTGACAAGGAAGCCGAGGACGCTGACGATCAGAAGCTCGTTCAGTCTCTTGAGCTCGTGACCGTGGCTGAGCCTTTCGAAGGCATCAAAGACGATCTCTACGCTCACGAGCCTACTCAATCGGTTAGTAAGTCAATCTAATCAGGTGACCAGGCTTGCTCACATGAGGAAGATACCGTTGGCAAACCCAGAGAGGGTGTCGATCTTTCCATAGCCGTAGGGGTAGCGGGTGTTCGACGGCCATTTGCTCATGACAGCCGCAGCAAGGCCGACAGCTAGACCCGCGCAATCGAAGAGCATGTGTATGCTGTCTGTCAACAGACCCAGGGATCCGCTAGCAAACCCGTAGAAAAACTGTACGAGCATAAAGGCGAGATTCAGACTACATACACACTGTCAGCGCTGCTACTGTCAAAACAAGATAGAGACTTACACCGCGAAGTACGCTATCCGTCTGGAATCCTTCTCCAGCAAGATGCTGTGTAGAATCGACCCCATGTGACATCGGTCCAGCAGGTACTTCGTGAGCCTCGAATGTTTCTCTCCATGCGAATGATCATGATTATGGTACGCTTCAGCAACTGGCGGTAACCCGTTGCCATGATTGTGATTTGTTTTGACCGCGGGACGACCCAGGTCCGACTCCCCGCGGGCTCTTGATCGCGCCTGCATTGCGTCTCGTGGTGGAGAAAACTGCGCTCTGCCGTTCAAACGCACTTGCTCGGTGTTGTTTATAGGTAGAAACGAACGTGTTTGCGCCTGGCTGTGCAGACTGCCCGTGGAGGGAGTTTTCTTCACCGCTGCGCTGTTCACATGCGGGGCCCAGGACGGTGACCTCTCTCCAAGCAAGACGTGGTTGTACGAGCGCGAATGGTGGTGGCCATGCTGAAAATGCGTGCCGCTATTCAGAGGAAGCGCGTAGGTCGAGGCCATAGACGAGGAAGGCGCGATCGGTGCGGCAGTTACTGTTGAGGGAGACCGGCACCCAGCGATGAAAGCAAGATGGGGACACAACGGCAGGCGGAGATGCAACACGAACAAAGGAAGCTATGCGGAGGCTTATCAATGCCCTGCGAATCCCATAGCAGACTACAAGTGACGGTGGAGGCGCCGGGCCATTCACGTCGTCCCGAGGTCGTTTCTTGGTATTTAGGGATAGCTCAGGGGGTCGAGGGGTCCTTGGGTGTTTCGAAAACTCCAGACCCGTCCCCCGCCAAGCACGAGATACATCCACGTGGAGAAGTCACGACAACATGCTCGCACCGCTCTCTCATCTGTATCTCGGCAGCGCCATCATCAGTTTCCTGGCTGCCCTCTCGACCGCTCTTACCGTCTTTTTTATCACCGCGCCAACTCAATATGATCCGTATGCAGAAGCAGATGCCCCACCTAGCAAGGATGGAGAAGAGCCCAGATCTGCGAATGGGAAGAGGCGGAAGGTCAAGACCTCGGTGCAGGTAGTCGTCTTGGGGGACATCGGTAGAAGCCCCCGAATGCAGTATCATGCGTTGAGTATAGCAAAGCGTGGAGGCAAAGTCGATCTCATAGGGTACAAAGAATCCGACGTCCATCCGGATATTGCATCCAACCCATTGATCAGCGTCATTCCCCTCGCGCCCGTGCCAGAGGGTCTGCGGGCAAAAAGCGCTCCCTCATTTCTACTCTTGGCGCCACTCAAGGTTCTCTGGCAGACATGGACTCTATACTATGCGCTGGGATACCGCACGCGGCCGGCACGGTGGATGCTTGTGCAAAATCCTCCTGCAGTGCCCACGCTCGCTGTTGCGGCATTTCTATGTTTCTTCCGTAATACCAGTCTCATCATTGACTGGCACAATTTTGGCTATTCAATTCTTGCCCTGAGACTTGGAGCTGGGCACCCACTTGTCAAGATATCTCAGCTATACGAGGGGCTTCTATCTCGGTTCGCGGCATCCCACTTCGCTGTGACGAATGCAATGGCGAGAGTGTTAGAAGAGAAGCACGGCATTACCGCATCGCCACTCCATGACAGACCAACCAAAGACTTCCAGCCACTCGTGTCAGAGGAGCGCTTCGAGTTCCTATCGAGGCTACCGGAAACAGCTCAATATGCTGAAGACATCAAGCAAGGCCAATGGAAGCTGGTCGTAAGCTCAACGTCCTGGACGCCGGATGAAAACTTCTCTATCCTGCTGGATGCGCTGGTCGGCTATTCGGCCAAGGCAGTCACCAAGACGAATCTGCCGAAGCTTATCGCTATCATCACCGGCAAAGGTCCGCAGAAGGAGCACTATCTATCTAAAATTAAAGCTCTCAACCAGGAGAAGAAGCTTCTCAATGTTATTGTCCTCACCGCATGGCTCAGTACTGAAGACTACGCCAAATTGCTCGGGTCTGCCGATCTCGGCATCTCTCTCCACACCTCGTCATCAGGCGTGGATCTTCCCATGAAGGTGGTGGATATGTTTGGTGCTGGCCTTCCCGTCCTAGGCTGGAGCAAATATGAGGCCTGGCCAGAGCTGGTGACGGAAGGCGTCAACGGGATGGGTTTCGGAAGTGCGGAGGAGCTTGGTGGCCTTCTAGTGAAGCTTTTGGGGGAGGATAGAAAGAATCTGCAAAACTTGAGAGATGGTGCTCTCGAAGAGAGCAAGAGGGGTTGGGACGAAGAGTGGGATGCTGTTGCAGGGAAGAAGTTGCGATTGGTTGCATAGTCCGAACATCCAAGGACTCAAATGAGCACTATTCATTTCGAATGAATGAGGCTAGCAAAGTATCTCAAGATCAGAATCGATTCACCCAACTGTTCCAGAATCCAGACGTGTCTCGCCGCTTGTCGAACCGAGCAGAAAGACACCGCTTCAAAATGTGCTTGCTCGAGTAGAAACCGCGCACCATTTCTGTGTAATCGGACACGAAGCTCTCTTCTGAGCGGTTTCAGCGCTGTCTTCCAGCTCTTGCTCTAAGTCTTCAAAGCTCAATGCTTCGTCCATTTTCCATAGACAGCGATGTGCATCAGGAAATACCGTGAAACCATCACGGAAAGAGAACAATGCCTCCACACAATTTTCTGGTCTGCAGTGGTCCGGTGCATATAAGTATCCAGCAAGCACCGCAAGTCCATCCATCTATCGTTCATTCACCATCCCTTAACCACACTCCAAGCAAAGATCCCAAAGCACAGAAGCAAAAAGTAATCTCAGGTCCATCATGGTCCCTCGCATCCCCCGCATCCAGCAAATCCTTCGAGGCATCATAGCTCAAGCCCGAAGGTTCCTTGCCAGCCGCAGAACACTCCCAGAAGATCTCGACTTCTTCTTTCTCTACATCAATCCACTTTACGATGCCCTAGAGCACATGCATGACGAGATGGAGGCGGGTGATTGGGAGAATCAGGATTACGTGCGTCTGGTGAAGACCTACGCCGTTGTGAGATACAACATCCAAAAGCTCGGCAGCTTCGGCGAGCAGTGCGAAGAGGAGCGGGGATATCGCAAGGAATGGTGGGAGGGTAGGGTCATGGATGTGATGGAGCTGCTCGATCAGGTCGGAGTGGATCTCGCTGAATTGCTGGACTTCCAAACAGAGAGTGGAGCAATGACTCTGAGCGAGGCTTGGAGCTATCTTCCTCGGTAGCGAAGATAGCGCTGCAAAGGGATGAAGGGATGAAGGGCTCAACCATGCATGTTACCGGATATTCGCTCTTTCGCGTTGCGTACTTAATTACCAGTCTTTCCAGACACAAGGAATGTCTTAAACCTCGGCTTCGGCGGCTTGTTAGTCACGTTTAATAGCTCTTTTACCAGTGTTGTGTCTTTCAGTCACTGTTAAGATATACGACACTCTATCAGCGCTTTGAATCAGCACTGCAATTCTTCGATCATGCATTTTCATTGATACCTCTGCCTTGCACGGTCATCTGATACTCCGTTTCCCTGTCTTGGTCTTCTTTACAACTCTGCATCAAAACTATGCACCTCACTTAACGCTCACAGACATGACTGTGCGCCATGAGACTGTTTCATTTTACCTCTGCAAGTACGATGTTCTGGAACGATCACAGTGCTTCTTCGACGTCGACTCATCCGACGCTGTTAAATACCCAGCAAATCACCCACACTTGCTTCCTCAACAGTCGCAGATCACTTTGCATACACCCTAAAGAAATACTCAAAGCTCCAACCTCAAAGCGTTATGTTTATCGACATACAAATCAACAACCCTCTCAACTGCCACATCAAGCGCAACCTGGAAGGCATCGTATCCGAGGCCCGCAGATTCTGCATGAACGACAGCCGCGGCGTGGACCTCGCTGTCAACATACAGCTCTTCTTTCTACACGCCAATCCCCTCTACCAAGGGCTTGTGGACCTCCAGCATGATATCGACTACAGTAACCAGCTAGACTGTGAGCTCTCCGATCTGGCGGGAAAGCGCGCTGAAGCGCTTGAGTCGCTCAAGAAGATCGAGCCGCTGCGCCGGCGCTATCAAGAAGGACAGCCATGCTACAACGCTTGGTGGAAGAGCAGGGTGTTGGGAGTTATGTCGGCTCTTGCGGAGATCAATCCTGACTTTTGAGAACTCCTTCGCTCTTAGGCGGATGTTGGACCGTGGGTCCGGGGAGAGCTGTAACTTTCTGAGCCGATGTTAAGGCGATCTTTGGGTTTTGTGGGTCGTTCGCGGTGTTACAATGTAATCTCCTCGATGTCAGCTTTCCATAATGCGCAATCCTCTGTGATTTCGGTGTGTGTTCCAGATAGACCGGCGGAGATAGAACCACGAAACTAGATTGATATTGCTGACGCGCCTGGCTCGGTCTCGTGAGTATGAACAGCGTTACGTAACCTCTCGACTCCTCGGAGGCTGTGGCAGTGGGACAGACGGCACGGTGAGGAGCTGTTCATAAGGTGACTCATTCACCAACAGTTGCATCTCAGACTTTTCCCTCAGGATCTGCTGACAAAGATCTCTAGTCCTTCGGGTACTGGCTTCGGTGCTCCCACACAAACCATGGTGTGGGAAGGTCGGACGATGCAAACCCGGCTGTTTCTCTCTTAGTCCAGTACAAACTCTAGAATGGTGTTTCGGATGATGAATGCGCTCCGATAATGTCCTTTAGGCAGAGCATTGTCTTGTTTCATGCCAGTCTTTAAAGAGTAATCGATGTCTTGCATGTGCGTTTCGGCGAGCACCCCACTGTCTGTCTGTGATCAAACAGGCGTCCGAATCCCGGAGGAGCTCTTGCTCTGGTTGGCATATATACAGCGGGATCTGTCCTGTTAGCCCTCAATCCAGCGTTTTTCTTTACAGCTTGCCGGTTAAGCCAACCCTCGTATCCACCTCTCATCCGGTTGTATTCTCCTACAGATCTCTTCGCGCGCTTGATCGTTGCTACACTCACAACCACTTGACTGTGAACGCTCACGACTCAAGGAAAGATTCCCATTGCGGTGGACTCCCCTCCGACATGCCTGAAGAACTACCTTTTGGCGCACGAGCCGGAATTCTACTGTATGATGTCCTTAGACGACTAGAAGCCCGTCACAGGCTCTTTCTAGCCGATCCCAACAGCGTCGCCAACCACGCAGAATACATTCGCGGCGTGCTTGACGGTATCAAGATGGATGTACGAGAGCTTCGACGCCTCCTGCCTAACATGTGCATAGTGTGTATGCCCCCACGACACCAGAAAGTGAACGGTGATCGTGGGTGGCAAATTCTGGGGGTAGTCACGGTGTTGAGAGAGCTGGTGTGGTTGCTCACCGACGGGAAAGAACCAAGCTTCGAGGCGGACCGTTGGGATCCATATCGTCTCTGGTGGCTGGTGCAATACTTGGCAATCATCATGTCGGGAGAGATCGTGAGGCCGCCGCCTCTTGGTGAGAGTTAGCGACAAGTTGTTGAGCAGCAAGCGGCAATCATTTCTGCTAGGTGTAACCCCGGTGACGCATCATAGTCATGACTTGGCGCAAAAACTGGCAACGATCATATATGGAGAGCTTACAGCGCTTCCGGCTGCGGACGCAGAATGGCGGAGTGGTACTTAGCGGTGCCTGCGGGTCGCCGGAGGAGGCGTTCTTGTTGGCATTGATTTGTTAAGGGAGTTCTGCGATGTGCGAATAGGTAGAATAAATTTTGCTCAGGCTTCGAGGTGCGCGGGCGTGATACAGACAATAGAACAAATAACTTTTGGAACCATTGCTGAAGTGATTGGCATCTGCTCTTTCCAATATATGCAACCTGACGTCAGCCATATGATGAACATGGTGATCCTCGCCATCGCACGATTGCTCAGCGTTGTCTCTATGCTCATGGCTTCGTTCGAAACAACCAGCAAACGAATACCGGTCATCCATCTCAAGCCGTGCCTTGTTCCTGTGCCCGGCTAGCCGTACGATGGTGTTTCAAACAATGCAGTGATCTCACGAGAAGAAATGCGTTGATTTGGGTCTGTCTTATACGGGTCTTTGAACATCGGCTTCGTGTCTTGGATCGGCATTTTCGGAACAAGTATATGCTTGCGTACCGTGTCTGGTGTGACCGAGACGGCGCCTCTCGTTGAGCTTCGATGGAGACCTGTCTGAACCACAACGCAATTCTTTACCTTGTCCAATCGTATATACCTGAAGGTATCCCATTCAGCTCATCATTGAGCAAATCCAGTCTCCAGACTCCAGCTTGCATCTCAAGCTAACATCGCTTCCATCTCTTACTCAATCGCTTCCTCTGGTCACGAACTCGTTCTCCCACTCTTTGCTACTTTCCCAGCAACAGAAGCCAAGTCGCCAAATCCCCTCACGTGCCAAGAAGAGAGTCCGATTCGCAAGCACCAACAACCTTACAACATGCCACTCAATCGTACTGTCAAGAGGCCAGCCGCAGCGCCACTCGTGGCACAACTGTATGATTTCCTTGTACGATTGAGAGCCTGTGCAACTCGCTTCGACGTCAACCCCAGTAACACCGTCAACTACGCGCAAGAAATCCGTAGCGAACTTGCCTAAATCCGAGATGATGCGATAGCACTTCGCCGCATCATTAGGGTGGTGAGGCAGACCGAGATCCGAGTTTCCACAATGCCAGATGCTAGAGAGGGGGCGGGCTGCCACGCCATATCCTTGTGTACTGGGCGCGGGGGACGCAAATCATGGGCATTTTCTATGAGATGCGGCCGCTTGTGACCCTACTCATTGAGGATAATGCGAAGATGAGCTCAGAAAACCGCAGGATGCTTCTGGATTGTGTCCGTGCGTTAGTGGAGTGCTTGATGGAGATTCTTTCTGGAGAGCTCTTGGTGCTTTCGACTCGTGCTCATCGCACGAGATGACGGCATGCCGTTCGGCAGTGAGCGGAAGTCTTTCGTAGTGGCCCGCGGCGGTTCTAGTCTGTTGTGGACGGTTGTTTTTTCCGAATTAGAATAGAAGGGTGATCGGCTGAAGGTCAGAGAACGTTGTGGGAGTTCTACCAGCAAAGAAACAACCAGTTCCTTCATTCTATTGAACAATATTTAGCGTTGCTGCATCTGTCCATAAGAAGGATATGTTCCCAGGTGACTCTGACTGAACACGCTGACCCGCAACGAAAAGACTCGTCCATACACACACAGAATGTCTTCTCCTCCATCAGCTCGACCATTCAACACGCAATGGGAGACTCTGAAGTGGCTCCTCCACGTAACACAACGCATAGTCATTCAAAACCAAGGCATGGAGCTGAACGCGGTTCTCACCTACCAAAATCCCTGGTCACTCCACCAATTCCGGAAACTGCGAGAAACGGCGGATCGTATCAAGATGACATTGCACGACCTCATGGTCAACTACGGAACCTTCCACGCCAACTTCAGCGAAGGGGAGTTCAAGGACACGCTTGATATCGCGCAGAATCTCGTGACTGATCTCAGAGAGGTGGACGCCGCCGTAAGCAGTTACAGCCAGGAAGGCAGAAGCGACACCGAGAAGGAAGAGTTGAAGAAGCAGATTCGTGCGCTCCTGGGAAAGATCGACAAAGCACTCGGAAGTGTAAAATTGGAGCCAGGCGATCCCAAGAAGCCGATCCGGGAGGAATGTCTTCTCAATATGAAGGAACGTGCCAGAATGAGACGTCCGGAACCGAAAGAGGAACTGGAGGAAGACGAATGGGAAGTAGGTGAACTGGATGAAGAAGAGTTGGAGGCTAGAGAATTGGACATCGAGAGATTGGAGAATGAGGCGCTGTCAAAATTAGGATAGTCACACTCGCAACTCCCTATCCTGCCCCAGGACGAACAGTCAGTACTCTGCAGTGATAGATGGAGGTAATGACTTCGAATGTTTGCGCAGTTGGCAGGGTCTGAGCATATCATGTTGGTTCTGGAGATGCTGTTTAGTGCAGTTGCTGCCTGTCCTGATTAGCATGTAGCTAGTATTCGATGAATATGCTTTTTCATGTTCGAAGCAGAGTTCCCTCCTGCAGATACTCCTTCGATTTCTTTCCCGCCTAGTTACCAACCCAACTTTCGAAGCTGTAGAGCTATACGGTTCATTGTAGAGAGTCCTTCAAGCTATCGCAGATCCAAGTCGCGCGCTGGACACGCTTCATCAACTAGTTGACTCTCATGGCACGCAGCGGCGCTGTTCTACTTTCTCCTCACCTCTGTCAGCACTCATGTCAAGCGCTGTACATTAATACAGGATATAGAACCCGTCGTGTCGGTGCGATGGGAACTGATCCGCTCGTGTCGTTAAGAAGGGATAACGCAATCTAAGGCCTCTCGGAGGCTTTCCGGAACGACCTTCCCCCTTTCGATTGCTGAAGTGGCAACTCATGCAGGAACCCGCTCCCTTGCTTGCCGATCAGTCCAACGGCGCAGACCGCGCAAAGACGGAGGTCACGCCGCTTCTGCCGGACTCCCAGCGTCAGACGCCGTGCTATTTCTGGTGTGCGGAATCACCAGCATCGGACCGCGTCTGATGCGGAAGGCAAACGAGTCTGAGGGTCGTGATCGTTATGGGCAGCGGGTGACGACCGAATGTTTGCTATGAGCGGTTTCTCATCGAGACGAGCTGAGAATACCCAGTTCGAAAGAAGCTGAGGCAGTACCGATGCCGTGCGACACTCCTGCTGAGTCCCGCCTTCAGCTGCCATCCCATGCTACTGGTTCCGGTGTCTGGCTGAAGTTGCTGAGGTGGACGCTGCCGTTGCTTCTTGTTGTTGCTGCAAGTAAGATTGCTAGAGCGAATCACAGCTGAGGCCTTGTGCGGAAAGATGAGGGGACATCGGATGTCCGGGTCCTGCCAGAATCGGGAAGGTGTCAGGGGAAATTGGCAGCCTCGCATGGACCACGCCTTGACTCGCTGCCGTATCGCCAGAACATTGAGAGACCACCGTGGTTCACTTTGGATAGGAGGCGGTGGCATTCAAGTGCGCTGGCAGACTTCCGACAAGGAAGTTACAGGTACCTAAGTAGGTAGGTAGGTAGATCCGAGCACTCAGTAGCCAGCAAGTGTAAGAGAAACTCTGAGCAGTTTGCATTGTATTTCCGTGTCATCGGCCCTCTGGCCGTATTCTTCCTTGCCAGCCGTTCAAGCGCTTGTTCCTGGTCCCAATTTACGCCAATCTAAGCCCGCAGCACGGCAGTCATACCATGTCCAATGGAGGCCTTGTTTGCGGGTCTAGTGGCTGTTGATCCCCCGGTACCCTTCGCTTCCCTCATGCTCAATCTGAGTGCCCGATATAAACCTTTCTTACTTCCTCCTCGATACTCTTCTTTCTTCACCCACACACATTCGTTCAGCAAACACCCCGGTTATCACCGATTTCACTCGTTTTTCCAACGCCGAACAGCTCCTCAATCTTCAACCAACAAACATCCACTTACCGTTCCTCCAATTGAAATATTAATACCGTCAAAATGCGCTTCTCTACCGTCGCTGCTACTGCCGCTCTCGCCGTTGGCGCCTCCGCATGGCAAGGCAACTCGACCGCCCCGGTCTACATCACCGAGGTCGTCACTGCCTACACCACCTACTGCCCTACTCCCACTGAGATCACCCACGGCGGCTCCGTACGTTCTATTGACAACCCTTCTGCTTCGAGAAGCTGTAAACTGACAAGCCCGTAATCAGACCTACACCGTCACCGAGGCCACCACCCTGACTATCTCCGACTGCCCTTGCACCGTCACCAAGCCCATGACCTCCTCGGTTGTCACCTCGTGCGCCACCTGGTACTTGTCCCCTCTTCTCCCATCCTATATACTTTACTGACACCCAATCTTACAGCACCCCGGTCGCTCCCCACGTCCCGTCCTCCAGCGCCCCGGCTCCTCACGTGCCCTCTTCAAGCGCCCCAGCTCCCCATGTCCCATCCAGCAGCGCCCACTACAACAACGGCACCACCCCCATCACCTCTTCTGCCACCCACCCAGCTGGCACTGGCTCCCCATCTGCCACTAGGAGCGGCCCGATCGCCACCTTCACGGGTGCTGCCAACAAGGCCTTTGCTGCCTCGGGCGCTGGTCTTGCTGCCGTCTTCGGCTTCGCTGCTTACGTTTTGTAAGCGGCTGAGCTGATGGGGATGTCGCGCCGTTAAGTGAGTTTGCTCTTCTGACGAGAGCAGACTGGCTGGCGACGTGGTTATGCTCGAGAATTTGTCGTGGTTGGGGATTCAGTTTGGGGGTTTGGATTCATCGGTAGTGACTATAGGCTCCTTGCTGGTCCAACGGTCGATGCTTCATTGCACGACAAGGAGAACAATCCTGAGGCTTCGATGATATCGCATGGTGGTCCTTCTAGTTTCAGTGCGTGGCAGGCGGCTTCTTCGTCGAAGCGATCTAGCAATACTCATGTAATTCGTGGACGGACAAGTTGGATGAGTTGTTTGTATGAAGGGGGTCGTAATGTGTGGGATGGTGGTTTACTTGCATGTCCATAGTCCTCGAACGCTTGAAGAGATCGAGACTATAATCGACATGGTTCCACCATCATGTCATGCATCTCTGATTCTGAATTGATTGGACTCGAATTCGCAACACCGTCGTAGGTCCTAGGCTTAGCATTGTGAGCTGGAGAGCTCGGCTAATCACGTGCCCCTTCCCTCTCCACCCCATCGAGTACCCTCCCGCCAAGCATCCCCACAGCACGCTCAGATGCCCTCATCCACGCGCCCGCAACTCCCCAAAAACTGGCCCCCACATCTACCCTACCTGATCCAACCCACCTACTCCCCCTCTCTCCTCTCCTCAACTCTCGCGACCCTCCGCACGCCTCCCCCCAACGCCCAAATCCTCGCCTCTCAGCAGCAGGGCCCTGCGGGACCTTCCCCTCTCGTCCGCATCCGCCCCATCAGCGACCCCGCGCATCCAGCAAACGGCCAGCACGGCCTCTTCGCCGCGCGGGACCTCCCACCCGGTAGCTTCATCCTGCTATACGGAGGTCACGTGCACGGGGCCGAGGACGCAGATCCGGGGAGCGACTATGATCTGAGTCTAGATGCTGAGGCCGGCGTGGGGATTGATGCGGGGAGGGGTGGGAATGAGGCGCGGTTTGTAAATGATTATCGGGGGATAGAGGCGGGGGGACCTAATGCTGAGTTTCGCGAAGTGTGGGTTCGAAAGGGGAAGGTGGTGGAGAAGGGGATGGGGGTGTTTGTGCTGGGGGCTGGGAAGAGTGGGAGGAGGGCAAGGGGAATTGGGAGGGGGAGTGAGGTGCTTGTTAGTTATGGGAAGGGTTTCTGGAGGTTGCGGGGAATGGGAGAGGAGGAGGGAAGGAGTGAAGAGGAGGGTGGGAAGGCTGCTTGAGGGCCGCTTCTCTGATGCGGTGGGACGTTGAGGTCCGTCGCTGCTTTCTGGACAGATAGATGCGCTGATGGGAACGGGTCTATCCGCTGCGCCTGGCTGGAAGTAGTATCCATGAGCCGCTGAGTTTGTTGAAATTCACCAGGACGCCTAAAACGGGGGAGCAACAAAACAGTAAGTCTAAGGATGTGTCGGCGAGTAATCTTACTAACCTCAAGGCGGCAGCCGCTGAACAGCGATTCAGGCGGAGGAGCTGGCATGACAGATCCAGGATGACCTTACGTGGAGGAGCTACAAGGGATGAGCGTCATTAGTCATCGAGGAGCACATATTGCCTTTTCGATTTCAGCATATCGTATGAAGGAGGGTCATTGAACCATAAAGGAGTTCATTCAATCCTATCTATATATAACTCATCAATGCCATGGTAGATTCCCAGCCATTTTTCAAACTAGCCGAAGTCACAAAGGATATCAAATAGCCAGCTTAATCTCCGCGGCGTCAAGACAAGTTGACACCCACGAAAAGACACGTGACCCAGAACCAAAACTATCTCTCGCCAATTACCGCGGTATCACTTTTCCCTAGCCCTGCTTCTGCTCCTGCGCCTTCTTCTGCGCCGTCTCCTTGCCCTTGCCCAGATAGCTCATGATGAACGAATATGCATCAATCGCGACCTTCATCTCCGTGGAGATCGCCGCCTTCACTGATGTCACAAGACCATCCCCGCCAGTCTTCTTGTACTGATCGTCATATGTGTTGAAGATGTACTCCTTGCCCTTCAACCCCACATGCACCGGGAACAGAGCGTAGTCGAGGATGGTGCCCTTCACCTTCTCGGTATCCTCCTTGACGATGGGGAAGGTCTGCTCGGCCTTGGTGAGGCCAGAATCGGCGAGCGAATCGGCCTTCTGGACGTATGGCGCTACCCAGCTGTAGGGACCCTGCAGGTAGGGCACGAAGGGCGCGCCGAAGCGGTCGTAGGTCGAGGTGGCGAGGTTGAGGGTCTTTTGGCCGTAGGGGTTGGACTTGTAGGTCTCTATGCTGTCGGAGACGAGGGGGAGGGAAGTGAGGTGCTGGAAGAACTTGTTAGTGGGGCGTAGAGTGGAGGGAGGGAGGGAGTGAAAGGGGGAGGGATGGGAGCCTACAGAGAGGAACTGGGAGGATGGCTTCTCGCCGTTGGTCATTGATGAATCGCCCATTGTGCTGTCGTTATCTGCGTGCGGCATAAAGTGGTGTAAAGCGTGGAGGGTAGCTTGCTGGAGCACTGTGCGGCTGTGGTGTGGAGAGAGCTGGTGTTGTAGAGCTAGATGATACTGCCGCGTGGAGAGGGTTTAAGAAGTGGTTCTGTGTGCAGAAAGTAGAGGTGGGAACGTGTGGGAAGAGGACAGAAGAGCAGAAAAGCAAAATGTTGGGTGATTGAACCTGGATGTCATCGCAGAGCTGCTGCGCTCGTCTTCGGCATGTGAAAGTGGCACGGGCCAAGGGCAAGCCACAGTTGACAGCCCCGCGATAAGGTTTTCGCTGCACTCGTCACGAATTCAGGGATCCCTCGGAGAAACAGTCCAATGAAACGCCTTGATAGAAAACAGCCATAAGAATCTCCTGCCTGAGGAATGCGTCCCTCCACCTGTGTCCAACACCAGCAACAGGAACGACAGGATATGACGGTGCAACTGGTGATGGCACTCTCGTCCTATGGAGAGGAAGGCCTGCTCCCGTGAAACTGACCACCCGTCTCTTCCATCGACCATCGCGACCTGCCAGCCGTCCGTCCTCTCAACTCGCTCCATGATAGCCCAGCCGGAGGAACTCGATCTCGAGGTCGTCTCTAGCACTCACATGTCAGAGGCTTTCTTTCACGCCAGCGGCAGGCGGGTGTGGCGAAGCTAGCTCTAGCTCTAGCTCTAGCTCTCGGGCATGTGGGCCTGTGGCTGCCAGACACGAGCTTGTTGCACGCAGACCTGTCGATCAGATTTTTGCTGAGCTTTCCCTTACCAAATTTTCCACCAGCATCGCGTCAATGCATCTCCGCCCGATCCGGGGAAGTGGCCATTGGAGTCTGGCGGCAGTCAATGGCTGTCTGCGCAGGAGATTCTGCAGTCTGCCATCGAACCGCAGAGCGCTTCCGTGAGAGCTGCGTCACCTCGAACTCTCAAACTCTGCCCACCGCACCGCTGGAATTTTCACGTGCAACCGCTGTGTGTGCAAGCCTCCCGAATCGACGATCCTCAATGCCTGGCCAGCTCAACGCCCTCTGGGGCTGCGAGGCATCCGAGATGTGCGTCTGTTATCACAACGGCGCCTGGCGCTGGTTTAGATATGAAGCTCCGTCACACACCGAATCTATCCAGACGAGGTGCTCCGTACGATGGGCATGCAAAGCATACCTCCGACCTGCAACTTTCCTCTTGCTGGAGTCTGAATAACCCCAGCGCCGCCGGTCTTTATTCCTCTTTCGCCTGATAGATGCGAAGCCACAATACATGCACCCCTCGCACGGCCTCGAGATATGAGCAGACTATCGCAGCCCTTTGGAACGGATCACCGAGCTCACGCAATGTTACCCGGCCTGCGCAATTGCTCTACGGGCCGGAGTTTGTTTACTAGAGAGGCTGAATGTACGAGCGCTTCGAGGTAACCAGTTGCCTCACGGATTTCAGCAGCGACTGCCTTGTAGCCTTCCCTTGAAGTACGGCAGATTGAGAAATGCAAATGCCGAGCCTCATTGCTAGTACTCGCGGAAGGAAAGCCGCATCTGCTCGGAACTGTACCATGTGTGGGGAACCAGGAATGCGGAGAAATCAGCAATAGTTTCACGCACAAGTCACACCATCCCGGAAATCAGCACGCAACGAACTGCCTCGTTGAGCAGCTCGCAAAGCTGTCTTGAACATGGGCTTCCGGATTCCCAGACTCCAACTGCATGGTCTCACGAAAGCTGCTTGGGATTTGCCGAAGGAATGTCTACGCACCAACACCGTCGGGCCGGGTTCCTTCCGGAGAAGCAAGTCCAGCTGCCTCAACATGCTGTTAACATATCCAGATCAAGACTCACCTCCTTAGTCTGGACTAGCTATTGTTGACTGCGGATCTACCCGTGCGATTTCTGTCGATGAGTCTGGCCGATAGTTAAAAGGTAAGATACCGAAAGTCGGATAGCAGCTTCCATCTGCACGTGGAGTATGAATGCTCAATGGCTCCTTACGCAGCTCGTGGCGCAGCCCAGCAGCTCGATTTCTGGACATACAGATTGGGGTGCTACAATCGCTGGATTCACAGTCTAGAGCACGTCGTGGGACCATACTAGGATTGGAGCAGCAATCTCCGACATGGCTTCCACTGCACCGAGGCCTCCGATATGCACATGCTTCCGACTCGCACCGCTCGAGCGTCCAGAGAGCCCGTCTTCGCTACAAAGAATTTCTCAGCGGGATACATCCTTAGACTTCCTGATGGTCCAGACGGGAGGTAGGTAGACGAAAACCGACAGAGCACATTTTGACTGTTAGTTCTGCTGGTTCTGTAATGGGCATCACGTTATGGAGTTCGTTAGCACCCTACGTAGGGTTCGCATGAGATGCACGGAAGCCATCGCTCGCAGCAGGCATCAGGAATGGCCTACATAGGCCTTGACGAGGTGGATCGATAAGCCTTACTAGGCATGGACAATTTTCTCTTCGGTGATCATGCTCCTGTTCTCTTGAAATTATCATTCGCGCTCCCACCGTTTATTCATAGCCCGTAGCAGCTTTGATTCCGACTTTCTTGGCTCGAGCATGGCAATGTGATGGAAGCGGTGTAGATATCCAACGGAGCGCTAGTGTGTTCTCGTTCCATTTGTGCCTTTGGGATATAAAGCAACCACACTACCGTCACAAGCTCGGATATGCTATTCCCATAGTAACAATTTTGAGTGCCTGATTTCTTGTGCCCGCATGATACCGACTCCATATTGTTATCCAACCGAAACAAATCAATATGGTCGATGTACAAGGCATTAGCAGAGCTTACCACGGTGCCTGTAAAGCAGAGAACAGACATCATTGTAGAATTTGCCTTGAGCACGCGCGGGTGTAGATTGAAGTGCCGGATAGGATTCTTTTGTATAAAATGCTTCGGCTTGAAAAACACATTTTACTCATGTATCCTCGTAGCTGAAGAATTTCCCACTTCAGCAGGTTGGTGAACAAGTTATTAGCAGACTCGCTGCCGGATGGTGCCTTGGTGTGCAAGACAGATTCGAGCGGATGCGGCTCTGAAGTTCTGATATCTTGGCACCGGGGGATCTGCGGCAATCGGCGTGCCAAGCTCGCACACTCGCCCAAATTACGACGCAACTTCGACAACCAGCGAGTGTCGGCGATAGCAACACGGAACCTCATCTCCTCACTAACATCGCGCAGTCAACATGAAGTGTGAGTACCTTCTTCATGCCACATCTATCTCTTGACCGGATCCAAGCTAATACAATGGTTGCGCAGTCCTCAAGGTACGAAAGCCGAACAAACCTCTTCCTCCGTATCCGCGACCCGCAGTACTCGTCTGAATACACGATTGACATAACGATAGGTTGGCAGAGTGTGCATCGTCACCAGGTGTGTGCCGGAGATTTGGGAGAGGCTTTACAAAGGCTAACACGGAGCGAAGGGGCCGATTCGCCGGAAAGAAGGTCAGAAGCCCCACGAGAAGTTGTCGGATACGAGGGCAACGTCAAGGCATGAGTGCAGAAGTTGACAATAGATCAGGTTGTGATCATTCAGCCTCAGGACAAGTAAGCGCGGACCGGGAACCCGCGACTGTGGGCTGTACTGATAATGCGCAGCGGCACCAAGCAACACGCTTTCCCCCATGCCATCGTCTGCGGCATTGAGCGATACCCCTCTCAAGTCACCCGTACGTCTACGCCCTCGAACAGTCCTCTTTTGTCGCCATAGACTCCATCCTTGAGGCCCAGCAACTGACAAATCACCGGAACAGGCCGTATGTCGAAGGCCCGGCAAGCAAAGCGATCAAAGGCAAGCGATTGCAAATCCGTATCATCAACCCCACTGGCTAACGTATAATGTGCAGGTCAAGCCATTCATCAAGTGCGTTGACCATCCAACCGAGTCGAAAGCGACTGCTAATACCGGGCCATCACTGCAGGATCGTGAACTACACGCACCTGATGCCCACCCGTTACACTCGTAAGCAGGCCTTTCCGGGAACTAGAAGATCGGCCACGGCTGACACTATCATTAGTTGAGCTTGAGGGACTTAAGGGTGCCGTGTCAGCAGACAATTTCAAGGAGGTCTCGCAGAGGGAAGATGCCAAGAAGAACGTGAAGAAGGTGCTGGAGGAGCGGTACCAGAGCGGGAAGAAGTAAGCCACTCCGGTTTTACCACAGTGAGCGGAAGCTGACTTAGATTAGCCGCTGGTTCTTCACGCCACTACGGTTTTGAGCGTTACGTTGTCCATGGATGCGGGGAGCGGTCTGTTGCAGCACGGCTTTTCGATGGGAACATCCTGATTCTTTGGGGCTATAACGGGTCACTGGCAGAACAGTCGAAATTCAAAGTACTTGTTCGCTATCTGACTTGTGGTTCTACATTTAGCGAGTGTTGACTCAGGGAACTAGCGCTCATACTGCAGTGGTCCCTTTTCATAGAGCAATTGCAAGAACTCTGTCCCGAAATCATCGACTGAAACATGTCTTCATGTCCAATTGATATTGTATCCTCTATCTCTTGCCCTCGCACCAAGGCGGGACACGGAAGACAACGAAAGAACCCAACAGTCAAGAGCATCTATCACGCTGGACCCATAGTGGCGTCCATAAAGATCATCAAGGCATTTACCACAGCCCCAAAGATGCGCAAGCTGTGCATCGGATCTACCATCCACCATTCCAATGGCCCGTGACTGGACGTTTGGTCAACAGTCCGGGGATGGATCTACACCGACTGTCTCTGTAACGATTGCTTGACAGGATATGTTCTTCAGTTAGTTGTGTCGTATTTTCAGAGTATGGTCCCAGGCTAAAGCAGCGTGCCCAAGGGAATGATTTCGACAAGAAACCATAGCACTTCGGCGGCACTGTTGCACTGCTGCAGGAAATCGTGACTGCGTGAGTTTCGACCCGCTAAGAGGTGTGTTGGTAGAGCAGTAAGACAGATATCACTGGATGAGCCATGGAATGAGAATGGAAGATGTTATCATTCAAAAGAGCTATAATACCTAAACTAAGCATCCAAGCGCTCAGAATCAGCGACGACGCCTCATTGGCCCCTTGTGGTATCCGCGACAGTAACCATCCTACCAGCTATCCCAAAAGACTGTCATCATAAACACCGATAACCCCCAAACATCTCATCACCCAACCTGGGATCCCTCCTCCGCAACCCTCCTGAAGTAATCCGTCTGCCCACCACTCAGCCTTCCCGTCGGCAAATCCGACCCCAACCCGCTGTCACTCGGTGGCGCATAGAGCACCATCCCCCTCTTCGCCGCCGCGATCTCCTCCCGAATCTCTTCTGCGCTTGGCCCATCCGCTTCCCCTACGTCCCCTTCCTCTTGATCCTGCTCCACCTCCGTGTTCTCCCCCTCCTCCTCGCCCTCCTCATCAATAACCGTCCCCCCAAGCGTCGATCTAACTGTCGACCCATAGCTCGTCCGCCTCTCCGACTCCGTTCCCGTCAGGTACGAACCAGTCCCATACGTCCTCTCGCTCTCCCCGGCCCCAAAACTCGTCCTCCGGTCCGTAGACGGCGTCTCGGTCAAGTAACTCCCCGTGCCATACGTTAGTGCACTCTCCGTCCCCGTCACGGCCGTCGCGTAGCTATGTCTCCTCTCCGTGCCGGCCTCAGACAGCGTATGCAGCTCCCCGTCACCACCGTGACGCGACTCGACGAACTCCTCGCCCTCGCTCTCCTCGCTTAAGACTTCGTTCTCCTTGTCGAGCCCCATGCCGCTACTGCGGCGACCGCCCCAGGAACTCTTTCGCGGGAACGCGGCCGTCTTGACGCTGTGGCTGCGCTTGAGCCCTGTGTTGGGAGCCCCGACGAATGCGGCGGAGCCGGTGGGGACGTTGTGCGTGATTTGGTTCAGCGAGAGGATCCGTCGGCTTGCTGGATTGATGGGGGCGCCGTTGTTGCGGCGGACGGGGGGACGGGCCTTGAGGGCCAGGGTCAGGGCTGTGGCGGCGGCGCTGGGGACGGGTGATGCTGTGGTGGTGGCGGGTTTTTGGGGCGTGGTGCTGGCCATGCGAGAAGGTTGGGCGGGTTTCGGGTGGGTGGTAGGGACTGTACGGGCGGAACGCGCCATCATCATTGCGCGGGAGTGATCCATAATCTGCTCGAGAATGCGGCGTTCGAGGGTGTCGGCCTTAGACTCCATGATGGCGAGTTCCTCGCGGCGGATGTCGAGGGCGGTCTTGAGCGCGGAGACGTCGGCCGCGAGCCCGGCCTTGTGCGCTGCAAGGGCGTCCTTCTCGGCACGCAGAGACTCGACCACGGTGGAAAGGGACTCTTTCTCATGGTTCAGGCTCGTGATATCGGACTCGAGCTGGTCCTTCTGCGCGAGGCGGCGTTCGAGCAGCAGCGCCACCTCCTCAGCCTCGCGTTCTTTGCTCTCGTGGCCCTCGGTGATGAACTGTGTCTGCTTGGCCACAAAGTCAGAGACCTCGGCCGCAGTCGCGAGGACCTGCTTGTGGATCTGGTCGAGGCGGTCGAGCTGCGTGATGGATTTCTCTGAGTCGGCTGCGTGCTCGATGAGCTTGTTTAGCTTGTCCTGGACGTGGCTGTCGTCGTATCTCTCTGGCTCGGGGGCTGGCGGCGGTGGAGGAGGGAGCAGGGCTGGGAGGCCGATGACGCTGGCGTGGAAGCTGTTCTTAATTTCTTCGAGCTCTTCAGCGCGGTTCTGGGCTTCCTTGGCGGCGAGCGCGGCTTGCGCTTTTGCTGCTTCGTCGGACTTTTGCGCGTGCTCGTAGTGCTGCTTGACGAGTGCCTGGATCTCTTGCAGCATGATGCTGAAGCGAGGGTGGTTTTCGATGATCTCCCCTTGGAGGCCGTCCAGTGCGGTGAGCGCTTTAGCAATCTCATGCCGCGTGTCTTGGTGCTCCGTTTTGTTCAGCGTGTGGTGCTCTTCAAGTTTCGCAGCAGTATGTTCCATGCGGTCGAAGACGATTTGCGAATCCCCACTCATCTTCTCCGACGCCTCTTTGAAAGACTCCCCGAACATCACAACCGATGCCCCAAGAGTGTCGAGCGTAAGTTTGAGCTCTTCAGCCATCGCTCTAGTGCTTGTCAGCAGCTCCTCTTGCTGGGCGGATTTCTCTTCCATGGCTTTGACTTGAGCGTCTGCAGCGAGTACGGCGTCGTCATATCTGGCGGCAATGATCTCGAAACGCTCGTCCAGTTTGGCGGAGATCTCAGAGACAACAGCAGTCTTGACTTCGTCGTGCTTCTCTAGGTTCACAGCAGACCTCTCCCCGTTTTCGGTTATCAAGCCCTCGATAGAGCCCTGAGCGCGCTCGAACTCCCGCGTGACGATCTCCATGAGCTCCTTGACATCGGCGTCGATGTTGAATCTGGAGCTGATGGTTTCTTCCAGGCCCTTGACTGCGTCTTTGAGAGCCTCGACATTCGATCCGCCTTCGGTGACCTGGGTCTTCAGCTCTTCCTTGACCTCTTCAATGAAGGTCTTCATATCAGCAATACCGAGGATGAGATCCTCAGCCTCTTTCTTCCGGTCATCGAATGCCTTCGCCGTGACGGCGATGTCAGTCTCGTAGCTGTCCCTGAGCCTGTCATGGCTCTCTCGGAAGTCGTGAATCAGACCAGTCAGTTGCTCTACATCTGCTTTCGTGGGCAACGCTTCTGCTTCCGGGAAAGTCATGGACTCAACTTTGGTTTTGATGTCGTTGCAAAGCAGAGCCACGATGTCAAAGTCGGTCTTGGTGACCTTCTCGGCTTTCTCTGCCTCCTCATCGACGTCTTCAGATGGCTTCTTAACGTCCTTGAGCTCCTCGATCGCAGTCTTGAGATCTTGAACCAAGACTTCCACCACGGCGACGTCACCCTTGGTGGCATTCTCGTCGAGTCTGGGCCCCAAGCCCTCAATTGCTTCGCTCGCAGATTTCATGGCAGCCTCCACAGCTTCGAGCTTCTCCTTCGTGACTGCGTCGTCCAACCCGGTCAGAATCATATCGTCGATCTTAGCTGAAGTATTGCGGAGGAGTGTCTCGATGGCATCAGTATCCTCCTTCTTAGCAGCATCTGACGGACCGCTGCCATCCCGCTCAGCGACAAGCGCAACCATACCCTGAAGATCCTTGAGCAGCTCCTCGATCCCGGCCAGATCGCTCTGTAGCGCAACGCCAGGAGCGGGTACGAGTGGTATAACGGCAGCTGGTGGCGCTGGAATCGGATTCTGGATGTTGGAGTCCATGGCTTCCACTTTAATCTGCAGCTTCGCAAGCAAGACCTCCATCTTCTCCAAGTCCTTACGGCGGAGAGCATCAGGAGCAATCTCCTCCGAGGTGGTACTCTTTGCTGGCGCCTTGCGAGGCGTGGTCGCCTCCGAATCAGCAAGCACGATCTCATTGCCGGTAGGAGCGTCGCGTGTGGAACCCGCCTCGGACTCCTTGTCGGCCTTCAGTAGCTCAATATCCGCTCGAAGACCAGCTAGACCATCCTTTAGGGTGTCCAAGATTTCGTAGGAGACAGTCATGTCAACCGGCTTGTTCACGATCTTCGAGACATCTGCTCGAAGACAGTCTAAGCCTTCGTTCAAAGCATCTATAACCTCTCCCGTGGCCGAGATGTGCTTGTCGGGATTCTCAATCTTTCGCTCGAGATGCGAGCGGAGGTCGTCCAAGCCTAGTCGTACGGTGTCCAGAATCTCCTCGGTATCGTTTCGCGGAGCGTTGCTGACAATACTAGCCGCTATGGTTGTGCGCAGGCGCTCTAGTTCCTCGCGAATGTTTACCAGTGTCTCGTCAGTTGCGCCTCTACCTTCTGCCTGCTTGAGCTGAGGCAACATTTCCTCGAAACCGGAGCGAAGCGCTTCAAGGATTTCACCCTTGTCATCGGACTCGCCGCTTCGAACAAGAGCAGTACCCATCGTCTCGCGAAGGTGCTTGAGTTCTCCTCGAACGGCTGCCATGTTCTCCTCCGTGGCAGCCTTCTGCTCGGACGAGAGGTGGCTGCGAAGACCGTCAATGAACTCTCGGACCCGGTCAACAATCTCGTCGCTATCATTCGAGGCGCCGGACTTGATCAGTGTTGTTGCTAGAGTTTCCCTCAGGTGGACCATCTCCTCCTTCAAGCCGATAAGTATCTCCTCATTCGATTCGGGTCTCCTGTCCTCACGGCCGTCAAGCCTGGCGTGCAGCCGATCAAGTCCAGCGTGGATGGCCTCGAGCAGCTGATCCTTGTTCGAGGTGCTTTCGCCTAGTATATCGGTTTTGAGTAGCTCAAATTCCTCTTTCATAGCCTCCATCATCTCATCATCGTCGTCCAGATCTCGAGTGCCAGACTGCAGCTTCATCGCTTCGAAGCCCTCATTGAGCGCACAGATGATCTCTTCCTTGTCTTTCGCCGGGGCGGTAACACTTCCACCAATCGTCTCATGTAGATGCTCGAACTCGGACCTGATATACGCGAGCATTTCGGTCCTGCTCAAGACAGAATCACCCTGTGGGCCGATCGCCACATAGCCCTCGACATCGCTGCGAAGCTGTTCCAAGCCGCCTTTGACAGTGTCGATGATCTCATCCTTGCCCGTGACATCTTGCGCACGGTCAACGTAGCTCTCGATCTCCGCACGAAGGCTCTCCAGCCCATCTTTGACAGCATCAAGGACCTGCTCGGTGTCTCTGCCATTGGCGGAGGAGTACGCCTTAAACTCGGAGCGCATGTCCTCGACGAGGCCGTGGAGGCGGTTCATGACTTGCTCACTGTAGGTGCCGAGAGGTGAGTCCGCGAGACTGGCTTTCAAGGCGTGGAAGAGGTCGTCGCGGCTGATTTCAAGCTCGCGCACGGCATTGGGACCGTGAGTTGCGAGACCTTGCTTCACGGCATCGACGACGGCTTCTCGGGTGAGGTCGTCGTGGCGACGTGCTGGGGCAGGCATCACTGTAGCTTTGTGGTTTTCCAGTGCCTCGCGGACGGCGAGAAGGACTTCTTCTTTGAGCTCCTGGAATTCATTCGCGGGTGACGGAAGGGTGACGTGTTGTATTGCCTCGTGAATGGTGTCCATGATCTCGTCTCTGCTGATGCCTGGTTCACGCGAAGCATCGATAGAGCGGTAGCCTTCCAAACCTTCCTTGAGACATTGTAGGATCTCGTCGCGTTCGAGACCAAGTTGCTGAACTTCTACGTCCGGAGTGTAGGCCTCGTACGCTTCCTTGACTGCCCCTAGGATTTCTTCCTTGCTCAAGGCGGCCGCTTGAGGCGAGAGGGCGGTTACCTGATCAAGACCTCGCTCAGCCAGTGCATGCTTGACTACATCGTAGACCTGCTGACTGTCGACCGTGGTGCGTGAGATCACGGATGAAGAAGACTGTCGCCTTCGCTCCTTCATCACCCGATCCATATGGTCCTTGAGTTCAGCGAGCCCATCTCGGACAATGTTCTCGAGATTGACTTTCTTCGGGCCCTCTTCGAGTGCCAGATGCGGCTCACGGGACCGGTGCTGCTCGTCGATCTTCCGCGCAATTTCTCGTCCCATACCCAGGACTTCTCCACGGAGGTCTCGCACCAGCGCCTTCACTTCCGCTGTCTGGCCTCCGGATTCTGCAACGCTGTCCTTGATCTTCTTCAGCAGCTTCAGCATGTCTGCGCTGACAAAATCCGCCGCCTTCGGGCTGGAATAAGCCTTCCCGCCTCCGCTATCTCCGGTACTCGGCATGGCAAGAGACGGGCCCATGTCCAAGGTCGTGCGCGTCAGAATGCCGGCTTCGGGGTTGCTGTATTCCAGCCCCAGTTGCGGCGGTCCGCTGCCAGTAGGTCCCGTCGTGATGAGCGCCTGGCTGTTCGGCTTGTTCTTGACAAACTCCATTAGCTCGCCGACCTTCTTGGCCGTGTCGCTGGACTCTTTGCTCGCCTTGTCGAAGAGTGTGTTGAGTGTCGACAGGAGCCGCTCCTGCCCTTCTTTGGTCACCATCTCCCGGATGATCTTCTCGAGCATGGCGACGCTGGCGGCGCCCTCGACGGAGTAGGGCGAGGGGCTGCCAATACGAAGATCATCGAACATCAGGCTGCTAGGGGTCGGTATCCGGGGTAGGGTGAAGGATTTGTTAGGCGGTGTGGTGATAGGATCGAAGCTGACTGAGCGCGTCAGGCCGGGTGGAGGCAAGCCATGCGTTGCCAAGGAGTTTTGCACGCTGCTCAGAAGCTCCTTCAGGCTCTTTCTGATGTCCTCGTCACGCGAATTTGTGGCCTCTTTGAGACTGATCAAGTCCCCAGCGTTATCTTTACTGCGGCGGCTGAGCTGGGCCATCTCACGTTGCAGACTTGTCGCGATCGTGGTCAAGCTTTGGATCTGAGTAGATAGCATATCGGCTGCTTGAGAGGGTCGCGGAGTTGAGGAGTTTGTGATATTCAGGAGTGGTGTGTCCAGATCAGCGGGAACGGGCATCGTCTGTAGAGCCAGCATTGTCGCCGAGGGTGGCGTATTTTCGCCGAGTATGGCCTTGTGAAGAGGTCGGCTCGTAGGGCGTAGACTGGGGGTATCTTTGAGCAGGTCGCGGCCGCCCGGTGTCGGTGTTCCCATCCGAGTCGGGCTCCTCTCCGGTGAGGCAGACAGGTAGTCCTTGTCATTCTCTCTGCTGAAGGTAGGCGTGCCCACCCGGCTCTGCCGCTCCGGGGACCGCTCTGGAGACCTTGCGCCATCGAGGAAGCTCCGCAGGTCTCGCACGCTGCTGGTCTGTAAGGATTGCATACGCTTGTGCTGCGCGCCCTTTATCAGAGACCGCTCGGGTGACTTTGATGGCATGGGATTGGTTGTATACGCGCTCGCGGGTGCGCTTTCGCGCGCCTTTTCTTCCAGCGCTTTCGCGGTGGCAGCGATTGCCGCGGACATGTTAGGTCGGGTGATACAGGTCGGCGAGCCTGGGTTTAAAGGAAGCGGAGGTGGCGCACGCTCTGGGTCTGAACTATCCCACCTGTGTCGGAAGCGACTCGTCAGCGGCATTTTCTCTACATCTCATGACGGTTCTCAGGATGTTACTTGAGGCTGAAGTCGTCAAGTGCTTACATTGGTACGGAAATCCTGCCCGTTTCAGAGAAGGAATGCTGGTGTCTGATCATGTCCCGCTCCCGGGAACAGTCCCTTGATTCCGACGACATCGCTAACGGTTGCTGACCTCTGGGCCCCCAAAGGTGGTAATTTAGACGCGAGGAATGTACAATGCGAGGTGGTAGCGGAGAGCTCTAGAACTGGAGCTCAATTAAATCAATTGCATTACTTTTGTGGGGCTTTCAAAGCTTGAGCGGTCCAGCGCAGGGAGACGAGAGCGAGAATGGGAGGTGAGGTTGCGCAGAAGCGGCGGGATCGGGTATATGGTTTGCGCTGCTGTAGACGGTTCAAGAGTGAAGCGGCGATAGAGGCCGGGTGGAAATCGAACTTGTAAACAAACAAGTCCCTGCACGCGGCCCGAGCGCAACCACCAATCCGCGCGCTGACGTCGGTCCATTGGCAGCTGCAGGCGACTTTCTTAATCGCTTTCTGATTTTATTCTGCCAGCTGCTGCACGCTACCTATGAGCGCTCCAGTCTTGTTGCAGCACGTTTTGGGCTCCACCTAGCTTGCTGTGTGTGCTTGGCTGTTGGGGACCGTCGCTTCGCGGCAACCGCTGGACAGCAAGTCAATTCGACATCAGCGGTGGGTTTCTGGATACCTAGGTACAGCCGTGACGCCGTGAACAGAGGCTTTCCTGGCTTACTCGAAGGATTGGGGAAGGCTCATTTGGGCAGAGAATTAATCACGGGCACTCTTTGGGGCTCTTGTAGAGTGCCAGGTCTCGTAATAACATCGGTGGCTCTATCAAGCCCCGTAAAACAGCCATCGAATGCAGTGTCTTCTGTCCTGGACGTGTTCATCATAGGTTCGGAAGGTAAGATGTTTTGTCGAGTATTGTAGGTGCTGTCCTTCAATCTCTCACCTTCGACTCTCGAGCTTTACCCAGGCATCGTCAGTGTTCGGCGGATCGGAGTTTTGCTCGCCGAAGCACTTCGAGAATGCCCAGGTGTTAACGCGACGCGTCAAAATAACTAGGTATGTACCCCCAAAGCGTGACGTCCAGTGTGCCTTGACGTGCTGACACCAGTTGGTGAACATTCGTCACTATGCACGGGGAGCTTGTTGTCCCAGCATGGCCGTCTGCATTGGACTGCCTCGCCTGGTCTGCTGACTGCGAACTCGCGGTAGCGGCCGGCGAGGTTGTGGAGCTACTGGTAGGGCCTTCACTTTCGAGATTAATGAGATGGCCTAATGCTTTTGGCAGATACCCAACTCAAAAGCTCAACTTCAAAGCGCAGATGGGGCTTTAGACGGAACTACTAACCCATCATGGGAAAACATTCGCATTCGAACGAACATCTTCTCAGAAGCTGAGCTCCCGCTGCATGAGCCTGCGCCATCTCGCACATACTCGACAGGCGAAGAAATATCCAGTGGCCTCGTCGCGGGTCTCGCCTGGTCACCTCCTGGGCTTGCGAAGCATCGAAGGTGTGCGCTCGCCGTACAGACTCAAAATCTTGTTCTGTCGATCTGGGAATCGTCTGTAAACCCCAGACAACCTGGAAGCTGGAAACGGTCTTTGATAGTAAATCGTGAACTGGAGCGCTACTTTGCCAAGCATCTAACCTCAGAAGAGGAATTGCATGGAAGGGACGCCGCTGAGGTGCTGAGACTTCGGCGACGTATCCGGACGTTCAGCTGGTGCCCTTCGGTTCACACTGCGAGTAGCCAGCGCTCCTCCAACTTCAACCATGATCCACTGTGGAGCGCACATCTCTTAGCTGTATCCAATGACTTTAACGAGGTTATTATACTCCAAGTTCAGTCACCCTACAACACTTTACGCCTGGACAACGCTCAATGGTCGGCACGGGTTTTGGCACAGTTCTCAGTCAAGCAAGACCTCTCATCTCTCAAAGTCAATCCGTCTAGTTTGTATGAGGAATATATGAACCAGCAACGGTTTGTTTTGCAACTCGCGTGGAGTCCATGGATCGCCTCCAAGGATGGATCCATCTCCAGTCTTCTTGCGTACGGAACCAATGACACACTCAGTTGTAGGAATCTTAGTCTTTCCGGAGTATCAACTAGCGCTGCCGTCGAAGTCAGCAAGTCTGATGGGCCGATAGAGCATAAACTTAGAGCTCCGCTTGAAGGACCGCTTCGATGGTCACCGCGTAGCGACACTCCTCACATGTTCCTCATTGCCTTTACTTCGGATGAAGCTCTGTGTTTTTCAATACCTACCAAGACACCAAGAAGTTGCAGCCTCTCAACCCACGATCTTGACGGCAGGTGGGATCCAATATCTGGTAAGTCATCCTACGTTCATAGCTGACATTAACCCGAATTCCTAATGCTCCGCAAGCAACGCTATCTGGAACGATCCATAGGCTGCTAACAGGGTTTACAGGCATCGTGTTCAGCACTGAGTCCCTTGAGACTTTGTGGATCCATTTCGCTTCGCAGACCTCATCGCCTAGTGCTCCGACCACAAACTTGAACCTACCATTGCAACCTGATGCAGTGTCCGAGAGTCCATCGTGGCAGGGCCATATCCTCGAGAGCCAAGCATTATACAGCGCGCAGCATGAGCTTGCCGGCCACGTCCTCGTCAAACAGTGGGGACTTGCCACATTGCCGTTGGGTGATCTGATAGCTTCTTGCATCACACTGCACCCAAGCGACATGCTTCAATACGAGACACCAGCTGAGTATCAGAGCTTCATCGCCATTGATCGGATTTCGGGCAGTCGCGATAGCTTCTGGCTGCCTCAAGACGGCGGGACATCTCCACTTGCAGGTAAAGTCGAAACCAACCCTGGTGGCGGCGGTCATCTAATAAAACATAGACATCAGTGCGGAAACAGTCCTGTTCTATGTCAAAAGATGGTTCGCTCGTAACCGCTCGACGGACAGGAGCGCCAATGCAGTGAAGGCGATACTACAGGAGATAGACGACAAGATCTGGTCGGCGATTACCGAGCGGGATGACCCCACAGTCGCCAGCGCCTTCGAATTGCAACAAACTCGAGACCACACATCTTTACACTCCGATGCGACGGAGTATCATGTCTTGTCGAATGACTGGAAACGTACTCTCTACCTCGACAGGGAGCTTGTAAAACTTCGCTATAAGAACCTGGTGTCGCTCGCCGCGTCTTATCCCAGCCTTAGTAGCGCGATAGGACCGCAGATCTCACTGCAGATAATCAAAAAGATCCTCGAGTTACCGCAGAGACTCTGTGATGGCAGTCAGGTCAGCAGGCGCATACTGCGCCTTTGCGCCTTGGCCTTTATGAAATTTCCGGATTCGTCTCCGGAAGAGCAGCATGAGTCGAGAGACACTGCACCCGGTAGCATAGAGCAATGCGAAATCTGCAACGACCCCATAGAGTTCGAGAACTTGTCTTGGGCGAGGTGTTCACAAGGTCACCAGTTTAGTGAGCAGTTCAGCTACCGGCTGCTTGATGACTATGTACTGACCTTGGCTTAGCGCGCTGTTCTACAACATTCCTTGCCGTCCAGGCACCCGGTATCTCGAAGTATTGCGGAATTTGTGGGAAACAGTACCTGAATGCCCAGTATGTATTTGAGCAGGACACGGCGCTTAACGATACAGATCCTGCTGTTGACAGCACACGGGGATCATCTTTGAAGGACGCACCGTCGACCAATGCGGCAGTGCTTGAGCGAGCGCGTCAAGAGCAAGGTACTAACGCTGCAGAACCACGGCCTTCTATCACGTTAGCCCAACTCCTCGTTGCCGCCTGCGACCTTTGTGTCTATTGTGGTGGGAAGTTCGTCGGTTAAACGCTGTGTAACATGCGGTTCTGCAATATTAGCAAGGAATGTGCATTGTCGTTGCATCCGACGGCCCCTTGCATATACGCACATGCTATGGACCCTACACACTGCACTGTTTTCGGCTGACTAGTGCTGGATCGAGACGTTGCTGCGTTTGCTTTGGGACCGGCATGCCGCATGCAAGATTGAGACGCACAACATAACATCTTGAAACAAACACAACCACCATGAACACTTCCTCTCCTCTCTCAAAGCTCCGCTCGGACCTCTTCTCTCCAAACGTCACCGCACTCGATGGCAGTGCCCACCAACAAACTGAACGCTTGAATGGACTCCTATCATCCCCCAACACACCGCTCTTCGGAACCAGGCCTCCGTCTCTCGACCCGCTCTCTTCCCAAAGACCCGAACGTTCGTGTGTCGAACTCCCCCAGGAACTCGCCGGTAGTGGTCCAAGGCCACAGTCCGGTCAAAAGTATTACCATCGAAATGGACGGCTCCATCCATGATCAGCCCGACACAGGCATGCGCACGACCGACTTTTTCGACGACAGCTCGGAGGACGACGTGGACGAAGCTACCGCCGCTGCTGCTGTGAGACAATCACCACCCTACCGATCCGGCGCAGCAAACGGCGGCAGCGGGCCCAGAGACTCGGTAGCGGTGCATAAATCGAGGAGTAACAGGAAGAGGAAAGGAGAGAGCTACCTGGGTTCAGCGCCAGGCCGCTACGTCTCTCAGTGTGGTAGCAGTAACGACCAAAAAGCACCAGCAGAAGACGGGGGAGAAGGAGATAAAGACCTTCACTCGTCGCTACTAAGCGCCACTGCTGGCTTCCTCCGCCTTACGCCTGGGACCCCTCTTCGCAAGCTCCCGCACCGCCGACATGCCTCGGACTCCCCAGCCAGCTCTTCGTCGTATCCCAACTCTGTTGATGAAATCGCCGCCACGGGCTCTGCGCGCCACATTAGCATGCAGGCCCACGGGCCCGGCAGGATCGTGCACCACTCGTCCCCCCGCGTCTCGGCTGTCTTTACCGACGAAGAGCGGCCCTCCTCTCCGCTGGTACCACTGCCTTTACCGCTGCCGAGTTCCCTTTTCCCAGTCCCAGTCCCCGCCGAGACCAGCGACCGCCACTCCCGAATCAAGACGCAAAGCATCGTAATCAGCAAAGCCGACCAAATCCTCGGCGCGCACGAGATGACTCTCCAAGCACTCCTCCACGACGAAGGCTCTGCCCCACCCGCCCTAGCTCCTGCATCTCGGCCTATTTCCACACCCGTCGGAGCCTTCAAGCACACCCGCCAGCGCTCCGCCTCCGCCTTCGCGAGGAAAGTAAGCATGGCCCCGCCACCAATCGACACACACCACGGCCACCTCCCCAATGACATAGTGCGCACGCCCTACCCGTTCCAGTTCCGCAAGAGCTTCCACAAGCCCTCGCCGCTCACGATGCAGCAGGCGCTCCAGCCGCGCGAGTTCGTTCTGACGGTGTCGCTGCTGCGGCGGCGGCAAGGGCACGGCCATACGCGCGGTCCGAGCCCGAGGGTTGGGAGTATTGCGATTCCGGCTGATCCGGATGCCGCGGCGAAGGAGCGCGCGAAGAGCCCGAAGAGTGGGAAGAAGATCCAGGAACAGGGGTTTGAGGCGCTAGATTTTGACGATGCGCATTTCTTCCGGGAGCTGAGGAGGGAGTATGCGAGGCTCGCGGGGCCGTGGCGGGGGTTTGGCGCGCGGACGCTGAAGACGATTGAGGTCGGGCAGTCTTTTGCTGGTGCTGGGTTTGGGGGCCCGATCGGCTGCGGTGGAGGAGCGGCCTCGTGCCATCCGCGCTCGCCGAGGTTTTTGGCGCGGAGGGGCCTAACAGACACGTTTTCTGAGGAGAAGCTGATGCAGCATCTCTGGTGCCCCAAGATCGGGAAGGCGCGATATGCGTGGGTGCACTGGGCGCAACGTATCGCCTCTTCTTCTCGCTCGCTCCGGCCGCCGACGGGACTTGCTGCAATTGCGGCGGCGGCTGGTATAGGCGGTACGCAGTGGACATTCGCACCATCGGAGACGACGAGGCCCTCGAACCCGACCCCGACGACTGCGACGGGTGGGAAGGGGACGGGCACACCGAAGACGCCGATGGGTGAAAAGGAACTGCTCAGTCCAAGGTCGCCGCAGAGGCAGAGCGTGCCGACGCCGGAGTCGGACTCGGACTCGGATGGAGAGGCGCTGGAGGCGGAGGTGGCTGCTGCGCCGGGTCTGATCTTTGTGGAAGGCTGGAGTGTACCGCGGATTGTCTCTGCGGTTGCGATTGTATTCCTGCTGAACATTGCGGCGGCGCTGCTGTGGATCTTTCTAGGCGTTAGTGCGCCGGGTGTGGGCTTCAGGAGTGCAGGTCAGAGAGTGGCTACTGGCATTGTCATTGGAGCGTTCACGTTGCTGCTAGGCTGGACTGCCGTGCTTGGGTGGATTGCTGTCAGCTGGTTGGTCTCGTAGCATGTGCAGGGTGCGTAGGAGTTTGGAGAAGTTCAGGAGTCCTGAGGCTTGTGTATATACTTCAGTACAAGATGAGTATGAACCGGGTGCAGAAGACTATCACCAGCGTACAGGAGTTCAGTGTTAAGGATAATATGCCTTCCAGGGGACCCGACCGACCAGTCACCCCAGTGGATCCACATCTCGCCGACATCCAGGCAGGGAGCGGAGGTGGCCTCTCGAACAGATAACTTGACACGGCAGTAACTGCGGTACTCAGAGTGGGGCCTCCAAGGCAGGTGCAGTGACAGTCGGTGTTTGGCCAGTCTTTGCCCAATCAGTCCTGAATCAAAGCAGACAGAAATCGGATCAGAAAACAAACCATGAAAGACGGTAGCAAGATGTCACTCCCCGCCACAGCCACCCCCACCACAATCGCCTCCTCCGCTGTAGCCGCCGGACGTCCCACCACCACCGCCAGAGGAGCCTCTCCGAGAGGAAGGGAATAGCATCGTGCACAGCAAGATTGGCCACCAGAAAGGGTTGAGTATGAAAAAGCAAAGGTAGAGGGCAGATAAGGCGTAGATAGAGGCTGTTAGGCCGTACCTGAAGCACCCTAGGTCACCGTCAGCTGTGCCAGGAAGCAGCAGTGGGCTTAAACCGTAGAGTTGTAGACAAGCCAGGTGGTACTTACTTCCGATGATCCTGAGTAATATCATCAGACGGGGATAGGAGTGTGTTTTGCCGTTCGGGCAGTCGCGAAAGGAACGAAAGTGGTCAGGCATGGTAGGTTCAGTACTCGTTGACAGGCTCGTGGACGGATGGAAGGATATCAAAGGATGCTGATGAAGGTCGGTAGCGGACTGAGGATGCTGAGCGGACGGAGGATGCTCTGGAACAGGTGCAGTGCGGGCAGACCATGGGTTCAGCCTGAAGCGTTGACACAGATGCCATCGACCTGACGGAAGGTGAGTAGGTGGAGCCGGTGGTAATTGCATCTGTAATAGGCGCTCCGGCTATCGGAGAGGAAGCGTCCGGCCATGGATCCTTCTTCTCTAGGAGCTCTTGTCGCTCCTGCACTTGCCGCGCTTCCTTCTTCTCCCTCCTCTTTCTACGCCGCCGCTTGATGTACTTCAGGTTAAGCTCGATTACCACCACTACGGCGTGCACTATATGTGCAACGCCTAGTATCACCTCCATGGTGCTCTATGCAGTCGAATCAAGATCCAAGTCGCTGCAGAAACTCCTGGTCGAAGTCCTCCTAGTGCGGGAAGGTCGGGTCTGGTCTAGGAGCGCTTGTTCGCGGTGGAGGCTGCGCTTCTTCGCTTTCTTCTGGCGGCGCTTTGAGTGAGCAGCGCAGCCTGCGGCTACTCCCGCGGCAACAACGGTATAGGTGATGAAGGGAAGGGCGACAAAAAGAACGGCTAGCATAACACCGCTCTGAGGTGAGAGTTGATGGGGTGTAGGGAAACAGTGAGCGAAGGACAGAGCAGGTTGACTGATATCAATGATTGGATGAAACTGAGAATATAGAGTAGGACTGAAGTTATCAGAGCATGTAGAGTGAAGGCAACAGTGGTGAAGTGGAGAAGACAGCGAAAAGTCCAGAACTTGCTGCTAACAGCAACGCTCTGTTTACTCCGTAATGGAAGAAGGAGCGCAGCGATGGACCAGATTGCCTTCCGAGGCCGAGTTGCAATACCGGTGCCGACCACGACTGGACTATTTAAAGCAGCGACCATCCTCCGCTTCCAGAGAGAAATGAGAGTGTCTTGAGACTTCCTGAGATGTGGAACTAAATGCGAAGTGATTCCGTAAGAAACCCACCTCCACGCCGCTTTAGAAAGTAAGATCAGCATTGGCGAAAGCACGACAATATGGCGCTCCGTGTCTACGACTATGTAGGGATGGTTCTGTGTCAGACATCTCTATATACAAATGACCAGTAGCAAGGAGCTAGATTAAAAGCTTGCTTGCTAGGCTGGTATGTAAGTATTATTCCATTGATTCGTATCCACCGGTCGGGCTAGGCCATAGAGGCCATAACCGATGCCGTCTATGTCAACTCAAGTGACTAGAGGCACACGTGTTGAACGCGAAAGTCCCTGTGTGAATGTGTACATATTAATATCGACTCGGTTGTTGAGCGTTCAAGCATCCAGACGTGATGCCTGATGGCCTCATCCGTCACCGGACTCGGCAAGCTTGTTGACCACGAGCAGTGATGAGGAGCCACGAGCAGCTCGTTTCAACCCAGCAGTCAACCCACGACGACATCTTCCCCCTCAAATTATTCTCCTGACACAGCAAAGCCACTTCGATTAGTGTACTGATAAAGATGTGCAAACCCGCCACTTGCGATACGTGCCGTACGTCCTAAGCCGCCCTTCAACATTGCCCTGCATCTCGGCCTTCTACCCTTGATGGCCATTCTTTCAAGACCGACAGCAAGGGCTAATGATGCGTACCACAGACAAGGCAACCTGGTGGGGCTGCGGCAACCACGTCCCCATGGTCATGGACAAGGTCTCAGAAAGCGATCGCTGCACCTGCGATCCGAAGGTCGAGAAGGGCGGAAAGATGTACCCGCCGATGGGCAAGAAGGCGGATTGACTGCGGCTCCTGCTGTTCTGGCAATGAGCTGGCGACGAGCTGAGTGTGGTAGGAGAGGGCTAGTTGGAGTCAGGTGTAGCGAGGCTGTGGCCATGGTGATTAGAAACGGGGAGTACTGGTGATGGGCGCTGGCAGAGCCGGATGGCACCAGTTACAGAGCGGTCAATTGCTCTTCATATAACTTTGCGATGTAAACGATGTTCAACCTTGAGGTGAAAGCGCAAATCTCTCCCACAGCTGCAAAACCTTGTGGTTGACTTTCCGATGCACCTACTCGGTCTCGGCCAATGACGTCGGCGAATTCATCGACAGCTTCTCGAACTCTCCTCCATCCCAACACCGCCGCATGAAATTTAAACCACCAATTCCTCTCCTTCGTGCACCGCGACGCCCCTTGATCCATTTCCTCGCACTCAAACCTCAACCTGCACCCCTCTCTCACCGTACCCACCGCCCCCCATCCCGCCCCACCGCCAAAATGTCCTGGATGGACTCCTGGTCGCGGCCCTCCAAGCACTCCGCCACCCCACCGCCTCTCTACCTCGTCCCCGGCAATGAAAACACGCCCTACTGCCACACGTGCGGCCGCATCATCAGCGACCGCAAATCCCACGCTAAGAACGCCGCTGCCACGCCCGCAAAATACTGCTCCTCGCGCTGTCGGAGCCACAAACCCGGTCCGACAGACCGCAAGATCGAGGAGGCGTTTGTGAGGCTGTTGAATGGGGAGGAGGATGTCACTGCCGCGCATCTGGCGTTAGGGGCGCCGCCGCCGAGCAGCGGGAAGCGGAGGGAGGAGAAGAGGAAGAAAGGGGAGAGGCGGATCGTGGTGCAATGCCAGGACGTGGAGACGCTGGTGTTTGGGTCGAGGGTTGATCCGGAGAAGACGTATGGGCGAAAGAAAAACAGAGCGAAGAGGGGGTTTGCGGATCCAGAGGAGTGGAGGAGCGTGGATATGGTTAGTGAGGAGGAGGGGTCTGTGGAAGGGGAAAAGATCCAGGGCTCTACGGACACGAACAAGAGTGTGGGTACTGCAAGTGAAGGGGAGAACGCTGGGGATAACGATGGTGCGGCAGGCACAGGGAGTGATGGGGAAGCTGCTGCGGGTGCGAGCAGTTCAGGGAGCTCGGTTGCAGGTGATGAAGAAGGCGGTGTTAGCTTGACCGGATCGAAACCAGAGAAGAAGAAGGGCGGCAGGGCGAAGATCAGACCGCCGCAGTATGAGGCAGAGGTCAACGGAAGTATCGGAGGAGAGATCAGCAAGGCGGAGCGACAGGAAGAATCGGCGGAAGCGATACAGAAGAGGCTCGAGGGTCAGCGTAAAGCGGAGGAGAGGGAGATGGTCAGGCGGGCTGCTAGGCGAGGTTGCGCCTTTGGCTTCGTTTTGGGGGGCCAGGACGGTAAAGACGCCGATGGCAAGAAGGGCGAGGAGCGCAGGAAGTGTGAGGCCATCATGAACGATCAGGCTGTGGAGGCCAGCTTTGCGAAGGGAGAGTGGGGTATCCGATGGCGTGAGTAAGAGAGGGATACTGGTCTCAATCTTGTGGACCATTCCCACCCAGAGCCCGAATACTTCCCAATCGGGATGCATAGGCATCGCTCTCCGGATCCTGGACTCAGCCTGCCCTGCCGCGATTGACTCTGCGCGAAAGAAGGCGGCTGAGCCTCGGTGGGTCGCTTCTAAGACAGCGCGTGTATGTCCAATCTAAGTCATGTGATACGGAAGAAGGCCTCTTTTGGGGCCGGCTGTATCCAGCTGGCACAGAGATCCAAACACGGGGCATATTCTAGGCGCCGGTGCTGGCCAGGGCTGTGCGTTGTGATGGCTTGTCTTGAATGTCGCCCTATAAAGCTTGGTATACCAGGCTTGATGTCATTTGCGGGACAGAAGCGCTGTTCGACGGATGACATTCTGAAAAGACTATTACTAGACATCTAGATACTTGGTTTTCCGCTGTAGCAGTCGGTGCATGCGCCGGATCTTGAGGGCCACATTTCCCCTGAACCGCCCTGGAGCATAGCACTTAGATTGCCCTTGAGCCTATGAATAGAATTTCCATGTCAGTCCATAGCTAGGTGGTACATGTCAATCTAGTTCGTGTCCCTCGCACTGCCCCAACCGATGTTACATGTCCCAGATTGGCTCTTGTTGTGAGACAAATCACGAGACGGTGGTTTCCTGTGTCTTCTCCTGTCACAGCACACGCCAATGGAAGAAGACGTGCATTCGGGTCCGGCGCTTGGCTTGGACAGGGGCTGGGCCAGATTGTGAGAACCCCACTATGAAGGGCGATGCCGCCTTACGGAGTACTCACCTCCAAGCTGTTATTCACACTCACCTGTCCAAGAGCACTTCCGCTTCTGAACCCTGAATTGATCATTGCGAGGGAGTCTTGCTATCTGCTACCCCCGGTGAAGCTTCAATCCTTCGGTGGTGTCCTTGGATAATCGATATACGCCGAGCGCGCAACCCGTTGGTGAAGTCCCCTGACCTTGGTAACATCCTACCCTTCCTTAAAACACCCTGGGTATTGATAGCAGTACAGCTGCCGCGGGCAACCTCGGAAGGGTGACTGTGGAGAAACACTCGTGACTGACCTTTACAAGTCCCCTAGTCTTGAGGCCTCAGGTACCGCGTGCGGACACCAACCCGCTACTCTGGATACAGAACACACCGCTGTCGCTCGCCTGTCGCTCGCCTGTCACCCTTCCCAAACTCTCGACTAGCCGCGTGTAGCCCATCTCCTCTTTACTGCCAAGCCGGCTGTCCGACGGACACGTGAACGCGAAGCCTGCGATTTTGCCGGTGGTGGATATACAGCTTAGCACCCATAGGAAGGTGTGTCGCGATACTACGCTGGAAGGCTTGCGACGAAATATTGGTAGTGGGCAGAGAGTGCGAGTAGCATACACGCGCGGTAGGTTGTGTTTCGCAGCCGATTCCTCAGCACCAGGATGGCGAAAGACATGTCAGGGTGGAACAGTTCGAAGAACAAGCTCAAGATTCCAAGTGTTGTGTTCTGGAGTAGTTGAAGATGAACCTGAGACAGCGCCGATCGAACCCCATGCCGCTTCTGCGGGCTGATTTGCGCATTCTCCGGGCTGCTTTTGGGCGTTCACCGGCCCCAAGCGCCGCTGTTCGCTTCTATTGTCATGCGTCAAAGACAATAACTGACAGCTGCAACAGAACCATTGTCTCGGCATCACTTCAAACTCTACGCATCCTTCAGTGTTCAAACCCATTTAGCTGCCCGGTTGCCGTTGCAACAGCTTCTTACGCCCTCGATTGAGGCACAGCATCGGTCGTAGAGCAACTCCGCAAGTCTCCTTGTTCGCAAACCGCCCAGCATGTCTCGCACAACCGGCCAGCAGCCGCCGCGGAAGATATCCTTCAATGTCTCCGAGCAGTACGATATCCAGGACGTAGTCGGCGAAGGCGCGTACGGTGTAGTGTGGTACGTTATCGCTTCGCCTGTGGTGACAAACAGTTCAAGGCGGACCTGAACACTGACCGTGCCTGTAGTTCTGCGCTGCACAAGCCTTCGGGCCAGAAAGTTGCAATCAAAAAGATCACTCCTTTCGATCACTCCATGTTCTGTCTGCGGACGCTCAGAGAGATGAAGCTTCTGCGATACTTCAATCATGAGAACATCATCTCGATCCTCGACATTCAGAAGCCCAGAAACTACGAAAGTTTCTCTGAGGTGTACCTCATACAAGTACGTCGAGAACTCATAGCTTCGCAAGATCGTTTATTGACTCCTGCAGGAACTCATGGAGACAGACATGCACCGCGTGATCAGGACACAAGAGCTTTCCGACGACCACTGCCAATACTTCATCTACCAGACCCTGCGCGCGCTGAAGGCAATGCACTCAGCAAACGTCCTGCATCGTGACCTCAAACCCTCGAACCTGCTGCTCAACGCCAACTGCGACCTGAAAGTTTGCGATTTCGGGCTGGCTCGGTCCGCCGCGTCGACCGAAGACAACTCAGGCTTCATGACCGAATACGTTGCGACAAGATGGTACCGCGCACCTGAGATCATGCTCACGTTCAAGGAGTACACCAAGGCTATCGATGTATGGAGCGTCGGGTGTATCCTGGCAGAGATGCTGAGTGGGAAACCTTTGTTTCCTGGCAAAGACTGTACGTCGCACAAATCTTCCAGCATGCGCGAACATCACTCACTGATACAATCCCAGACCATCACCAACTCACTCTCATCCTTGATGTCCTCGGAACTCCGACAATGGAGGACTACTACGGTATCAAATCCCGCCGCGCGCGAGAGTATATCCGCTCGCTGCCCTTCAAGAAGAAGATACCCTGGAAGGTCATGTTCCCCAAGACCTCAGACTTAGCGCTCGACCTGCTAGAGCGGCTTCTTGCTTTCAACCCTGTCAAGCGCATCACGGTTGAGGAGGCCCTCAAGCATCCTTACCTTGAGCCATACCACGATCCGGAGGACGAGCCGGTTGCGGAGCCGATTCCAGAGAGCTTCTTTGATTTCGATAAGAACAAGGATAACTTGACCAAGGAAGAATTGAAGTGTAAGTGCTTCATCAACCGTGTTGTGCAATTGTAATGAAAGGTCACGCGGCTAACGGGGATGTAGCACTGATTTATCAGGAGATTATGCGGTAACTTAGTCCACCGCATTCGAAGGTAACAACGATGATCTCGGAGCTATCTGCTGGGCTACAGATAAGTGAGCGGCTTGGTGGTTGGTTCTATTGGCATTTAGGATGACTTGTGGGATCGGATCAGACGCAGAATGTCGCGACAGTCGGCAAACTAAGTCTGGCTGACATGCACTCAACGGCTGCATCGTTCACGGTTTTTCTTTTCGGCATCAATTCACTTGTCTTACTTCGTGTGTCTTGACATTCTCAGGCGGCCAGCTGGGTGGTCGGAGTGACGACGAGAAAGCTGGCGAGAGGCCAGCGGGGATCGTAACCGATGTTTCTCTTCCTCGAAAACACGAATAGACCAGGACTTGGATTTGCGGCTTTGGCTCCCTGCTATGACCTAGAACTGCTCGGAAATTATTGTACTTCCTTCCCTTCCGCCATATTACAAATATCTCGTTCCGTATCTCACTCTCGGCACTCGCACGCTATCTTCGTCGTCAGATGCGCCAACCTGCTCTAACTGGATCCTCCCCGTGCCATCTCCCTCATCAGCAACGCGCAGCCGCCACATGGCTGTGCTTGCTGCAGCACAATGTCCCGACGAGGCTCCAGCCATGTGCTCTTTACCCAAGTCCGAGCCAAATGACATCCACTGCTCAATCGTGCCACGGATGACGAGGCGACGGGATGGGTACGATACGTAAAAAAGCAGCACGCCCCAAGCGATGATCAACCCAGAAGCCGCGAGCTGCCAACCAGGCCAGGTATTTCGCTCTACATTATCCTCGATCATCTCGCCAGTGTAAGAGGCTCGGTCACCTCTGCAAGGGTCGTAGGTATCAGACTCAGGTTCTCTCATGAGCCCGAGATCAACAAGCGCCGTCGGATCCAGTACTGCAGCCATATCAACGTGAAGATGAGATATCAAGAGGGCATATGCCAATTTGGAGTTTCTACGAAACAGATGGTTGGAAGTGCTGTAAGTAGCCTCTGTACTCCTCGGATCCATCGGAATGCCGCGGTCGAAAGCCATCTCAGCCGCGACCTGCTCGTACACATCCGGCCGGATGGGGAGCGGACAGTTGCCCTCAGAAGGGTAGAGGGTCCCATTGACAATGGAGGGACCAAGGCCCGCAGAAGAGAGGGATTTCCAGATTTCGATCGTGCAGTCGCCAGGAGCGACCCCATGCCAATGGCAAGCAAGTTCCGGGTTGTTGCGGGTACCGTTATCGCAGTTCACCAATAAGGGACCGCATGTACGATGGTTGGAAAGCTGGACTCCATAAGCCATGTCATCAGTTCTCTTCACAACTGGTGCTGATATACCCAGCACAAACGGCCCGTGAAGGTGTCCTCTAAAATGCGGGGACAGTTCCATGAAGTTGTGCCATCCATAGGTTGCTTGCCAGTCGTCAGATGTGTCAGGCTCATGACGCACCGTAATAAAGTTCTCTGCAGCGGTGATCAGACCGTACAGGCCGTCAACTCCCATGAGAGCGTTGAACTTCCCCAAGAATCCGTTTTGATCGCTGTGCCACCAAGGACCGCAACCAATGAGAGGAGTAGAGTAATTAACCCATTGCCTAGGGATGACTGAACGAACTTCCAGTGACCTCGTAGTAAAGGCTAATCGGTAGGTTATGCCAGCGCCTATATACAACAAAATAGAACCGGCGGCGAAAGCGGTCGTCCTCCACATGCGTAGACGCCAAAACAACCACCGTTTCGAGGGCATCTTCATCTCGAGCATGTCAGAGAGGTCTCGCTGACGAATTCCGGAGGCGATGAAGGTGCCGGCTTCGACTGAAGCGACCCGGAAGATCGCTCGGAGGCTGCATGTCCAGGCAATCGCTGTCACGATACCAAAGAGCACGAGAGGGAAAAACTCTGCCGGTCCATGAAGAGGTTCTATTCGTCCTCCGTACAATTCCTGACCGCGATCATAGTCTTTTTCGTTGAGAGTTAACGCTGCGGCATTCTAAATCCCCACAAAGCCAACGACAATGGCGATAGATCCTGCTGCGGCAGTCAAGGAATCTATCTGATCTTTTTGGCGCACGATTCTGCCGATATCTCGCGGGTCATGAGAGCCTTTATGGAACGTTAGTGACACATCCTGCCTGGCGGGTTCGATTCACTCACCTGAGCATGGTCTGCCGTGCACTTGCTGCTCTTCTTCATTCTTCCACGCAATCAGAAGGTTTCGCTTCGCAAGGGTGAGTTGAGGCATATGCTGTAGAGAGATGCGGTGAACGTCGTTCTCCAGAGCACCGGATGATGAGAGGCACACAGGATACCAGGCTGTATTGCCAGATATTGGGTTGTCTATTTTCGGATGTTTCGGAACTGCGGGGCCAGCATTTTGCCACAATTGATCTTTCATGGGCGCAGCTCGAAGGCTGTGCAATCCGCATTCGTCGTCATGCAGACTTGAAGCCGGCCACTGCCATAAGGATTTGCTTCGTGGTGGGACCATTTGACGGAAGACGACAACGTTGTGAGGTTGACGAAATTTGCTCGACTCCAACAGTACCATAAATTCCGAAATTCATCACGTTTACCACGACGTGTATCATGACCGATTCTATCACCAGCCAAGTCCCCAGCACGTTTATGAGCTCATGTACGCTGCCTCAACAACTTTCCGAGATTCCTTCAATCTGTGAAGCGAAGGAGTCTCGCGGAGGTTCTAAACTATTCAGCAGAACGCCATTTGAAGATGCCGGAAAACGGAACCATACTAGACTTTAAGAACGGATTAAAAGCGTGGTAGCGATACTCGATACTATCACTCTTGTGAAGGTAAAGATGTAGAAGTTGGTTACTCGGTAAGGTTCCTACTGTCGCTTGCAAAAAGTGCGGCCGTTTGGAAATGAACTTCATCCACCCCCCCCCCTCTAAGGCTCATCATTCTACAGAGCACGCGCAATGCTTTTACCTTAGTTAAATACTTTTAAATACCTTCCTTACGGCTGTATCTGTCTATATTAGTGTTTATCTAGGTATATTTTAAGGGATATGCGGTAGGAAAGCTTTAAGTATTATAAAAACCGCGCACGCGTCCGGGCTTTCGAAGAAAATTAAGTGCACCACGAAACTATATATTTTAGTAGATTATTAGCTATATAGCGCTGCTACTCTTCTTAGTTTTTAGCTATTAAATAGCTGAGGCTGTGCTGAATCTTTTAATAGTATTGAGTTATATCCTAAGCGTTAGATCGTTGTGTAAAACGTGGTTTTGGTCTTTAACAATCGAGGGGGGGGTGGATGAAGTTGTTTTCCAAACGGCCGCACTTTTTGCAAGCGACAGTAACGTCCATAGCACGTCATAGGTTTGCCCGTTATACTTCCAAATGGGCGATTTCAACGCGTCTCTAGAGAATCTACACAACACGCAACCAGCTTCTGCTGATTCCTCGACCGCCTTCCATGATTCGTGGTATGGGTATTTCTCTCCCACCGCACCAAGCCTGCATATTTCGTCGTACGAAAGCGCCCTACATCGGTCGCAGTAATCTGTGTCGGACTGCATCACCGTCTACGCTTCGGCATGACTCATGCTGTAACTACCCACAGGAAAGCTTTGTGGAGGTCTGTCTTAAGAATGGGAGAGTATGAGGGCCATTCCAGGCATCGAGTTTGCCAGGACGCCAAGGACAGCTTTGTCAGGTGACTTCATCTCTAACCCTCATTCGATCGAGCTGCCGTCAGCAAGACGTGAGTGCCTTACTCCAGGTTATCAGATGTACCTAGGTTCCTGAAACGTTTTATATACAGCCTTAGGGGTATCTCATGCGTTCCGTTCGTAGCGCATTACTCCTCGGATAACCAGCGATACGTAAAACAAACCAGATCCGCAAGCGCCGGCATTCCCACCACCGCTAGTGTGGAAAGAATTGAGAGAGTAAAAACTGTAGATAATCCGCCGAGCCAAGACGCCAGAAATCCCACCCTGTCATTTCACCCATTACTCCCGAGTTGTCAACGTCTTAGCGTCATCTTCTCATCATTGCATTATCAACCCAGACCACCCCTCTTAATCTCCCCGTTCCATCCAACCCCTCCTCCTATCCCTCGCCGTCCTCCGCTTCAGCGCCAACTGCGGCGTCCACACCCCGGAGAAGAGATCCTCACACTCATCCTCATCCTGACTATCAAACTCGACCTCCTCATCGGCCCCTCCTTTCCCTCTTCCACCCCCCACCGACCCCCCACCCACCCCCTCCTCCTCCCAACTAACCCCCCTACAAATCCTCCTCGTCTCCAGAATAAACTTCCCCACCTTATACCTCTGCCCCTCCTCCACAGCATCAACATACTTCCAGCCTACCACGCTCCCACAGACCGCACAGCTGATATCCGCCACGGTATGCGCGCCCGTGACGAGCTGTCTCGGGACGGCCTTGTGGACGTGCGTATTGACCAGGTTGCCCTGGTCGCGCTGGGCGATCGACGATGGCCGGATGCCGAGAGTGAGGAGCTGGGCGGTCGTGGGTGGGGAGACGAGATAGGCGCGGCCGTGGCGGCCCGTGAAGCCTTTGCTGATGATGCTGGAGGAGGGGGCCAGGTCGGTGAGGCAGCGGGCGCAGCGGAGGTGGGAGGTCGTGTCGGCGAGGTAGGAGGGGGCGGGCGGGCTGGAGGACGTCGATGATGTTGGCGACGTTGGTGAGGAGGAGAGGTCTGGGACGGTGGTCGAGGTGCTCGATCGGCGTCGGAAGGGCAGGGAGGGGAGGAGGTAGATTGGAAAGATGGCTGGAGGGCTGATGGAGGAGGGGAACGGCATGGTGACGGGGCTGTAGAGCTACGAGCGGAGGGGTGGAATGGTAACTGGAGGCGTCGCTCTACTGCGAGCAAGAAGTGGTGTTGAGAGGCGCGAGAGCTCCCGGTATAGACAACTCCGCCCTGGCGGAGGGCCGGCCTCCCGCTCGACGCGTTCGGCGCACAGTGGAATGGTGTGACACAGATGACAGCTGCCAGTGGTGATGTGAGACAAGGGAGAGCTGCGGGCGCGGAGAGGTATCGATAGGTGATAAGTAGCCGGCTGCAGCCGATAGGCGGATGGCGCGGATGAAGCCGATCACAACCGTCAAGCGGATGTCGCAGAGGCGTGCCCAGTAGTTGATAGCTAGCGGAAGGCCGTGCTGGAAGGAAGCTTCAATATGGCAGCAGAAGGAGAAGAGTCAGACGAGAGAGAGAGGCGCATAGATAGTGAGGCGGAGTTCGGTTGGAAGCTCCGGATATAACTAATCGTGACAAGACAGCTCGTCCATGAACGTCACGAGGCCTGCTACTCGTAACGGCCGCCAATCGGGGTGCTGTGGACGACACCTCTAGCGGCTCTATCACATGGGCAGCAGAACTTGAAGGACAACGAAAGAGGTATGTAGAACAACATGGAGCTGAAGTACTGTCTATGAGATGGCATGTCGTTTATCGTCTACTCTAGGTGTTACTTGGAGGCATGATGCTATCTACATGCCCCGTGCATCCCAAGGTGTGAGAGCCACAGAGCAACTGATGCTCCCACACAGGACTTTTGTGCAGAGCTCATAAGGATGTTTGCCAATCCTTTCCGCTTAAATGAATGGTAAACTCCCAAACGCCAGAGACGCTCAGAACAGCCCGTCTCGTGATCAATCAAACGTGATCTTCGTAGCCTGCTTCGTCTCGCCGACATCCTTATAGAACGCACCATAGGCGTCATGGCTCTTCTTCTTGACCGTCGTGCCGAACTTCAGCAGCTCCTCGGGTACCGGCTGGTTCGCCGCCTTCAGAACGTTGATCAACCTAGTCTCACCGTCAGCTCATGTCCTGGGGTCCGCCTCTAGGGACGGATAACTTACGAGCCTGACAGCCCCTTATCATGCTCCGTGAATAGCGTGATAGCCTTGCCTTCCTTCCCAGCTCTGCCAGTCCTACCAATCCGATGGACGTAGTCCTCTGCTGTGAGCGGGAATGTAACGTTGATGACCAGCATTACAGCCGGAATATCCAGGCCTCGTGCTGCGACATCGGTGGCAACCAGTATCGGCACCTTGCCCTGCTTGAAAGCTTCCAGGCTGGTGGTGCGCTGTGTTTGGCTGAGGTCACCGTGGATACCCGCAACTCTGAAGCCCTTGGACCGGATGAAGTTTTCGATCCGAGTAGCTTCCTTCTTGTAGAGGCAGAAGACTAGGATACGGTCGTCCTTATTCTTGCCGCTCTGATACTGCTTCAGAAGTTGCAGAAGCCTGTACTCCTTGTTGCGTGGATCCACGACCTCGACGGTCTGCGTGATGCGCGTATTGGCTCGCAGCTCGCCAGTAGGATTGTCCCCGATGGCAATCTTGACAGGCGAGGTCATGAAGGTTGCTGCAAGCTCACGGACAGACTGTGGCCAAGTAGCAGTAAACATGAGTGTTTGTCGCTTAGACGGCGTCTGGCCGATGATCTTGCGGATGTCTTCCTCAAAGCCCTTGTCGAGCATCCTGTCCGCCTCATCCAGGACCATGTATCCCACATTGCTGAGGTTCGCGGCACCCTCGTTGATCAAGTCGTTAAGCCTACCAGGAGTCGCAACCACAATGTTTGCAGTCTTCAATGCTTCCCGCTGGTCGTCCTTCGCTACGCCGCCGTACACGCATACAACTTTCAACCCCGCCGGCGTCGCCAGCTTGACTAGCTGCTCATATATCTGCATCGCAAGCTCTCGTGTCGGCGAGACCATTGCAGCTTTGACGCCCTTGCGCTGCTTCTGTGGGAGCGAGGTGATGTAGCGTATGCAAGGCACACCAAAAGCAAGAGTCTTCCCCGATCCGGTCTCTGCAACACCGATAACATCTCTCCCGGCGAGCAACGGAGGCCATGCCGCAGCTTGTATCGGGGTGGGAGAGGCAAAGGCCGCGAAAGGCGCTCGCTGCGCCTCGTCTGTGACTGGTAGGTAGGGGAAGGACGTGATGGGGCGGTACTTCGGCGACGAGCTGAGAGGGTCGGTTACGGTGATGAAGTTGGAGGCAAGGAAGGCGTCAATCTCGGATTGCGGCAGGGCACTTAGTTTGGGGTCCTCGGTGTAGCCGCTCAGGACTCCAGCGGGCGCGGGCGCGGGCGCGGGCTCCGGACTCGTCGCAGACGATTGTGCCTTCGAAGCCGCAGCAGATGTGTTGTAGGATGCAGCAGCGTCGGTGGCGGTAGTTTCGGAAGCTGGAGTATTCACTCCAGACTTCTTCTGCTCCTTCTTTAGGGCTTTTAGGCGGGCCTTCTCAGCTTTTCTAGCAGCCTTCGCCACGGCTTTTGCGTCCTCGCCCTCAGCCATTGTAGTTTCGCCATCGGTTTCTCGCGGCGTCTCTACGGCGGGAGCCAGTGCTTCCTGTGCTCCCTTCTTTGCGCGTTTTGCGGCTTTTCGTGCAGCCTTTGCCGCTTTGGCATCCTCTTCACTAGCAGTGTTCACTGGCGTAGAGACCTCGCTGGCTTCCTTGCTCTTGCTTTTGCGTTTTCTGGTCTTCTCTATACCAGCTGGGGCGGATTCATCGCTGGGCTGCTCTTTCCGGCTCTTCTTTCTGGGTAGGGCTTCATTGCTTGCAGTAGAATCGCCTTCAGCGGCCACGTCAATAAGTGTCCTTTTGCTCATGGCTGCGGTTCTGGTCGTGAGAATTTATGAAATTGGGATTCGCCGTTGCTCGTTGATCAATTCGGATTGCTCGAACTTTTTTCTGGCGCAAAGTCGGCTGTCGGTGTTTTCGCGGCCGCCATGCCGGGTTTCCAAGTTGAGGAACCCATGAGGTGTAGTTACGACTCCAGATATTATCACCATACCGTGCGATATATCAAGAGCTAATCCATGAGATTCAAACACCCGACAATGGAGGGGAATTCTGTCTGTCCACTCTGCAGAGAGTCCCGCCTTTCACAATTTGTGTCACGTGTGCATGTGATATGCGCTATTAAGCCAAATGTCACTTCATTGAACTCCACAGGACAGACCATACTACCCCAATGCCCTCGCTGTCGCTGAAGCCCACAAGGCCCCCGTTCTAGTGAGAGCCGCGCATCTCACGCATCCGTAACCTGCACCCACTCCAGCAAAAGCCTCGTACACCTCCAGCCCATCTCAACCCCTCGTGATCTCTCCATCGCCATTCATATCCAGTCCAAGAAGCACAGCTTCTCCAACAGGATCCATATCGCTCGGTGCAGTGGTGGCATGGTCAGAGTAAGGGCCCAGGGCGCTGTCTTTCCGGTCGTCGGCCGCCTTTTCGACCCTGTCGACAACGGCTGTTGCGATGTTTGACACGACAGACGCGACGCTCTTTGCGCCTTCCTTCACTGTCTCGACTATGAACTCGGTGGCGCGCTCGGCGGTGGGCATGAGACCATCCTGATGGAGTTTAGATGCTGTGTTTTGAGTGAGTTATAGGAAGGTGATACGGACCTCTTTGCTGCACAAGGGTTCTGCGGTAGGGGAGTCGACCTTGCTATCTGAGACTTCAACAGGCCTTGCTGGGTCTTCGCCGCCCTGCACACTCGGAGCTGCTGGGTTCATGCTCTCGTTGTCGCGGTTGGTTTGAAAGTCGGCCATTCTTGCTTCTTGTTGTGGGTTGCTTTTGCTCATTCGTTCGATGATTGTAGACCTCGAAATGAAAGTTTGGGAAGATTCGGTTTGAAGACTTTGGTTGTGAATGTTGATTGTTAGTGAAAGCGCACATGACTGCCTTCCACATTGAGCAGCTGCGCGGTCTGTTTCACAACAGCATCCCAGCGGCGAGGGAGCCCAGGACAAACAAGCAACACTACACCTAGGCACCCGACCTCGAGCGTGCCAAAATTCATTCGGAACGGAATTTCGCTCAGGTTTACAGGCGCCTGTAACAACAACACGACACTCATGTCTCATAAACGTGATACACACCGGATAAGCTGTTTACCGTTCATCTCCTCGTATTCCTCGCAACCATCTTCCTCCTCTTCTCAAACCTCTCCCCAATCTGCGCCCCACTCCCCCTCGGCCCATCCTCCACCGGCCTCTTCCTACTCCTCTCAAGCGCGCCGCCGGTTCCGCCCTTCCTCTGCGTCAACTTGTCTATCCGATCCAGCCCAGCCCCTAGACCCCGCCACTCCTCCCCGCCATACCCGCCTTCCCGTCCTCTATTCCCCTTCTTCGCCCTCTCCTTCTTGCTTTCTCTCGGCAAACGCACGAGATTGGTCTCCTCGTACGCGCGCCTCTCGGCGTCTTCGTCCCGCTCGCGCTGTGACTTGGTGCGGCGGCCGCCTGAGGTGATCGTGCTGCCTATGCTGGGCTCCGCAACGGGTGCCGTGGAGAGCTCGGTGGCGATGAACTCGTCCATCGTGGCGGACTTGGCTGGCTTGCGAGGCCCTCGTTCTTCGCGACCGCGAGTGGTGGGCATAGCGGTGGCAGTAATCCGTGGAGGGCGATATACGCCATCGTTGGCTGGGGTGGCAGCTGTGCGTTGCACCGCCGCGGCGGGTTTGGGACGCTGGAAGGCTGCGGGATTGGGGCGGTATGAGAGTTCGTCAATATCTGCTGCAGGCGCGTTGGCTGACTCGGCATCGTTGGCTTCCTCGTCTGACTCTTCGTCTGACTCGCCATGGGCGTCCGGTTTCAGTTCGCGTGCAGAGGGTTTAGCGACGCCGTTGCTAGGTTTGTGGGACGCTGAGCGGTCAGCGTCTTCGGCAGCTCGGACGACCTTGTCGATTTGATATTTTAGGCGGCCTTCGAGGGGCCGTACGCCTTTCTCGAGATAGAGTCGTAGCTGCACTAGCTTCTTAACCACCTCATCATCGAGGCTTTCGCCCGTTTCGGCGCTCCCTGTCGCTGCGCTGGAGGCATTTCTGATCTTCAAGAGGATGAGGAACACCAAGTTCTGGAGGTATGAGAGCAGCAGCTCGTTCTTGACGTCAAGTAGAGATATACCATCCTGCGGCGGGAGCGCTGCGGCGGATTCTGGCAGCGCGGTGGAAGCAGACTCGAGGGAGGAAGTTAGACTTGCGAGAAGCGTCGGCAATGAAGTATCCACGGCTGTAGCCATCGCGTTAATTGCAGGAAGCCCAGGTGTAAAGAGCTTAGGGAACTTGAGTTGCGGCAGAGATCAAAATTTCGGTTTGACGGTTAGCCCTATCGGGAGATTCCGATATCGATAGAGATCATCCTCAGGCATCAAAACATCTGTGACCAGGAACGGTATCAACCTGAAGCAATACATTTTATTCGCAGCTGATTACCTTCTCTAGTCTCCGACCATCAAGCAAGCAGATATCTGTAATTGCTAGACATAAAGTATCAGAAGAGGTTATATCGTCGGCCTGTACCGGATGTGTCCTCTAGTAAATTATCCGTCTCTTGAGAATTCATCCAATAGCTGTCTAGAGTTTATCACAACTGGAAGCTGGAGAAGCAGCCGTGTGCTCGCTTTGACATAAAGCTGTGCTGGAACCGTATGCCAGGCAAATGTGAATTTGGCGGTCAAGCCGCATTACCATCTATTATGCCCTTATAACGCCCGCCTGACAATGATCAAGAACCACATGGTCTAGTGATACAGCCCAGCTTGCTCCTTGCCCGATGCTGCTGCTGCAATTCTACACGCATCCCCTTTACACGATCGTCTCCAACTCCCTCGCATAGCCCAGCGTGTTCTCAATCACTTTGTCGCTCGTCACCAGGATGTCCTTCTCCGAGCCCATCAGATCCTGATTGTGCTGTGGGAAGTATATCCGGCCGTCCTTCGCTATCCAGTCGCGCTGCCTCGCGAACTGTACGACGGCACCTTCGCTGTCGAGGAAGAGCAGGTTCTTGCAGTTCGCGATGGGAACGCTCGAGTAGGCTCGCTCGGAGCAAGATGCGATTTCGGATCGGATAGTATTGATGAGGACCTGGAAGCGATGTATAGGTTAGCAAGCTGCCGTCTCCGAGACACTGGATCTCTTGGAAAGTGAAGCGGCGGCGGCAAACCCACCTCGGAGAAAACTCCAAACTCCTCGCTCGGCACCCTCTCACTCGTCGTCTCGCCCCACACCTTGTCGTACGCGCCCTCCATAAGCGCCTGCTCCAGCCGAATCGGATACTGGATAAACACGTCATCCTCCAAGCCCTTGCCTCCCCTTCCGTGCTCCCTCGCCTGCGCAGCCGCCACCTCCAGCGACTCCAGCAGCGTATGGAACCCTGCGTAGTCCCCCATACTCAACAACAGCAGCAAATATAGCCCCGTGATCTTGCTCGCGTTGCCGCCTTCCCGGGGTAGCACGTCCTCCGGGAGAGAGTAGAAGGGCTGCAGCTGCTGGAAGTAGCGCGTGAAGCTCTCCGGGTCTTTGAGGTGGATGGATGTCAGGGCGCCGAGCTCGAGGGCTTCGCGCGCGAGGCGGAGATGGGGTTGCGAGGTCTGGGGGGAGGGGATCAGGGCGTTGAGCTTTAAAAGGGCGATTTTGGCGCGTGAGAGGAGGGAGGTGGATTGTGTGTAGTTGTGGCTGCCGAGGGACTGGTGGAGTTGCTTGAGGAGGTTGCGGAGGTCTTGTTCGGCCATGTTGACGGGTGCTTGGTGGGGTATCGGAGTGGTGATGTGTGAAGATGGCAGAGATGGTGGTGTTCGCGGATGCGGTTGCTCTGGTTGAAGCTTGTCGGCGAAGCTGCCAGAGCTGCGAGACGGGCTTGGCGCAGCTGTCATGGCGGACCGCTCGTTCTTCCGCAAGAGCAAGCTCGACATCAGCTTTGCAACATTTCTTGACATCCGCAACCGCCTACCGGCAGATAAGGGCTTCGTTTTCATGTTCACCAGAGTGAAGTCAATGGGGTGATCACATCTGGCCTACTGTAGGCACACCTTTATTGCGTCTAAGCCGAAGCACAAACTATGATCAGCGGACTCCAGTCTCGTGTCACGCTCTAGACATTCAGGCTCTGACTATAGAGCTTCAGCCGCAAAGCGTTGCAGTCATGTCGGGGCTCCCAACGCGTCCTATTAAAGAGATGTCACTCGCTGAACTGATGGCTTGGGGCGCTTGGCCAGCGGGGCATAACTCATACACCCTCCTCTGGTCAAGGCGAGCCCATGAGTATCTCATTCTTAGAAGCTATAAGTAAACGCGGCTGTTAACGTCATCATGAAGACAAGTGTAACTCTCGGGACCATCGAACCTTCCATAGTGTATTTGTTTCTCTGCGATACCCACTTCGAGCATCTTCCTGCCTGTCGTATAGATATAACAAAAAGTACAGCATGTCAGAAGCAAGGTATATACCAACGATTCTGGTTCGGCTGAATTTTGCTGTATTTTCATTGTCGTCTACCACGCCCAAACCTCCCCTTTGCTTTCGAGTTCTTATTCTTGATCTTCAGCTTCCGGAAGTTAGCATGCGCTTGCGCGCTTATCTTCTTTGCTGTCTTCTTCAGCAGACCATCCTTCGCTCCCGCGTCCGGCACCGCTGGTTTTGACGCCAGTTCTGGCGCTTTCTTTGATTGTGTTTTCCGTCTTTTAGAAGCGTGGGAGATAGTGCTATAGTCTGATCCGTCGTCGTTTTTTGAATGCTCATTGTCGAAATCTCCGGCCGGATCGTCGCTCGTTGCAGGCTTCAGAGAAGGCGGTGCTTGAGTGCCTGGCACCGCATCCTCTGCCTCGCTCTCGCTGTCGTTGGCAGACGCACCCTGCGGCGCCTTCGGTTTTACGCGAACAGGGCGCACTGTTTCCCGAAATTAGCAACACATCAACTTCCGAAGAAACCCATCTTGTGACTTACTGATAACCCTCTTCGTCTGCCTCTTCAGCCCCTTCTTCTTCCACACCTTCCTCGGGTTCCCATCGCGATCCAAACTTCCCAGATCCCCTCCCTCCTCCTCGCCCAACTCATGATCAGATTCCACAAACCCATCCGGACCCAGCCCCACAGCCTGGCTATCCTGCACCAGCATCTCCGCGTTCCTACTCTTCTTCGGCGGTGGCATTGAGCCCGCTGCTTCCTCCTCTTCCATCTCCCGCATGAGCTCGAGTTCCCTGTCTAGCTCGTCTTCCTGCGCCTGCTTCATCTCCCTGATCATCCCGCTTAAGCTCCGCCCAAATGTCCGCTTCTTCCAGGGCGCGAAGGCTGGACGCCGAGGGCTCAACGTCGCTTCTTGTCCACCGTCCTCCTCAATGACTGCTGACAGCAGCGCGTGTGAATCTCGCCGCAGGAAATGCGGCGTGGCTAGCAACCGCTCGCTCATCGGCGTGGCGACCCCATCATCTCCACGTTTCCGCTTCGTCGGCGTCGCGAAGGTGTCGAGCAGGAAGCGCTTGCCTTCTGACAGCGGCGTGCGACTCAGCTTAGTCGAGGGCGTGTCCACGTCGCTCGGTGCTGCGCGCTTTTTACTAGGCGTCTGTGCGGGGAAGTTCCCGTCGATGCCTCCCAGCACTGTCCGCTGGGCCTTGCTAGGTGTTTCGGCGGAGGAGGGCAGCATGTCGAACAGCCCGATTACGATGCCGTCTTTCTGGGGCGTGGGGCCGATCATTGTGCGGACGGCGACGGGGGTGAAGTCGAGTTTGGAGACAGAGGAAGGCGCGGCTAGAGTGGCGTTGCCCGTGGGATTGCCTATTTTCTTCGGTGTTGCGGCTGGTATACTGCGGCGCTTGGAGGGTGTTTGTGAAGCTTCTTCGACGAGCTTTGGTTTCCGGGCTGGTCTCCAGGGTTCGGCGTCTGGGATTTTGCCGGAGAGAATGTCGCGTAATCGGTTGTATTCCTTGTATTTCGATGCTGCAATCCCTTATATCAGTATCGCACAAGTATACCGAGTCGTCTGGTATACCTGTGGCGGCATTGGCCTTGATGTCTTCGCGGCCGGCTTTGCGACCGCTGTTGGCGGCGGAGAACTGCTTCTCCCATACTTTAAGCTCTTGCCGAAGCACCGTGCATCTTTCGTCGACTTCGGGATTCTCAATCGCCATTTCGTCGTTATACTCTGTGGATAAATGCAAAGCGGGCGAGAGAGCTGTCGCGTGGGGTTTTGGTGATGCGCGACTGATCGCGGCAGACGCGCCGCGGTTGTGGCTGAATCGTTCAAGAACCCGGCGCGCGTAAAGTGCAGCTCACGTCATCGTAGCTGGTCAACTCAACTCAACTCAGATGGAAAGCTCAAGCCATTGAATTCTGGTCTTCTAGCGACGGTTGATTGAAAGCGAAGTCACAAATCGAACGGTCTGCCTTGTAGTCATCTGCAAAGACCAGCATAGTGAAATCCACCCGCAAGCTCCTCTGTCCGCTCCTGAAACATCAGAAAGCCACCCATTCAACAGGCTACCGTCGCCCAGAGCCCCCCCCAGCTCCTTCGTTTTAGCACTCGAAGCGAATTGATGTGCGCAAGAACAGTTCCGTTGAAATGAATGTACGGCCATCCCGTTACGCAAAGCCAAAGACCCCGCCCGCCTCATTAAATTTTGTCTGATACTCGCGCAGATCAGCCCAGTGCCTGAGTTCGCTTTCCTCATCATCGAGTTGATGTTCTTGGACGCCATTGGCAGGGCTCACCCGCTCAAGGCTGACAAGAATCTCGAGGAAGCGAGCGAGGTACTGCTGTGCTTGATGGGCGACCACGCCCTTTCGTATCTTTGGGCCGTCATCCAGGAGTGTCGAGGCTATCGATCTGATTTTTTGTGTCTGTAAAAAGTCTTAGCAGCGGCACGTCACCATGTAGTTGCAGGAGGCACCTACCAAGCTGTCCGCATTTGGCTCCATGTTGATCTGGCTAATGCTTCCCAGCACCACCAGTAAGTCTTTAACGATGCTCTCCCTCTCAGCGCCCATCTCTTGGTCCGTAAGGTCGTAACCTGGCGTCGACGGCTGCCCCATCATCGCATCCAAGCCAGCCGCCGCGATGCCGGGCGAAGTAGAAGCCGACCCAGTCCCCTTCATCCGAATGTGTACTTCAGCAAGATTCCAGTACTTTTCCACGATGTGTGACCGCGTAGCCAGATGGCTAACGTAGACGTTCGCCTTTTGAATTTCAAACTGGACTCTTCTCCGTTCTTCTAGCGAGGCCTCGGGATCTGCGTCAAAACTGCCAATAAGCGCCGGATCATGGTATTGCATGTTTGGATAGTAGGATTGACCTTGCTGTCCGCCGTACTGATCGGCTGGCGGCCACATGCCCAGCTCAGGTGGAACCCGATCTAGTGCTCGCTTGCAGGCTTTGAGAGACCCGACAATGACGTGCTTCTGTCGTTCCCAGTCGAAGCAGTGATCGATCCCGTAAGCAATCTCCATAGTCACTAGCGGTTCGTAGGACAAATATATTTGGACGTTGAGGTTGAAGCCGGTAATAAGCGACACCACGCCTGGCGGCTGCTGCTCGATGTGCGCCGGATATATGTAGATGTCATCGACCTCAAGCGGCAGTGGTGGATGCGGCTCGGAAGGTGTCGAGGGCAGTATCACGAGTTCGCCATATGTTGCCCCTAGCTGCTGCATCGATCTGTACAAAATCCTGTTAGCCTCAGATTTACTCTGTGTTCAACATCTCAGCTAAGGACTTACTTCATGCCCACGAACACTGTCCAAAAGAGCCTCCTGCACATCTCTTGTGTGATGAAGTCGACGGAACCTGGTCGCGATCCGTCAAGGCCGGGAAGGACTGGGGCCACTCCGAACGGCTCATGGTTGCTGTGGTGGTGCAACCCCAGACTCCTTATGATTGTCAAGCACTCTCCAAAGTAAAGACGACATTGACGCCACCGAAATGTGTACGCGCCTGTCAATCCAAGGAAGTAGCTAGTAGCCGCATCGTACACGTTGAGGTCGTCCTTCTCCAGATACCCTGACCCTCGAGCCGCGACGCAGACTTGCTGGCACCTGTTGACCAGGCTCATGTGGTTCGGGAAGAGGTTCTCTTTCCCTCGAGCCTTCAAGTGTTGCCGCGGTTTTCGAGGGAAGGAGGCGACGAGTATGCCAATCATTGAGGACAGCAACGCCAGGAAAGGCCGGTTGGTGTAGTCTTCCCGCTTTCGATATGCTTCTCGAAATGAGGGCTCGTGTGGGAACGGACATAACGGGTGGATGTACGTAAAATAGTCGTTGACCAGCAAGTCGATCACGTCCAAGGAGCATATTGACTCAGCGGATAGAGTGGGATGTGAGGACAGCGATGCGAGCGCATGGGCGGCATTCGTCGGTGAAGATGGCGTTGAGAGCCCTGACGCGGTGGGAGATTCCAGGCGCCGTTTCTTGATAGCTTCAGCGTGTCGGTTTGGTGGACCTCGTCGCCGGCTTGGTCGCTCGAAAGTGCATGGTATGTCTAGGGCTGCGCAGGCGCGACATGGTGGGCCGGATTCATCGCACTGCGAGTAGAACGCGTCAGGATCTTGTCGTACAGAATTGCGGTGATGCGGATGCGAACTCTTATGTCGCGTCTCCAAAGCGACGCGAAGGTTGGTCTGTATCTGAGCTTACCTTCACCTTGCGTATGCTACATGAGTCGCACGCCTTCCGTAGCCTGTTTCCTTTTGCTTGTCCATCGGGGCCAGCTTGAGATGTGGCGCGCGGCTCGCCGTTATTGACATTGTTCGCATGGTTCGGGTCGAGCAGACTTGGCTCGACCTTCGGATAGATGGGCTGCGCGTTGACAGACTGGTTGTAATGCTGTAGCTGCTCCTGGACCTGCTGGCTGGTTTCTGCAAGCTGCGCAGCAGAGACGGCTGGATACAGTGGCGGGTAATGCTGCTGGTCCGGCAATGGCGGCGGCGGATACTGCGACATTGGAGAGTTCATCCAGGCGGTCCGGGAGAACGCCGGCGGGCTATCACGCTGCATCGTCAGTAGAGCGCGGGGTGCGGCCGAGGAGGTTGATGTTCGGGGAAACTTGGGGTCATACTGGGCTGCGGTAAGTGGGCAAGGTAATATTAGACTCGGTGAACGAGTGGGCAGCGCGGGATGCAGTGGTGAAGAGGGTGGAACGCTAAGCTGATGGCGGAGAGGATTGCGCTTCAGCCCTGCCGCTGAGACTGAGACTGAGACTGAGATGCGGAGTGCCCAGGTGAACGGCGACGCCCGCGGGCTTCAGCGGAACGGACCTGGTGAAGGCTTGCAAGCGATTCGCGGGCTGTTTGATGGCTGCTGCACCTGCCTTGCGCCGTTTCACTCGGCCCGAATGGGGGCAGTTTGTGGTTGGGGAGTGCCTGTGGTGATGAGGGCGGGCGGGATCAAGTTCGCGGCACACCTGACGCGACGCCACGGTCCAGGCAATGCACCGTCACGATCGAGGGATTGCCACCATGTACTCTAGGATGTTGCAGAACAACACGCGCCAAACTCTGGCTGCTCGTGTCCCCATCTACGGTAGGGACCGCTGCCAAGGGGACACTGAGTGATCTACTGCCACCCTACAACCAAAAGAACTCCCTCTGGGCACTGTTGGACACCCGTTGCCAACCTGGAGGCTTAGAATTGGAAGCAGCAGTGAGGTGAAGAAGATGCTGGGCTTCTCAAATGAGTGAAGATGACTACCGTAAGCCAAGATCCTCAGCCACGCACCACGCCGTTTCAATCGTAATGCCCTGTGAAAACAAGCCTAAGCCCTCCAGACGCTAAGCGCAGCAATCCCACGGAAAGCTTCGCACTGTCTGGAACCCGCAGTTAGTAATCAGACATCACTATCGTCGCTGGCAGGTGAGTCCCTTGTCGGTGGCCTTGAGCTCCTACTCAGCGAGAAATCCAACACCTCACTCCGCGGCTCCACGTAGCGCCTCAAGCACCACCCGATCTGGATTGCACAGACTGTCTCGTTTCTTAGCGGGTCCACTTGTTTGCCTCTGACGAAGATGACCTGATTCTTGCTGTCTTCGCGGTCGTAGACTTTGTCTGAGGAGCCGAAGGCGATAACAGCAAGCTTCGGACGTCCCTTGAAGATGAACTGCGCCAGGCCAGCGAGAAGCTGCTCGTAGATCTTTCGGGGTAGGAGAGAAGTAGAGGGCAGGTTGTTTGGCCAAGTCGTAATATGGAGCGTCACAAGGTCTGGAAGATCATTCAAGCACTCCTGGATCATTCATTAGCTAAGAACTGGGATCATTCATGTGCGAGGGCGCCACTGCTCCTCAAGAGTACCTATATTGAGAAAGGGAAGGCTTACCACCCAATGCTTGAAGGAATCCGTAGTATCCCGTACAAGGCTAGTTGCCGGAAAGCCGACAGACAGCTGCTCCAGCTGCGAGCACTTGCAGATGTCCTGAAATGGGGTGTGCTCGTACACATGTTCTTCTTCATCGCTTGGACGCGAGTTCCGGTATGTATGAACCGTGAGCTGGTTAAGCGTCCGGGAGTGCCTTGTAATGCCTGCGGAAGCTGGAAGACTCCTCACACCCTGTATGTCGATGGTGAGTATCTCGATGCCGGTAACAAGGCATAAGAAGCCGTCCAGGGCGTTCAGTGCGTCCTCCTCGGCGTTGTCTTCGTGCTTGAATTCCAGGACTCTGAGCTTCTGTGGTAGCTTCGTGCTCTTGCTCAGCTCTGCGAGGAGAGCATCGGCTCCCGAACAGGAAAAGATACGGAGCTCTTGCACCGTGCCGAAGTCGATGAATTTGCAGTACGTTTCCGCCGCATATCGCAGGTGGATCTTTTGTAGAGTAACGTCTGTAAGCGCCAGCGGCGTGCATTTTGCGAAGGGTGACATATGGCCGAAGATGGAAGTCGTAATGAGCCCCGGCCCGGTGCTCGAATCGTTCAGTTCCCGGCTCGTAATTTGCTCTTCGCCGTCGTCAAAGAGTGCATGCAGAATCAGTCGCTCAACTTTGGGGGCTCTCTTCATGATGGCACCGCAGTAGTTCAGGACGCGAGTCCTGTTCGGATAAAGGCCCACCTTGGTGATCTTGGAGAACATCGTATCGAAGTTGGGAAGCTTCTCCAGCTCTGGAAGAACGTCGCGGTCTGTCAATATACCCTCGGCCCACTGCAGCCGCTTCTGCTTCTTGAAGAGCAGAAGCAGGTTGTCAGTTGAGAACTCGGTCCACGGATACCAGCTCATGTCTTCCAAAATGTTCTCTGGAAGAAGCTCGAGAATCATCCGGATGGCAAAGTTTGCCTGCTGCTGTCTAGCCTGGTGAACCTGAATGCAACAGCTGTCCATGTCGGACTGGTACAGATCCAGCTTGCGTATGAGCGGTAAGCCGATGTTGCGCGGGTTCAGAAAAGCACTGAGCTCCGAAATCATAGAGCTGCCGACATCGAGAACAACGCAGTTGTAGAGAAAGCGAACGGCGATCTCATGCAGCTGTTTGCACGTGAGGCAAACTCTGACGAGATCCGTGGGGCGAGCGATATGCTCGACTATGAGGGTCTTGATGTCTACGGAGAGGTCCGAGAACTGCTTGGGCGTTTTCTTCGCGAACTCCACAACGTCTGCTCTTGCAAGACACGGGGTTGAGGGCAGATAAGGCATCGCGTGGACTACGAAGCAGACGTCGGGTGGGTAAGTTGTAAGTAGGACGCGATTACACGATCCTAGTAGTCTCTACACGAGGACTCTCCGCAGTACCCCAGGTGAGGAGATAGAATTGGAGGGGTAGCTTGCGATAGACCTGAGAGCAGTGATGGTGGAAATTCTAGTGATAGATGGCGAGGGGAGGTGAGCAGAAGTACGGCCGGAGTTTATGTTTCAGCCTCGCGGTGGCCTGTAACGATGGCAAAGAATCGATGGAGAGCGGAGGTAGAGAACAGCGAGCAGCTGGCGAGTGAGAGGGACAGATACGGTAAAGACCTTGCCTTTCTTTCATGGCCAGGCAGCGGCAACTGAAGCTTTCAGCGTTATCGCTCGCACAAACTCCGTGGCTGCCTAGGTAAGGAAGATGACTGAGCCTCATTCACAAAGTAAGCTCCATTCGTCGAGGAGATGGCGCCAAGATGGGACTTCCGCGCCTGACGCCCAACAGTCCGCGCGCATCTCCTGGACGGGGGATTCAACTTTGCCATATGAGGGTGGCTGCAGCTTCGATCATTGGCGCCTCGGCTTGCACGAGCATCAGACTGCCTAACCGGTAGGGTTCGTTCAACAGTGCGGAGAGCTTAGGTACTTCGCCGGTCAGCTCGGGCGCTGCTGGAAATACAAACATCACGGGCATCGACGTTATGTAAGGCGAGGCTGAAGCCCAGCAGTTTTGGGAAGGCAGAATTTCGGGACCCAACTTTGAAGTGTGGCCGTCCTTCAGAGGCAGCTCAACGGCTGATCAGTACTCGGGAACATGGTGGGTTTGAAGATGCCACGGCAGTTCGAGAACACTCATAGCATAACCAGGCGTAAGATACTACTCTGAGTTGTATCCTGCAAACAACACTAGCGAACTGACCCTACTACATGGTGGAAATCCCAAAACCAGACGCCCGTGGCGATATGCTCGTATATGCAAACAGAGTAATTAGCATCACTAGAGGTACTTCTTCGGCGCATTATCCCTCCGTCTCCTATACACGATATATGCGCCCAGGAGCATGATCTGGAAAGCAATCACCACAAACGCGAAGAGCCCCACCTTAGGCCGAGAGGTCGACACGACTGTTGCAACGTCAGCACTTAGTTCCTTGTCACCGCACGCAGGACTGCTCACTTTGGCTCATTGCTGCAGGTATACCCTCGGACAGACTCAAATGGGTGTCTTTCAGGGTGTTCTGCAAGCTGGTAAAGTGCTCCTTGTAGTCTTTCCCCTCAACATCCTTCTGTATCCTCACAACAATCCCTTCAATCTTCTGAATAGTCCGCTCCATGGCCGCAACCTTCTCGTTCGCTGCACGTGTCCGGTCCGCAAGCTCGCGATGACGCTGTTCGGCCGTCTGCTCGAGCTTTACCATTTGGCTTTCGTGGTTCTTGCGGAGCATGCTTAGCTCGCGGTAGACGTTGTTGACCTGGTGCGCTGCGGATTGCAGACGGTTGTGGAGGTCCCCGAACTGGTCTTCGACGGATCTGTAGGAGGAGGCAGGCGCATCGGGAAGGTCGCGCAGTGCTTCTGCCAGAGGTGGCTGGTCCTGTTGCTGTCGGTCTGCGCGGACTTGTTGCTGGGACTGCTGGTGAGGCTGATTTTGTGGTACGCGGTGGATCTCCTCTCGTGAGATTGAGTTTGTGGTCGAGACGACGAACTTGTTGATTTCGAAGCTATCCGGCGATTCCGCTGAGGCGGCGGAAATGCCGAAGTGGTAGCCTGGGGGAAGGGAGATCTAGCAGAACGATTAGCACGCAAACGTCAAACAAAAGATGGACCTCATACTTTGTCGCTTCTGATACAAGATCGACCATCCACCAGAACTTCGAATCCATGTGATGTCTGCTGCAGTCGCAATTTCGTTGGGTCGCCCCGGTTGCGGTACGCATAGTCGCAGATGCCAAACGACAGAGTGTCAACATTATGATGGTCCTTGTAAGATATCGATCCGTCGTTCAGAAACCCCCGGATGCTTCCACCTCTTCCACCATATTGGTCCAAGGCAAGAACCAGCCCGTCGAACTTTGGCACGGTGTATAGACTCGAAAGCTCGACAGCAGACGGTCCGTCTTTTGCATACCACACCTGCAGATTGCCGCCCCCTCGCTCTGGGCCAGACGCCCGGAACTCAAGGTCGACCACCCATTCTCGATGCGGCAGCGGGTTATCTGCCCATAACGCACCACGCTTGTTGCCCGGATATGGAGGTGTGAGTATGACGCGGTCAGACAGCATGTCCGGTGTATGGCCTTCCCCAAATGTGTGCCATCCTGGTATCGTTCCCGAATTCGGCGATATGCTGCCTGGCTTGTGCCCAAAACTGAGTCCTTCGACAATGTATTGTGCGTGTACGGTGGAAGCGGCGAAAGCGCACCAGGCGGCCGTAGCCAGGCTCCGAGCGGATATGTGCATCGTGCGGACGAATTGTAGACTATGTATTGTGTACAGTGAGATGGTGCGAGGAGGCGCAACTATGCGCTTCCAAATCCGGCAACGTGGTTCTTTGAAGGCGGCAGGCTACTTTCTTTCTTTAAGGCGGCTTCGAACAATTAGCTTGTTCTCACGAGCCTGTGCTTAGAAACTGCTGCTGGAAGCTTGCCTGATCCTATCGAGGGGGAGAGCGAAACTGTTTTACAATGGATACAATGGTCCAGGCGGCAGCAATGGCTATGATACAATTACGCGCTTCCTTTGCAATGGTAACGAGCGAAGGGGAAACCTCAAGGGAGTGTCTGATGAGAAGCTGATCCGGAAAGCCTACGGCGTGTTTAACTGCAACGTCAGATATATCCATCTCCTGACGGCCAGCTGTCTTGCTTTGGGGTTCAAGGCTGGCTGTTGCAGAAGTATGGTCCGTGCACCTGGGATGATGCCTCCACTGGGGCTCCGACTCCTCAGCTACTCGACCGCTGGAACGGATTGATATGTGTAGAAGGCTACAATACGCGGTCCGACAGGTAGAGCTCGATATTGCGAGAGCGAGCAAGTCTTCGAGGCTCTGTATCCTGGATGCAGCTGTAGATCAAATCCACGACGATCTCCGCGAGTGCTTCGACAAGCTCGGGGTGTTCGAGGTGAACGCCGATTGGTCGCCGAAAAGAGTGCACCTCACTCTGAAGTCGTGAGCATCACCAGCACAACCACCGCGTCGCCATCTCATCGACCACCACCAGCGGCATCTCACGATCCTCGCAACCTGCTGAAGCTCAACTGACCCGCTCAGCCTTCCACCGAACCGTCATCATGTCGGGCGACCCTCAGGAAACGTGGCGGCGACTCCAGCAGACGCTGCAGAACGCACAGCAGCAGGGAAAGAAGTTCGGCGGCGGAGGCGGCAACCCAAGGGGTGCTATCGGAGGCGTGCTTGGGCTGGCGATACTGGGAGGTGGTGCGGTGCTGCTGAACAACTCGCTCTTCAACGGTTCGTTTCCCTGTGCCCTGGAGCTGCCGGAGGCAAAGGCGGTAGAGGCTCCGGGGTCGTAGACTAACGCGCGCTTCGTGCAGTTGACGGTGGTCACCGAGCTATCAAGTATACCAGGATAGGAGGTGTCAGCAAGGAGATATATAGCGAGGGTAAGTCCCCCAGTTGCCAACCTGTGCTCCTTGGCGGCGGCATCTACTTACACCATCGCCTTCGTAGGAACCCACTTCCGGATACCGTGGTTGGAGACGCCCATCACCTACGATGTTCGAGCGAAGCCCCGCAACGTCGCATCTCTCACTGGCACAAAGGATCTTCAGATGGTCAACATCACCTGCCGTGTGCTCTCGAGGCCGCGTGTCGATGCGCTACCGCAAATCTACCGTACACTCGGGACAGACTACGATGAGAGGGTGCTGCCATCAATCGTGAACGAGGTGCTGAAGAGCGTGGTTGCGCAGTTCAACGCCAGCCAGTTGATCACTCAGCGTGAGAACGTCTCCAGGCTGGTCCGCGACAACCTTGTAAGGAGAGCCGCTCGGTTCAATATCATGCTGGATGATGTGTCCCTGACGGTAAGTTTGAACGACACCCAGTTCCCATAGACTACATTTCACTCCGAGGGTCTTCCGCCCTAGTGCTCGTAATAAGTCCGCTAACCTCATCTGCAGCACCTCGCTTTCTCGCCCGAGTTCACCGCCGCCGTCGAAGCCAAGCAGGTCGCGCAGCAAGAAGCCCAGCGTGCCGCCTTCGTCGTAGACAAGGCCAGGCAAGAGAAGCAGGCCACGGTCGTCCGTGCCCAAGGTGAAGCCCGGTCAGCCGAGCTGATTGGTGACGCCATCAAGAAGTCCCGCACCTACGTCGACCTCCGAGAGTTCGAGAATGCTAGGAACGTCGCGCAAATCCTGGAGCGCAGCCAGAATAAGGTATATTTGGACGCGAGTGGGCTTGGTCTTAATATCAACCAGTCACAACTGGACAAGGATAGGAAGGCTGCACAGAAGTGAGCCGCGGCAGGGGCTTTACGGTAGCAAAAGTTGTCTTCGAAGTGGCAGGTATTGGTTTTCGATTGAAGGTGTAAGCGTCTGGGTGTCTTTCTAGCATCGATATCATAGCTTCATTCCGCTCTGTATAGATTGTGGGTCACTTGTAAACAGTGTTTAAGGGTTCGTGTCTGTTGCTACTCGGTACAGCCTGACTGCGACTCTGCTCTACAGGCTGATACAGAATTCTTGTTCGGTGCTCACGGGGCCCTAGGCGGCAGCTTCGAGCTCTGGTCGCCAGAGGCGCGTCCAACGCGGTGTCAGTCGAGTCAGGTACCGAACTGCGCATAGCCCCATAAAACTGTCGGATTCTGGGCAGTGTCAAGCTGAATTGCGGAGGTAGTGCCGCCATATCTGCAGCGCGGCTGGGGGTCTCGTGAGGGGAGCCTGGGGAGCCTTGGAGGTGATGCGGTGGTGAAGATCGCGGCCGTTTGCGATGCGGGCACGCACAGGCCTTCCAACGTTGGGCCTCGACCATAAAAACCCCGACAGCAGCCGCGTTTTGGCGGCCTGTCACTCGCGGCGCCATCGGCAAACACACCAACGTCAAAGCTCCCGTCGCCGGACGAGGTGTCAATGTCAACCGCGCGACAGCTTGACCTGACAGCAATAAAACACCCGCCGTCGCCAACAGCTCAATTGCAGTCGCGTCGTCCTGTAATCGTACGAGATCCATCTGCACCGCCCTTGCGCCCCTCCACAAGCCTCACAAGCCTACTGCATTGCTCTACCAGCCCACGCGCACGCGCACGCCCAGCAGCTCAAGCTCGAAGCTCCAAGCAACCCCTCCACCAAGAAGCTCACCGCGATTCGCGCAGCCAACGCCCGAGCATGTGAGGAGGCATGTTTATCAAATCGCCTCGGAACCTCTTCTACCCGATCACCGTTACGGAGCTCCTCAAACAGCCGGGCGACGCGGTCGAGAGGCTTGCGCCGCTCTTCTCATACACCTACACATCCGTGGTCACACTAAGTGACAGAGACGGGAATCCGAAGAAGGTCGAGCAGCGGCTTCCGACGCACTTTGCGTCTGAGACGGATGGGGAGGTGGTCAGGTGGTCGATCGCTGCGGGCGATGTCATAGAGAGGCCAGGGTAGGTGGCAGACGCAGCAGATGATAACACGACGAGAATGCACTGACTGGATCTAGGCACCCCCTCGTCGAGATAGAAGAGCCATGTCGGCACGAGCTCCAGTTCGGCGGCATGTGCGCCGACTGCGGCAAGGACATGACCACGTAAGCCCAGCGCGCCCTTGAGAATCACTGAACCTACTGACGCACGACATAGTGTCACGTACGCCCAATCCATGCGCGACTCGGAGCGTGCGCCCATCAACATGGCTCACGCTAATACCGCGCTCACCGTCAGCCACGAAGAGGCCTCACGCGTCGAAGAGGACGCCAAGCGCCGGTTACTGCAGAATCGAAAGCTCTCCCTGGTCGTCGATCTGGACTGTACAATCATCCATGCTTGTGTCGAACGCACAATAGACGAGTGGAAGAACGATCCAACCAACCCAAACTACGAAGCGGTCAAGGATGTCCACTCCTTCCTGCTGAAGAGCGAGATACCGGGACGCACAGCGGACACATACTACATTAAGTGCCGGCCCGGCTTGACCGAGTTCTTGGACAACATATCGAAATTATACGAACTACATGTCTACACTGCGGCTACTAGAGGCTATGCGCAGGGCGTTTGTGCGATCGTAGACAGCGACAGGAAGCTCTTCGGTGACAGGGTCTTGAGCAGAGACGAGAGCGGCAACATGTCGTTGAAGAGTTTACACCGGCTTTTCCCGGTCGATACGAAAATGGTGGTGATAATCGACGATCGCGCAGACGTTTGGCGCTGGAGCCCCAACCTTGTCAAAGTTCAGGTGTTCGATTTCTTCAAGGGAGTAGGCGACATCAACTCGGCCTTCTTGCCCAAGCGACCGGAAGATTCGGAGAAGAAGATGGATAAATCTCTGGCCAAATCCATTGAAGCGGCCGCGGAGGCCTCGGAAGCTACAAACCTAACGCCGGAAGTGGACGCAAACAAGTCAAGAAGACCTTCAGCGCAACTGCCAGTGGCGGCTCCACAGCCGAATGGGGATGGCACGGATATAGAGCAGCAGCTAGTCGCTATGAGTGGTGGCAACGATCCTAATCTGCTGCACGAGCAGACGGCGCGGCAGGAAGAGGCTGTCGCTGCCCAAGTGGATGAACGGCCACTGGCAAAGTTGCAAGAAACATTGGACAAGGAAGACGAAGAGGAGGCGAAGAAAGAACACGATGGTGAGTCCGACGAAGACGAGGATGCCGCGCCGAAACCCCCCAAGCCACGGCACGTACTGCTTCGAAACGACGACACCACGTTGATAGGGCTGGAGCGTATTCTTCGAAAAATACACACTGCGTTCTACGAGGAGTACGATCGCAGACTGGCTAGTGCACAGGGCGGAAGAATTGCAGAGCTTAGAGGAAGCGAACCAGACTCAGAGACACGGCCCCAGGACGACCTTCAGCTAGTGCCCGATATCAAGGAGATTCTGCCGGACACGGTGAGCAAGGTCTTGGACGGTGTGTCGCTCGTGTTCTCGGGCATCTTCATGTTAAGCATCAACCCTCAGGAGTAAGTTGCGTTCCGCAATGCCAAACTTTATCCAAGCTAACACGAGCTCAGCGCGGAACTATCCATGTGGGCCAAGAGCCTTGGCGCACGTGTTTCGAATCGCCTCAGCAAGAAGACCACCCACCTCGTCGTAGCCAGCGACCGACGAACCGAGAAGATCAAGCAGGCGGCTCGCAACGGCATCAAGATCGTATACCGGGCTTGGCTAGACTACGCCCTGACGCACTACGAGCGGCCAGAGGACGAGCCCTACCTTCTCCACATCGACCCAGACGACAAGCCAGGAAAGACATCCCCCCTACCAGACTCCGAAGACGGCACCTTCCTCTCCTCCGACGACGAGAACGGTGCAACCCCCCCAATAGGCTCCGAGGACGAGCTATCAGAGGACGAGGATGGCATGCGTTCCCGGGCTAGCGACGACAGCGAGAAAGTCTCTGTCACTGCCGAGGACTGGAACGCCATGTCGAAAGAATTGGACGAGTTCATGGCGGAGGCCGGGGATACCGACGACGATGAGGGTACTGATACAGCTGACGATTTGGATGACGACGCCAGCGCCACGGAATCGCACACGGATGCCGAGAAGCCGGACTCGGGCAGGAAGGTTAAGAAGCGCAAACGCAACCTAGACTCCGCCGAATCGACGGACGCAGAAGACGGCGACGGCGCCGCTAACGGGGTCCCGGGCTCGCAGCTGCAGCGGAGGAAGAAGCGAGCGATGGACCGGGTGTCGAGCCTCACTACCAACGTCACTTCTGCCGCCACGGACGAAAATCCATTGGGTCTGCCGGGTCCGGCTGCGACGGGTCCAGAGGATGACCCACCGATCAGCGACGACGACGACGCGAACCTCGTTCCTCCCGCCGGCGAGGATGATGCGGACGAGGATGCGGAACTACAGGCGCAGATGATGGCGGAGTTTGAGAAGTATGACGATGGTTGAGCGGTGGCTTGCCGTGTGTTCTGACGTGCTGAGAATTTCCGATTTCGGCTCCAGTTTGGAGCAATCTGTCTCATCTGTCTGCATGGTGCGGCGTTTAGTAGGCCAGCGCTACAGCCAGACAGGCGTCTCGATCAGCGGGGTTGGGGTGAGTCTGCTGCATTGGGAGCGGGTATACTCTGTCAGACCACACGTCTTTGGGCTTTGAGTAGAGTCGACACCAAGACCAAAAGTTTAAACACACCTTGAATCTGATTTCCGAGTTGCCTTTGAGTACTTGTAGCGTGCTGTGCCCGCTTCGTATTCCTGAGGCTTTGTCTGCCACCCTGAGACTTCAACCCCAACCCCTCGCCGCATCGGCAGCGGCGCACCTCTATGCTAAGAGAGCAGACGCTCAACTGCAGAGCAGACGCTCAACTGCTAAGAGGTATTATGCCACCATGATTGGTTATGTAAATGCCCGAAATATCTAATATAGAACAGAAGCTAACCTAAACTACAAGGCCGACTCATCTTATTATTAAGAAGGTGAGTCGGCATCCAATGGCGGAGGTGAGATCGAGAGGGAGCTGTAACAATCTTCTGGTAAGAATGCCAGCGTGATTTCGTACCCGAAAAGACCACAAGCTCTTGAGTGATTTGGTGCTCTAGTGCGTCGTGTGCTTAAAGTCTTCTGCGCGTAAAATCGACATCCATCTACATGAATGTGAGTAAAGTGTACTTCTTTACCGTGTGGATTAACGACTCTTGCTGATCTCGCGTCGCTGCTCCGAGGTCAAAAATCTCAATTATATACTGTTAGCTAGACTTGTCTTCTCATTAACAAAATGAGTCGGGCTTACAGTTTCATAGTTTCATCAAGCATGCTGAGAGTACCTTGCGCTTTTCACAACGCTAGACTACGTCGTACGGCTTCAACTCCAATTCCTCGCAGTGGTAGCGGCGACACCGCTAGGGGTGGACCACCTCTATGCTATAACTCATCGCGTTGTTGAGACGGTGAGACTGCATCAAACGTAGATCTGAGACCGAAAGGGATCCGTGGTAATGGCGTGGCAAGAATTTCAGCAAGATTCCATATTCTAAAGATGATAGACCGTTGACCAGTTTGGTGCTTTCGTGCATCGTGGCTCTAAAGTCCCCTGCGTGTAGAGTTGCGAGAGAAAGTATACACCATAAACAGATTGTTTCTCTTTAGCTATCCACTATCTTGTAGCTACGTGGTACGCATCCCTATGCTAAACATCAGGCAGCAGCCTCTTCGCAACTGGTACTGGGTGTTGAGCATTCTTCTTCCACTCTTCGATCTCTGCCTCAGTCTTTCCCTCCCTGCGCATCTTTGTGACAGGCCGGCCGATCATCTGCCAATAGTCTTTGTGCCAATCAGCGTATGCCTTCTTCTGTGCCTCGCTCCGTTTCTCGCGGGCAATTTTCTCCTTGGCCGTTCTGAAGACGCGGTACTCCTTAGCGGTCACGGGCACGCTGTCTACACCCCCTGGCCTCCTCACCAGCTCCTTCAGCGGGCACATCGAATTAGTGCCCTTGTAGTCGTAGTCCTCGTATTCCCAAAGCCGCAATGCTAGGAGAGAAGCCTTTACTCGACTCTCCATGGCGCTAGCGCAGAATGTAGCTAGCCAAGAAGCGAAGATCTGCTCGGCCAGGACAATAGTGATCCGCCAAAGGAACGCTGCATCCGGCGTTGTGTCCGTGAGTGGTAGCTGCAGAAGCACTACGAAGAACAACGCGCGCACGACATCGTCGTCGATGAGAGCATAAAATGCTTTCGGCCGCCTAAATAGATTGGTTAACCTGTAGCTACAACACAACGGACCACTCGCGAGCATATTTACATATTCTTTGCCGCCTGTGTCTCCCTATCCTTCCGCCTATACTCGGGATTGGCATGCTGATCCGTCCTGAATGTAATCCCTCTTCCGCCAAACGCCGTACCAGAGCCCGTATACGTCCAATCATGATGACCGTCGTCCTCAGTCTCCAGAACACCTAGATACACCCCACCAACACCCCTATGCTGCTCGCTAACTCTTGGCAATTGTAGTAACTGTTGTATCGTGGGCGGCCTCTCGGCCCCAAGAAGCAGCTTGGCTTGGTGCTCCGTAGCTACATTGATGACTTCCACCCACTCTTCCTTGCTCCGCAAGCCTAGGTATTCTTTCTGCCAGCCAACCCCCAGCTCGGTCTCCGGCAGTGCCAGTATCGTGTCTATGGTGCTAGTGAGGCGCTGGCTGAAGATTTCGAGCGCCCGCTGGTCCGCGGCGAGATCGGAAAGAGGTTCTATGGTTGCTACAAATGCCATTACAGTGATCGAGTGAGGTGATGATAGCATCCGTACAAGTTGTCCAGAGAAGTATGACAAAGGGGCGGCTGTTGAAGACTTCCACGATCGTCCCCTCCATTGCTACATCATGATGCGAAATGCAGGGGCACACGCTACGTACACCGCTCCGAATACCGATACGCTGCGAGCATCATGATTACAGACCGTAACATCAGGTATGCATGCGATCGATGGCAAGACCTTCACAATCAAGACACAAGTCACTCAAGATCGGGTTAACGCCTGCCGCAATGCTTGCATACTAGGAAGGCATACAGTCCAGCGCTACTTGAGAGAGCGGATTGAGGATGACTAAATGGATGGAATTCCCGTAGCTACAAAACATGGAGTCCCGCTGCATTTTTCGTTCGACGAAAAGAAATCAGACGGTATGATGTCGATATTGATTGACGACCGCGAGGGTATATGTGTGGGCACAAGAGACCTGACGTGGTTCAAGATATTGTAAACCGCACCACTGTGAACATTTGAGAAAGGGTATAGGCGAAACGCGTTGTATGAGATTTGAGTTGTAATGGGATCACAATTGAGTGCGGCACCTGCCCGCGCAAGCACCGGGTATCCTTTGGACTACACATATCGTTCTCAGAGCATGCACACTTTTCACAGCTGTATCATCAGCAAGCTATTGCGGGGGAGAACTCTCCGCGATTATGCCAGAGAGCAACTACCGAAATGGGCTTACCCTCAGTTATTATAGCAATCTTGGAATCTACGGATGCTGTCAAGATCGGCCAACGTGAAAGCCCCAATGCATCTAGGGCAGAGGTAGACTTCGGGGCAGTAGCCATGTAGCTACCGCCGAAGGGTGGAAGTATCACCGGCGCTTCCAGTTCATGCTTGTGGGTTACCAGTCACTAGACATAAACAGATATCGCACGCCGTTCCCTGGCTTTTCGTCCATATTAATGCGCATATCTCATCCACACAATGATACGACGCGTCGAAAAGACAAGGGTTGTTGCCTCGTACTTGAATGATCTGTTCGGCACCCTCGGATCAACCTTCTGTCAAGATATGCGCAGCGAAGGGATTGTACCTCGGACTAGGTGTATGCACAAAGAGCGGCTAGTAGTACAGTCAACGACATAGCACGTCTAGTGTTCAAGAGCTCGCTCCGTGTCGAGCTTCCTTAGTATCACCTATAGCCTTTTCGTCGAGCGAAAAAAGACTTAAGCGGCCTGGTTATGACTCAATGCTAAGAACGAGGTTGATGCCGACAGCGTTCGAGAGGAAGAAGAGTGAAGTTGGTTTAGGCGTCGGGATTCTGCGCAGGGCGGGATGCTGTGCTTGGCATGCGAGGTCGTCTGCCACGCAGTATATATGATGTAAACCCATGGTAGTCTTTATCAATTAGCGATTAGCTAAGTCGGGCTTGGTTATTCAATCTCAGCATGGAGCGCTTGGGAAATTCAATACTGTTCAAGATACCACAGAAAGGAACAAAAATCTAAATCGAGCATCGATACTATCGGGTCCAGGTATCTGTTAAGTATAATTACGTTAAACCTCAACGGCGCCCTTCATCAATGGGCTTGTGGTTTGTGAGTTGTCCTGATTTCAGCTATCAATTTGAGCTGCTGCTAACTAGTCCATAAAGAGTGGTATAATGCCTCTTTAGCACTAGCGCGGATTTTCTCTGGATATCCTGCGCCGTCGTAGCATAGAGGCGGTCCGGGGTTCGATTCCCCGCGAGTCCATATCTTTTGCTCCTTAGTGTGCGTCTGGCACTTCTTTTGGGTGCATGACGTAGGCTCTCCCGGCTATGGGTGGAGCAATTTTTGGCCGGGAACCCCCAATGTAACACTGCTCATAACTGATGCCAACGGCAACTGCATACCGGGTGAGCACTGTACCTCTAAGTATTTCGCTTTACAGTGTCTTCTTACGATGGCTTCATGTAGTCCATAACCTACATGACCAGTACTACATTAGAGCCCACTGAGAGCGGCGACCCATCTTAGCCTATCAAGGGAGACTTGAATTGTAGACGCCGGAGCCTTCATCGATACTAAGCATGTCTTGCGCAGCTGAGAATGTCGCTTTGCATACAAGAGGTACTCACAGGGACGAGTGTAGCGCCCCCGGATCGCAGACTCGATAGCTCTCCAAGCTCCTAATTGAACATCCTCCATCCTACAGCTGCCGTTACGACCTTGTTCACCCTTGCTCGGAGACGCTAGGGCAATGGCTATCCGAAGAGCGGGACCATTTGAACACGTTCACCAGAGGAGGGCCCACCGTTCAGCGATGCAAACAGCATCATACGCTCAATAGTGTGAGCCTGAGTTGTCCAGGTCAGGTCTGCAATTCAATCTATTCAAGACATGCACTAGGGTTACATCGAAGCTCGATGTGCTCACGGTCACCAGAGCCAGCTTTGATATTGACCGGATATCCTTCAGCCGATTCAAACAGATACTCAATATCGAGTGAAGATAGCCGTAGAATGGAAGATTGTCCAGATGAACAGGACTGATGTAAGTCCACTTCATGCGGGAATACAACTTCGGTACGTGATAACTTCCAGAAATGCTCAGTCGATAGCGAAGTGCTTGCAAGCTTTAACAACGCCAACTGGGCGTGTCCCTTCACATCCAATCTATAGTCAGTCTACCGAAACTCCCAAAATCCGGGTCCCTGTACAGTATGAACAAAATGAGACAACAAACGATAGGACGATATCGCAGGCTCATAGTATCGACCAGATACCCGCGAAAGCAACAATCAAGCTCCATCCTGCTAACACAGCCGTCTTGCCAGCCGCGCCCTTGGCCTCAGGTATATTATTCGTGGCCGCGCCGCCTAGATACCAACTGCCAATGTCGGTGAGCTCGCCATCCTGGGTGAGCATGGCGGCGTTGGGTCCAACATTCGAGACGTCGCTGCGGAAGGAGCCGAAGTAAGAGTAGTGCGTGATATTCCTGCAGAGGGAGAACAAGAGCGGTCAGCGGCGGTCTCAGGCATGAGTTTAAGAGAATCGGACCAGTTCAACTTACTCCATCCGATCAAACCACTCAGCACTCTGATTGTAAAACTTCTGACTAGCCTCCAGCCCATTATTCGCATCCGCATACTCCGTAACCCAAATCGTCATGTTCGGCCACGCCGCCATCTTCTGCCCGACATGGCTCGCCAAGCCCTCAAAGTTCCCGTACCAGTGCACCGGCATGATATCCGGATTGCACCGTCCCGCACACTCCTCAAAGAAGTTCTGCAGCCACGTAAACCCATTCGGCGCCCCCGTCGTCGCCGGCGCCCCCAACTTCACCCCCAACTCCCGCAGCGGCTCAATCTCGCGGATCCACGTCGCGGCCGCGAGGTCAACCGGAATCTGGCTGCCGCCCGTGCTGGGGTCGCCGTCTGGCTCGTTGAAGCCCAGCACGTAGTTTATGTTTGCGCCGGCGTCGATTTGAGCTTTTACGGTGTCGTAGAAGGCGGTGCCGACGCGGTCGTCGGAGGCGCCCCAGAGCATGGGCACGAATTCGAGGTTGCTGGAGAGGAAGGGCGCCGAGGGCTCGGCCCCGTAGTTGTAATACCAGGTCAAGTCGCTGCCGGCTTGTGTCCAGATATTGTCGTCTTGGGGGTGCTCTTGGGAGGGGACGTAGACGAGGCCACGCTTGGAGGAGGGTTCAGCGAGGATGATGGGGAGGGCGCTGAGGGCGCTGAGGAGGAGGGTGCGGTGCATTATGGCGCTCGTGAGGGTATGTTGATGGTCTGATTTGATCGAGTCGCCTGTTGTAGCTGTACAGAGAACTCTCTTGCGAGATGGTGAGTATTGAAAATACTATGAGCAAAATATTAATCGTTCGAAGAATATGAAGAGTGACACGTTAATAGCACGTTAACAACTGGACGCAGCACGAATAATGCTGCTCGAATTACGTATCGTCTAGAAACACAGAAAGAAGCTGTACAGAGCAAAGGATACCTAAGAAATCAGAAACCTAGAGCAAGGCACAGGGAAAGGGGGTCCCAACGAGGCGTTGATAAACTCCAAGAAATCAGCCAGCCAGAGTGCGCCAAGAGAGCCTAGCCAAGATCGTCGGCGCCACAGCCGAGACGTCCGAAATAGAAATGCGTGCAGAGCGAGACGCCAAACGCGCGCCGGTCCTGCCGATCGCTGATCCACATCTGAAGATGGACAAACCAATTTGCTGATAGGAGATTAGATGTGGCGTCCCGTGACTTGAAAGCGCAGATGGGATGGCTCAGGTATGCCGTTCTGGGAGCTACACACTGTACGGTTGAACTCATGCAGTATGGCTGGATGTCTCATGGAACTTTGTTCTAAGGCATCCTTGACTCCAGCACGATCTGCATACTGGGAGATTGGTATCGTACAGCGCTGTATGATAAGAGCAATGGATGCTTAGGGCGCGATCGTCAAGTCAAAGCCTACAGGAACGGCGGCCCAGTCCGCTGGACTAGTTTCTCATCACACAACTCTAGCAAGTTGTTGATGCCTTGCAGGACAGCCTTTGCTCGTGGATCCTCCGCCAGGGCTGTGTTGCGGCCAGCCATCCCGTCGTTTCTTCCACCCAACTTGTCCGGATGCCAACGCGTCCTGTTAATCCTGAGGTGTCCCTTCAAGGACTCCAAGTCGCTTGTTCCGCCTCCGCGAGCTTCAAGCCGAACCTTCCCTGTGCCGTCTGCAACGAACTGGGGCCGGAATCCGAACGCGCGGAGGAAGAAGAGTGCAGTGTTGCTCTCCATCACGAGCGCATCCGTCCATGTCGAATGGTCGAGAGACGCGCCGAGGCGTGAGCGGTCCAGCAGCTCGTCCGCGCGTTGACCAGCTGTTGGGTATGGTATCGCAGGATCTCGGTGGCTAAGCCTTGCCCAGCACTTGCTGTATTCCTCAAACTGCCGTTTTGCTTCGGCGTGCGAAGATGGCGGCATGCTGTTCCTGCTGCCGTTGAATGATGCAGCCGGATGCGACCGCGAACAGGCATGAGCACCAAAAGGTGGGCCATGAAAATTTGAATGGGGCGGCTCATCCCTCGCCCACGGAAGCTCGCCGTCACTTTCATCAAGCCCTGCGAAGAGGAAGTCGAATTCATTGAAAGCCTGAGACCACCAGCAATCATGCTGGGTGCTCGTTCGGCGACTGGACCGCATGGTTTCCTGTTGCTCCTTGTCTCGTCTCCACTGCTGCTGCTCACGCTTCAGACTCCGAGACTCCTCATTAATCTTCGCTCTCTGTCTGCGAAGGTGGTCCTGCTGAGTTTGTAACATTTCTCGTTCCAGTCTGAGCGCTGCCTGGCCTTCCTCGAGCCGTGCTTCTGCTCTTGCAAGCTCGTCCCATCTCCTGTGCAATATTTCTTTTTCGGATGCCGCATCTGGCCGATCAGCCTCACTCGGTTGTAGTGAAACCGAATGACGTTGCCTTCCACAGTGCCTACATATTGGCCAAGGAGTAGTTGGAAACCTCTCATAGAATCTGGGAGCTTCTGCTGCGGCATGTTGCGCTGCGGTCTGATAAGGTGGCGGGTAATCCCCTTTCATCCAATATGGAGTGCTGGAGTTGCTCACTGATGACGGGCCATGCTCATGAGATGGCCGTTTCCAGTTGCCCTGCGACATACGGTGGTGATGACAGTTGAATAGTTTAAAGAAGGCGTCCACTGATCGCCGCGATGTTCCCGGCAGTCGCCGGTCCGTACTATGGTAAGTTGGACGGCTAGGTGAGAATGGCCAGCTCATCGGTCTGTCCGATCTAAGCGGTGACTTGACTGTCGATAGCCTACTTGGGTGCGCGTTGGTACGTGCTGAAGTATGACCGCGATCCTGCATACGATGGGTACGCTGCGACGAGGCCCGAGAGGGAGGTGTCGACACGCACTTCCCCGGGCTGCCGGGTCTGAGGTTGTCTGTAAAGCGTTCTTTTTCCAGTTCTTCATCCGTTGAGCTGTCAACGCTGAGCGGTTCTGGGGGACGCTTTGAAGAAGTTACTGGAAGTCCTTTGGAAGTGGCATAAGCATCTCCCAGCGAATTGTATTCTTTTAAGTTTTCGAATGCCTCCGCAGGTTCTTCGTGATGCCGGTTTCTCTTCGCTCTAGACCAACCGTAAGCTTCCCGGGTGGAATTGCTAACTCGGTACTGCTTTGCTGCATCTGCCGTCGAGTTTTCTGAGTAGCGGTCTTGCGGCAGGGTGTAGTGGACACCACGCGGAAAAGACGTCGGAGACATCTCTGGGCTTGACTTATGAGGAATATGGGCTCCAATGTGGTCCACGAAGAAGCTTTCCGGGGAATATCGAGTATTTTCAGCATGCAAATTAGAACCAGTCGAATTTGCTGTTTGTGTCAACAACGTAGGAGTGTCGAACCACTGAGACGGCCTCTTCCTTGTTGATGATAGGGTGTTTACGCCTGAGTCGTAACCTGTCGTGTGAAAGGCGTACTCGTGACCGAGTGGGGTGGTGAAGGCACGCTTGAAGGGTGGTCGAGTATTGACATGTTCACCGGTATGGTTTCCACTATCTGGTGAGGGTTTGAGCCATATGGATGCGTAGACGTACTTCATCATCTATCAAAGCTGCCCAGAAGTTATCATTGACGCTTTTAAAGGTTTGCCCAGACGAAGAACAACTCGGCCAGCTGGTGATCGACAGCTGTTTGCTAGTGCTCATGGCATTACAGCACAGCAACAGATTTGCGGATACGGCACATGACCCTCGGGATACCAATATCGGCTGAGGCGCTGAACGGGAGTTGGCTCTCCTTTTCCTTGGTCAATATAAACATGTTTGCTCGGAGAGCTGCAGGAAGTCGAATAATTCGAGGTCGTTGTGCAACGTAACACGGATGATCCATTGAATCCTCTGCTTGTCATTATTGCCGCCTGGTTCAGAATCAAACATTAGGCGTATTGAGCGCGATGTGGTGGTTCTTACGTAGTTAAGCGGCGCTCAAAAACCATTCGTGAGAACTTCCAAACAGTGCCAGCCGTGTGCCACATATCCAATGAAGCCATGCGGTTACGCGTCGACCCTCGATTCCTGATCCTCGGTCAACTTGGGAGAGAAGTTTGCAGGACGGTAGTGAACTAGTTTAGCTACCCGATAACAGATTCCTCTTGCTGCAATGGCACTTGACAGTCTCGTCGTGCCCCCTGGGTAGCCGCAGACAGCATTCGAAAGACGAAATGTAGAAGCAGCTCAGACAGAACAGAGAGTCACATCTACATGCAAACCGACTGTGAGCCAGTAATGTCATCAACAAATCAGTTTGCGACGCAGTAACGTTGTACAGAAGGCACATGGTACTTTTGGCAACTGCTCTCCCGTGAGAAGACGGTGATATCGAGCAGTGTGCAACAGGGCCTTCTCCATCGACTGAACGTAGGTCTTACGTCGAACGGTAAAGATACTCGCCGGTTTGAGCCTTCTATTTGCGTTGGGCTTGCAGCGACATCATTGCGGCGCCTGGCTATACGCAGTGCCCAACCGGGTTGCCAGCTCTGCTGAATTGAAGGGTTTCCCGTCTGAATGGTTGCATACCTGTTTCTGCCTAATGAAATGTCAACAATACGAAAGGGCGGAGACATTGCGGCTTCTTGACATAGCCGCACCGGCGTAGATTGAAGGCTTTGCAAGCACCATTTCGCAGCTGTAGAATTTTCGCGCCCTTTGGTAACCCAATGAACCAGGAAAAGACAAGAGAGACACGATGTTCTATTTGGGGGGGAGCTTATGCGGCAATGGCAGAAACGAGCGAAGCAACGAAGTCCCATGAGGTTACTAATCCCGTACCACCTCGGTTTCGTTGGGCCAGGGGGTTTCGTATCTGCAAAGTACACCAAGACTCCTACACAGCCTACGTTGTCGTGAAGGCCGAACAGACGTTATAAGAATCCTCGATCAGTACATGGTGCGCGAGGTCTGGTTAGAAAGCAGACAATCTTTTGAACCTTGAAAATCGAGCTGCATTGTCAATATTCAACTCTCTGACTTTCCATCAGAGTCGATCACTTCGCCTTCAAAACAAGGCGTTCAAAGTACATCTTGTCAAGATACAGAAGGATGGCTACAGCAGCAGTCGCTGTGCACACATTGAACACGTTTGAAGATCTCAGTGGCACTTCAACTCCTATTTCCTCTGACAACCCTTACGATGGCCTGATAGACGGATCACACAATGACCCTGTAAAAGAGCACTCAACTTGATATACGCGATTAAATCCCCTTCTAACGTCCTACAGGCGCAAATACAAGCCCGCTACAGCACTCATCGTGCGACGCGAAATACCCAGCAAAAGACGAAACTTCTCGCTCCTGACTTCTCCGGAGTCACACTCGATCCCATTCTCCAGCGGCTCTATGATCCAACCATTGAGCCTGGCTACACAGATCCACGTCACTGTTTCGTCTTCTGGGCGCGTCCGCCGCAGAAAGTTAAGGCTCTCATTGCGGATGTGCAGGAGAAGCTCCGAGCAGTTGCGCCGAGTACGTTTGCTTTCCTGCTACGGCCTTCACTAACCACTTCACTAACCACACCTCCAGACCTCTGGCTCATGCCTACCGACTGCCTACACATGACCGCGCTGGAGATAACCCACTCGCGCACCGATGCAGAAATTAAGTCACTCGTAGAGACTATGCACCCCAGTATCCCTACGATAGTGGACTACACACTGACTCACCGCGCCCGGCTCGTCAAGCCCATGATCGGATTCGATGCGCAGGCGCTGGCCCTGAGCTTTGTGCCTGCGGCTGGGGAAGCTCTGCCGCCTGGCCGTACCAAGGCGGACGACAAGTATACATACCACCACCTACGGCGGGATCTGTATACGCTGTCCAAGGAGCGACTCAAGGTGGACTCGCGCTATGTGGTCCCCTCGTCCCATCTGACAATTGGGCGGTTCATCACTGCGGAAGACTTCTCCAGCGACGGGAAGTCGGATCCAGAGAAGATGAGGCAGCTCGTTGAAAAGATTGAGGGGGTTAATGAGTGGCTCCAAGCGGAGTACTGGCCCAAGGAAAATGATGCTGCGATCAAGGACGGCGGCGAATGGATTGTAGGCCAGGAAAAGGGTCTGGACTGCCGCGAAGGCACACTCTGGTACGGAGGTGGCAAGACGGTTCAGTTGGGCCGGGGCTTCTGAAGTTCCAGCACAATTTTTTCTCTATGCTTAGGATAGACTATGCTTTAGAGGGTAGCTGCTGGTCATAGATAGACATCGCGAGTGAGGGCCAATCCGGAAAGCTTGTACACAGGTGACGGACGCCAGAGTCCGTTTTCGTACCACGGTTTGCTGAACCAGGTATCCCTTACAGCTTCAGAATCTGCAGCCTTCCGTAACAACGAGTGCATGCTGAAGACTGTTAGAGTAACTAGGAAGTCGTCTCAAGCATAGGGCCCAAATTAACCACAGCAGGCCATTTACAGAAAGCTGCGCTGGTGATCGGGGTTGTTTTGATATCTCTGCTGTTTGTTCGGCTGTCCAACCCTGGTGTTTGGGCTAGTAAAGAGATCGTCATCGCGCGCCACAAAAGCTTATTCGAAGATCGCGTCTCGTGGGGCCGAAGGCTGCAAGTCCGAAGCGCGCTGCACAATACCTTATCCCTTCCTTCTCATCTGGACAGCGAGTATTAGACAATCGGTCAAGACGGAACAACTTTGACATGACCCAGTGGCTCATCTTGAGATTATCGTTCCCGTTCATGCAAGAAACGAATAGAGAGAAACTGCAGTACTCCGTAAATCCCGGACAGATCGACAGGACCAGCAGCGGGCCGGTGCCAAGCTTCTTCCATCCAGTCCACTCGTCCACTTTTCACGCTCGGTCCTCCTTCGATGTGCGAAACTCCGACGAACGCATCCCCAATCCGGTCAGCTCGCCAGGGTGGACTGGCAGGTAAGTCATGCAAGGCTTTCGAGAGCCTGGTCAGGTAAAACGGGCGCAGTCCCACTACTTCTCTCGTGTTGCTTCCTTCCTTTCTGCTACCTGTCCAAGTTGCTGGTCCTTAAACACCGTGCCTGCGCGTCGCTATCTTGTGGAGCCTGCCAGTCGCCGCCTTGTGGAAGCTAGAGCTAGCGGTCGCAATTTCCGGACTTTCAAACCATGGCTACGCCTTCGGCAGAGACGCCATCTTCGTCCTCCTCAGCCGGCTCGATTGATATAAAAGAGGACCTGGACTACAAGTCGGCGCCATGGACAGGATCACCCACGCTGGTGGAGGAAATGCTGGACCAGTTGCTCTGGAACGAGCCGTATAAGCTGGAGACGGAGGCGTATGTGCTGTCGGAGTACAAGTCACGACCACAACAAGTCGATGCGGAGAAAGGAATAGCACAGAAGGGCGCGCCGCCTGGAGGGCCGCTTGGGGGACCACCTGGAGGACCACCTGGAGGACCGCCTGGTGGCGGGCCTGGCGGACCTCCTGGATTACCTCCTTCGCATCCGATGCATCCCTCACAATTCCCTGATGGTGGACTGAAAGCATGGATGACAGTGCTGGGAGGGTTCTGTTGCTTGTAAGGGAGGAAAAGATCCCAATGCCCGGTGTATATATTGACATGGTCCCAGATTCTGCTCCTTTGGCTGGATCGGTGCCATTGGTGTATTCCAAGACTACTACATGATGCACACACTAAACTATCTACCGCCGAGTACGGTTGCATGGATACCTTCGTTACAAGCCTTCATGATGTTCTTCGGAGGACCGATCATAGGAAAATTCCTAGACAACTACGGACCTCGCTACGTTCTGCTCGTCGGCACCTTTCTCCACGTCTTTGGCCTGATGATGACCTCGCTCTCGATAGAGTACTATCAGTTTATCCTGGCCCAGGGCATCACATCCGCTATCGGCGCTTCTTGCATATTTTATCCGGCCATGTCAACCAGTATAACCTGGTTCCTCAAGAGAAGAGCGCTGGCCCTCGGCGTCGTGGCTGCCGGTTCATCCGTTGGAGGAGTAGTATTTCCTATTATGGTTGACCACCTTATCCGCCAGGTTGGCTTCCCTTGGGCTATGCGCGCTTGCGCGTTCCTGATCCTGGCACTCATGGTATGATCCTTTGCATCCAAGAATCTGACATGCACGAAAGGCTGACTGTCCGAACCAGGTTGTCGCGAACCTTACGGTCAGGTCCCGCATTCCACCTATGGCAAAGCCGTTCAACATTATGGACTTCGTTCGACCCTTCAAAGAGCTACCTCTCATTCTCCTCACCGTTGGTGCCTTCTTGTTCTTCATGGGTATGTTCTTGCCGATGAACTACCTCATCATCCAAGCGGTGCAGCAAGGGATGTCACAGCGTCTCGCCGCCTATCTCCTTCCCATTTTGAATGCTGTGAGGTAAAGCATCTTACCAATCTCCCTCTCGGCAAGGATATTGCTAACATAGAATCCCAGTCTCTTCGGCCGTATTATCCCAGGCTACATCGCCGACAAAATCGGCCGCTTCAACGTAATGATCGTGCTCTGCTACTTCACGGCCATCATTGTTCTCGCTCTGTGGATGCCCGCTACCTCCAATGCCGGTATCATCGTCTTCGCCGCCTGTTATGGTTTCGGCTCCGGAACCTTCGTGTCCATGATCCCCGCACTGATCGCGCAGATCACCCCCGATGTCCGACAAATCGGCGTGCGGACGGGGAGTGTTTTCGCCATCATTTCGATCGCGGCCCTGACAAGCAACCCAGTCGGCGGCGCGCTGTATGAGATTTGGGGAAACAAATTCACGGGTCTGCAGATCTTCTGCGGCATTACGCAGATTGCGGGATCGACTGCAATTCTGGCGGCGAGGATCGCGCTGAAGGGTGTCAAGATTAAGGTGAAGGTGTAGGAGCCGGCCTGAAGGTGTTTTTTAAATCGTTAACGGCTGCAATTTGTGGGCATACAGCATTGCGAACGGCGTTTTTGTGCAGATGGGATATGACGACTGTAATGTCTCGACCTTATTGCCGGAAAACTGGACAGGTTCATTGTCTTTAGTTGGTCTTGCCGCAAGTTGTATATATTCGGCATGAAAATTCTTGACATGACGATTCGTCACTCGTACATACAGACCAGCAGCACATACACGAACAAAGCGCGCAACAACTTTTTGGTCATCATCGCCCCTGCACTAACCTCCACCTCACTCATCGGGATCCCAACCATCCGTCCATTCCTCACGATCCCTTACATGCCGTCACTCCTCTCTCCCTTGCCCTGCTCCCACTCCCATCTACTGCTTGTCCGTCCTCTCCCCCAGCCCCTCCTTCCCCCCCTTAACGTCAGTCTCCCCGCCAAACCCTGTTTTCCGCTCCGGCTCCTGCTGGTTATCCGGCTGCTTGGCCGGGTGGTTGTCGCCGGACTTGTGCTCCTCCTTCGAGGCGCTGGACTGCGGGTCCGTGTTTGGCGTGTCGGCGGAGGGCGAGCGCGAGGGCGGGTTGTTTGAGTCCGGGTTCGGATCGCCGCGGTCTGCTGCTCGGCGAATAACGGAGGAAGTGAAGGGGCGAGAGGGGGTAAGGAAGACGCGGGGAGCGCGGCGGAGGAGGGTACGTGGGAGCATTGTGGTGGGTGAGGGGGGTCTATGAAGGGTGGTTACTTGTGATGGTCGAGTTGAAAGTGGACCCTGTCGTACGGACTCTGGAGAACTGACAATGGTGAATCTCGATTGCTGTTCTACTTGTACTGGCAATGCGCGGTTGGTTACAACATGACTTCACACGATGACGTTGCGGATCAGGCGCCGAGGCAGCTCTTGTATCCCGGCGGCGATCACTTTAATCGCTTCGCGTGGCGGAAACGGTCAACGCGCCTTGACGCGTCTTCTCCAGAAGAACCACAGAGAGCATCCCGCGTCAGATCAGACGGTATCGCTGAAACGGATTTGAATCATCACAATGGGCTCCAGACCAGACCTCAAGGTGGACGATGAGGTCGGCTTCATCAGGTTCTTCCGCGGCCTCCCCTCTCAAGGCGACGATACAGTCCGGCTGTTCGACCGAGGCGATTACTATACGGCTCACGGCGAAGATGCATTGTTTGTTGCGCGCACAGTATGTGTATAGGCTCCTTTCTCATAGATCCGGCTGACAGACACCTTTACAGGTATACCGCACCACATCCGTCCTCCGCCAGCTCGGCCGCGAACCCGGGCTCGACTCCGTCACCCTCTCCGTCACCGTCTTCCGCAACTTCCTCCGGGAAGCGCTCTTCAGGCAAGGCAAGCGCGTAGAGATATGGGAGACATCAGGCCGCATGAACTGGAAAGTCACGAAGCAAGCATCTCCGGGAAACCTGCAAGATATCGAGGACGAGCTGGGCGGACAGCTAGACTCGGCGCCCATTATCCTAGCTGTCAAGGTCTCCGCCAAAGCGTCTGAAGCACGGAACGTCGGCGTGTGTTTTGCAGATGCAAGCGTGCGGGAACTTGGTGTCAGCGAGTTTCTGGATAACGACCTGTACTCGAACTTCGAATCGCTGCTTATCCAGCTAGGCGTTAAGGAATGTCTGATCCAGGTCAACGCCTCCAAAAAAGATGCGGAACTCGCTAAGCTACGGAGTATCGCGGACAGTTGCGGTTGTGCCGTGTCAGAACGGTCTCAGGCAGATTTTGGTACACGAGATATAGAGCAGGACCTGACCCGGCTGCTACGGGATGAGCGTGCTGCAGGAACGCTGCCGCAGACCGACTTGAAACTGGCAATGGGTTCAGCGGCAGCTCTAATCAAGTACCTCGGCCTGATGTCTGATTCGTCAAATTTTGGGCAGTACCAGCTATATCAGCACGACCTGTCTCAGTATATGAAGCTTGATGCATCAGCACTCAAAGCGTTGAATCTCATGCCGGGACCGCGCGACGGATCGAAGAACATGAGCTTGTACGGCCTGCTCAATCACTGCAAAACACCTGTCGGAAGCCGGCTGCTAGCACAATGGCTCAAGCAGCCGCTGATGAACGTCGAGGAGATCGAGAAGAGGCAACAGCTTGTTGAAGCATTTGTCATGGACACTGAGCTGCGGCAGACTATGCAAGAGGAGCATTTGCGGTCAATACCAGACCTCTACCGCCTCGCGAAGAAGTTTCAGCGGAAAGTGGCCAACCTTGAGGACGTCGTAAGGGCGTACCAAGTAGCCATCCGCTTACCTGGGTTTCTTGGGACCCTTGAAGCTGTCATGGACGAGCAGTACAAAGACCCCCTCGATGCAGCGTATACTTCTAAAATACGGGAGTACTCCGACAGCCTAGCCAAGCTCCAAGAGATGGTTGAAACGACCGTCGACCTCGATGCGCTCGACAACCACGAATTCATCATCAAGCCCGAGTTCGATGAGTCTCTCCGCGTGATCCGCAAGCGCCTCGACAAGCTACGCCACGACATGAACGTCGAACACACGCGCGCCGGCCGCGACCTAAACCAAGATATTGACAAGAAGCTCTTTCTCGAAAATCACCGCGTGCACGGGTGGTGCTTCCGCCTCACGCGCAACGAGTCGAGCTGCATCCGCAACAAGTCTGGCTACAGCGAAATCTCCACCCAGAAAAACGGCGTCTACTTCACGACCTCCAGCCTTCAGGCCCTGCGCCGCGATTTCGACCAGCTCTCCTCAAGCTACAACCGCACGCAGTCCGGGCTCGTCGCCGAAGTCGTCGCCGTCGCATCCTCCTACGTACCCGTCCTTGAGAAACTCGCCGCCGTCCTCGCACACCTCGATGTCATTGTCGCCTTCGCCCACGTCGCTGTCCACGCGCCTACGGCGTACGTGCGGCCCACGATGCACCCGCGCGGCACAGGCGACACTATCCTCAAGGAAGCCCGCCACCCGTGCATGGAGATGCAAGATGACATCTCCTTCATCACCAACGACGTCGAACTTCGCCGCGACAGCTCCTCTTTCCTCATCATCACGGGCCCGAACATGGGCGGCAAGAGCACCTATATCCGGCAGATCGGCGTCATCGCGCTGATGGCGCAGGTCGGATGTTTCGTCCCATGCTCAGAAGCCGAATTGACGATCTTTGACTGCATCCTTGCGCGGGTGGGGGCGAGTGATAGCCAGCTCAAGGGCGTCAGTACGTTCATGGCTGAGATGCTCGAGACGGCGAATATCCTCAAGAGCGCAACGAGGGAGAGCTTGATTGTTATTGATGAGTTGGGGAGGGGGACGAGCACGTATGATGGGTTTGGGCTCGCGTGGGCGATCTCGGAACATATCGTCAAGGAGATTGGAGCGTGTGCGCTGTTTGCGACGCATTTCCATGAGTTGACGGCGCTGGCCGACAGGTATCCGCAGGTAAAGAATTTGCATGTGGTGGCGCACATTAGCGGCGAGGACGACGGCGCCAGCAGGAAGAAGGACAGGGAAGTCACGCTCCTGTACAGAGTTGAGCCGGGCGTCTGCGACCAGTCCTTTGGCATCCATGTTGCGGAGCTCGTCCGCTTCCCGCAGAAGGTCGTCAATATGGCGAAGAGGAAGGCGGATGAGCTGGAGGACTTCTCGGGGAAGCATGAGGAAGTGGGACCAGTGCAGGCGAGCAAGGAGGAGGTCGAGGAGGGCAGCGCGGCGCTGAAGGAGGTGTTAGTGAAGTGGAAGAAGGAGACAGAAGGCAAGGGGCTGAGTCGCGAGGAGCAGGCGGAGAGGATGAGGGAGTTGGTTAGGGCGGATGAGAGACTGTTGCGAAATCCGTTCTTCCAGAGCGTGAAGGCGCTGTAAAGATTTCGGGATGTCGAGGTTCTTGCAGGGCGTTTCGGTCGGGTAAAACAGGAGCTGGCGTTGGCTGCAGTCAACTGATAGGGTTCTGTCTTGAGGACATTTTAGATACCTTGTCGCTGTTACGCTAGCTTTGTGTAAGGAGCTTGTACAGAACCTTTCGTACTGTTCGATAGCACATTTCACTTTTCCGTTTCCTTCTCTCAAGATTGCCCACTAGGCACCTCGAAAGGCCCATACCCCGGCCTCGGAAACCTCGGCGCCCCGTCCTCCCCCCACCCAAACCTCTGCGCACGAATCGTCCTCGCCCGCCACCCCTCCCTCGGATCCCTCATCCCATGATAAACGATCCAATCCTCCGCCCCATCAGGACTCTTCACAAAGCTCGCATGGCCGACCCCATAAGCCCCCTCGAGCGCATTCTGGTAAAACACGCACCCCTCGCTGTTCTTGCGCCAGTCGGACGGGTTCATGGGATCGTCGCCTACGAGCTCGAGTTGGCCAAGGCAGTAGTTCCGGTTGTCAGAACGCGCGGCGCTGTAGATGAGGAATTGTTGGCCCGTGGCCTGATTGGTGAGTTGTTGGGGCCCCTCGTTGGAGGAGAGACGGTCGTTGAAGGGGCGGCCGTAGGGGGTTCTTTCCCAGGGGTTCGAAGGTACGCTGATGATCTGCCGCTCGGAGAAGTTGGAGGAGACGGTCCAGGGGTTGGACACTGGGTGGGGTGTTAGTGGGGCGAGCAAGATAGAAGGATGGCGGGAGGGACGGCAGACTCTTGGTGATGCATAGATTGGCGGGCCAGCCGTCATACTGGCGGTACCAGCAGCTGTAGATGTGGTACAGCCCCGTTGAGTGCTGGAAGTAGGTCCCGTCGATAGCGAATTGATCGAACGTGTTCAGCTGCGCTTTCATGGCGAAGGTCGCAGTCCAGGGGTCGCCGCTGTCGCCTTCAAGTACGTACATTCGATGGTGCACAGCAGGGCAGCTATACTCGCAGAACATGTCGACCTCAGGCGGCGGCTGGTCGTTGTTCGGGTCCGCAGTGAAGATAACGTACCAGGCATTGTTGATGTGGTGGAGTTCGGGCGCCCAGAGGTTCGTAGAGTAGTCTGTTTCCTCCGGCGGCTGGAACAGGAGACGGCGTTCGGCGGTGTTCCAATTACTACGTAGGTCAACATTGCAAGGAGAGCATCCGAGGATTGAAAGAAGCGTACGTGAGGACTTGGCTGCGAAGAAGTGTGATGTTGTCCGTTGTTGTGTAGGTAAGGTAGTACCATCCATCGTAACGGATTACCCAGCTACGCATACAGTCAAAGAAGCACAGAGAAAGAACGTTCGAGGAAGTCCTACGGATCAGCCCCTACTTCGTTTAAGATAGGGTTCGTATAAGTAGCTCCAGTGGTAGCATTGATTGTAGTCTGGCCAGTGACAATGTTCAGGAAGCTCGCGAAAAGCGGTAAAAGAAACGTCACAATCATCTTGCAGAGCACTCGAACCAAGGGAGAGAGAAGGGTATGTTCGGAGAAGCTATACTCGGATGTGAAGACTACCGGAGCGGACTGGAAGCTGGAGTATCTTCCTACAATATAACTCCTACCTGCGGGGCAATGCGGGGAAGACCAGCAGGTGACCCCTAGTTGTACCTGCCTATCCAACGTTACATCGCCGTCCGCTCTGTGTACTTCTAAGGCAGGATCGAATGCGATGCGAAATGCTGACATTGAATGCATGCGTGCCGGTGACATCGTCGGCGTCTGCGGCACCAGATCCGCCGACCAAAACTTCCACCACGCCCTCACCTCCCGCGCAGTCAACCCAGCATGAACAACGACCAGTTCCGCCGCCTCGTCTCCGACACCCCCCGACGACAAGATGGCGCAACGAGCACTCCCCAGCCCGGCGCAACTCCCGGCGGCCTGCTGGGCTCCCGGGCTCGCTCTAGCATACCGATGACACCGTCCGTTTAACTCTAAGGAATCTCTAAGATGTCTTCAAGCTAACATTCCCACAGGCGCACAGTTAAAGGCTCCTCCGGCATCGACTTCGCCCGCCAGCTCGCCGACCGCAACGCCGCCTCTCAACCAGCCAAGAAATTCAAATCCTCCGCGGCGCCGAAAGGCACGAAACTAGCCTCTGGATACCGGGATCGCACGCTCGAGCGTATCGAGGATGACGAGGACGACAAGGCAAAGCGCGTCAAGGCGCTCGAGGAGAGCATGAAGCTGGGCCAGATTGATAGGGCGACGTTTGAGGCGCTCAGGGATCAGATCACGGGCGGGGATGTGGGCGCGACGCATTTGGTCAAGGGGCTGGATTGGAAGCTGTTGGAGAGGGTGAGGAGGGGGGAGGATGTGCTTGGTGGTGGGGGGCCAGAAGCGAAAGGGAAGGAGGAAGGGCCGGATGTGGATGAGGAGTTTGAGAAACTGGAGGAGCGGGAGATCGCGCCTGTGGTGAAGGATAAGGCGGAAAAGAAGGGCGAGATGGCACCTCCGCCGCCTGTAGCTGGTATCAAGAGGAGCAGGGACGCGATTCTGGCCGAGCTTAAGGCGCAGCGGAAAGCCACTGCTGAGGCGAAGATGGCGGCGCAACCGCAGCTGGGAGCGAAGTTCCGACGGGTCGGAGAGAAGAGGGAGACTTCAAGGATTGAGCGGGACGAAAAGGGCAGGGAAGTGCTGATCACGGTAGACGCGGAGGGCAATGTCAAGAGGAAGATTCGGAAAGCAAAGACGGAAGACCCGCAAGTCCCGACAGGTCTGCTGATGCCGGACAAAGATGCTGTACCGCTGGGTATGGAGGTGCCAGAGATACCTGTGGCGCCTGTACAGGACGAAGATGACGATATTTTCGAGGGTGTCGGTACAGCTTACGATCCGCTGGCCGGCTTCGACGAAGATGACTCCGCATCAGAAGCCGAAGACGGCGAGGTTGACGCGCCTCCGGAGGACGAACCTCCACCACAACCGTCCAAAAAGGAAGAAGCATTTCCATCTCCATCAGAGTCTCCGTTCGCCTCTCCGCCTACAGACATGCCTCCCCCACCCATCCCCTCCAAACCCACCGCAGCTCCTCGCAACTACTTCGGCACCACCACGCCGTCCACCACCGAAGAAACCAAATACGACGTCTCAAAAGACCTGACCATTCTCGCAGCCCTCCAAAAAGCGCGCAAAATCGACACCGCCTCCTTCTCCACCGGCTCCGCCACTACCTCCCACGAAGAAACCGACGAAGAGCGCGAAGCCCGGCTCAAACGCCGTGCAGCCATGCTGGCGTCCTCGGACCGCGATCTCGAAGACATGGATCTGGGCTTCGGATCGTCAAGGTTTGGAGACGCCGAGGACGCGGAGGATGGTGGGAAGATCAAGCTGTCGAAATGGAAGGGGGCTGGTGCGGATGATGACGATGAGGATGGGGAGGGAGGGGAACGGGGCGGGAAGAAGAGAAAGCGGGGGGCGAAGAAGAGGAAGGGGGATAAGAATTCGGCTGCGGATGTGATGAAAGTGATTGAGAGCAGGAAGGAGGGAAGATAGGTTTAGCTGAGGTCGGGTACTACAGATAAAGATATTGCTCTCTGCCTGCTCGAGCATTGTACCACCTGTCGCTGTACTCTCTCACCGGATTCAGGGATTGCAGTCACGTTATGCTGCCAAACTCGCTCCCGGATGACTTCGGAGCACGCTCACTGCACATACATTTACACACCCGGTTTAATCCCCTTGTCATGATCTTGAACGGTTTCCAATGGTAGGTTGCCTTGATCTGGTAACACACCAAACATAAGAATCAGACCTTAACTGGGATAATCAAATAAGGTTGTCGGTCTGGGCCGGCTCAGATACCGGCGCTGTTAGTGGGCAAAGTTCGGTATGCTCGAAAACTACATGAGCGAAGCAAGTAAATTACAAGTCTTTCCGACCAGCGGAATGCGAGTACTTAGATCTATATTACAAGTATCAAGACAACCCAATCCCTTATATCAGTCCCTAAAATCATTGAAAACTTGGAAGGGCACTATGCTTTTCGAACAGCTGCAAAAAAACGGGACGGCTGAAAGACATGGATGATGAATAGGAGTTAAAAATACTAGCGCCAGCGTCTCCTACAGCAGTGAGAGAAAATTCATACGGAACTCCAACAGAATTTAGGCCTCGATAACATATTACAGCCCCTAATTGAAATACCCACTATCCTGCTTCCTAAGATGCCCAACATAACTCATCTCTACCCCCTCCATCGGCTCCCCCGGCAGACTCAAAGCCGAAGTACTCCTCATATCGCTACTGACTGGCGCAGCCCCGTTCCTAATGCTCGACTGTGGAATTGAGAAGTTCAACGTCGCGAGCTTCAGCGCCGATGTCCCGCTCTTCAATGGCGCGGTCAACAGCATATGTTTAGATTGCTCAAACAACGCGTCAGCGGCCGCTACGGGCGAAGTCATTGCAGTCGACGGAGATGACGGGGGTACGAAAGCGGGCTCTGGCACAGAGATGCTCGCGGTCTCCTCTGTTATGGGGTGCAGCGAGAGCGGGCTGGGAGCCAGGGTGCTTGCGCTCTTGCGGCGGTTGGCGGACGCGAGGAGCGCGCCCCAGAAGTCTGCCTTGTTGGCACCGGCTGACTTGGGCGTTGTTGGAGACGACTGAATCTGAGTAATGTTGTTCTTTGCGAGGATGGACTCGAAGCTGGTAGGCGGTTGGGACGCCGGCGCGGGCGGGAGCTCAGGCTGTGAGAATGTTTCTGAGGACGTAACGACGAGTGTCTGGATTTTAGGAGGCGTCTGGACGCCGAACTGCTTTCCCCAGCGGCACTCGCTGGGGTAGTCGCACTTGTTCCAGCAGTCCTTCTTCGTCGATCCGGATGGAGGCGGGGCACACTCGTCACTGCAGCAGCAGCTAGCGCCGCTGTCGCTCTCGTCGTCGCTGAAGCTTGATCCGCTGGTGAAGTCATCGAAGGCCTCCGACGCTGCATGTTCCTCCCTGCGCCATTCGCCCCAGACTTTCCAGCCGCTGTAGTCGAACTCAGATGCACAGGCCCGATGCTTCTTCACCCGCCGTTTGGGCGACACGCTCTTCCGCCAGGCCTTGATTGTCGTGGTGCCAGAGCAGAAGAAGTGTCCATCATCAAGGCATCGTCTGGTAGCGCCAATTGGGTAGGTCACGTGGCACATGTGACAGGTCCAGAGCCATTGCAGCGGGTTTGGAGGAGGTGAGCTGGTCAGATTGTATGTAGGCCGTCTGAATGCGGTGCCCGAAGCGGGTCTAGGCGCTGCTGGTGGTGGTGTGATGGGCAAGCGAGGAGAGAACGGCGATGGAGGTATCGCGAGGTTCGACGAGCGGAACGGAGCGGGTGTTATCTTCAAAGATGTACTGCGGGCCATGCTGAGTGATGCTAGTTTTCGCAATTAAGCTGATGCTGGTATCGTCCAAGATGCTTAGAGACTGAACGGAGCAGGTTTTCCGTTTGTTTGTAAATGAGCGTGTATACGAAGACCGGCTTCGTAAATATGGCGTTCTATGCGGAATATAGAGTACCAAGAAAGGAACCAGTCCCGCAAATATGCAATGCAAGTTTTGAATGAGAGAACAGCGAAGACATGGGAATGCAGCGGTCCGGTTGAAGTCATACCCCCACCACATGGCAATCTCGAGTCGCATCAAAGAAATGAGACAGCCACCGACTGTCGGGCAATCCGCTGACTGAGACTCCGATCATGTTCCTTGTTCTACCCATAATTCCTCTTTGTACTGGTAGCCGCAGTCTTTGTCTACAAGCGACATGAGTGCACTCGGGAGGAAATTCGGCGAGATATTCTTTGTTCGGGGCGCTCATACCAAGATGCGTGTATGTCGCTATCATAGCCTGCTGCAGAGACAATTTCACTGCCGTCAAGCTGCCGGTGTTGTCTGTGAATTCTCCAAGTATGCTTACTGGAGTACCGCTGGGTAAGGCTCTGACCGTGCTCCCGCAAGGGGAGCACTGATGAGATTGACAGAACACCTGACTATGGTTTGGAACGGCATTTTTCACACTGAGACGAGGTAGAACTGGAACAGATGCGGCAAGGCAGGAAAAGAAGCGTGTTTAAGGAAAGCGAGGAGATGGTGACCGCAACTCGAGCAGCACTTAAAAGGGCGTAGTACATGAGGGTTCAAGCTGCTCTTGTGCCGAAACTGGGGGATACTCTACCAAGCAGAGACTCGAGACATGCTTGACATATGAAAATGATACAACCTCTAAGGACTCAAAGGCCATTAAAGAAGCCGCTGTACGCAGGAGCGTTCGCAGAAGTGGCAAGAGTATGTTGCGCTTAACTGCAAGATATTTTAGCAGCCTAAATTACCACTCGAGTGTGCACAACATTCTGAAACCAACCACCACATGATAGAGTCAACGAATGCCACACGCACGTGACCGGAACTACAGCTGTTGGACTCTGAGGCACCGACTTCACTCAAAGTTCCAATAATCAAATCATTGTACCCACGAAGCAGCGTCCTTGCCAAACACGCCATGGCAAACATCGAGGACGAACCCGCCGAACCTCTTTTCCGCCCTTCGAAACGCCGGAAAGTGTTCCGCAAACGTCTACACGACGACGATACCGCAATCGCTCAAGCTCCGCCTACCTCGACCGCTAGTGTAATAACTGCAGAAGAGCGTGTTGTACCTGCAACAACGAAGATTGCAGAGACAAATGAGCAGGGTCCTGCGCGGGCGCCAGAAGCCGATCTCTCTGTCGCCGAGATCCTACGGCGGCGCAAACTGGGCAAAGCGCGAAGAGGAGGAATCGAGTTCTCCAATGCAGCGCAAGCGCAGCGCAGCATGTCAGAGACCCCTCAATCGTCAAACGCGCTCGTGGTAGTGGATCAAGAACGCTCTGTGCTGGACGTTGCCGCTGGTCGCTTTGCGCCGCAAACTGGGCAGAGAGCGGATGTCCTCGATAAGCACATGTGAGTGGCCCTCATTCTCGGGATGAAAGACATGCAGAGGCGGAGACTAATGGCGTAAGGATGGCTTATGTAGACTCCAAGATGACTGCACTACGTGAGGGAGCATCCGCTTCTCAATCATCGAGTCAAACCGCGAACTTGACCGATACCATTCGCCTCCCCAGCGGCGCGCCTGGACAGAAGCAGGCAGCGAGCCTTGGCAAGCTCCACGAGATCGACCTGGGCTCGGATGCTACAATGCGGAATATAGCGCGGACGGAGGCCGCTTTCAGGAAGCTGGAAACTGGTGATTTGGTTGAGGTTGAGGACATCGATACGAGCAAAAAGATCAGATTGGGTAGAGACGGGAAACCTTGGAGGGGTAGGAAGCGGAGGAACAGCGAGGACATCAAGCGGGATCAGCTGGTTGAGGAGGTTCTCAAAGAGAGCAGATGTGAGTTGCGGATGTTGCGCTGCTTCATTATCTAGGATCTAACGGGCGTCTCACAGTGGATCTGTACGACGAACCTGAAGCTTCGGTGTCGAACGGGGATAATCAAGCTGCAGATGATCTTATCGCAGAGCGATTCCGGCAGGAGTTCATGGAACAGATCCGGAATAATAATGTCAGACGCACGCAACCCAAGCCTCCCACCGCTGGCAAGGGGGAGGTCCAGGCTAGAGGTCCAAAGCTTGGTGGAAGCAGAAGTGCAAGAGCTGCAATGAGGGCACTGGAGGAGAAGGCGGCAAAAAAGAAGTGAAGAAGAGAGGAATACAGTGTTGGATCAGCCAGCACGGCTATGGCTTCGACGCACGTCCTCACATACAGGCTTCGCCGGCACGGGCACGATGGGTTGCTGACAGTCGGCTGCTTAGTCTTCGAGACTCTGGTAGTGGAGCGTCGGGAGAGCTTTGAATCCATCATCCTGAGCGTAGAGGATCATGGCACCGAATGGACGAAGACTGAGGGCGCACCGTCGTTCTGGGGTATCTTGATCGGATAGCGCAAGGAGAAAGAAGGGTCTTAATGAGGCTTTCATAGAGCATGGACAGCAAGGGAAGGATTTTCGAAGACTTGTAGAGCAGTAAGATGGTTCTCCAGGAGGGTCATCAAATGCTGTTTTCTCGCCGTCTGAGGTCTATATAATTGCTTCAACTGCCTTCTGCTGCTCCGCGATACCTCTTTGCGCAGTCTTCGTCCACCTACTCAGTTAAAACTACCATCAGTTGGGAGATAACTTTACGCAGCCCTCCTGCTGTGGCTTGACTACAACACATTTTTCAGCACATTCCCAATCGTCGTTTCGCATCTCACGGGCTTTCGCCAAGACAAGTTAAGCCTTACATCCTCGCGTGCCCCGGTCGTGCGTCCCACGAGGCTTACTTTACTCCGCCTTCTTGGCTGACGTCCATCACCAGCCTGGGTCGCAAGCTCCCCAGATATGTGCCAGCCTCCCGCCTCCCCCAGATAGCTGCCGTTGTGACATTGATATTCTAGCCGCTCCACCTCCCCTATTGCGCTCGCGATAAACCATAGAACTCTCTCGCATTGCTACCGCCTTCCCTCCAGCGCACCTCACGCGCCAGAATCCATCCGCCCTTGCGTGCAACTCTACCAGCCGCATTGCGTCCTAGCCTCGCCGACCGCAGAAAAACGCGACAATGGCAGAACACATCCGCATCCTCTCCCCCCGCGCGGGCGGCGGAGGCGGTGCCGCCGACCCAGCCGCCTACGTGCCTCCGCCGTCGATCGGGCACGAGATCGGGGTCATGTGTGGGGGGATCGCGGCGATGGTTATCGGTACGTCTCGCGCTTTGCGTTTGTTCATGCACCGCTGTCCTCAGCGGAAGGGGCTGATGTGGACGTGAGGTACTGACGGGGCCACTATAGGCGCGGCGCTGTTCTACCTTTGGTGGACCATGAATCTGAAGCGGGAGGCCAAGAAGGAAGAGGAGCGCGTTGAGGGGCTGAGGGCGAGGGGGCTGTTGAAGGAGGAGAAGTATTGAGGAGTTCTGCTGCTGGTTGGAGGATAGATGCGAGACGCGAGGAAGAAAATAGGGAGGGGCTTGTGGCCTGGCAGAGGCTTAGAGCGACTGGGCCGGGAATTTTTTTTTGGGGTGGAATGAAATGAGGTGAAAGGGATATCGCAAAACATCACGGAAGCCATCCCAAAGGATCGGAGTTGGGCGGCGTTTGTGAAGGTGGACTCTGCAGGTCATCCTGAGTCAGGTCGGGTATATGACTTGTTGGTATTTCTTGCACGTAGTCGACAGGTATTCTACGAACAAAGCTTTTTGGGACTAGTCATACAAGTAAAGCGGTGCGAGATCCCCAAGTTGAAGTCCTAGTCCTAGTGGGATGCGCTGGTTCCTAGGGATCCCTTTCCCAAGGCTGGATACCTATAACCAGCTGCGAAACGCCGGGGATGGACTTCCAACCCAATTTATACATTCCCCGTAAATCCTGTGTTATGTTCCTCTTATCTCGGCTACTCTTCCTCTCTTCCTCTAGCAATCTCCTGCGTCATCTTACCGGTCCCCTACTCTTCCCAGCCCCTTTTACACAATCCCGTAAACCCTCTTGGCGATAAAATAGCTCGTCAGCCCAAAAATGAGCAAGCCGCCTGTGATGCCCGAGAACCACCACAGGCTGTCGACATTCTGGCCCGGCACCAGGACGTTCATGCCCCACATGCCGGTAACGATGTTCATGGGCAGGACGATGGTGCCCAAGACGGTTAGTTTGCCGAGCACGTCGGCGGTCTGCTCCTGGCGCTCGTTCATGCGGATGTTGATTTGGGCCAGGTAATTGGAGTGGGCGCGGCTTAGAAGACTGGTGGAGGTGATTGTCAGCACCTGGATAACGACGTACCATGTGAGACGCGATCGACGGGGAGGAAAGGCAATACTCACTTCTCGTAATGACTCAAATTCGCCGTCATCGTGACAATGTGATCCTGGATATCTCCCAAATACAGCCCGATCTCGCTCCTAGGCGCAACCTCCCACTGCTCATTGCACCTCTTCGCGAAACCCTTGATCACGTCCGCTTTGTTGCCCAGCAGCCGGTACAGACTCATCACCTTCTTGCGGCACTCGCCTACCCGGCGCAGCATGTCGCCGCCGGAATCACCGCCCGATGCGTCCCCTGCCTCGGACTGCTTCTCGTATTCGAGTTCCTTGGCCTTGGCCATCTTCTTGGCCGCGTTATCGGAATTATCTTCCGGAGAGTGCAGGCCAAGGATCGCGTCGTCGATTTCGTCGACTTCATCCTCGATGCGCTCGATGAGCGGCGCGTAGACGTCCGTGATGTCGTCGATGATGGCATACGAGATCCAGTCGCTGCTCAGGATCAGGTAGTCGCTGAGCTGCCGGATGCGCCGTCGGACGTTGGCGGGATGGGGCGTCATGCTGAAGTGGAAGCTTATTACGCCCTCGCCGAAGACGACGACGTACATGTTTACCGGATCGAGGAAGTTCTCTGAGTTGGTGTCTTGCTCGAAGGTGCGGTAGTTGACGAAGTAGTAGTTCTTGAACAGCTCGACCTTCTCGCGCGCTTCTTGCATCATTATGTCTTCGGCTGTTAGGGCGTGGATACCAAACGCCTTGGAGATTACACGCATCTCGGCATCAGTGGGTGAGAGTACGTCAAGCCAGAAGACAGGGCGTGGGCCATAGCGCTTCTGTCCTTGCCCCTTTGGAGTGCGAGATCCCCCAGGGCTATTGGAGCCTGTTTGTTCGCCTGACGACGGATGATGCTGCGGCTTGTGATCACGCATACTAATCATAGAGGGTTGTCGGGATGCACTGCCAGATGCACCATTGTTGGATGTATCAGTCTTGCGATCTGATGGAGGCATGTGGTGTTGTGTGGGCTGTGGGTGTGACTCGTCTTCCTCCTCAGACGAGCTCTCGTCCTCAAGCAGAGGAGGATCCGGCAAGAAAAGGTCTCGGAACGTCTGCCCTGGTTGTACTAGCTCCGAGATGGTCTGACTGTGAATCGTGCTCTCGAATTCCTCGTTAAAATACGTGAACCTGTAGGGAGCATCGTCGTCCTCACGATGCCAGAGTCTCTTCTGTGGGCGCAAGCGTCCGCCGACCATCAACGGCTCGCTGACCTTCCTTGCTCGGAGACCTTCCATCGTCCGTTCTTTCTTCTCCTGGCGAGCGTAGTCGTCCAGCACCGACAGTTCGGGCCACCTTCTGCGCCTGCTGTGGCGGGATCTTCGACGGGGTTCCTCGTGCATTTCATCGTCATCGTGGGCTGTCTCGGACATGACATCTTGAGGAAAGCACACGTCGTCTTCGGCACTCATGGTCATGCGCCTCCTCATATCGTCCGGTTTGCTCTTGGGCGATGCTTCGCTGCCATCTCCGTCGATATCAATGAGCGCATCTCCTGACAACAGCCGTGATCCACGGCTTTCGCGGGACGTTTCCCGCTCCAAGTCTCCCATGAGCATGACGTCTTCATAAGGCATCTCCGCCCCCATTCTTGGACTAACAGGAACTGATGGCGGGTTGTTGACATCGTATTCGGGAAAGCTTTCTCTGGGAGGTTCTGGCGGGTCAAGGATAGTCCTCTTGTCCCGACTACGATGCGAGTGACTGGAGCCGGTCGATCTGCGGCGGGGGCGCTGGCCACCGCTCGACGGGCCAAGAAAGCCTCCATATCCTCTGTTTCGAGACGTGGGACTGTTTTGTTGAGAAGGTGGGATGAGCGGTGTGCGGTCGTCGGTGTTGCCCTCCTCTTCGCTTTCACGATCGGACGACTTCTGTATCTTTGACAGCTTCGACCTACTTGCACCGAAGACGTTCGATTGACGATGCTTGTACTGCTGACCGCCCGGGGGCTGGAAGGGGCCTGGATGAATGCTCTGTCGTCGGGCTTGAAGAGTGCTGTGGTTACTACCCCGACACGCAGTTTATGTCAGCCCAGTTTGCAAAGCCACTGTTGGAGGCTTCGCATCCGATAACCTACCGATGATCCAGCAGAGCCTCGCTTTCGAGACTGGTATTACTGCGGTTCGCCTGCCCTAGCCTGTAGAAGCTTTGGCGGTGGTCACTCGGCTGTCGAGCCTCCACCAAGCTCGGCCTGCCCTCTTCTACGTCGCCGTTGTCCGTCTGATCCTCCGAGGGAGCTGCAAAGGACTGGCGGCGGTTGCGACGGTGTTTCTTTCCGGCTCTGTGCTTCTTCTTCTTGGGCTTGTCAGCATCTTGAGAGCCTTGCGCAGGGTCGTCGTTCGCCGGTGACGATTGCGCAAAGCGAGCTTGGGCGGGATTGGAGCTCTGGGTAGAGGACTCCCCTCTGCGGCCAGTAATCGAAGCCATTGAGCAACGTCGAGCGCCAGACGTGCGTCGTGAACAGGAGCAAAGCTCCCTAGGTAGTTGCAAGGTGAGGAGAATTAGCGAGGAGTTGAAGTGGAGGTGACGGATGCGGCTCGCGTGGTGGGATTCGCGGCATGAAGCTTCATGATTCGATGGTAGCGAAAGAAGTCCGGTGGGGCGCGGGCTCGACCAGTCTCCCGGCGGCCAAGGCACGAGGGGTAAGTTGAATCTTCAGTCCCCACACCAGAAATACATACATGCAACAGAGAGTTTGTTAGGCGTGCTGAGGCGCAGAAGAGCACGACGAGCGGTCGCTTCCGTCGGTACCTGAGCTCTCCCTCGATTGTGGCGTAACGGGGCACAACGGTGGTGCATGACGGAGCATGCAGCGAGGTGGTTCGGGGAGGCTGCTCGCGTGAGCTCTGGAGATCATAGGGCTGCATCTTTGACTGCACTGGGCCGCTCTCCGTTGATCTTTGACGTTCGACGGTGCAGACATTGTTCCGGCGAAGGATCGAGAGACAAAAGATTGAGCAGCCGGCGGATGTACTTGCTGCCGTTGATATACTTACCAGGAAGGATATCTACCATATACAACGCCGCACTTGACCTGACCCAAACGTCCCTTACACGCCTGCCATGCAACCAGTCCTGAACGGCCCAGTGAACACCTACATGAACGCCCCCCCACCCCTATCAGACCTACTCTCATCGTATTTATCCCTCATCACCTCATCGCGGTGGTCGTCGTCAGTATCGTCATCACTATCCACCCTTCTCGCACCCCTCATCGGCTCAAAAGCCGTCGGTTGCGGCAGCGGTGCGTCCCTCCCAGCACCCACCGTCCCCATCGCCGGCGGACTCGCCACCCTCGTCCCCCCCACCCCCATAACCTGCCAGTCCTCTTCCGTATCCGACGACTCCGGCGGAGAGCTATACTCCGGCAGCGTCAACAGATTCTGCGAATCCCCCTTCACAAGCCCCAGCCTCTCCTCCTCCGTCGCCCGATCCGGCGGCGCGTGTTCCTTCCCGCTCTTCCGGCTCGTGAAGCTCAGCGCGCCCCGCGACACGGGCCGGCCAGCGCTGCTCTCGGCGCCATCGGACGCCTCCCGCTTGTGCGACCGGCTGAAGACGTTCTGGAAGCTGAACTGCCGCTTCGCGGTATGTGGCGGTGGCCTGGGTGGGCCGAGTCGGTCGCGTGACCTAGGCCGGTCGGCGTCGTCGGCGACGGAGGGGTCCCAGTGGATTGCGGAGGGGGAGTGGTAGGCTGTGTCTTCTGGTGTGTGGTGTAGGAGGCCGGGGGGCAGGCCGTAGACGTGAGGCGCGGGACTTGAGGTTCCGTCCAGAGAGGAGGCCGGGGGGCTGCTGGCTTTGGAAACGTGGAGGCTGCTGAGTGGCATGGGTGGAGGGGGGGATTGAGGCGCTTGCTGCTGGCGGCGTCTGCGGTGGCTGAGGCGCGTAAAGAAGCCGGGGTGGATGTCGTCGGATACTGTGGATTGGGTGTCGTCGTCTGGAAACTCGGACATGCCCAGCGGTGGATGGAGAGTCTTCCGGCGCTGTAGGGGCGCTTGCCCAGGTTCGAGTACGGTCTTGCGTCGGCGCAGGCCATCAAACTCGACCTGCTCGTTTTCACCAATAGGCGCCATGCGTTCTTCGTGGATCCGCTTAGCGTCTTCTGCCTCCTTCCTTTGCCTCATGTTTGACATGGAACGAAGCAAGGCACCCCCTGCACGTATCGAGTCCGCTTTAGGCTCATACTCTGGCTCCTTCTGTTCCGCGACAGTCCTGACTTGATCGAGATCACCCTTAAAGACTGCGGCATCAGGTACGTCCTTTGCTGACTTCGACAGCTGTAGTAGGATCACTCCAGCGCAAATCTGCAGAAAGCCCATGATAACGGTAGAAATGGTCGCCGGGGTGCCCTTGAAACCACGAAAGAGGATCGCCGAAGTCACGATCGTGGAGGTGGTGAAGAAGACGTAGTATGTCGGAGTGACAAGCGCCGCGTTGAACAGGTTGAGCGCTTTGTTGAGGTAGATAACCTCTGTCAGTAGTGTAGCAATGACGAATACTAGAAGTAAGTATAGGAACCACTGATTGAATTGCGGCTCGCCCCCTATTTGCGTAACGATTGCCGCACCTAGGCCTTGCGTCGCTACTACGCTCAAGCCGCCGATGAGACTGCAGATACTGAGGTAGACCAGCATGCTCTTCTTGCCATATCTAGGGCCAGCCCAAAGAGCAAGGAAGATGCAAGCAACGATAACGATCCCCGCATAGCTGAGGAAGCCCGGAGAAAGCACGAGCTTTTTCATGTCCTGGATCTTGCTGACTGCCGACTGCTCAGGGGCATTAATCACAATGACGACAGATCCAATGATACAGTTGAAGCAGCCAACCTTGCCGACAAAGCTGAGGCGCTCCTTTAGGAAGATGGCTGAGAGGATAGTGGTGACGACGACCGACAAGGCCCCAAGCGGCGTGACCAGGATGGCGTCCACGAAGGCATACGCCACGAAGTTGCACACCTCTCCAATAATCATCAGGGTCATGCCACCCCACCACCAGCCGTTCTTAAGATATCCGTAGCCTTCTCCTGCCTCCTCGTGGTATTTGACGTTGGCGTTGAGCAGCCCCACCTTCTTCATGACGAAGGAGACTCCTATGAACAGTCCAGAGAGAATGGCCAGTATCAACCCCACCACTTTGTATACAGGAGGTCTTTCGTTGCTTTGCGAGGCACCGGTCTCCGTGGAGTTCGCGGCCTGGCGTGCGAGAAGCCCGTGGGTGAGGACGAGGAGCTCTCCTGCGCCGTCCATCGTGGGCCAAATAGCGGCGATCGGGCGGTCTAATCTTCTTGTCTAGTGACAGCGAGCGGTTGGTTCAAGCCAAGCCAACCAAGGTTCGCGAGGAAATGATATATATAGAGAAGCGAAAGGGGGGACAGCGGTTATCCGAGTCTTGATCGTAGCGGCGGCATCAGGCCAGCATAGGATCGTTCGGGGGTGGGCAAGACAGTGTGGTGCGCCGGCTCTACAAAGGCGACTGGGGTTGCGCAAAGCTGAAGCGAGCGGCTGAGGTTGCGTGGATATCCCAAGCGCAAGGGCAGGTCTGTACGCGCGGCTGTAGCGCGATGAGGAGTCCACCCAAGAAGAAATGGCCGTAGAGTGAGAAGCGTGGCGGTATCAAAGGTGTGCCCTGCGCTTATCCAACTTTGCAGCAACGCGTTTCCAGATTGTTATTCCGGTCTAACGTCAGGGTCCGGGGGTTTTGGTGCTGGCGGGCGTGCGGGCGTGGCGGCTTCTCGCCCGTGGAGCGGCGATTTTGATAGCGGGGGGAGATTTGCTGACACTGCGGTTGGGCGATACGGCTCCACGTCAGGTTTGTTCAAGAGGTGATTTTAGGTATCTGAATCCAGGAGCGGCGAGAAACAGCAGGAGATCGTTTGAGATCTTGGTGGACCTCGATCTGCAACGAAGATTAGCCGTTTCGCTTGAGCTTCAACCCATCTCCTACGGCAACCACAAAATCGCCATGGCTTTCCGCAGAATACCATGAACCCCATCACAAACGGCGACGACCAGCATAACCATGGTGTGTACAGAGCAAGCTCCGTCGCCGAAATCCAGGCTACGCTCGCCCACCTCGGCCGCCAGGAAGCCTCCGTATCAGCCCGCCTCGATGCCCTCATAGCCTCCCAGAAAGACCTTTCGCGCCAACTCGGCCGCCTTGACCTATTGCGTGCGAGCCTAGGGTCACAGGTCGTCAACGCCCGGAATATCAGCAGTGTAACGCTCTCGGATGCTGCCTCGACGGCGAACCGCATCTCCAGTGCCGTGAAGCGTCTGGACAGCGAACAGTCAAACGTCAAGGCAACCCTGGAAGTGGTGGAGCAGGTGGCGGAGCTCAAAGCATGCGTCTTAGGCGTCCATGAATCCATGGGAGCCCACCAGGACTGGGAGACTGCCGCCGGGTACCTCAGTCGAGCTTCGAAAATCCCCGCCGAAGTCATAGATGGCAGCTTTGCGGAAGAGATTGTGCCTACCGCCGAAATCCCCGACCCTCCCAGGGTGACGTTGAATGCTGCTGCCGAGTCCCTCTGCGCTCTTTTCCTACGAGAATTCGAGAGAGCTGCCAAGGATGGCGACGGCGGCAGGGTTACCCGCTTCTTCAAGCTCTTCCCCCTGATCGGCCGGACAGACGTGGGTCTTGACGCCTATGGACGTTATGTGTGTCAAGGCGTGGCCTCAAGAGCGAGGACGAACCTCAACTCAGGTGCTGGCCGTAAAGATGGCTTCTTCTACGCCAATGCTCTGACGAAGTTATTCGAACACATCGCCCAGATCGTGGATAGCCACCAGCCTTTGGTCGAACAGCACTACGGGAACGGCACCATGACAAGAGTCATTGAGCGGCTCCAAAATGAGGCAGATGTGCAGGGTGGCATCATTTTAGACACGTGGCAGGACGAGCGTGTCATTGAAAGGAAGCTTACTGATATAAGATCTTACGCCTTCTCCTTCCTCGTGCAGAGCTTCTTACCTGCTCAGAAGCCATCTGCAGGCACTCCGAGGTCAGGCTCGCCTGTCAAAAGAGACGGTGCCACCGCTGGGCGTTCGAGCGAGGATGAAGGCGTTGATATGAAGGAAGTTGACGGCTTACTGGGGGAAGCTGCTGTTATGCTTGGGCGATGGGCCTTGTATGGCAGATTCATCGCTTCCAAAGCTGTCAGTATGCATCACTCTGGCTCTTGTCACTCTACTAATGCGGTGTAAGAAACCCAATGTGGAATCAGCTGAGAGCACTGTGCTGTCTATGCCTCAGTTTCTGGCAAATAGCAATCTCTCCAAGAAGATCGCTAAGGCGCTCGTCGAGCCGTTCAACGTCATGACGACTTTCTTCTTCCGGCGCTCCGTCGAAAAAGCCTTCCAGCTTGATGAAGCCCCCTCCGACCTGACCCTCAATCCGAACAAGCCTCTTGGGGCGAATCCCCCGTTCATTACTTCCGCAGTCGACGATGTAATGTACATTGTAAACCAGATCCTGCAGCGCTCCCTCGCAACCTCTCAGCGCGCGGTGATCTCCAACGTACTCCCAACCATCTCCCGCGTTTTGAGCTCCGACTTCATCGGGATGATCCAGCGCAAGATGCGCGACGAGAGCTATCCCAAGGCCGCCATCCAAGGCTCTTTACCGCCCGAAAACCTCGTCCTGGCTTTCTTGGTCTTGTTAAACAACCTCGACGTCGCGACCGACTATATCAAGCGTATCGTCTCCTCTCAGCTGGGTGCCTCGGCCATCTCGACCGACGCCCCAGAGAGCAACGCGCCAAACTCCCCGCTACAAGACCTCTTCCCTTTCGCCCACGATGCCGTATTCGTCGAAGGCCAGCTCAAAGCGCTGGATGCAGCTTTCACCGCCAAGACAAGCGAGCTCATCAACGACGGCATCCAGGTGCTCTTCCACCAGGTAATGAAGCCGCGCATCCGGCCCATCCTAACCGAAGCCTTCCGCGACGTCGAATACAACATCGAAGCCGACGAGCTCGCCGCTGGTAACATAGGCGACGGCGACGACGAGGACGGCCAGGGCGTTCCCGACGGTCTCGTCAAGGCGCGCTTCGATCGCGGATGGGGCGCGCTGACCCGCCCGATCAGGCGGATACTGACGGAGCGGAACTTCGACAGGCTGATGCAGGTCTCGACGGCGTACCTGGGCAAGGCGCTCGAGAAGAGGATATGGGGGTGTTATGGACGGGTTAATGAGTTAGGAGCGGTGAGGTTGGAGAGGGATGTCGCGGGCATTGTGGCGAGTGCGGTCGCGGGGGGGAAGTATGGGCTTAGGGACGCGTTTGCGAGGTGTGTGCAGTTGACGCTAGTGATGAACATGGAAGAGGATGAGTGGGAGGAGCTAAAGGCGGAGGAGGGGGGTAGGGGTGGCATGGCGTGGGTGCTTGAGAGGATGGAGCGGGAGAGAGCGAGGGGGATTGTGAGGGACAAGGTGTAGTGGGTGCAATGGATAGTCTAGTATCGGGAGAGCAGCGATAGAACTATGGCGAGCGCATGGATACGCACTTTGACACCCGGCGTTTGCTTCGGGACGGGTGTCACGAGTATATTACCGTGAATCTAAGGTTCCCGATGCAGTGGAGAGCTACCCGCCGGAGAGGTTGGGCATGGCTGTGACAGCGGATGCATACTGTAACAGTCTGGAAGCGCAATGACCGGCTCAACCTAACAACAATAGTCACTCATAGTTTGTTCTAAAGAAACACTAAATCCTCGTAGCCATCCACGTGCTCTCCCCATCTCATCTCCCAGGGGGCTTGACGCACTGACTCGCATCTCGGACGATGTTGTGCAACGCCAATTCCAGAACCGGCCCCTGCGCCGATGAACGCCTTCCCCGTCTTTTCTGGCAGCCCGCATCTTCCGCTTCAGCACGTCCACTCCTTGCCAGCGCCCAACTGTCCTTCAACCTGCATAACTGTGTAGCAAGACGACAATCAATTGCTACCACCACGGTCATTACGGCTTCCGAATAGCATATCCGCACCGTCGTCCCAGCCAGCGCGCGATCCCATCGCAGCCATTCTTTACAGCAAGCACTGCCACACTCCAGCATACCGCAACAGCCATCAGTATACGCTCGACCGCTCCGAACCTCTCCAATCCCTCGCCCAGCCCACCACAACCCGCGCAACCCTTACAATGGGCCTCCTCGACAAAATCCAAGCCAGTACGCTTCTCCTCCCCGCCCCCCCGCCCATTCTTTCCTCCCGCCCTGACCTTCCCCAACAGAACTCGAACTCTACCGCCTCGAACAGCGCTACACGCGCCGGTCGAAGCGCACGACCTTCGTCAGCGACGCCCAATACGTCGACGGCGAGTACGTCTACCAGAGCCAGTCCTCCTCCTCGGCCGCCACGTCGCCTACGTCTACGGGATCGAGCGGGAGCCAGAGGTGGGCGCGGAGCAAGGCGTCGAACGTTAATGTCAGGGAGGTGTTTAATCGGCATGGGGGGCAAGGCATGGGCCAGGGCGAGAGGGTGTAAGGGCGTGGGGGGGAAACGGAGGGTTGGGGAGGAGTGGTTGCGGGGATGAGGCATATCTTCTTAACAAGACGCGGCGACACGCGCTCTGCGGTGAACGTGAGGCGTGCGACCGCTTGTCTCATCAGCCGGCTGAAGAAGGCCGCATGCTTGGATACCGGGGCTTCATTACCGCCGTGTGGGAGGGGATCATTCGTTTATGACATCTGGGCTGCATGTGGATGACCATTTCCTTTTGTTCTAGATTCTTGTAGATACCTCGTTTCGTTTGTCTAGGCATATCCACGTCATGCGGCGGCTTGTACATAGAGTCCAACATGTACTTCTTTGAGCTTCCAATCGTGGCACCTGAGCAAGGATGATTGAATTGCATTGAATAGCGTATAGCGTGCATCTCTCCTCCCCCAGGATCCAAAATCGCCAAAGTCCTTGGTAGGAGTAACACAAGTGAAGACCTGCCGTCCACACAGTAGAGATGCGTCAAACCAGATCCAAACGCCCTCCGATGCAAACCTCCTCCCATCCTTTCAAAACGCCATTAACTTCTCCAAAACGTGAATTAGATCAACTCACCCTCTCCCTCCTCTTCATCGCCACTCTCCACCCACTCCACGCCCCCCTCCTCCATCATCCTTTCCGCCTGCCTCTGCACCTCCGCAAGCCCACTAACCTCCTCAACCCACCCGCGCTCATTGACCGCCCTCTTCACAAACTCCCACCCATCCCTCTTGTACAGATTCACGATGCGATCACTACACGCAGAACAACAATCATACGGCTGGCCCGCTATGCTCAGCGTGCTGAAGCTGGAGAGGAAGCCGCGGAGCTGGTGGGGCAGGGCGCCCAGGGGGTGGGCGAATGTGTCGGGTTCGTGCTGTGGGTGCTGGGGGGGAGAAGAGGAGGTGGCGGCGTCTGTGGTGGGGGCTGTGGAGGGCCGGAAGGCGGGTGCGGCCGCGCGGAGGGGGTGCTGCAGGATGCTGACGAGCAGCTCGACGAGGAGGGCGGAGGCTATGGGGGCGATGCCAGGGCGCGTGACGGTGCACTGTTGGTCGAGGGTTGCGTCTTTGAGGGACTGCGGGGTGCGTTAGCTATGCATATTATGATCAACCTGTCGACGGGGCGAACTCACGTCTGCAGGCGCTACGACATCGTTGCAGAAGTAGCACCCCAGCTCCTCTTCCCCTGGCCCCTGAGCTTTGACGCCATGTCTCATCACGACAAACGTGTCAAACCCCAGCGCGGCATTCAGCACGATCTTCCCCGCGGCCTTCCCCATGACCGTCGGCAACCACCTGCTCTCCCTCGTATCCATGAGCAAGAAGACAACATCATGCGCCTCGACCAGCTTCTCCAGCTGCTCAAATTCCGCTTTCACCTTCGCCTCATCGATGATCGGATGGCCCGCCATTGGCACGCTCATCACCATGCCCTCGCTCTCCACGCCTGGATAAATCTCCATCAGCGCCTCCGCCGCTCGCTCCGCCTTCCGCGCCCCGCCCTCCAGACAGTCCTTGAAATCGAACAGCGGCTGCCGGACCGGATTACTGAAGCTGACCCGTGCGTTGTCGACGAAGGTGATCTTCCGCACGCCCCAGCCAAGCAGATTGCGCGCGACGTAGGAGCCTAGCGTGCCAGCGCCGAGAAGCAGACACGACGTGTTCTTGACGACGTCGAGATCGAGCGAGGGCGCTATGCGCCATTTTATGAGCTTGAGATTGAGGTCTACGGCTTGGTCGGCGAGTCGCACGGGGTCCATGTACGCGGAGAGGTCGATGAGGCGCGAGGAGAGCTTGTTGGCGTCGTTGCGCTCCCAACCGGTCACCTTGGGCATCGGTGCGCTGCTTGGCTGGGACTCGGGCGCTTCGGCGAAGCTGGACTGGAGGTTCAGGATTATGCTGTTGGCGCGGTCGCGGCGGAGGTGCGTGTCGCGGTAGCAGAGGACTTGGACGTCGGAGAGGTGCCAGCGCTGCCGGATTAGGACGAGCAGGTTGCGGAGCATCCATCCGGGATTGTCGGGGTAGGTTGAGGGGTCGGCGAAGCAGACGAAGCGGTCCTGGGCGTCGGTTTGGTTGAAGAAGCCGCCTTCGTAGCTGGACAATGACCCTATTGCCCAGGAGTAGCCTAGCTCTTTCTCTATGGCTGGTGTTTGAGGTGTCTGTGGCCGCTCCACTGGCTCTTCGTCTGGATTGTCTGTCTCTTCTGTTGAGTCGTCTGAAGTATGGTTTCGGACACGCTTAGCTAGGAAGAAGCCGTGCTGGCGCGCATCCACGCTATACCGCCATGTCTGCACCGAATCCACAAGGGCGTTCGTCTCTTTGTTTGTAAGCTGCGAGCGGTCGCCGACAGCTTTCCAGGGTGGATCGGAATGGAGTGCAGGGAAGGCGAAGTGGTAGGTAAACTTGTACTTCTTGAGGTCGGCGAAAGAGATGGCGGCGAAAGAGGATAGCAGGGAAGGGCAAGAGTAGATGGTGCCGTCGTTGATGGCATCCCATATCTGCGCACTGATTAGTGGCTTGCTTGAGAGCTGCTGCGTGGGGTATACTGACCGTTCGGCCCGCACGCTCGACGTAAGCTGGTCGGTCAACGCCCTTGAAGTCTTCGATGGTGTTGAAGTTCTTGATAATGCCCTCTGCGCGATAGAAGCCTGCTGGTACCCTATATAGACCCGCATGGCATCAGCGCCGTACTCCTACATCCTGCTGCCGGGTGTGCTGACTCGTCGGTCGTCAAGGCGCTGCCATGTATTTGCATACGACTTGAGCGCTCTGGAGCGTCAGTCGGCCGCACTTCGTATAGGCCAAGGAGCTTCCGGGCGGAGTCGTCTAGCTTGTCGTAGTTTATCTTGAGGGAGGCCAGGGCGGCGTAGAAGGCCAGCTCGATGTCCGAAGACCACGGCGCGAATTGTAGGCTCGTCATGGTGGGATGAGCGTTGGAAGGCGCGCAGGAAGCTGGTGGAGTAAAGAAGCAGGGAGACGACGGGTCTGGTGTTGTGGTATATACGACGAAAGGTCAGGCGCATGTCTCTTGAGTCTCAGGCACACGAGGGGTCTTTGGCCCTAACGTTGCTGTAAGCGCGGGGTGGTCGATCTGCCGTCGCTGCAGGTGACGCGCTGGGCGCAAACCAGCAGTCTCTTGTGCATGCTCACTCCGAATGACGAGAGCTGTCGAACATACATACACGTTCTAGGATGCTGAAACGCATATTTGGGGTGCACTGATCACCGCCAGAAAGGTCCTATGTGCTGTTTGTGCCAACACTCAACCACCGGCGACTCCATCGACGGCATCAAGAATCCAAATCATGAAGGCTAAGGTACCGAAGAATCCGGACATGCCGATTCTCAAAACGGATCATAGACATGACGTAGTGTGCGACGAGTCGTGGATGCTGGACAGTTTATTGTCATTTTTCTTTATCTAGTGCTTACTTCCAGCTTCCGCTCAACATAACTACCTCACCCTCCAGCAGTAATCCCCTTACCACAACGTCAGAAAATCTCAGAAGCCATGAGCTCGAACCAGGAGGAGATACCCAAGGAGCATCACGTTCACAGGTGACTGACTTCCCAAGTCTTTCTAGCATGGGTTATCATTAACAACCATTAGAACGGGCGAATGGCTACCAGCCGACCATCGCGTGCACAAGGAATGGCTGAACAACATCATCTCGCATGTAGAAGACAATCCTCAAGAGCTTCATCCGGTATTACAGGAATTCAAGGAACTTATCGAAGAAAACACGCGCGTCTACCTACTGTTTTCGTCCATGTTCGAACAAGTCCCCAGCAAAAAGCCATATTCCAACGATCCAACTGGACATCGCCAGATTCATGACTACGACCACATGCTCCAGCTCTTGAACCATCTGATGACCACCGCGCCCTCATGGAGTGACCAATCGCAGAGAGTGGGCCTGGTTGGTCTTCCAATCAACGCGGTCCTCGACTGGCCTATGGGAACACCAAGCGGCTTCGCTGCGTTTCTCGATCCGGACGTCAACAAGATGCTCAAGAAAGTACTCAATGCCTGGGGCGAATACCTCACTTCACCAGAGTCGGCGTCTGTCCTTGACGACTCATCGAGCGGATGGTTCGGTGAGACAGGCGCCAAGGACTTGACGGCTGTTGCGAATGTTGGGTCGACCTCTTACAGGTTTGAAGAAATGTTCCACTGCGATCCTTCCGCCAAACATTACGGCTACAAATCCTGGGACGACTTCTTCACCCGTCTCTTCCGCGAGGACGTTCGCCCAGTGGCCTCGCCCGACGATGACAACGTGATAGCCAACGCCTGTGAATCCAAACCCTACAACACCGCCACCGACGTTAAATTTCGCGACAAGTTTTGGATCAAGGGCCAGCCATACTCCATCCTTGACATGCTCGCGCAGGACGATCTTGCAGAGCAGTTTGTCGGCGGTACCGTGTACCAAGCCTTCCTCAGCGCGTTGAGCTACCACCGCTGGCATGCCCCCGTTAGCGGCAAGGTCGTCAAAGCATACGTGGTAGATGGGACGTACTATTCCGAGCCCCTGTTCGAAGGAATTGGAGACCCGGCCACTCGTGGAATCGATGAGTCGGGCGAAGTTACCGGACAGGGGTACATCACTGCAACGGCCACGCGCGCTATCATCTTCTTCGAAGCCGATAATCCCGCCATTGGGCTTATGGCGTTTCTGGGTATCGGCATGGCTGAGGTGTCAACGTGCCATATCACTGTTGAAGTTGGGCAGCATGTGAAGAAGGGTGATCAGATTGGGATGTTCCATTTTGGCGGCTCAACGCATTGTCTGATGTTCAGGAAGGGCGTTAACGTGCACGGCTTTCCGTCACCGGAAAGGGAGGAGAACATGCCTGTGAGAAGCAAGCTTGCTGTCGTTAACACGTAGGTCCTTATACTTGCAGGCTGGATTCGGGTGGTGATGCAACACATGTGTTTGGAGATTTTGCACAAGTTCGTACCGGCCGCTCTTGGAGATCCTGTATAGTGTACATCTTCTCGGTGCCGTCATATGACTCAGCCATGACCATGCGAGCCTACAGTATTCAGCGGCGACATTATAGTCGTCCAGCGCCCAAAATAGTTCAAAGGGGTTGCGCATACAACAGACTTCACGACGAGCCGCCATCCAAAAACAGGAGTGGCACTCCGCGCTTCGGACACAACATAAACTGTCCTTCGCCATGTAAATATAACTAACCGGCGCTGAGCGTATAGAACCGTCCTGGCCTGCACTAGACGCGGGATACTTAGATCAGCCGAGGCGCGTCGCGTGGTTTCGTGCACGCGTCCCATTAAACACTTCAGCATCTAGTTGCTATTATTCTCTGCGCAAGCTCAGTTGTGTGCCAAAGCACAAGGGGACATCCGATTGACTCTGAGAAATCATAAAATGTTGATTGGACTGTGCGGTGGTACGTCAAACCCTCAGCCATCAGACCCAGCTCTCTGACAGCAGCTAGGGATATGCGCGGGCAAATCCTCCATAGCCTCGTACCTGATACACGAGTATAGGTTCCGACAGCTGCATCTTGCCCGAACCGCTGCAACACCCACTGTAGAAAAGTCTGCTTCCAATGTCCATGTGCCACGACCGGTGGGAGACGATGAGCAAAACAGCCTTTCGTTCTCGACAATAGACCAACTGCTTGATTTTGTCACCAAGAGATGGCGTGAGCGATGGGTCACTACGGATGTTTGGGACGAGGACATCCTAGACGCCTTGCAAAGACGGCCCTTCTTCATACTCGTGAGTGTCGATGCGCCGGTCACGGTACGGTGGCAGAGGTTCAAGAACCGGTAGGTGTTGCTGTCATGCCCTCTCTATGCGTATCCTAGAAGCTATCAAAGGAGCAAAATATAGCATGGCATGAGAGACTGACCCCTCTGGACAGTTGTGCCGCAAGTCAACTCACACCCCCTGACCTCTCAGATTTCGTCCTCCGCTCCGACGAAAATCTATATTCACCTCCTTCTCATCTGGCCGCCCTACTTCACCAAGCCCAAGTACGTCTTTTGAACCCAATGAACTCGCTCGAGGCCTTGCACTCGGCTCTTACAGCCCTGGATCTCCCAAACGAAGCACGTCTACGCCCAAGCTGGGACCAGTACTTCATGCGGCTGGCTTCTTTAGCCGCCCAACGGAGCAACTGCATGAAGAGAAGAGTGGGATGTGTCCTAGTCAGAGAGAAGAGAGTCATCAGTACCGGATATAACGGTACTCCACGAGGGATTAGAAACTGCAACGAGGGCGGATGTGAGTGATCTGTTAACCCTAGCTGACAATCAACAGCCTCGAAGCCCTCCATGATGTATTAGCCAGAGACAGCTGCTGATCACTTCTGTCGCAGGTCCAAGATGCAACGGCGGCCAAGGCGCCGGAGTGGGACTAGCGACCTGCCTCTGCATCCACGCGGAAGAGAACGCTCTGCTTGAAGCGGGCAGGGAAAGAATTCGGGAAGGCTCGATATTATACTGCGACACGTATGTCAAGTACTTCAAACTTTCTAGTGCTGTCTCTCGGCAGCTGACGGGATCTTCAGCTGCCCCTGCTTGACCTGCAGTATTAAAATCACGCAAGTCGGTATAAGCGAGGTAGTGTACAGCCAGGGGTATAGCATGGACACAGAGGTGTGAACCTTATTCACATCTCTTACCTTAAAGAAACCCGTAGTGCTGATCTGCGTTCTAGACCGCGGCAGTTTTCAAAGAAGGCGGCGTAAATCTGCGGCAATTCTCTCCTGTAGGTCTACTCGCTATTCTGCCAAAGCGATGCTGAAAGGAAGCACTGACTGGATTTAGCCACGCGACGGTCTGGTTGACCTCAGCACACTTTCTCCAGCACTGGAAATCGAGGGGCTGCGTGAAACGCCTGGCGTGCTAGGAAATCCGCACAAGAACGGGATCTAGGCAAGGCGTGAGTGACAGGGCCAGAAGCATGAGCCAAATCCTTGCGGATGTTTCTATGTTTGGTGAAGCAGCAGATGCTGTCTCTCGTCTCAATGCAAGACGTTCTCCACAATCGTGATTAACATTATTGTACGTGGCGCTGAACGGTGATGCTCATTGCAGATCTACCGTTCCCTCCAGGTCTCAACCTCCTAAGGACCCATTCCCACTTCGAATCCACCACCCGCCCTCGCTTGGCCCTGCCCCTTCAGATGCGCACTGCTTCCTCTAAACAAGCTCTGCCAAATAAACGCTTCGCTCAGCAGCAGTTCGATGTCCTTCTCGGTCCACTCTTTGCTAGGCAAGTGTTGCAGAAAGAGCATAATCTCGCCGAAGTCCATCTTGAGCAGCTGATCGGACCACTTGACGAGGAAGGCGGCGCAGACGTAGAGATGGAAGGATGAGAATGCATGTTCTTCGGCCTGTCATCCGAAACTGTTAGTGCACAACTATCAAAAGCCACGATAGCGAGGAGAGACGCGTTTGACTTTGGATTGGCAAGGGTGCTTGCGCTGATAGAACCGCTACAGTGGCTCCGCCAGGAAGTACTTACAAGATACGTATCCCACATCCTCGTCGTATTCTTGACACTAATCTCCCTCATGAGCAAACAATTAATCCACCTGAAACTGAATTGAATAAACTCCACACCCTCCCTCTCCAGATGCTTCGCGAGCTTCTCATCAATCCTGCCCACCAGGTCCCTCAGCCCAGCCACCTGCCTCAGAATGCCCGGCTGCCCGCAAATATAGTTATCCTGGATGCCATCCAGCAGCTTCGTAAGGCACCAAAACGAGTCCGCCTCCACAGCATCCAGCACCGGTCTCGGCAGCTGCCCAGGATCCATCCCGCTTTCGACATCGTAGTCTGTGATGTACATGCCCAGAAAGACCTGCCAGAACGGCGTCACGAGGTCGTTGATGCCCTGCACGTACCCGCTCGCCGGATGTCTGATCGCCCAGACATACAATATGCGCTCCAGGCTCCGCTGCGTGGCCTCGTATGCGTAGAGCCTGAGATGTGGGTTCGTGCGCGGCACGTCGATACTGATCTGGTGCCATATCGCCTCGTCCAGTCCCCGTCCCCTGCCGCGCGTGCTCCCTGCCGCGCCACCCGCTGGCCCGGCGTTGACGGGGCCGTCGGAGCCAGCGGTGCCGCGCTCAAAGGCCTGACGCACTCCTTCGAGGTACTCTTTCCGCTTCCGCTCGAGGGTCGCGACGCGCCGTTCGGAGCTGGTCGGGAGGTACCCGAGCAGCAGCTGCCAAGACATGGCGCGGACTTCTTCGGGGATGCCGGACCAGGCGAGGGAGCGGAGCTCGGGGAGCGAGATGCTGCTCTGTTGGAGGAGGCGCTTGAATTTGTTTATGCGGGTTAGGCGGGCGGAGTGGGCTTCTGTTTCTTTGGAGGTCGCGGAGGGCGAGATGGGAGGGTGGGAGATTAGATGGAGGGAGTTTGCGGGGTCCCGCAGGATTTCTTTGTATTGGGGCCGCAGGATCTTGCCTTCAGTTTTGCTGTGGGTTGTAGGGTAGGAGGGGATAGGTCGGTCGTCGGCGATATCGCCGGTTTGTAGAGTGGTTGTAGGTACAGGGGTCGTGGACAGAGAGGTCGGTATGCTGCGGCCGTTGGAGTAGGCGCCGAATGTCCCTCCCGGGTCCTTTCCTCTGACGAGCGATTTTCGCTTACTCTTGCGCCGCATGCTGGCTATGCTGGGCAGGCCAAATTCATCTTCATCGTCGTCGAATGCGAGCTCCTCCTCGTCTTCTTCCTCATCATCTTCCCCATAAGACTCACGACTGGTGCTGCGAGATAGGGAGGTGTAGTTGTTTAGTGGCGGAGGCGAGAGACTGCTCCCGGAGCGTGGGGGTGTGTTTACGCGGCCGTAACCAGTGGATGGCGGGGTGCGGGGACGGGAGTTTGAGAGCGCTCTATGGCTCCATGAGCAAGTATACGTTTGGCGCTTGTTGTGGGCGAGGCCGGCCTTACAGGGAGTCTAGTCTGAGTATGTCGGCGTGGGAATAGGACGCGCCGACGACCTTCTTGGTGTCATGGCTTCTCGAAGCGGCGGAGGAACTGGATCGCCAGAAAGGGGATGCCGAGCTGGTTGTGGGTCAGATGGTGCAATCGAAGGTAGAGCATCAGAGTGCCGTACCTCGAGCGGTCTGAGGGATGCAGGAAAGCGCTGTCAGCTCTGTACGAACAGGCGTAATGTGCCAAAGCGAATGCCACGAACCGACCTGGACCATTTCCTGCTCGAACCGTGTCAGCGTTAGTTCTCCTCCGATCACTGATCCGGCCCTACCTGCTGCTGCTGCTGCTGTTGCTGCTGCTTCTTGGAGGCCATAATGGGCATACAAGATTTCCCTTGAGGGCTACCTAGATACAGTGCCAGCCTCCAAACCACTACTGGGGTTGGTGAGGTCGTGGAGCTCCGAGTCACGTGCGGAACTTTCGGTAGCCCGCTTACCTCGACCGCGACTGCGAGCACTTCTGGTTCACCACAACTTCTCCTCAACACGTCCATCAACATTCATCCGCGACACTCGCAATCCTCTGCGCTCCGAAAGACAGCTGCTACTGCATCAGCTTCAAGCGCTGGAAACACTCCTTGCAGACTCTCGTAACACGACACGTAACGGACTTGCTGCCACCCACTCGCCCAGTCATCTCTGCAATCGCTCCCCTCGTCGCGAGCAGTTTCAGCTGTCGCGACATCCTTCTACCCGCCTACGGTTCTTAGACCATCAGGATGACTGAGCCAGAGGAGCATGACGAAGACCTCTTCGCCGACCTGTGAGTGCCCTATTGTTGGTCGTGCGCGCGGTCGCCCCGGCTCGCCATCTCGAACGGTTCACATCGTTCGCAGTGCTGTATATTCTGTCTCATATCAAGCTTCGCTTGCTGACTCCTCTGCCTAATAGCTACGAAGGCGATGACACCCCAGCAAAGCCTGTCCAACCCGCGGCACCCGCCGCTCAGCCTCTTGTAGAGCCCGCAGAGCCCGTGCCGAGCGCGCCTCCAGCGGTCAAGCACGAAGAGCCACCACAGCCCGAGGAGGGAACCCAAAATGGCCAGCATGATTATTACCCAAAACACGAGCAGAGCGATGTGCACATGAATGGCGGATGGGGTGACGGTAACGCCCACCATGCTGGTGGCGGATCGTATGACGATAACTACGGACCCATTGGTATCAAAGAGGATGGGTAGGTGCCTTTTCGTTAGCGTTAGCTTCACAGTCTCTCGAGCATAATGTCTTTCTTCACATGCGCAAAGGGTAAGTGAAGCAAATTTTTGTGGAGATTCGGGAGCGTGCCGGGTCCACTGGGCGGAATTGAAGTTGCAGCTGCGACAACCTGCATGAGGCGTTTGGATACAGCCCGTACGAAACAACTCTGTGAGACTGGTGTCTGGTTCACCACCGTGGTCTTCAGTGAAAGCTCACGGGGATTGGGCGATCTGTATGCCAATCTCTATGGCATCGTCAGGAGCTTCCAGTTGCAACAATTCCCATCAAACGACGAGCGGTAGCAGAATGACTTGCAACCTGCTAGGCGTTCTCTGAAGTCTCAATTGCTCCGCCAAGCTATGTGATTGCAGATCTTTGTGCGGGTCATCTTTGGGCTAAGTTGTCTACGCTCACGTTCGAAACGTTGTCCGTGGAAATGTCACTGAATGGGACTACGCGGAAGTCGAATGAACAGGTCAAGACGAAGGAACTCAGTTGTGAACATCAGATCAAGGCGGACATGGGAATGCCAAGCACGGTGGATGGGCTGTGTCACTCGGGATCGGCACATGAGCTGTCATAGAGCGAATAGGGGTTTTGGAACGGACAAGATCAGAGACAAGGCCGGTGACTATTTGAAAACACACAAGAGCGACAGCGTTGCGTAGAGGCCAAAGCTGATACAGCATTCTGGTGCACATCGTCTGGCAGACGGAGCAAGCTCGGAACTGCTACCGATGGGCATCTATAGCTTCATGTCGAGATAATCTTCATAGAGCACTCCAGCGCAGAAACCAGTCTCTCGAGAAGATAGACACTGCTGGGCCTGCAATAGCACAGCAGGTCCTCGGCATCAGTACCTAGCAATCGACGTAGCAATTCGAGAGAGTCTTCAACCGCACCTCGCCCGCCGTGTCCCCGTCACTGCTACTGCCCTGGAAGATTGCGTTAGAGTCTGGAGGAATTCACGAGTCACACGGTCATCTCTGAACAGCAGAACCTTCAGGATTGGGCGAAGAGAATGCAGTATGGGTGTCGTGTTGATGCTCAAGCCGAGCCGTTGTCTTCCTTGGCATGTGGAAACCCGCGAATTGGATGATTGTTATCCAACACAACGCGCCATCCAGCAACAACCCTAACCCGTCATGACACTGGCAGCTGCTGAGGACTGTGTTCTGGCACCAGGAAATATCGTTAAGCTGCTTCCAAGACCTGACAACACACCTTCAGTACAGCATTAATCGACCATCTTTAAGAGGACTACCTATGGCTTCAGGTCAGAAGTGGAAGACGCTGGATCGCGAGGGGGTGCTCATTCTCTGGCCGATATCACTGCCCCACGACGATGCTGAGGACACCAATGAGCAACCATATCCCGCGGTCGAAAACGACTGCCGACAGGACAGCGTAGCCCAGCCAGTACCAGACCCGGTTGAACAGGAGTTTCAGGATGCTAACAAGGATAACCGCTGGCCCTGCTTCTTTGTTTGTCGCTTTCTTGACGAACAGCCCTGCGCGTGTTGTATTCCCTTGCTTGCTCCATTTCTACATATTGCTTGTTTCCATACAGCGCTTGTTCAGTTTTCACGTACTGTCTAATGCCATCTGCTAACATGAGTGGATCAGTAAAATGTTCATCGGCGGCTTGAATTGGGATACGACAGATCGTGAGTGCTTCATCTATGGAAGGAGGGTTGTCTCTAGTTTTGAAAAGCACCAACATCATCTCTTCTTCACAAACTAGTCCATCATCGACACTTCTTTTCCAACTTTGTGATCTGTCCTAACACGTCTTCTCCGTATAGAATCTCTCAAGGACTACTTCTCTCAGTTCGGCGAGGTGACCGAGTGTACTGTGATGCGCGATGGGGCTACCGGACGGTCCCGTGGGTTTGGCTTTCTCACATTCAGGGATCCCAAGACAGTCAACATCGTCATGGTCAAGGAGCACTATCTCGACGGCAAGATTATCGATCCGAAGCGCGCCATTCCACGTGAAGAGCAGGAGCGAACCGCTAAGATCTTCGTCGGTGGTGTGAGCCAGGACGCGACCGAGCGGGATTTCCGGGAATTCTTCCAGCAGTTTGGCCGGGTCATCGACGCCACGCTCATGATGGACAAGGACACTGGCCGTCCCCGCGGCTTTGGCTTCGTCACCTTCGACGGCGCTGCCGCAGTCGACGCTTGCCTCTCTGGACCCTTAGAGATTCTTGGGAAACCCATTGAAGTGAAGCCCGCGCAGCCACGAGGCAACATGCGCGATGGTGAAGACGACAAGGGCGGCAAGTATGGCCGTGGCAGGAACGACCGCTTCCAACGGGGCCACGAGAATCAGGACAACTACTCCAATCAGCAGAGCCAAAACCAAAACCAAAATCAGAATCAGCAAGCCGCGAATGGTGCGACAAACGGCATGAGTCCCGCGATGATGGCTCAGTACTGGCAGCGAATGCAGCAGTACTTCCAGATGATGCAGCAAAATATGCAAGCCCAGATGGGGCAAGGGCAAGGAATGGGTCCCAATCCGATGGCCATGCAAGCCCAGATGAATCCGGCCATGATGCAGCAAATGATGGCCATGCAGCAGATGAACAGGCCTGGCGGAAGTCCGCATCCCCAGTCACCTGGCGCTGGGCCCATGCCAGGCATGCCTTCGAACGGCCAGATGAACCCAGCGATGATGCAACAGATGCAGCAAATACAACAAATGCAGATGCAGCAGCAGGCCTCCCAAGGCGCCGGCGCCGGCCCCGGAACCTTCTCCCCAGGACCCGGCATGATGGCTGGTCAGGCCGCCGGTCCGAACCGTCCAGGCTTTAACGCACAAGAGCAACTCATGTTCGAGCAGCAGAAGTACGAGCAGCAGCAGGCGCGCCGCGTACAGCAGCAACAGTTTGCCCAGCATCATCAGTACAACACCGGCGGACCCACGTCCTGGGAGGGCATGTACGACGACGTGCCGCAGCCGAACCTGCCGCCGCAGGGCCCTGGTGCACGTGGCGGTATGCAGGGAAACTTTGGCGGCCATGTACGCCAGATGAGTCCTGCGCAGTCTGGAAGAGGGGGGATGCAGCATCGTGGTTCTCAGGGCTCTACGCCGCCCGTGCAGCCGAGCAACGCGCCTGCGAATGCGCCAACTGGCCCGAAGAATGCGGGAAAGCCTGGCGCGAATTACCGTGGCGGTGGGAGGGCTGGACATCGAGGCTTCCATCCGTATGCCAGGAATGGTTGAAGAGTGTTCTTGCAGCAATCCGAGGTGTGAGAGCAGTGTTCTCACATCGAAGGAGTGCTGCTGTTCTCTGGGGCTGCGACTGATTTCGATGCTTACTCGTCTTTTCTGAGTTCGCTCTGGCAATTGTCATGGGCCTACATAATCTGAATCCTTCCGTAGGCGTTAGGTGGAGGGCGGGTTTCCATACACTCTTACAAGGCTCGGCTCAGGAAAAGGAGTGACTTCTCCAGAGGATGAGCTGCTCAGTGGTCTTGCATCTGTCTGTATAGTACGATTGAGTTCCTACAGCTGAAATTGCATCACTTTTCCCAGTGAGGCTTTTCCCCTTCTCACACACTAACGAGTCCCTTGCCACACTTTGCATAGTCGTCTTTCCTCACGGCACGTCGGGCGAGAAAAAAGCCTCACCGCGGACAGCTATCCAGCGTTCTTTCACCATCAACTCCACAGAGTAATCCACGTTCAGCCGCTGCAGTAAATCTTACGAGTGAAGGACAGGACGACAAACATTAAGCGCATTGTTCAACCCCTGTTGACATTGCGTTGATCGTGGAAGGAGCACTGTCGTTAGGTCTTAAACCCTAAGCAGGGGGGGGTAAGAGTAACCGCGTTTGCTGTGATGTTTCATGGTGCCCAGCGGAAAAATAGCAAGCCAAGAGCAAAAACAGTCTTGGAGACTCTGGCCGAGGTGAGGGCCAAGCTGCTGAAGACGATCGCTCGAGATGTGTGACGTCGATGGCCGGCGCCTTCGAGCTGGGAGCTCCGGACCACTCGTTGCGGGGCATCTGAACATCCTCTAAACAACCACTGACCCCATCGACCCCTTCCAATTTCAGAAGCCGCTGCGCCGTATTCAACACTTAGCTGTGCCTTTACATAGCTTAGAGACTCCACTACTAATCTCTTCGACATGTATGTAAGCTGGTCTTCAATCTCCCTCGGCATATCCCAGTAGTAGTCTGTTCATCTTCTGCTTCTGTCACCATGCCTCTCTTTGCTTGTTCACCTCCATCACCACCGCCGCCTCCGTACACGGGCTATCCTACTTCTCGCGCTCCTTCACGCTCGCCTTCACATACTAAATATCAACACGCAGGAACCGCTCCTTGTCTGTGCGCTCCAAGAAGGATGGCCAGTCCGACCGGGGTTCGACCAAAAGCGGCCCGGCGAAGCATCGCTTTACCATGGCCTCGCTGCGCGGCATGCAACAGCCTGATCTTGTAAGTCGTCTTCCTCTCGTGTCTTGACCTAATCCCTTGCTAATCCTATACATGAAACAGTCCAAGAAACTCTACAAGCTTATCAAGACCGAGAGCCACTGCATCAGTGCATACGAAGCCGCAGGCCGCGAGCGCGCATCGATAGCCAGCCAGCTCAGCGACTGGGGCGAGGCGACGAACGACGACACCATAAGCGAGATCAGCGACAAGCTCGGGGTGCTCCTCGCGGAGATCGCGGAGCAAGAAGACCTCTTCTGCCAGAGTCTCGAAGACTCCCGCAGTGTACTCAAGCAGATCAGGAACACGGAGAGCAGTGTTCAGCCGAGCCGGGATCAAAAGGCGAAGGTAGGCAGGATGTAACGTCTATGAGCCAGGCCAAAATTAATTCGTACAGATCGCGGATGAGATTGCGAAACTCAAGTACAAGGAGCCCACGAGCACGAAGATCATCACACTGGAGCAAGAGCTCGTCCGCGCCGAAGCTCAGTCCCTAGTCGCCGAAGCCCAGCTTACCAACATCGTAAGTCAAGGCTTCGCGTATGCCTCTTTGGGCAGCTCCTGACACAGATCGCAGACGAGGCAAAAGTTCAAAGAAGCATACGACATCCACTTTGCCGGCACCATCGAACGCGCAGAAAAGCAGATCATGCTCGCTAAGCAAGCCCGTCGCCTCCTAAACCTCGTTGACGACACGCCGATCGTTCCCGGCGACACTCATCCAACTTTCGACCAGTATGAGGCCGCCCGCCAGGTGCTTAACGACGCAGAGGAACAGCTGCGCGACTGGCGCCCCAATAACGAACCGATCAACAGTAACGCCGGTAGTCTTGGCGCGGGGGCAATGCCGAGTACATCCGGTGCATCCGGTGCATCTGTCACTGGCAGTGGTGGCAGTATTGCGTTTGCGGGACAGGAGTACTCGGCAACACGGGCCTATACAACAGAGCAAGAAGGACAACAGCAAACGATCGAGGGCGCGCACCCAGCGTATAGGAAGGATAGTCCAGAACGCAGCGTCAGGGATGAGTCGTCGGTGGCATAGGTTGGATTGGAGAATGGTCTGGGTTTGTATGATGTTATAGATATCCACCTTGTATTCTAGACTTTGATAACGAATCACGAGATCCATTGAATGGTTGACACACGGGCATACGGGGAGATACAGACGCCTGTATTTCTACCTCTACAACGCGCGAACCTGTCGCGGCTTTCTACCAAGTCAACAAAATCTCTCAAGTAGCCCCAGACGTTCCCCTAAATACCTCCGCCAGTTCGTTTCTGCGCTCTCAATTCACCGCATGTAGGCGAAGACACCGCCCGCCGGTTCAAGCACCCAGACACAAGAAACACACGACCGCTTTCCGGAAAAGAGCAGGTATACGCATCAAGACTGTATCTACGGCTCAAACTTCACCCCCATAGGATGTTCGTAGAACCGCATCCCGCCGGACCCCCTATCGAGACCGTTAGCTACAACTTTTCCACATATGCACCAAGCGTCATGGCACGGTGACAATCCGCGCACGACCATCGGACCCACTCGATGGGGCATGCTTCGAGAAGCTCACGGTCCGCTGGAGGCGAGCACTTACGAAGCACCGTAACTGGAACCTCCTCCACCAGCTGATTTTTGGCGCCTCTTCAGCCTGCGCATCAAGGCTGGTAGTGCTGAATCCTTTGGCTTTGCAACCTTTGGCTTTGCAACCTTGAATGATTTCGCTGTAAGCTTGCGACGCGCACGGCGGCGCAGTGCTAATCTTCGTCGAGCGCTGGCACGCGTCATTCGAGCTGAGGAGTTGAGTGAATGAAGCTCGGAGTTGGAAGCAGAAATTGACAGGCGGATGGTCTGATAGTCAGCTGGGCTAGGGTGAAGGCTGAGATCGAGGGCGTTTGAGGAACAGATGGAGCTCTGCAATACTGCGATTTGGGCTAGCGTGCAAACGAGTCAAGTCGGATATCAGACGAAAAAGAGTTGATGGAGTGGCTTTTGGCTCTCCGAAGCTGGTGCTGTTGCTATTTAAGTAATTTCAGCTCCGCCAATACAAAACGTCGCTCCTACTGCTTGTGTCCTACGAAACAGTGCCTTCTTAGTTCCGTAGCTGGACAGTAATCCGCAAGTGCTGTCTCATAACCACTTCGTCTCAGAAGCGCGAAATGTCTCGGCCAAACAACCAATTGAGCATCCTGACACACACTCAGCCAAGTCTCAGAGTTCAGAACAGAATGTCACTCACCAATACGTCGGTATCAAAATCTTGTTCCTCCAACTGACACTCTTCGTCAAATACGCGCCCCTCCAGATGATCCAAGCTGCCCGACCCGATATGTTGCGGCCGTCGCTTTGCATGATAGCATTCCAGCTTCCCACGTACGCCATGACGCCCATGTTCTTCCAGTGGAAGCCCTGCCTTTCAAGATCGCCTTTGTTGAGTCTCTTTGCCAGCCACTCCGCCTTCTGGTTTGCAACTTGGGCGGTGGCAGGATATGTGGTCCCTTCGAGTATAGCACAGTCACCGATAGCGAAGACGTCTTGCAGTACTGCTCTTGGCTTGGGTCCTTCTTTGTCGCCCTCAGGCTTTTCCGCGTTCTCTCCTTCAGGCTCCAGCACCACCCGCAGCCGATCATCTGTGACGACACCACCGCTCCTGGGGTCTTTCTTGACAAACCAGTCCTTTCCGCCGGAGTCCTTCTCGACGATGGCGCCTACATTGGGTAAAGACTGCACCTTGCCTAAGGCGTTACTGATAAAAGGATTCATCATGAGTCCAGTCGACCAAACCACCATTCCAACCCCAACCTCACCCTCCTCTTTCAGGTCCAGTGTCCAGCACGTGTGTTCGTCTTTGACTTGTTCTTTGCCTTCTGCAGGTTTAGGAACACCGAGGCGTAGCGATTTCACATGATGTGAGGTCTTGATGGCAATGCCTTCGCGCTTGAAGTGCTGCATGGCGTACTTGCCCAGCTTCTCGTCGAACATGGAAAGCACTTTCGGTGCAACGTCGTAGACGGTAATGGAGTAATGCTTCATGAGGTCTGGGTAGATCTTGGCGAGATCTTCTTTGATGAAGTCGTGCAACTCGGCGGAGAACTCGATGCCAGTGGCTACTCCTATGTCAGTTACAGGATGACAATTCTCCGCTGGTTGGACCTACGGCCACCGCCGACAATGGCAAAATTTAATAGATTCTTCCTCATCTCCTCAGACGTGGTAGGGAGAGCAGCAGTCTCGAAGCCTGCAGCGCAGCGTCAGCTTCTTAGCCCACGAAATCCATAATTCCACCTACAAGCCAGTAGCCGGTTCCGGATCTTCCTCGCATCCCCCACATCCTTCAGGAACAGCGCATGCTCCCTCACGCCCGGCGTGCCAAACGTCTGACTATAGCACCCGACCGCAACTACCAGCTTATCGTACTTGATATCGAACAACTCTCCCTTCTTCGCAGCCTCTTTCTTCTCCTCAGTCCGCTCCGCCACACTCTTCCCCTCATGCCGGTCACTCGTCAGCGCCAATCCCTGATTAGGGTCCTCGACGGCCTCTTCTATCGTCACCCTCTTGTTCCTGAAGTCGACTGCATCGGCCCATCCTTGGAAGAAGCTCACTTTGGTACGCCTGCTTCGGACCGGTTCGAGCGCGGTGCGGAATTCAAGGGTGCCGACGGCGGTGGATGCAAGGAGCGGGGTGAAGGCGAAGTAGGAGCGTGGTGAGACGACGACGACTTGGTATTTCTTGGAGTTTAGGCGGCGCGACACGGTGTAGCCGGCCCAACCTGAGCATCGTTTTGGTCAGGATAGTATGGGTCTCTGGCTAGGGATTCTATAGACGAACCGGAGCCGAGGACTACCACTCGTTCTCTGCCTGGATGCAGTAATCAGCGCCCGAACAGTAGGTCTGGTTGAAGGACTCCACCATCTAAGCTCGTGTCGAGTGCCTGGACTGAAATGGCTCTGCGTTGCAAGCTCTGGGAGCTCGGAGCTATCCAGCCGGCCAGAGACGGGTGGTGGCAGACCACATCGAGTAATCCGGTTGGGAACCCGACCAGCCGCCTCTTCTGTATGGCGAACGACATGTCGCTCAACTGATGAGCGTGCAATTGGCGGCTCTCGTCTCGAAGTCGGCGGCTCCACGATCACAACTGCTTACGAGCATCCGTAAGCTGATCGCTGGTAGCCCTGTGACGTAAACCTTTGCGAGTATTGATGCGGGACGCGACAGAACGGATCTCGGGCGGATGGCCGGACGGAAGCAACGACAACTTGCCCGGAATGTCACAGGTAGGTGCCCGCGGACGTGGGTCCTCATGTGAAGACCAAGGTAATTGGTGTTGGTCTCGCAACCCAAGAGTCAACATGAAATGTCTAGTCTAAGTCTACCAGTCGTGTCTAAATACGACCTGGTCGCTGAGTATGACCCCCGTCTAAACCGGCCTTCGAAAGCTGTAGCATCCTGGCTGCGTATGAGCAGACGTCCTGCTGAAACACTCTTGACCACCTCCGACCTAGAAGATGACATGCCATTGGCCCCCCGAAGCGCTAATCGCTGAAATGGGGCCAGTTAGATATCCGTGTTGTTCATAGCAGAGTGTCGCCCAGAGCGCAGCGCACAATGGAGCATCCGGCTCGGATGGTCTCGTGAGCGCCCTGCAGCATAGATTAGCGTTCTAAACACTAATACCTCTGAGGTCGATCCAGCTTACCGCTTCCTCGAGGCTTGGGTTGACCTCCACAAGATCCAACGCGATCAGACTGCCAGTCTCCGCAACGCACTCCGCAATGAAGTCTCCCTCCCGCAGCGTCAATCCGCCTCTGACCGGCGTGCCAGTGCTGGGCGCCCACATGGGGTCAATAGCGTCTACGTCGAATGATAAGTGGATCGGTGTATCCGTGCCAATCCAGCCAAGTGCCATGTCCATGACTTTACCGATGCCATATCTGCCAAGTAACCGTTAGCTCTGCGCAAGCATGCCATGCGATGCATCCTTACCGATCGATATCATGCATCGAAAAAGCCTTGATCCCGTGCTCCTTCAGGAGCTTCTTCTCCCCCCTGTCGATATCCCTGAGGCCGATGTACACCAGCTTCCGCGTGCTAATCCTGTGGTCGTCCTTGATCCATCCAAAGCAGTCCTCCCGGTCCTCCTTCGCCAGTCCCGTCAGAAATGCCACAGGCATGCCATGGATGTTGCCACTCTCGCTCGTCTCGGGCGTGTTGAGATCCGCGTGAGCGTCTACCCAGATCACTGCAATGTCGCGGCCTATGCGCTCTCTCGTCGCCTTTGCCGTGCCAGAGATGGTGCCAATGGCGATGGAGTGATCGCCGCCAAGCGTGAGTACAAACCGGCCCGCTGACGCATGCTCGTACACCTGTTGGCTGACAGCTCGAGTGACGGCGCTGACGGACTTTGGCTTCTTCATGTTGCGGTAGTCGGGATCGTCGGCGGGCATGATCTCGGTGTAAGAGTGGACCTGGCCGTCAAACGTGACCTTGAAATCGAGATCGGTTTCCAGCTGCTGGATAAGTCCGGCCTCGATGAGGGCCATCGGGGCGGCATCGACGCCTGATTTTGTCTGAGTAGAGTTCACTATGTTAGCCACTTCAGTGAAAGGTTTTGGGGTTGCTGCGTAGTTGTAATGTACCTGGCCGCCGGAAAACCCAACCGCGACGACGCCGAGCTCGTTACGGCTGGGAAGAAAGCTTGGCTGCATGGTTGGAGCTGAAGTCATGTTGGAGACTTTGGTGAAGAGGCAGTATCTTCGAAGACAAAGGCGATGATATGTTGCAATAAGCAGTGAACGGTGTTACCTGATGCCGAAGTTTCTGAAAGCAGTCGGAACAATGAAGGAGGAAGATGTGGGTTTTGTAGTGTGGGCGACCATGTTGCTGACTTTACGTAAATCTTGATATGTGCGCGTTTGAGTTTTGCGTATCGCGTTTGCACCTGCACTTAGGGAAAAGCCGTGGTGTTGAAGCTATGGTTCTCTCTACAACTTGCGCTTAGAGGAATCTGTGGCCGTGCGTCGTCCGAAGGCCGGCCCCGTGACCCGGGATAGATCTCTCAATGGACCTGTATGTGCCGCGTCAAGCCGCGTCTCTTCGGAGATCATTATCAAGAAACTCTTTAATGGCTTTCATACGAAACTGCTATCTACTCGGCAAGATCTCGTGACAAGGCAACCTCGATGGCTTCAACCACAGCGGCCATACGCTTCATGATAGGCAAGGGGACAAAGCAAGGCCAAGGCTCCATCCACATCGCTTGCCATGTGAGGCCAGGGGGAAGCTCTAAGCGGGAGGGAATCACGGCGGTGACAGCGGAGAGTATTGAGCTCTGCGTTGCTGCCCAGGCCAAGGAAGGCGAAGCGAATAAGGCAGTTCGAGAGCTTATTGCGGAGGTGGGTTCACGAACGGTGCGAAGGACAGTATAGTATTATCGGAAAACTCAATATCATCAGGTCCTGAACGTGCCCAAGTCGAATGTGGAGATCGCCAAGGGCATGAAGTCGAGAGACAAGACTGTAGTCGTACGTTCGATGCCTGCTGCCAAAGACGCCGACGAACACGTCGAGAAAGCGAGGAACGCCTTACAGAACGCTGTTGCTAGATGACAAAAGTCTAAACAAAAGCGAGCCCATGCCATGATCCAAGTCTACAATCCAAGGTCGTACCTAGTCGTAGCGGGCGATATCCCTAACCACGGAAATGGCCTTAAACCAACTTCAGCGAGTAAGCTTCCAATCGCTATTGAGGGTATCACGACCTGGTATCACTCATCCGACTGACTAACTCCCAGGGCCAAGAGAGAAGCGAGGTGCGGATGCCGTTGGCGCATATTCCGTGTCTCGACAAAGCCTCTCCTGAGGCACGGCCAGGCTGTCAACGCTCCGCTGCTTAGCGTGCGATCGCTGAAGTCCGGTATATCTTTCGGCGTTCACTGCCTCTCATAAGCGTGGTATAGGGGTGGTGGAGCAGTATGTCTTGAAGACGCTTCGCCTGCATAGGTTTTAGAATCCACGCTCCCGACGAGACTCGTATATCAGGAATATTCGTACCATTCAGACGCTCCTCGTGCATCGCTAATATATTCCTTTCTCAGCACAGTTCGCCATCGAGTCGAATCCCAAAGGTTTGTCGAGATCCAAAGGGCGGCGTTCCGTCGGACAACGGTGTTCCGCGAAATTACGGAAGATGTTTTCACATCCACAGGCACAGCTTTCCGCTAGCTGTACCAGCGGCGATCCAATCCATTGAGGGATGGAACTGGGCAACAGCAGGAACGGCAGTGATACCTTCACCACCTAGTTGCGCCAGCTGCTGTCCTTTACTGGTATAAACGTCCACAAAGCGGTTCATGTTGCCGATACAGAATCGCTGGATACCATCCTGAGGCTGCAGTTGCCATTGAGCGCGGAGACTGCGTACCACGTCAGCACTATGCACCGCGAGTCAGTTTTGAAGCCTTACATCGTGACCCATCGGCCAGTTTGGTTATTATGTGGTATGATAGTAGCAGGCTTCATTTGTGCATCGGTCAAAGACGTGCCGACCTTCCAGTCCCCGCACTTACTGAAATCATGTATCTTGACAGTGTCATCGTACGAGGCAGTAGCAACCTGACCAGCTGAGTTGAACGATGCGTGAGATACGGAAAGTCTGCTCTCGTGTTCGCCAACCAGAGCCGGTAGCCGCCAGTCACCTTTCCCACTAATCTTCCGCAAATCCCAGATCTTCAACATCCGGTCAAGAGACGCAGTGGCTACAAGATGTGAATGCGCGGGGTGCAATGTGAAACCGCCAATCTTCTTCTCGGAGAGTTGAAGCATCTCCGTTTTAATAGACGGCTGCCGCATGTCGTGAATGCCGAATTTGCCTGCTAAGGTAGTGAAGTATAGCATGCTTGGATCTGTTCTGGATATCTCCACGCCGGATACAGGCTCGTCGTCGCTCTTGTCTGCCGGGCCCCAGACTTCCACCGCGACACCTTTTGCTAGGTCCAGCCTTCGAATGGAGGAGTCATATGACGCAGTGTATAACGAATCCGGCTCCGTGGGACTGAACTGGAATGAGGAAATGGTTCTTGTGTGTAACTTGAAGGTGGATACAACCGGATCCTCATCATTGATCTCTTCTCCGTCGTCGTCTTCCCTGGACTCCGGATTGGACTGTGACGCATCCAGTATACCCAGGTTTCCTAACTTATCCCCTGCAAAGACTAATGCCTTGTCTTGCGTCGGATGGAAGCCTAGCGAGTAGATCCGCTCAGGTGTGATCTTGATTCGGTTTGGCTCGAAGCCCTCCCATAGCTTCAAGCCGCTCATCTTCTCCCGCAGAGCCTTCAGCTCTTTGTCGCTCGTCTCTTTTACATCCTGCGCAGAGAACGTACGCTCGTACGGTCGTGCCGGACCGACGCCCGTCAGGAAGTTCCCTGCCTTGTCCCACTGCCCACCGACCACGATATCGCCCAGGTTGAGATCGCCGCTGACGCGCTGCCGCTTAGCTTGTTCGGCTGCGCGGAGAGCGTCGTGTTCGTCCTCTGCCTTGCGCTTCGCGACCTCGCTATCTGCGACTATGCCCCTCAATCGTGACGAGGTACGGAGTGGAACAACCTCCACCTTCTCTCTCTTCGCTGCAGACTTCTTTTTCTGCGATTTGGCGGGTGTTGCTGAGCGTGATTTCGTCGGCGCGAGACCAGCGCCTGCGGCATCGAGGGCGAGAGTACGGAGGAGCGCTTGGTTTTTCGCGATTCTTTCTTGTCGCTCAAGCTCGTACTCGCTGAGAGCTGTGGTTGCACCTCGCGCCATTGTGGATGTAGTATGTGGTGGTGGCGAATTGGGGGACGGCAATTGAGAGAGAAATGGCAAAGTCTGGTGGTGAGGTGAGATGATGGCCTAGGAACGCGTCGAGTCCGAGTCAAAGCGCTTGCAGCAGATCAGATTCGCGTTTTTTTCGTGCCTTGCCGATTGCCGACAGCGTGACTACTGTAGGACCCATGCACTTCTACAACTGCAGTGCCTATCAGCCTATCTACACTACCTTAGGTACCTGGGTGCACACTTGGGTACCTTCCTCACAACAACGGCCCCAACAAAGGCCCCACACACAGCGCTTTTGCGCAAATAAAGCTCGGCGGCTAGCCGACCTCGAGAAGCCTCGTCGTATACCTAAGTATGCCGGCCTCACGCGCCGCAAGCCGCATCCTCCCGAGCTGGTGTACATGGACCAGCCCGTCACACCAGCCAACAACTCTCCTACCGTTTCTCTACCAGACCAAGACAATCCGGCGCAGATATAATGCCAGCCATACCCCTAGCCGCCAGTTCCGACCCAGACCCCATGAAACCGCCCAGGACGAGGAGATGATCGATTCCATTCCCTTTGAGCATGAGGTTACCGCCGCAACCCATTCCCGCCGTGTGGGCGATAGTCCATCTGCGGCCCAGCTAAGAGAGGAGGAAACGGACCTTGCCGGACCTTCCGGAGGCTACCACAAGCAGCGTCTGGCTACGACCACCGGAGCGGAGCGAGCGGCTTTCAGGCGGCTTTTTGCAATGGTGGGCACAGGGGTCCCTGCAAGTCAACAGAAGGACAATGGGAGAACTGTTGCAGAGATCAACAAACAGAAGGAGACCGAGTCACTGCCTCGATCAAAGCCTCAGAAGTCCGAGCAGGCCGTCAGACATCTCTCCCGTTATCCAGTCTCGCTTCGTTCAAAGGCGAACGCTGCGATACAACCCAAGCAAGATGTCCGAGCCAAGAGAGTGAAGGGGCGTACGGCAGAGACGCAGATAGAGCTGCAGCAGTCTACCTCTGAAGCTGAAGCGATACGCGTAGAGGAGTTGATGCGCAGCGCAGCTACAGACGCAGAACTCTGGAACGTTCTCGAGACCGAGGGATTTTCAGTGATCAGGCAGCTGGAGCTAGATGGACCGAGTCCTGGCGAGTCGAACCAGATGAATAGTAAACCAAACCAGCAGCCATCTTCCGGCCTGGCGGTCATTGGACCGAACTACCCATCTTTTCTCCTGATGGCCGTTCGTCAGTTCAGGCAGGAATTCCCATCATCTACCCTGGCGCTCGCGGTACTACCCGAAGTCAAAGCCCTTGGCCGTAGCTCGTATGCTCTGGGCGCGAGCACTCCTCTATACAACGAGCTCATCACCATCGCATGGCTGAAATATGCTGACTTTCATGAAATCGACTACCTACTACATGACATGGACAGAGGGGGCATAGAGTTCGATGGCAACACGCTTGATCTGATTGCTTCGATCCTAGTGGAGCAGCAGAAGGCGCGTCGTGGCTGGTTAGGTGGCGCTGTGGCTGCAGTATGGGAAATGGAGAGCCTTAGGCGCGCGTTCAGGAAGCTGGAAAGGTGGCGGGATGTCGTTCAGGCGAGGCTGGAAGCCGATGCAGTCAGGCAAGCGCATGAAAGGGATGCGCCCGAGGAGGATGGTGAATATAGTATAATATAAGGATAGAAGGCGATAGTCTCGCTGTTCGGTTCTCTAGTTGAAAGCCAAGGACAAACCCCAATGGGCTACGTCTTATAGCATTCATCAATGTAGCTTCGAGGGCCCTATTGCTGCTACTATATCGAACAATGGTACACTGAGGTGTTCAAAGCTGTGATATGATTGATAACGAGATCATCTAAGTAACAAAACGCTTAGATCTCACGGGGCATGCTCCGAACCACGTATCTCATCCCTCACCCAAGCTTCACAAAATGCCATGGCGTCACCAGCGCGCCTAACCCGCGCAACACCAGCCAGACATCTCCTCCGATCGACCTTCCGACCTCAGACTCCCAAGACCCGTCCTTATCACTCCTACGAAACTCCCCAGCCGTCGCCCTACCCGCCGACCGAATCTGCCATCCTCTCTTCGGCCCTCTCACACGTCCCCAATCATGGCTTCACCACCGAATCCCTTCGCCTTGGCGCTCGTGATGCTGGATACCTGGATGCTTCGACGAATCTTTTCCCGCGGGGAGCTTTCGATTTAGTACAGTATCACCTCGTTACCCGGAGACTGGCCCTCAAAGATGCGGTGCAGTTTCCGGAAAAGCTGGGGGTTGGTGCTAAGGTCCGATGTTTGGCGCTTGAGAGGTTGAGAGCGAATAGGGAGGTCATTCATAGATGGCAGGAGGTGGGTTTTGCTTCTTAGCATGTTCCCTGGGGCGGTCGTATAGGACAATTCCGGATCAGGCGCAACGAGAGTCGCAGCGGTCATAAAAGCAGACTAGAGCCCTAGATTTGGGTTGTCTTCCTTCGGCGAGCACAGCGGACACAGCTAACCCCACCCCAGGCCCTAGCCCTAATGGCCCAGCCAACCTACATCCCCGCCTCCATCGCCGAGCTCGCCCGCCTCGCAGACGAGATATGGTTCCTCGCCGGCGACACCAGCGTCGACACGAGCTGGTACACCAAGCGCGCCAGCCTGTCTGCCGTCTACTCCGCCGCAGAGGTGTTTATGACGCAGGACCAGTCGTCAGACTTCAAGGACACGGAGCGCTTCTTGGATTCGCGGTTGGAGGATCTGAAGGCTGTGGGGACTGCGGTAGGGAGTGTGGGGGAGTGGGTGGAGTTTACGGGACATTCGTTTGTGAACTTGGCGAGGAGTAAGGGGGTGAGGATATGAAGGGAACGACTCATGGGCAGCGGAGGTGTCGGCCGTGGTGGTAGAGCATTGCCTCTAGCGTTGCAGTACAAGATTTGCAGATATGCATGCTGGATGGCGTTTGAGAATAGGTAGATTCGGTCCCTGGCGCTGCTCACATTCGACCCTCGTCTTAAAAAGATGAGATATAGGTCATCTTGGATTTCATTTCTGCAATCCGCTACTCCATGTGCGACTTCTTTGACGGTCAGGCGCCAAGAAACATCCACTTCTCTCCACTTCAGAGCTTCGAATCCATATTATGATAGTTCATAGGGACACGTAGAATGCATCAAGCTTGCTCACAACCTCTGAGATGCACCGGTGCTTCCCACACAGAGCAGTCGCTCCTGCTTTGTGCTAGAATTTCCGTCCCCAGTGGCGATGTTCTGGGCTGACGTCCGTGGCTCCGCTTTCGTCAATAGTCAGAAAGAGGAGAAAACCATGGCATACGCGACGACACTTTGCTTGAATCCCGATTACAGATTGTTTGAAAACGGCCACTTATCTACAATATAGCAAAAGGGCTTTGTCGGGTGAGCATCCAGCGCCTCTGACTCACGTCGTGCGGATCAGTCTTATGAGTTCATCTCCTGTGCGAACAACTATGCCAGCCATTAGTCGACAGCCCGAGATGGCTTAGTAAAGATCACTTAAGGTCCGCTATTTACGGGCTTGTTGTACCTTGTCCTGAACTCACGTGGGGAGTATGCAAGAATGGGATTCGCGTTACGCTGTTATGGGCGAGCGATAGGCATTAGCAAGGATATCTCATGCAAAAGCCTTCTCGTGAGTACAGGTTGCGTAAGCAAATAAATCTCAAGGCCAGTTCGACCAGGGCTATAGCAGTATTGTGGACGCGCCACACGTCTCCGACAACTTCTTGAAGGGACTGGGGGCTCTACCTAACATCCACCATAATCTGGCAGAAGCACCGTGAATGCATCACTGGCGACTAAAGCAATGCCTTTCCAGCCGACCTTGGATAGTCATACTCCAGCGACACAAGACTGGATCCATGATAAGGTTATCGAGGCCTGACGAACATTGTCGATAGTGTTACTCGTCGCCTCGTAGGACCTCTCACGGCAATGTCATAGGTTCAATAGGTGGCGGCTAAACTTATGAAATCTTAAGGAAGTCAAGGATGTTAGGTCAGTAAAAGTGTTGTGGAAACGACATCTCAAAGCGCTGAGAGCAACTATGATGTGATTTCGTGACAAGCAAAGCCATGGCATTGAACCCATGCAGTAGGAGCAAGCATCTGATACACGGAACGAGTTCAGATATGTCGAAAGGCACACGTGGTAGAAGACCGTTACGTCCCACGGCCCTGAGTAAGTGCTCGTAAGATGTCTTGCAGGTTCGTGGGCTGAGGCGATTCAGCCCCCGCAGAGGGAGCTGCTTGGCCCTGTTGCTGGTTGAAGAACGCTGGGTTTACATAGGCCCCTGCAGGTAGTTGCGGAGGATACAGCGAGTTGACACCGGTAGCCATATTGTTCGCGTAGGGATTTCCCCATGGCACTGGCGGAGGCGGAAAGCCAGCAACGAAGCCGCCTATTGGCGGTGCAAATGCTGGAGGAGGGGGTGGTTGTGTCATGGGTGTCGTGTTGTAAGCCACCCCATACCGGCTGAAGTCAAAACCTGGCTGGCTTGGAGATTGTGGACTAGGCTTTACGTCCCGCGAGGCCTGGGAACGCGGCGTGCGTTGCAAATCCGGCGAGCGGCGTGGATGCGACGATTCTCGTTTTGGGAGGCCTCGCTGCTGGCGCTCCTCTTGTCTCTGGCCGCCACCTCCACGGCGATCTCCTCGTCCTCGATCCCCTTTTCCTCGGTCCCCTCGTCCCCGGTCACCTCGTCCCCGGTCACCTCTTCCGCGGTCGCCTCTTCCGCGGTCGCCTCTGCCACGATTGCCGCGACTTCTATTGCCCTTCCCCCGTCCGCCACGTTCTTCAGGACGACGCTCTTCGGGCGGCGATACACCAGGAGGCATCAAGGCCTGGAGATTGTCCGGACGGACCAGAGGTGTATACATTTCGTCGTCGTCATCATCATAGCTGAGCAAGCCATTGTGTGGCTGTTGGTTGCTGACGTGAGTCGACCTTGCTCCGCTCTGGGGCACACCTTGTGGGGCAGGCCTGGATGAACAAGTTAGCATTATGAGTTGAAGTTTTTGAAGGTGTAATGATCCTGCAGATTCATGTGACTACTTACCTCTTCAGATGGGCCGGCATGGCGGCGCTTCCCCTACGTTCATCGCGCATGGCTTTCCTCTCTTCCTTGTTGTTTTTCAGCTGCCGTTTGTATTCAGCTTCGGCCTCATCATCAGAAAACTCGATCTCGTGCGCCGCAGGCTCCTCATCATGCATGTTGGAAGCATCGGAACCCTTTATGCCTCTCAAGGCTTGGGTGAAAACATATGTAGAGTGCTGCTCAACATAGAAAACTGTAGTTGCTTTTGTGATACCGGCCGCCTCAATCTCAGTAGGGTTGTTGAAGTTAACGAAATACCGCGGTTGATGGACCTGCGCGATAACGTCCGCCACTGCTCCGATGACTGATCGGTCTTCGAGACAGAGCACTGAGCCAGAATCGAGAACACGGTATTCGCCGGTCGTCTTTGCCTTAATGAGAATTATAGAAGCTTGCGGCTGGTCGAGAAGTTAGTATCAATCCTATGCATACCGCCATGGTGCGATGCTAAACATCTGCTGTGCAGAATCGTCGACGAGTTCGAACCCCTTTCTATTCATGCCGTAGTTTCAGTAGAAACCTGCTGGAAGGAGCATGAACGTGGCAAATGAAGATGGCTTTTAAGCCGATCAGGTTTGTGCGCGTCTTCGCAGAATTCCATCGGATAGAGGCGGTACCGGCACCGTCTGAGGAAACGCAACAGGATCCAGAATGACCATCAAAGTTCTGGCAAAGAGAAAAAGGGATGAAGTGAGTACCGGACTTACATCGTGACTGATTTGCTCCACATGGCCAAGCTCGACGACCTTCATATCCGGTGTTACTATCACATCGGGTTTCTCGAACTTCAGCTGCAACACCTCGTTCTTCGTACGCGGAATCTCTTGTCCGTGGCTACCACCGTCCTCATCGTAATCCTCCGCCATCAATATCCGCGCCTGCTCTTCAGCAGTCAGAAGCTGCGCCTCATCCTCATCATCGTCCTCATCGTCGCTGCTGCTATCAGACGACGAATCGCTAGAGGAATCGGAAGAATCGTCTGACGAGTCAAGCTGCCACTCCGCGTTGGCGTCGCTTTTGTTCGCTTCGCCCACTTTTAGGAAGTCTTCATCAATGTTATGAGGTTCCGCAGCCGTAGAAATACCCGCAACTGAGACTGCTGGGTCGGAGACTGGAGCACTTTTGTGCAATGATCTCGGAGATTCGTCTGCAATGATTGGTGTATCTACAGTCTGCTGTGCTTCTGGCGCCGCGACCGACTTACCAGGAAGCTCACTTTCAGCGACGGTGGCGACACTGGAGGGTAAAGAGCCGGAACCCCGGACTGCCGCTTCGGCTTCGGTGATGATTTCCCCCTTCGCAATCTCCGGGCTTGTCTTGTCGTTTATCTCCTCTTCGGCGTGCTCGAGGCCAACAGCAGGTGCTGAGGGCTGGGCAGAGCGGTGTTGCTGCGACTCAGCAAAAACCGCTCGAGCATACGCGAGATGTGAAGCTGCCTCCTGCTTGATCGCGGCATCATGCGACCTCTCGCCGTTGGTAGTTTCTGCTTCGGTGTTTGCGTTTGGGCGAGCCCCATCGATCAGGCCACTCGAATGTAGGGACGGCAGGCTATGCGGCAATACTTCATGCTGTTCTTTCGTCTCGTCGGTTGTATGGCCTCCACTTGGGTTGGCTTTCTGAGACGCTTGCACGGGTTGTTGAGTAGATCCCAAGAGTCCCAGACCTGGTATGCCGCCGAATGGCCTGGAATCTGTGGCGGGCTCAAGCTTAGTTGGCGCCATGTTTTGCGGTGTTTGCGGCAGCGAAGGTGCAGCAGAGGTGTCGTAGAAATCGAAGTCAAGATCGTCGGGGGTTGTAGGATCTTCTACGTTATCGAACCGGGTTCTCTTCGCGGGAGGGGGAGTTACGTCATCTGTGTCTACGTATCGGTGGGCCATCTAGGACATGGAAAGTTTAGTGTCTGTTGTTGTGTTGTGGATAATCCGCATGTTCGTCATCTAGAATAAGAAGCTTCAAGCCCTTTACGAAGAAAAGTTTAAGCCCTGGAGAGCCGCAACTGCTAGCGCCAAAGCTAAATTCAGCCCTATTGCAGGGATTAGCGGTCCCTGAACCTCCAGGGCTCCAAGGCTCAACAAGCCCCATCATCGTCCGCACACTCTGAGCAGCGTCGTCGACCACATCCAAGAACATGGCCGACGCTGTGAGAGAGATCGCTGCAAGACAGCCGCCAGATGCGGGAACTGCGGCTTCAAAGCCTAAGTATGGTAGCAGTTCTCAGTTGGCAACCGTTTACTCACACAAAGTCAGGCCAAAGGCACCTCAGAAACAGCCAGAGCCAATGGAGCCGATCATTGCTTTCTACATCTTTCTTGCAGCACATTTAGCAGCCGCGTTGTACTCACCCATCCAAGACTGCGATGAAGTATACAACTACTGGGAGCCAACTCATTACCTCAATCACGGCTATGGCATGCAGACTTGGGAGTATTCGCCCGAGTACGCCATTAGGAGCTGGACTTATGCAGGCATTCACTCCATCGTTGTGTTGTTCAGCCATCTCCTGCCAGTGGGAAACACCAAGAGGTTCGAGTTCTATTTCGTCCGCGTCATCCTAGGCTTCATTTGTGCGTTCAGCGAGGCACGACTCTTTGCAAAGATTTCTAAGACGCTAAACCCACGGATCGCCATCCTCTTTCTTGTAATTGCAGTGTCCAGTCCAGGCATGTTCCATGCTTCAGTGGCGTACCTACCGTCCAGCTTTGCCATGTACACCACCATCAATGGTCTAGCTGCCTTCATGGACTGGCGCGGAGGTATGCGCACCGCGCAAGGCATCATGTGGTTTGGCGTTGGTGCTGTCATCGGCTGGCCATTCTCGGGAGTGCTGGTGTTACCGTTCGTTCTAGAGGAGATACTGATGGCTACAATGACCGATTCTGTCTTCGACATGGCTCGAAGGTTTCTAGACGGCACCGTCAGGTCATTCATAGCGCTCGCGTTGCAGGTCTGCATCGACACCTTTTTCTACAAGGCCATTACATGCGTGCCTTGGAACATCGTCGCATACAACATCTTCAGTGGCCCTGGCAAAGGCCCCAACATCTATGGCACTGAGCCGTGGGGCTTTTACATCCGGAATTTACTGATCAACTTCAATGTTTGGTTCGGTCTTGCATTGCTTGCATATCCATTGGTGCTCTTGCAACACGCCATCCGCGGCGGATCCCAGAAGCAACCGCTGCTCCGCAGCCTTACTTTCGTTACCCCTTTCTACCTTTGGCTGGCCATCTTTACGGTACAGCCGCACAAGGAGGAGAGGTTCATGTATCCGGCATATCCACTGTTGGCTTTCAACGCCGCGATGTCCTTCCATGCCATCCTGTCTTACCTCGGATCAACTGACACCAGAGACATAGTCAGCAAGATCCCCGCAAGATTCAAGCTGATCATCGTCTCTTTGTTTGTGCTCGGCGCCGTTGATCTCGGCGTCTTGCGGGCCCTGGGCATGGTCACCGCCTATTCGGCACCCCTGAAGGTATACAAGCCTTTGCAGCAGCCCGGTGTCGCCCTCCCAGGAGACACCGTATGTTTTGGAAAGGAGTGGCACCGATTTCCGTCATCGTTCTTCCTACCGAACGATACGCGCGCAAAGTTTGTCAAAAGCGCCTTTACTGGACTTCTGCCGGGCGAGTTTAGCGAAGCAAACGTTGGCTTTGGTTTCTTTCCCGGTGCTTGGCTGGTACCGTCTGGTATGAACGATGAGAACAGGGAGGATCCGGGCAAACATGTAAGATCTGGCCGAGAATGCTGAGAACAGCACCGCTGACGTTGTTATAGACCGACATTGATTATTGCAAGTTCATGGTCGACTCTTATTTTCCGAACTCTACAGCTTCGAAACTGGAGCCAGACTATGTACTGGACACAAAGACATGGGAGACGCTGGCATGCGAGCCGTTCCTGGATACGGCCAGAACAGGCACGCTGGCTCGCCTGTTGTGGGTGCCAGACTGGCCGTCCATACCGGAGGAGTATCGCAGGAAGTGGGGTCAGTACTGCCTGCTTCGGCGAAGGGAGTCTCCGGTCTAGTACTGTGGTCTACGGATATGGTTATCTTACATCGCATATTTACGCTTTCTACAGACAATGCGGAAGGACTGCCGTTGAAGACATCTGCAGTTCTGCCGCAGAGTGCATGGCGGTAACCGAAAACGGAAAAAGTTCCCTGAGCGCCCAACTCATGCGAGTTTGACGTACCCCACCCCCGCCGCCAACCGACAGCACTTTTCTTATCGTACCGCATGTTCTCATGAGTACTACTTAAATAGCGCAGCGAGGTGGAGATCATGGCGTTTTACGGCTTTCATACATATTTTCAGGCTGTCTGCAACTTCCAACCCCATGCGGAACTTCCCTTGACCTGATATCTATCATTGTTGTTTGTTTCCTTTGACCAGCATGGACAGCCTCAGAGTCTGGGCAAGACATGTCTGTGAGCCTGAGCAGTTACGAGCAGCTGCCCATCAAGTTCGGCAGCAAACCCAGCAAAATCCAAGGGCTGCTCTATATGGCCTCCTACTCACCATAGCTGCGATATGGGCCTGTATCACGGCGATACAACGTCTAAAAGCCCGCCGATTGCCGCCGCGACCACGGTCTCCAGACCCCGAGAAGCCCCCGGGCACACCAAAGCCCGCCAGCAAGTTCAAGGCAGCTATGCGCGAGCCGGGAGGTATGCCACACTATTCCACTCCTTAGTATACCCAGCAGTTTCCAACCCCTTACTAACAACAGCTTCCCACAGTATGGACCCCCGACCCCTTCACCCGCCCACCCGCCCCACCCTACCCCAACTGGTCTCTCGAATGTACCAAACCTCTCCCCTACCGCCCCTTCCGCTACGGGCCTAGATACAACGTAACGATGGGCCTGCGCAGCATGGACTGGGACGAATGGATCGAGCTCGATAATCACTACCCGAAATACCACTCCCTCAAAGCCCAGCGCATTGCAGAGCGCGGCGCGAAATGCTGCAAGACGGCGCCCGAGGCCTACGATGGCGCTGTCGAGCTGCTCGAGGAGTTGTGCGCGTATCTGCCGGAGCGGTATCCGAGTTTGTACCGTAAGACTGCGACGGGGATCGAGAATCTCTGGAGCGGGGAGGTCGTGGATATCACGGAGCGGCCGCTGAAGGAGGATCCGATGGCCATGTCCGCGCGGCTGGTGCAGGATGATCTGGCGCTGATGTTTGAGAGGCCGGATGGGCAGTACTACCTCCTCGCGGGCGCGATTCTTCTACCGGGCTTCTGGCGCCTCGAGGATAAGTTCGGTATGCCGCTCTCGGAGATACACACCTCGGGCGACGTGCCGCAGTTCAGGGAGAAGCTGGAGAAGGGCATGATGAACTTTTTTAAGAGACTTAGGCCGGAGACGCCGATGTTGAGAAATAACTACTTCATCCAGGTTGATGATGGGCTGGATTGGAGTTACAGTATCGGGCCCGAGGACGAGGCGGTGGGATGGAATAGCGCGGAGAAGAATAGGGCTGTGCAGCACCATTTCTTTAGAAGTGAGAGGCAGAGTCTGAGGAGGTAAGCGTGTTGGTGGCTGTGCAAAGCTGATGGATGTTGACAATAATCGGATAGGCTGCCGCGATCTGGTGCTGTGGCGTTCACGATACGGACGTACTTCCATCCTGTTACGGAGGTCGCTGAGGAACCGTACGTGCCTGGAAGGCTAGCATCGGCGATCCGTAGCTGGGGCGATGACGTTTCGATCTACAAAGGCAAGGACAAATACCATGAAGTCCTTCTGGAGTACTTAGACAAGAAGCATGAGGAGCAGGTGGCGAACGGGCTGGACGTGCAAAAGGAAGACGAAGCGTATCCATACTAGTTTAGATAGTATCTGACAGTCAAATGCTCAAGATGGTGTTCGAACGCCGCGCTCTACCAAAGTCCTCATGCAAAAAGCTATGTTCGAGCAAGCTGTTGAACCTGACAGGCGAACACTCGCAATCCGTTATCCCGCTGTGCTATGCTGGACATCACTAGGTTATTGCGCTGATCAACACACACTCATCCGGCGAGCCTGTGGGAAAGTGCAGGGCCTTGACTTCGTGGAGGAATCGAATAGCACAAGGCTTGTCCAGTAGCCTTGAGCGCTGTGCCCGAAGGGTGACTACAAGGGGGTGCGTGAAGAGCCGTGGGGAAAGGTCTGCGCTGGTAGTGGACTCGTCGCACCGTACCATGCATGATCGCGGGAATGGTTCTTCAATGTCCTCGAACACCAGCTAGGTGCATATAGTCCGTCTTCAGCGTGCCGCGAGCCTTTTGTGATCCTGGATTGAGGTATTCGGAGCACCGCCGGAGCAGCTCTCCAACTCCCTAGCTTAAACCTCAGACTTGTTCTTTGCCATCCTCAATCTATGCTTCTCAGTCGCCTCGTCAATCTTCGCTTTTCTCCAAGTGCACTCCGCCGCAAACTCGCAGATGCGGCACTTGAAAGCTTCCTCGATGTCCACGCCTCTTGCCTCTCGCTCGCCTTTCCACCATTTCATCTCGTCATCCAGGTAGTCTTGCAGCGCTTTGTCGTCGTAGGCGAAGCACCTGCTGCCCAGAATCTTACCGTCGCTGGAGCTGCGATATTCGGCCTTGAGGACATCGCCGATGCTGTCGGGCCCGGACATTGTTCTGGAAAATTCAGCAATCATAAGGGACCAGATCTGGTTAAGGCTGTTGTGCTCCAGCAGCTCTACCACCGAGTCTTGTTGACTGCTGACCGGTGCGAAGTCCTCGTTTGAATCCTCGCGGAAATTATAGTCGAGTCCACCGACTTCAGCAATAAATGCGTCCGTAAACGGGTCGGAGGGTTTCAAGCTGTATCGACTGAAAAGTGTCTCTGCGTTCACGCTGTTAGAGGCTAGACCGGCGAGCAGCTTGCGGTAAAGCATCAGTTGCATGACTGTGGGCCGCACAGAGGCACCTTGGGGGATAGTCTTTCCGCCACGAGTCTTGACGTCTGAGAGGTAGATCTTTCGCTGGAGATGTGGGTTTCCTATCCGAGCATTCGACGTAGGCGTAGTGCCATCGGCAGTCTTCCACAGATCTCTGAGTGAGCGCTGATTCCGTGGGAGCGGGTTCTCGGCCTTCGTAGTCTTGTTTTTCGACATGCTCTCCTCGAGGGCTTCGTCGGGACATGTATACGACAGCTCATCAATGATCCCGTTGACGACCTGCCCGTCGATCACACCCCATATCTCAAGCTCACGGGTCAGACCGGTAGCTCTGAGTGTCCGAAGCCCCTGGATGACGTTCCATATCCTCAAGCCCCAGCCGTCTTCCCGAGTCTGCACCGTGACCGGCACAATGTGGTGAACCTGCTCCTCAAGCACCTTATGCACCTTACTGCCCTGTTTCATAGCCGGCGTGCGCTTCTTCCGCCCATGCTTCGTGAGCGAGTACCAGTACTGCAGCTCGCACCATGCTGGTGACACAATGTCGGTAACAGATAGGGGTTTCTTCGGCGCTGTTCGAAAGCGCTCCAGAGGCGATCGGTCGTCTGGGACAGCTGGTTGCGATTCAGGCTCTGTAGACGCTTGACGAGTGCTCGCACTGATGCTGCCTTCGCGTGCAACTAGACGCTGTCAGCCAGTCAGCCGTAGTTCGCGTCGAATGCACGCCACTTACACATCGTCCGGTTGCCGTTGTCGTACTCGACCTCGACTGAGGGCGAACGCAGCGCGCGTAAACGCGCCGGTTGCTCGCTCGTGCTGCTACGCTGAGGCAGGGGCTGGGGTGGAGAGCTCCTAGGCACATGCGCTGAGGGAAGCTGCGGCGGATCATCTTGCTCGATGCTCTCGGGCACGAACGGCTTAACTGCAGGTGCGTCGGCCGCGAACTGCGACAAGGCCTGGCTCAGCTGGTCTTCCCCGTCCGTGTCGAGGTCGGAGCCATAGTCGCTCGCAGTCCCGTTGACTGCGGGTGCGGGTGCGGGTGCGGATTGCGAGGTTGTCATGCCACAGGACCCCCTCGGCGCACATGTACTTGTCTATCTGTGTACTGTGTGGCGGACTTGTTGCTGTCATCGTCATAGACGGGGCGGACGCGTGGATCGCGCTCGCGACAAAGCGCGACAAAGCGCGACAGGCGTCTGCCTGAGGTTGTATATCGGACGGGGTTTTACGGCGACCGCATCTCCATAAAGGCTGCAACTAAGGCATGCTCTTCTCACGTTGCACGTATCCCGACATCCATATCATAAGGCGAAGTCACCGTGGAATCTGTCTGAGGACCGCATCCAGCCGACCGTACTCCGTATACCGCCACAGTCAACCCCCGCTCAACCCCGCAACGTGCTATATATCTCCCTGGACTAGAGCCGCAAAGTTCTCTCTATCCCCAGATGCTGCCCCGATGCTGCCCCGATGCTGCCCAGGTGCGTCTCAGGTACCCGCGCCGGACTTGGTGTTGAGATGCCGGACGCCTCGGCTGCAGGAACTGCGGGATCCGCCGGAACCGTCGCAGGGCGAGGAATTCCCTGCGAATGCCGCAATCGTTGGAGCCACGTTGGATGGTCGCTTCTCCCAACATCTTATGAGCCTTTACCATGATTTTCCAACACACTGAAGCAGGAGCACTGCTGCCTCTTCCTCCTCTTCTGCTCCCACGATGATAGCCCCAGGAGGCGCCAGCCGCCCATTACTCCGGCGAATGCTCTTCCATCGCCCTCACCCAACTCGCCTCAAACGCCCAAAGAGCACTTCAAGCCCGCACCACGCCGACTCTCCCTCCAGCGAGACGCCCACTCCACGAACAATACCCGGCCCAATCTGGCTCTGGCTTGAGCCCCTCGCCTCCCCCTTCCACGCCTACGGGCGCATGCAAAACCGCAGCCCCTACGTCACCCAGCTCTTCAGCACCCTGATCATCTACTTCTTGGGCGACCTCTCCGCTCAATCTTTCAGCCGTCCCCAAGCCCCCGCATCCACCTCCAGCTCCGGTTCAAAATCCGAAGGCGCGCTGGACTGGTACGACCCCCTCCGCGCCGTCCGCGCCCTCACAATCGGCGGCCTCGCCGCCATACCGGGGTACCACTGGTTCCTGTGGCTAGGCAACAACTTCAACTACCGCTCCAAAATCCTGAGTCTCGGCACGAAAGTGGTCGTAAACCAAATAGCCTTCACGCCGCTGTTTAACTGCTACTTCTTCGCCATGCAGAGTGCGTTGAGCGGCGCGGGGCTGAGGGAGGTGGCCGAGAGGGTGCGCAACACGGTGCCGACCAGCTGGTGGAACAGCTGGAAGGTGTGGCCCGCAGTCACGGCGTTCAGCTTTGCGTTTGTGGGCAGGGAGTTTAGGAGTATCTTTGCGGGCGTCGTGGCGATTGGGTGGCAGACCTATCTGTCGATGCTGAATCAGAGGGCTGCGGAGGCGGAGGGAATGGGGAAGGGGAAAGATGTGAAGCACGTTGCGCAGCCTCGCAAGGCGGCTCGTTCGGCTGCTGCGGCGTAGATGGTCAGATAACCGGTTGGGAGCATGGGCGTCAGCATTTGCATTGGATGGTGTTTACGGCTGGGCAAGACGGTGTTTCGGGAGGCTGAAGCGAAGTCGTGATAGGAGTAAAGACGACTCGCTGTCCATTGCATTTCTGGCGTATAAAAGACGATGGGACTGTAGATAGCTTTGCTACTCAAGCAAAGCCGCACGTTCAGTTCCCGAAAAAATATCCAATTGTAAATCGGACAAGCAGCGATCTTATAACGCAATATTTTAGCAGCATCCAGAAGACGCGACACGGTCTCGTCTTAAGGAATTCAAGAGGAAATATCACCCAGATAGTGAGTCACGAGCAGAGGAGCAGCAGATTTGAAGTGACAGAATTGAATTCGTCACTGCCCATCAGTGTTTATGATACAGCAGATGTGAGCTCCATGACCAGTGCACCGTGAGTATTCCCAAAGCCCCATGCCATCATCCCATGAAAATCAGACCCAGAACGCCAGAAAGAGACCGCCCACCCCGAAGACCACTTCCGTCACCCTAAACGACTACCGATGAGGCTGTCATGCCAGGGGATGTTGGGATATCGAGACGGTCCAGTCGAGAGAAGCCGTCTAAGAGCGCTCACCGCGGAGGCGGCGGGCAAGCTGGATGTCCTTGCTCTGGATGGTGACACGCTTGGCGTGGATGGCGCAGAGGTTGGTATCCTCGAAGAGGGAGACGAGGTAGGCCTCAACAGACTCCTGGAGCGCACCGATGGCGGAGCTCTGGAACCGTAGGTCCGACTTGAAGTCCTGGGCGATTTCGCGGACGAGACGCTGGAAGGGGAGCTTGCGGATCAAGAGCTCAGTCGACTTCTGGTAGCGACGGATCTCACGGAGAGCGACGGTACCTGATGACTGTTAAAACGATGTGGCTGGGCAGCAGTGAGGAGGAGTGAAGACATACCAGGCTTGTACCTGTGGGGCTTCTTGACACCACCGGTAGACGGGGCAGACTTGCGAGCGGCCTTGGAGGCGAGCTGCTTACGTGGGGCCTTGCCACCAGTTGACTTGCCTGGTTGAAGTCAGTCTCGATGCGCTGATAGAGTGTTGTTGTAGAGCGATGTTGGCGTTGAAGTGGCGCGACGGTGCGAAACGCGACCGGCGACGCGCTTCAAGGCGATGCGACCGTCGCAGGAAGCGGGGTGCAACTTACGGGCAGTTTGCTTAGTGCGAGCCATTTCGACGATGAAGATGTGTTGATTGAGGATGTCCTTGTTGCTTGATGGATGTGTGGATGGATGGATGGAGTTGAGTTGTTGAAGTTGTTGTCGAAGAGGCTGAGAGTGGATGTTGTGTGATGAAAGAAGCTAGGAGGCGGGGGAGAGGCGAGATTATATGGGAAAGCGGGCGTGGGCAGTTGATAGGAAAATCAACTGTGCAAGGCAGCTGCTGTGTCAGAGCGAGTTGTTAGCGCGCTTTCTTTGGCTTTTGGAAGTGCTGGAATCCGTGCGAGTTAAGGACGCAATGAGTGGGCCAATGAGCGTCGAGCTTCAAATCGAGACTCTGCGCAGGCCGGCCAGTTGCGGTTTAGCGTAGTTTGGCGCGTGATGGCACGCGGCTCCGTCGCGTCCACAGCCCAAACTTAAGAACTTCAACACCCGCATCTCCGACATTTCCCATACACCATCGAAAGCCACCTGCAGATTCAGCGACTTCAGAGCCTCACATCCCAGCTTCAATCACCGTCAAACAACAAGCACCTCTCACATCAACTCCTCTCATCTCCATCTACCAACATGACTGGACGTGAGTGATCTGCCTCGCCAGCACATCTGTCTCTCCACCAGTTTACTGACTCCCTTCTCTACAGGCGGCAAAGGTGGCAAGGGCCTTGGAAAGGGCGGTGCCAAGCGCCACAGGAAGATTCTTCGCGACAACATCCAGGGCATCACCAAGCCTGCCATCCGTCGTCTCGCTCGTCGTGGCGGTGTCAAGCGTATCTCAGCCATGATCTACGAAGAGACACGAGGTGTTCTCAAGACCTTCCTCGAGGGCGTCATCCGGGACGCCGTCACATACACTGAGCACGCCAAGCGCAAGACTGTCACATCTCTCGACGTGGTCTACGCTCTGAAGAGGCAAGGACGTAAGTTTCTCTCGGGATCCCGCCACTCCTTCGCGTCTAACATGAGTTACAGGCACTCTCTACGGATTCGGTGGTTGAGCGGGTTCCTTTCTGCATGTTTCTCATGAATTTTCTGCGCTCGGCCCGGATGTTGGGTCTGGAGTGAACTACGGGGTGCCTGGATTGGCTGGGTCATGGTCTTGCTGCTGTATCATACGGCTTTTCTGGAGTTCGAGGCTAGGATGCATTTGCGGACAACAACGATACCATAACCATACATCTTCCAGCTCGTGACTCCTCAACGTGACTCATCTGAAGTCTGACTCCCAATGCAGCCAAGCTTCTATTTACTCCGCCGAAACCCATGCTGTTGAAGTTCCGAATCCGTTGGTTTCCAAACCCCTGGGTGAGGCAGCTTATCCGTAGCAAGTAAAGCCTATACTCGACACGGAGGTTTACCCTAAATCGTGTTGCCGAACTGAAAGTTACTCATGCATATCGAGTTGGAGTAAAACAGCAAGACCGGTTCTATGCAATAGAAAGCGTAAGATGTTGAGCAATTTCGCCTCTCAGTACATCAACCACCTGAGACTTATCGGATACACCAGAAGTCCATTTTGTTACTCGAAAGCCATCCGTGCTAGAGCTCAAATGCACATCGCGGTCGACATCTGCTTTCCCAAAATCGGGTTCATGCCAAGAGGCTCAGCTGTTCTCGTCCCCTCCAACCCTTGAGCCATCGGACGCGCTTTCCGGTCATTCTTTGTGAACGCCAGAGCCCAGCGCGAATGTCAACAAAGCGCGACTGCCACGAAGATGTTCATGGCCAGAATGGCAGTGAGCGGGCTGTGCATGCCACCTCCACTCATAAAGCGGTCCGTCGCAGGCCAAAGTACCAGTACCTGCAGCAAATTCACCTTCAGATCCGGCACAATCCCAGAGTCGATCGCCTCCCTAGCCGCGAATGGCCCACCTCTTGCAGCGGCGACACGCTAAACAACCGATCGACGCCATCAGCATTGGGCAGCCTCCGACACCTCTCCCTCCGAGGTCTCCTGCAAGAACTGTCCCGAGCAAGAAGATGGCGCTCCAGACTGCACCTCGCGCTCTCCTCTTCGATGTCTTCGGAACATGCGTCGACTGGCGAACCACTGTAACAAACGCCCTCGATGAGCAAGCACACTACGCGCTCAACGATGCGTCTGCGTCTCTCGCTACCCGCGTTCGGATGCGTGCCTCAGACATGACCAAGGACGTTTGGGGACAGTTCGCACAAGAGTGGCGCAACATGTACAAGCGGTTCTGCTACTCCATAGCCGAAGACCCGTCCTTGCCATGGAAATCAATAGACGAACACCACCTCGAATCGTTGAGGGAATTACTTGCAAAGTGGCAGCTAGAGGGACTGTGGACGGACGAGCAAGTGAGAGCATTGAGCCTCGTCTGGCACCGGCTTGATCCATGGCCAGACACATCGACTGGCATACAGTACCTGAACCAGTTGTTCTACACGGTCACTCTCAGCAACGGCAACCTGAGCTTGCTGGGAGACCTGAAGGTGCATGCTGGAATGGACTTCACCCACCTTTTCAGCGCCGAGCTCTTCGGATCGTACAAGCCATCACCAAGCGTCTACCTCGGTGCAGTCGAGAAGCTAGGCGTGAAGCCAGTCGAATGTGCCATGGTCGCAGCTCATCTCAATGACCTGAAGGCGGCCAAGGCCTGCGGCTTGCAGACAATATACGTCGAGAGACCACAGGAAGAGGACTGGACGGCGGAGCAGGTGGAGAATGCTCGGAAGAAGGGATGGGTGGACCTGTGGATACCCGCTGGCAAGGAAGGGTTCATTACAATGGCAGAAGAGCTTGGTATACAGGTCAACAGGGCGGCCAGGAGGCGCAGCGGATCTCTCTGACTTGAGGGCTTGGGTATCGCTGGAGGTGTGGACATCCGTCTTAGCCCATCAATGAGTTCTCATACAGGAGGCGGAAACTCTATATACTCATAGCGTATATGTAGATACGTTCAACTTCAGTGGTTCCTTTACTGATTCTGCAGCAAAATTATGGTTGCTTAACCATTCTACAGGCGATCTGCTTGGCCATTTAGCAATGATTTCAACCAATGATGTCGAAGTGCGGGGATGCGGGGACGGATCGTGGGCGAGGCTCGCGGCAGGGGGATCAACAGCATCGAGTGACATAATATCCGTAGTCGACTACCACCCGCTTGTCCGGCTATGCTCTAAGCTATTTACCGAAGCTGCCTCAAATGGCCACCGGCCATGGGCAGCTCAAGCTCGAGAGCTCTCCTTCGCCCACGGCTCTTGAGGCCTCACCACCAGCTTCAAGTCCACTCCAGTCCAGTTCGGCTACCTGTGTTTCGCCAGTTGAGCGCATCCTCCAAGATGGCGCCTCACCTCCAAGACGAAGTCTACGCCAGCTCCCTGAAGGATCCCGAGGCCTTCTGGGCACATCAAGCCGCACAGCTGCACTGGCACAAGAAGCCGTCGCGCTCATTGAACAAGAGCACGAAGAAGCTTAAGAGCGGCGCCAGCCATCCCCATTGGAGCTGGTTCCCGGACGGCGAGATCTCGACAACATATAACTGCGTCGACAGACACGTCGAGGCCGGAAATGGCGACTCGACGGCCATCATATGGGACAGCCCTGTGTCGAACAACAAGGAGCTGTACACGTACAAGGAGCTGCTCGATGAAGTGGAAACGCTGGCCGGTGTGCTGCGGGAAGAAGGTGTTCGGAAGGGCGATGTAGTGCTCGTTTATAGTACGCTTCTGCTTCCCGACTGTCTCTGCATCTTATTTGACTCTGTAAAGTGCCAATGATACCAGCCGCCATCTTTGCTCTGCTCGCAATTGCTCGTCTGGGTGCTATACACGCCGTCGTTTTCGGAGGCTTCTCACCGCCAGCCCTAGCTCAGCGCATGGAAGCCTGCAAGGCGAAGGCCATTATGACCGCTTCGTGCGGCATTGAAGGAGCGAAGGGCGCGTCAAGCTATCAGCCGCTCATTGAGAGGGCGGTGGATAAGAGCAGTCACAAGCCGCAAAGGATAATCGTTTGGCAGCGTGACCAGCTTCGTTGGGATCCGATCAAGAAGGACAGGGGCGAGCGCAACTGGCAGAGGTTGGTGAAGAGCGCGAAGAACAGAGGGCTGAAGGCAGATGCGGTGCCTGTCAAAAGCAACGATGGGCTGTATATAATCTATACGAGTGGTAGGTCCTCGCTTGTACACAACTTCTTACTCCGAGACGCATTCAATGTCCTTCAAAGTCTATCACTGGAAACTTTTCGCGATCACTGCAACTTCTTTGTGCTCTTGTCTCATGTATTCGTCACTTCTGGGTGTCGTGATTTGCCTTCGTCCATTCCCCTGTTCAGTTATAGAATTCGTCATAGCAATCTGGTGGAAGAACGAAAGCTGACACGCTTCGTAGGAACCACTGGCTTACCGAAAGGCGTACTCCGAGAAGCGGGTGGCCACGCTGTAGGTCTGAACTTCTCGATCAAGTATACATTCGGCATACACGGCCCAGGCGACGTCATGTTCTGTGCCTCAGACATCGGCTGGGTGGTTGGCCACTCATATATTGTCTACGCCCCACTACTCGCAGGTGCCACTACCATCTTGTTCGAGGGCAAGCCGGTTGGTACGCCTGATGCGGGCACCTTCTGGCGCATCGTCGAAGAGTACAAAGTGAACACCATGTTCACTGCTCCGACAGCTTTGCGAGCCATCCGCCGTGATGACGGTGACAACGATCTGTTCGAAGAGCGGGGAAGGAGAGGCGGCTTGAAGACCTTGAGGGCGCTGTTTCTCGCCGGAGAGCGAAGTGAACCGAGCATCGTGCAGATGTACCAGCATCTGCTTGAGAAGCATTGTGCTGACGGAGCGATCGTCATCGACAACTGGTGGTCATCAGAATCTGGGTCACCGATCTCCGGGCTGGCCTTGACCCCAGCTGCGGGCAAGGATTTTAGCACGAAGCAACGTGATCAGCCACCGCGCATGAAGCCAGGGTCTGCGGGTAAACCGATGCCAGGCTTTGATGTGCGGGTAGTGGACGATGAGGGCAACGAAAGGAAGCCCGGCTTGCTGGGTAATGTGGTTCTTGGCATCCCGCTCTCCCCCACGGGTATGACTACGCTTTGGGAAGACGACGAACGGTTCTACAAGGGTTATATGAAGAGATTCGATGGGAAGTGGATAGATACGGGAGACGCTGGTATGATCGATGCGGATGGTTATGTACACATCATGTCACGTTCAGACGACATCATCAACGTGGCTGCCCATAGGTTTAGCACAGGTAAGACACTGATCGTTCTTACTCCAATGCCATGTCTTCGCTGTCTAACGCAATCCAGGCGCCATCGAGCAAGCTATCACATCCCATCCCGACATTGCAGAGTGTGCCGTAGTCGGCATTCCGGACTCGCTCAAAGGCCATCTTCCATTCGCATTCATCTCGCTCCAGACCCACCACCACAAGCACGCCGCCGTTCCAGACGACGCGCTCTTCAAGGAAGTACAGAAGGCTGTGCGCGAGCAGATCGGGGCTATAGCGAGCTTAGGCGGTATGATTCAAGGCAAAGGCATGATCCCGAAAACCCGAAGTGGCAAGACATTGCGGCGAGTCCTGAGGGAGCTCCTGGAGAACGCTGTACATGGCGAGTTTGCGAAAGAGGTCCAGGTGCCGACGACTATCGAAGATGCGGATGTCGTTGAAGTGGCCAGGAAGCAAATCAAGGAGTATTTCAAGACCAAGGGCGGGCTGCACAAGGCAACGGAGACGAGGGCGAAGCTATGAGCGAATCTTTCCCACATTTCTCGTGTAGAGTACTGCACTTGTTTTGCTGTTGTCAGGTGGTATCAACATCATCCTGTAAGTGATCCTTGCGCGGTCTTGTTCGAACACTGGCTGGTTGTATTGGAGTAATTATGCAGTTGCGAACTATGTCACATCGCCGGCTGTTGGACACGAAACGTTGATAACTGTAACAACGCTCTTATTAAGTAGAGCTTTGAATTCCTTTATCGCTTAGATCCTATAGCTATTAAACTTGTGCCTGAGTAGTACGAAGCCTCCCGCGTGTGGATTGACAGGTATATTACCGTCTATAGGGCGTGGTATCGATTACAACCGTATGATTACATGTCGTCAACCTTAACTTCGGCCTCTCAAGGTGAATCCTCGATGTATCGCTCTTCACGCAGCCATCGACTAGATGTATGTTAGCAGTAGACCGTGGAGCAACCTAGGAAGTAAGTAGACGTCCTTCGACTCAGGGAAGGTACCCATCGATAACGTTTCTGGTAATACCTCGTGCTTCACCTGATACTTGCACCTTGGAGACGAATCGCTCTGCCAACATACAAAACAACCTACAAAGTCAATTGGTAACCGATATAGAGATCTGACGGTTATAGATACGTTCTATGACTCTGACTGTACACAGTTTACTCGTATATCGAGCCATGTCCATCTTAATCGTTGTCAAGTTTTAGGTTACTTTGAGCCCATTCCATGCACTTGAATGATACTTGGCAATTCTAGTTCTTACAACCACTTTCAGCGGAAACATACCCGGAACGCTGGAGACGGGACCACTGCAACACAGTTTAATCGGAAGTAGTCAAAACTTCATACCGGTGGTCTTCAACTAAGTCCAGTCCATGCAAATCATGCAACTAGTTTTCAGGTATTAGACTGTACTTGCTTCTGCTACCGAGACAAAACATCTAAAGAATCATGATTAATTGCGGCCCTTGTTCCCCGAAGCTCTGACAAGCCGCTAGGGGAAGACCGAAGTGGATGTCTGCTACGCTCTTTAGCCTCTTCCCGTTTCACCACTTTACTTGATCACCCTTGACTTCCCTCTACTATCGAGCGCCAGTATTCCATTCTCATCGGCTAGGATAGTTGCAAACCCCTTACAGTCTTACAGATCTTTAATATTGCAAAATGTTGATAGAAACACATTGTTCACAAAGCGGCCCGAGCGCAAAAGTATGGTGATTCTCATATAACTCGGTCTCTTTCCGAGTAATGTTGGGTCGGAGGAGACGCTGGCGGAGATGGTGGAGAAGTAGGCTATTAAATGGGCGCTTGGAGGGGAGAGATTGATTCCATGTAGCGTTTTGTTGACAATTATCAACAGCAGCATAGTCCGCAGCAATCACGTTCAGTGTCATAGTGACGACTTTGGGGCCTAGGGAAGGTGTATGATCAGCCGGACACGTTAACGAATCCTTCAGTGTATCGAAGGGTTACATGGTGAACGTAAACAAAAAGAGTTCCGCAGATACTTACCCATGCATCCGCTGCTGCATCTGCTGCGGACGAGCGTAATCCATCCGCTGGCGATTCGCATACTGTGCCTGCTGGCGATTCGGAGGCCGTGCTCGCTGACGATTCGAAAACTGTGCCCGCTGAGCGCGTTCATACGATAGTTGCTCTCGTTCTCGAGTAAGTTGGATCTCGTGCTGTTTTCTTTCAAAGTCGATCTGCTCTTGAGTCCGTAGACAATTCAGCTGCACTTGCTTGTGTGCCACTTGTTGCGCAGAGAGTTTGGACCTCATCGCGGGGTGGTAGGCCTTTTGAGGATACCGCACCATCTTGACAAGAAAGTAAAACCCAAGGCTGGAAGCTTTTGTAGATGTGGGTAAGGGGTTGACTGATGCAGGAGAAAAAGTGAACCGGAACTGTGAAGTGCAGAGGGGAAGGACATAGAGCAAGACACGTCCTGCGGCTGACTTTGAATTACTACCAGGTAGAAAGGAAAGGCTTGTATGACTGCATGGCTTACTTGCATTAGTGTTCACAGCCTCGCAAGCTGTGACACCTTCTTAAGGGGGCTAAAACATCGCTGTCTAACCGGGACAGATCCGGTACATAGTAAAGGATGCTGCTAAATATAGCACCAGGGCGGGTATCATGTATAAGTCAAGCTGCACTGTACAGCTGTGATCGCATCAAGATATTCTGTCAACTCTCGCGACCCCAGCAAAAGCTGCCGAACTATCGGCGTGGGACAGAACCAACAAATAGGCGAAAAGACACGTGTGAAACACATTTCCTGTGACCACAACCATGTCATTGATTCTTTGCTGAGATACCAACATATGATCGACTTGCTAAGAGTGGGGCAGCACGCCTGGCGGTTGCACCTTCGCTCGCCGAGCTTGAGCTGTACCCGCCAGATAGAACCAACAATCTCCTCAGGTTTTTAAATTCGAAAAGCCCCAGCGTCCTTCGCTTCGAGGATATAAACCCGGGCTTCAGTGTCATTGACCGTGCAAAGAAGCTTCCAAGCGAGGCTATAGGCCTGTACCTGCCATCCGAATAACTTCCTACCCGGTCGCCGCACGGATTTACAGCCTACAGCCGTAGACCGTAATCGCATCTGCTACGACACTCAGACTTGTGACACGTCGTCTCATACGATGGGATGCGTGATGCTCGGAACAATCCAAAGCACCAATGTCGCCAATGCGATAGTGACCTGGTAGTCTCCGTCTCGGCTAGCACGAAGGTGGCTGTGAAATCCCGCTTTCAGGACGAAGGAATGCAAGGGCCCGAATCAAGCGACCCGGACCTCTCTGGACCAGTACAAACCGAATCTGGCCACGGATTCCAGGCAGTTCCGGCTCGCATTCTGCTACGCCATCTGCCACGTACGTGGCGCGAGGGCGATGATAGACGGTGGAACCGATGGGATCCCGGATGGAATGATTGTCAATCCTAGTTCCTGCGGTGTTGCTCCCAAGGAATTTCGAGGAATCGTGCGCCGCATAGGGTTCCGCTTCATAGAATTACGCACATGGGTTTGCGTTTGTCACCACCGCGCCGGCGGTCCTTGTCGTCTCTGTATCTGCGGTCATCTCTTTGGTAATCGCGGTGACGTTCACCTCGAGACCTGTCCTTGTGGCCACGATCCGACGATCGAGCGAACTGCTGTCGCTGCCGCCGTAATTGGCGGACGACATCATAGAACGCCTTCTCAACATTGACACAATTCTTCGCCGACGCTTCGACAAAGTCACATCCTAGTTCTCGCGCAAGCGCGCTGCCCTCCTGCGTAGAGACTTCGCGTTCTGTCACTCGGTCGCATTTGTTTCCAACCAGCATCACTGGCGCGGGGCCGTACGAACCCGAACCGCCCGAGGAGGTAGCAAGTGGCGACCCGGGATACGACGGCGATCCAGAGTATGAGGATTCCTTGACCCGCTGTATCTGATGGTGAAACTTCTGGATTCGTGCGAATGACGACCTCGATGAGATGCTGTAGACCAAGACAAACCCTTCGCCGTCCCTTATCCATTGGTCTCGTAACGCTGTATACTCTTCTTGCCCCGCCGTGTCGAGCACTTCCAGCATGCACGATTGACCGTCTATTTGGACCTGCTTGCGGTAGGAATCTTCGATAGTAGGATCGTAGGTCTCAACGAAGTGGTTTAAGCACAGCTACGCTCCGCATTAGCAACTGAAACGTTCGCTTAGAAGATCGAACCGCGAACCTGTATTGTCAAGGCCGTTTTTCCCACGCCACCATCGCCCAGCACAACCAGTTTGTATAAAGTCATCTTCCCCGCCATGTTGCCAGAGATCGGCCGCGTGCCAGAGATATCGGTTAATGTGTTGAGAGATGGAGCGGCGAACGACGCGAGAGATCCTGGCGAGAAGCGAGGGACCGAGACCGGGGAACCGGAGGCGAGAGCAACAGAGCCCGGTTGCAGGGCCTCTACCACGTATGACGTGGCGGAGGGAGCAGGTGAAGTTCGCCCTACAAGTTTGCCCAGAACGCTAAAACTCGGAGTTTCGTCGAACGTACGACGGACGTGTTGGCGGATGCGCCGGTCAAGTGCAACAGCAGAAGGGCACCGATACAAGGACAGCCGAAGGGACAGCCGCAGTGCTTTCAAATACCGGCTAGAATTCAGGGCTGGGAGGACAGATGGAACGTAGGTCGGAGGTTGAGGCGAAATTTGGCGCTGGCTGGAACGGATGTTGTGGGTTTGAGAGCCACGGTACCTCACTGTCGCCGGGTTGGTGACACTCGATTGTGCCGACGCTGGGAAACGCGAGTTACCGGGCGACAGCAAGCAGGCTGAGTGTGTCGGTACGGATAGGCGCAGAGCGAATGTATTGTGTGATCTGTCGAGAATTGCGGGCTGCAGCTCTTGCAGCTCGATGAAGTTGCGATGTCTGAGGCAGTGGAGAAATTGTGCACGACTACAGTACACGTGGGATGCCGTGGATGCCACGTGAAAGCAGCAGCAACGAGTTGGATGCCGGTGCAAGTAGCGAGATCAAGGGGGCAACGATTGGCGGCGTCCGCTGGGGCGGGGGACGGGGCGAGCACTGCAGGACTGTTGGAGTGCGTGAAAGGGTCGGGGTTTCATAGACAGCGCACACGGGGAGGATTTGGAATGTGCTTCGGAACAACAGAACTGTTTTCCCACCCGTTGCTCTGAGATAGCTTCGTCAGGCTGCGCCCTGATTGGTCCTTCGGGGCACCAAGGCGTCCCAGATCGTTCTCCTGGGTCTCCAAGTTCCAAGCCTAAGGTAATCGTTTTGCCGGAGTGACCGTCCTCCAAACGCCTAGTTAATTGCGGCCAAGATCGTCTCCGTGGAGGTGTACCTGATCGCGCGTTTGTGAACAATGTCGCTCCATGCAGACGACGATCTAGTTATCTACGTTTACCCTCCATCTGGGCGCGGGAGGCTTCCTCCCCTACAGCTGACGATGTGACCTGATTCGTAGCTGCACGCTTACTAGGGTACTGGTACGTGGTGCCTCCATGCGAATTTACCAGCGAGTACTAAGAAATAGACTTGTTCTATATGCCACATCGAGGTTCTAGGGCGTCCGGCCAAGACCGTTTGAGGACACGGGACGAGCGAAGAAACGCTTTGCCGATGAGCTTCGCAGCGTCCAAGGGCCAGTCGAAAAGCCGGTTGCCGCATTCAAAGCTCCTCGTAGCCCTGGAGATGAATGGCCCTTGAGCGTAGTCCACAGCTTGAAGACACCTGAGATGATCGATGTATTGAAGCCGTAAACTGCGGAACATCTTCTACTCTCTATCGCATAGAATTGTTCTAGCCCCTCTACGATTGCCAAGATCATGAATCCATTTCAGTCGTGTAATCTGGTGTTGAGCAAGCTGGAGCAGAGATACGGCAACGGACTTTTTAAATAACCCCTGGCCGCCACGCTTCATCGCTCCCCCCATCGCAAGTACTTTGTGGTACCTCGGGAGCCCTTGACCCTGCGCTGAGACGCGCGGAAGCCTTCTGTTGTGGAGTACATACAGTAAGGTAGGTTTGTACGTGCGTGACTAGTGTGAAATCTTATCAACGGCATAGAAATGCCGGAACAATCCTGAGCCTTCCTAGCGATTCAGAGTGCTCTGACAGGTGCAATATAAACGCCCCCCCTTTTTCCTGGACAGATGTGGCAGGTTTGGAGGTTACAAAAGAAGGCCAACAGCATAAGCCGATCGTCGAGAGGTGAGGGATCGTATTTTGGCTGATGTTTAGGATACACCGCGTGCAACCAGCCACGGTGCAGACTGCAGCCAACCGCGTGAAGAAATAGTTTGACGGGATCGCAATATGTTGCGGAGGCAAATTGCGTCTAATCTGCGCTGATGGCTCGCTGCCAGCATTTCTGATATCCAGAGCAGCGAAGAGTCGGGGTTGCAAGATCTGCCACGGCGTGCGGCAGCATTCGACCCGCATATGCAGCAGTGCGCGAGGCCGGGCGGTGCAACAGGCCCCTCGCTTTGTCTCTCAGAGCAATTCAGATAACAAATTCAAGCTGCCGCTGGTCCCGATCATCGCAGCCGCTGCTGCCTTCTGAGGACGAAGCATATAATCAAGCAGCGGTAGTGTTTAGTCTGAACAGTTGAGTTTTTCCGAGGATCATAGCAGCGGTTATGTACCCGGTAAATGATATTCTCTTTCGGAGCGCACATTGTCAACGGCCTAAGGGCAATACACCTTACCCTAGAGCGGCAGGTCTCCGCATCCAAGGTCCCCTCGCACTAGAAGCCCTCTCACAAGCGTTCAGGAACCGATACACAAGCATGCAGCATGCACCTGGTCAGCATGCCAACTCCGCGGTGCAGGAAAGCTAGCCTTCAGGGATTAACTTGGACTTTTCCAGCCCGCAGCTGGGCCCAAGCACATGAGCATGAACACCACGGCCAATTCACTTAGGTAACGAGATTTCTGGCCGTCGGTACGTATCACTGGGCAGTACACGGCACGGTGTTGTAGACGGCGATCATAGTGCCTAAACGGACGAGATGATTTTAGCGGCATTCGTACCCTGTAAATGTCCGAAGTCCTAACCATCTTGAATTCTCGACGTGAGCGGCACGGGCGAACCTTAGGAACGGTATCGAGTGAGGACGAGTTCGATCCTTGAAGTTTAAGCGGAAGTAATGCTGCGATGCTAGATTGCGACCCTACGGCTCACATATTAATCCAGCAGTCGTACTGTAGATCAGAGTAGTAAACCATTGCTGCAAGGGTTTGGAGCAGCCCCCCAACACTTCACTCGTCCGACCTGGTCTCGAGCAATGGATATTAGACCAGGAGATTGATGGACTGCTCCACAGTCATACATAGGTCTCATCGACGGCCTTGGTAATAGCAGGGGCGTTCGTCAACGCTTTGGCAAGACAGTTTGATACGGAAAACATGCATTCAGTTTGCTGTAAACGATATCAGGAAGCGAGCTTCGCAGCCGTCGGAGCCTCCCATATTGCAACCCATAAGCACTATCTAGAGCATTGCGCTACACGCAAAGGCTACATAGCAATGATAGCTTTGGGGATATTTCGAGCGTAACAAGACCGAGCAAGCGCAACGGATCACCATGAAAGCAAGACGCCGTGTGACCGATACGGTGCAGATACTTAAGGGAACAGCGGACAGCAAAGCCTCCTACCAGGTGGTAAGAACCTTCGAGTATTCCTCCTGACTGATGCGAAGATCATCAAACACAGAATCATCGCCTGATAACTTGTCAGTCTAAGAGGTCCAAGAACTGTCTCGAGCGCAGGTTCTCACCGTGCAAGTGCTGCACACGAAGCTCGTCCTCGTGCTCGAGCTTCTCCAGTTCCTCTTGTGGGGTTTCTTTATCCCCGTGCTTTGCATCCTTGCGACTAGGCTCTAGGGCCTTCGATACGTCGCCGTCGGTCCCTTCACCAATAAGCAGGATCTGAGTGTTCTCATAATCGAGTAGCTTCGGTTGAACAGGGACCCAGGCAAGTCCATGAAATTCTTCTAGAATTCTAGACCAAACATCAGCATAAAACTCCTTGGCCGTATTGGCGTAGTAGCGTGACTACAGGTGTGAGAAAGAGAACCACACTACTCACTCCTTGGGAAAGCCAGGTCCTTCAGAGAGTTGGGCGTATGCTGGTCCAGGTCGCTCGGGGTTCTTGATGCTGGTGACAAAGCTAGCCTTTGAACGTAAACCAATCTCTTCTTGGACCTCGCCGGGCTCAGAAGGGATGGTGAGCATGTAAACAAGATGTGTGGTCCGCTCCGTCTGGGTGAATGCGTAGACCCCTTCGCCGATTGGAAGGACCGGAGGAGTATGGCGGGTACCGGTAGTCTTGGTCTGGTACTCGGAGCCGGCAAAGAAGTTCTCCTTGAGGTCCTGGATAGTTGTGTTGGACTTCTCAACAAAAGCCATGAATCTATCCTGCCGACTCTTAGGGAAAACCTTCTTTGGGAGTGCAAAGAGCCGATTGTTCTTGAGATCTTCGATGGGACCATCGCCAAGCTTGGCACCCTTCGGGAGAGGACGGAGGACGAAGTAGGTTCGTTGCAGATCACCAACACCCTCAGGCTCCTCCATGCCTACCCTTCCTCGAGTGAAGAAATATATAAGGCCCTTCTCGAGGATGTTGGACGGTACAACCTTCTCGCGCTCTGGGTCATCCTCCACAGCGCCGTTGGTGTTGCTTAATGGTTGGTTGCCGGCGCTCTGCTTTGTCGCTTCATCATTCCCATTCGCTGCCGACTCCTTCTCATCGGCCTTCCCATCGGCCTTTTCGTCCGACTCCTCGTTGCCATTGCCGCTGCCCACCGGCTCTTGAACGGACTTAGTCTCAGGCGCGCTCTCGACCGTCTCGTCTGCTTTTGAGGCTTCAGAGGGTTTCAGCAGGCTGTCGGCCCAGAACCAGCAGCTAGGGCGCTGCGAAGCAATGCCCTTACCTTCGACTTGACCAGCCTTCCCGTTTTCAGATTCGTCTACGTCGGCGGCCTCTTTCATCTCAGTATCGTCCGGCGCGCCCCCTCCAGTTGGCATGGTCTCTTCGATGGTCTTCTGGTCCTTCTGAGGTGCAGCTTTCTTCCCGCGCTTAGCCTTCGGTGATGCGTCGGCGTTGGCCTTGCGCTTAGATCCAGTCTTCGTAGGCGTCTTGTCATCCTGTGACTTCGCAGGGCTAGACGTAGCGTTGCCAGCTATACGTGCAGAGGATCTCGTGCCGGCCATGATGGGTATTGAAGAGGAGGAGCGGAACTGAGGCGACGGATGGGGATGGGTTTTTAGTAAATCAGAGGCGAAGGCCGATCAGCTCGAGGTGCAATTTGCCTGTAGCAGACCAGCTCCTGACAATGGAGTACCGTAGGATAGTTTCGAAGGTGAAGTAGCACGTTGCGGTATGCGGAAGGATAGGGTAGCAGTCAAGCACAAGGTGGAGGACGCGAGAAGGCACGCGACGCACGGACGCGTTGTTCACGTCATCACGCGTTTGTGAACAACCCGTGCTTAAACGTCATACATAGACGGCCGTCTACTCACACTTGCTCGAATGGCATCAACGAGGTCTGGAAGCAGGATGCTTTGTTAGCTCCGTCGTGATCTTTTCAGCCATATATTGAGGACGCTGTGAAACTTTGAATTGAGTCACGTCTAATTAGGTGCAGGTGAGATTAAGTTCTTGTACTCTGCGACAGAAAAGGTACACAACGATGCGGGTTGGCGCCTGCTCTGCATTGCTGTGCTGAAAGTTACGTCTTTACGTTGCGCTCCAGACGAAGTTCCACTGCATTCGAGTTGCAACAATCCACATGCTAGAGAACGTTTAGGTCTCTTCACATATCTCGGCCTTCTCCATATAGGTTCTGATAGCCGCCCATACGCCTTCGGGGCTTGGGTTCGCTGCGCAGACGTCAGGCCTGAGCCCGAATTCCTTCAACAAGTAGTCTCGTGTTGTAGGGCCTATGGTCGCTATGAAGGCCTTGGACAGCGGCTTCGAGGTGTCCGGTTCAGGGTTCTGATTATTTTTTATCCTCCCAGTCTCTTCGTCCAGCAACTCCAGGCTCGTAAGCATAGCTCTGCAGCCGGTTGGGGAAAAGACCACGACCCACTGACAGTATGCTCCCCTATTCTGATTCGTTCTCCAGGCTTGAGAGAACTCGGGTTGGAACGATTGCATCTCTCCAGTTTCGTAGACCACTAACTCGGTGACTGCTATTCTCGCCGCGGGTACGTGCTCATCCAACTGTAGAGTCTTGGGTATGATGTCCCGTCTCTGCTCTCCGACCAAGAATAGCAATGGAAGTTTTCTCTCGGGTCCAGGATGGTGATCGAGGTGGTTTTGATTGTAGTGCTGTAGAATGAAGTGCGCCAAAGCCTCCCCGTTACCGCTCTCTTCACCTAGGATAGGGCATCGCAGATTGAGGGCTCGCAGACTACTAGCAGTTGCAGGTCCAACAGCATACAGCGGCGTGCTTGAAGGTAATAGCTCATCAATGCAAATGGAGGCTGCTTGAAGATCCTCGATCACTCTCGTAAAGGCCTCAACTGCCCGCTGGGAGGTAAAGATGATCCCTCCATATCGAGCGTTCACACTGTGACTGTTGAATCCGCCCCGTTCTATCAGAGTGCGGACTTCTTCGAGCGAATCTTGCTTGAAGCGGTGTTCGAGTACGGGGATAAACGCCGGCTCGTACCGACCGCCCTCAACGGACGCCAAACACTCCAAGTATCCATCGGTCGGCTTTGATCTAGTTTTGAGCAGCAGAACAGGTATCCTTGTTCCGCCGATGGACTGGTTCATGGCTGGGGCATAGCAGCGATGAGGAACCTGAAAGCCTTCGTCGTCTCTCGACATTTGACTCGGTTAAAGTTGTCGTAAGCGTTAACGGGATATTCCGGAAATCGGTCATTTCGAGACCTTCCGACCTAACGTTACAATCAAAAAAGAGGCATGCCGGCGTGGCCAAAGCCAGCACGGACGGCGGCAATGTCAAGTTAGAAATCGGTCCATGATGCAGTTATGCCCGTATCCTCCACGCCTTACCCCATACTCTCGCGATTCATCTGTGCCGTCGTGCAGACAACAGGGATGCCACCACAGCCGCTGGACGCGGAAGCAGCCCCTCAGCACAGCCGTGACGATACACAAGCACAAGCGCCGAAGAAGTTTCCCAAAGGTGTAGTTCTAGGCGCAGATGGGAAACCGTAAGATCCGCTCCTTGCACACCTCTAGGTCGATCGCTTACACATGCGCTTTTAGATGTCGCTCATGTACCTCCGTCGCCTCGTGGGCTGCTATGATAAAGCAGCAGACCAAAAATCCCTCCACGATTGCGAAGTCCACTCCGCCCGCCATCTCGACGTCGTCGATTGAGCCTCCTGGCGGCTGCCCCCCGGATGTCGAACAGCTCGGACGATCGTCGTGGACACTACTGCATTCTATCACCGCCACATACCCTGTCCGGCCGTCACAGGAATTGCAGCATGAGACAGCGAAGTTCCTATCCACATTCTCAAAATTATACCCGTGCTGGACCTGTGCGGAGGACTTCCAGCGCTGGCTGGCAGTAGACACCAACGCGCCGCGAGTAAGCTCTCGAGACGAGTTCGGCCGCTGGATGTGCGAAGCGCATAATGAAGTTAATGTCAAACTTGGCAAAGAGAAGTTTGATTGCAATAGATGGGAGGAGCGATGGCGGACTGGCTGGAAGGACGGTAGCTGCGACTGAGATCGCCTCGACTGGAGCGGCATGTACTAGTATAGACGAACAAACCGCACGCATCTTTTCCGCAAACCTCCGGAAGTTGATACAGTTCCACTCGCACATCCGGCGATCTTAATAAGGGCGGAGAGCATAGACCTCTAGCCTATGTAATTTATGTACAGTACGCCTATAGAGGTCTCTTCATCCGTTTAACGGCGGTAAACCTATAGCAACTGAGAGTGTATCGGTACTCGTCCGGGGATTTGTGCTTGCTCCAGGCGCACTCTGTAGCCGCTCGTTAGCTGTTACAGCCTCTAAAACTGCTGCGCATCCCATAGAAGGTCGCCATCCACTCTGCGGTCAGAAACTTCTGCAAGGAGTTGCCGAGTTGCAAGCTGAAACCATTCGATGTAATCCCAAGCCTGGTTTGTCTATGCGTAGGTATGCTACGGAAGGGCTCGACTCAGGCACGTTGGCAGGTTTGCTGTCCGTAGCTCGAAGCTCCGTAAACCGGGATAGTTAATAACCGTATAGTTACGTCACGCGAGATCGGATCCGAATACCCTCGTCGAATAGCCTAAAGTAATTAAATAAAGTTACAATTGTAAGAAAGCATAGTAACTTATCTAACTATTACATAGTAATCTATCTAACTATAGACTAATTTAGTTTATATTATACTTCTTTAAGTATTCTAGTGCATTAGGAAAAACTTGGGCGCTCGTGAAATTGGCATTAGTCCAAGACGTTCAAACCGTCCAAACCGTCCAAAACATCCAAAACGTCCAAAACGATAAAAATATATAGCGTGTCAAAAACAGTTAGCGCCGCTTAGTATGCAGAAAATCTTAGAGTTTCTAATCTCACTTAACTTTTACCCTCTAGTAAAAAGAGCTAAAACATTAACAAATTTAAGAAGTAAGCGGATAATAATTATCTTTTTTAAAAGTATACTCTCTAAACTAACTCTATTATATACTCTTTCTATTATACCAATTAAATTAGATTTAAAGCTTTTTTTAATTCTTTCAGCTACTAACTAAGTATACTAAACCCTACTAAGCTCTACTAAGCTCTAGCCTCTAGACGTTTTGAATATTTTAGACGATTTGGATAGCTTGAATAATTTAAATATTCTAGACATTCTGGATATCTAAAGTGCTCTAAGTATTTTAACGCGCTCGCGAGCCGCTTATAAGCAAGTAGAGTTACTTAGAGGCTCTAAGCACTCTAAGTAGGCTCTAAGCACTCTAAGCGGCTCTAAGTATAAAAAAAAAATCCTAATATATAGAGAGTAAGTTCTATATATAATAGAGATTACTATTAGTAGTAACTAGAGCTACTTTAAAGTAGTATAATTCTAGCTAAGAGATAGAGAATAATTAATATACTTAATAAAACTTAATATTCTACTATATACTATCTTAGTAAAAACTATAACTTCCTTTAAAATATCTACAGTAAAAATACTTATAGCGCTAAAATAAATACTATAGAATAAACCTATAAAAGATAGTACTATAGTTTCTTAGTTTAGCTTTATACTTTTAATATATTTATTTTATAGTACTTTATAACTACTACTATAAAAGTCTTAGAGTTTTGAAGTTTTAGCTAAGACTTTATTATAGCTATAGAACTATAGAAGCTAGTAGTTATAGCTAGTATACTACAGCTATAGCTAGTACTATAGCTTAGCTATAAAAATACTAACTACTAACTATACTAACTATACTAATTATACTAACTATGCAAATTATACTAACTATGCAAATTATACTAACTATAAATAAATCTTAGATTAATAGTTTAATCTCTTATAGAACTATATATTTTTTATAGTTATAAGATAGAAATAAGCTACTAAGGGTATTTTATAGTCTACAAAGACTTAATAGAGTTAAAACTACATAATAGAGTAAAAGAAAACCTAATAAAATAAGAAAGAATAGAGTAAAAAAACACATAATATAATAAAAAAGACTTAATAAGTTATAAGAATATTTAGATTAATAAATAGACTCTTATATAGCTAGAATAATCTTATTAAACTTGAAATAATAATAGTGAATTTATAATTTATATAATTTAAGTAATAGTAAGAGTATACTTTTCTCTATAGATGTAAAACAAGTATATAATACTTTAAAAGTAAAAGGTTTTATATATTCTATAAATACTATATAGCTAATTTTATGTATATATTAACTATTTAATTATTATAAGTGATTAAAATTCTTCATATAATTCGTAATAAGATACATGTAGTTTAATAATATATTATAGATAATAATAGTAGAGTATTGTACTATAAAGATAGTGGAAAGCTTATATAAAGTAAAAAATAACTTAATGAGCTTTAAGTTTTATTACTTCTTTAAAAATTTAAAATGCAACTGAAAATAGTTATACATATTAATAAAGCTAGAAAAGAATACATGTAAAAAAAAGAGAGTTTAAAATAAATTCATAAAGAATTTCTTTTATCTATTGTAAAAGAGTAATTAGAGTACTTAGGAGAGAGAATTTCTTTTATATAGTAAATTATTTATTTTATACTTGAATAGAAAGAATCTTAGTAAGATTAGTAATAGATTTAGGAAGAGTTAAAGCTAAAGTAAAGATTATATTAGAGATTAAGTTAGAAACTAAACTAAAAGCTAAACTAGAAACTAAACTAAAAACTAGACTCTATACTAAACTAAAATTTGAATTAAAGTCTAAACTAAAATCCAATTAAGAATCTAAACTAGAGTTTAATATATAAACTAAGATAAGAAGTAAGTTAGAATTAGTCTATAGTAAAAATAAGACTAAGGTAGTAATTATAGAGTAAACTAAATATTGTACTAAAAGATAAACTAAAAATTAAGGAAAAGATAAGCTAAGAAATAAACTAAAAGATAAACTAAATAATCGATTTGAGATAAGCTAAAAGGATAAGCAGAAGATAAACAAGAAATGAATAAAGAGCTATATTAAAAACTATACTAAGAAGTAACTAGAAAATATATTATAAAGATATTAAAGAGATGCTAAAATCTATATAGAAAAGGAAAATAACTCTTATATATATATAATAAGAAGAACTAAGAGTGTCTATTAGAGGAAATACTCCTCATTTTAAAGAAAGAGAGTAGGGTGTTTAAGAGAGAGAATTCCCTTGGAAAGAAAAGATCTTTTTTTACTACTTAAGTAAAAGAAATTTTAAGCTTCTTAATAAAATCTATAAGCTAAGAAGCTAGAATAGATACTATAGTATAAACTAAGTAAAAGGCTAAATAATATACTAGATTTAAAATAATCTTTAAACTAAGCTAAGAACTTAGCTACACTCTAAGCTAAAAACTAAGCTAGAAACTAAGTAAGAAACTAAGCTAGAAACTAAGAATAGAAACTAAGAATAGAAACTAAGAATAGAAACTAAGCTAAAAAGTAAACTAAAGCTAAACTAAATAGAAAACTAGATTATATATCTATTAAATAATAATCTAAGTAGTGAGCTAAGTAATAACGAGAAACTAAGCTAAGAAATCAATTAAATAATTGACTAAAAGATTAACTAAGAGATTAGTTAAGAGATCGACTGGAATAAAAACTAGAATAAAAACTAAAATATAACCTATAAAATAGACTTATAAGAAGTCTTAGAAGTAAGCTAATATTAGACTAGAAAGAGACTAAAAAGACTAAAAGCTAAGTAAATAAGACATAAAACTCTTATACAAAGAATAGAGAAAGGTAAAGGAAATTTAAGGTGGAAATACCCCTTATAAATAGAAAAAAGAATAATAAAAAGTTGTAAGAAAATAAAGTTAGTCTTATAAATATAGCTATACGAAAATTTCTTTACTAATACTTTAAACCGTTTTAGTATAAAATAAGTATACCAAGTATAAGATATAATAAAGTTAGATTTATATTATATAGTAATTAAATAAGTATATTATAAAATTATAAGTGTTTAATTCTAAATCAAGCATACTATTCTAAGAAATAGAAAGAATACTATCTATATATTAGAGCTTAAAGTAAGTATCTTTATATTTTACTTTATTTAGTTTATCTACTTTATGTACTCTATTTACTTTATTTATTCTATTTACTTTATTTATCTTAGTGTACTCTATTATAGATTAAATAGAATATACTAAGTTTTATAAAGTACACTATATATTAGTTTATACTAACTAGTATCTTACTAGTCTATTCGCTTATTATTTATACTAATTTCTTTCTTTTCGTTTAGGCTTTACTCTAAATTCTTAAGTCTATAAAATAAATAATTGTTTAAGCTTATTCTTCTTTTTTTCTACTATTAGTCTATTATATCTAAGACTCTTTGATCTAAGCCTATCAATAACTCTATTTATTATATTTATAAACTTATCTACTCTCTTTATAAGAAGAAGTCTATTGTACTTACCTCTTATAAGTATTATTTATCCGCTAAGTTATTTTATAAGATTCTTTCTCTTTTTCAAATGTATATAGAGTACCTCTAGCTAAACAAAGACTATTTACTAATAATTGCTTCTACTAAATAGCTATTAGAGATATTTAAAGATTTTTTATATTCTTTACTAATATTCTTGCACGGAAATACTAAAGAAAGAGAAATACAAGCTGTATTCTAAACTATAAAAAGCTAATAATATACTAGCTACAGTATAATAGATAGTAGATACTATTAAGACTACCTAAAAATATTTTCTAGACCTATTTAAAATCTTAAAAAATAAGTGAGATACTTTAGAATTCTAAATACTTTCTTCTATTAAAAAGATTAAATAGTTAGAGTGTAAAAAGTAATAAAATAGGCTTAAGTTCAAAAAAATTACTTTCTTTATAGCTAACTTAGAGTTACTTTCAATTAATAATATATTAGTATTCTTAGTTTCTTCTAGATTATTTAATATAGTAATATTTATTAGGTAAGTTCTAGTTTAGATTTCTTTTATTTGTTTGTTATTTCTTCTTTTTTTAAAGATCTTATACTTTTATAGTACTCTTTTATAGCTTAT